CCCCCCTTTAATTTTCCCCTCATTCCCCCTCCCAATTCCCCCTCATTTTCTCCCTCATCCCCCCCCCATTCCCCCCCTCAATTTTCCCCTCATTTCCCCCCCCCCCCCTTTCCCCCCTATTTTCCCCCTCATTCTCCCCCCCATTTCCCCCTATTTTCCCCCTCATTTTTCCCCCCATTTTACCCTAAGTAATTTTGGATTAACCCTATTTATAACCCTAAATTCAGTGTATATATCAATTGGGTTGTGTGGCCTTGATGTGCAGTGCCACATGAGGGGTTGCAAGTTAAGTAGACTGTTGTCCAGTTGACCCTGGGGTAGGGACTTGACTGTGGCCAGTCACATGATAGTGTAGTCAAGCTTTTTAATTTTTTGAATATTTTGTGAATTAAACATGGGCTCAGGGTGCTCATAGAGCTAATAGTCCTCTGTGGGCAAATATATCTCTATGAGCTCTCAGAGAGGGGGACCTGCAATTTTCAAAGTTCTTAGCTCTGTGAGCTCTGAGAGTCTCATACCCCCTGGTTGGGTTTGCTGATGCTGGAACTTGTCTCCTGTGACTACTGGTGGCCCCAGATGGCAGAGTATGTCAGGTGGTATGTACATGGGTGCGATACCTGCAACCATGTCAAGTCATTCCCCTCACAAAAGGTCAGGAAGCTCACCCCAAACAAAGTCCCCACCTGTCACTGGCAGGTGATCTTGGTGGATATGGTAGGGGAGCTCCCAGAGTCAAAGGGATACAATGCCATCCTTGTTGTAGTGGACCACCTGTCCAAATGCATCCATGTGGTCCCCACTGTGACAACTGTAAACTCGGGGGGTATCACACAGCTCTTCCTAGAGCATGTCTGGAGGCACCACAGGCTCCCTGAGGAGATCCTCAGTGACAGGGGGAGTGCCTTCATCTCCCGCTTCTCAAAAGAGCTTGCAGACCTCCTAGGCGTCAAGCTGACTCCCTCAACACCCTACCACCCCCAGACGGATGGACAGACTGAGCAGATCAATCAAGAGATTGAGTGTAAGGAGTGGTAACCCCACCCTTCATTCATTATCTTATTGTATATTTGTCTCGATTTAAACATGTATAAACAATGTATATACAATAATGTGGGAATTTGGGAAAAGGAACAGAACTCCTTTTCCTCCCCATTGTTGATAATTAAAGCTCCATACAGCTCAACTTTATTGACGACCTGAGGATTGAGGAGAACTGGGGTTGGAACCTACACCAACCCCTTACATTGAGGCCTACCTCCAGGTGTTCGTCAACCACTGCCAGGATGACTGGGCAGACTGGCTCCCCCTAGCAGAATTCTCCACATCCACTCCTCCACCCACTGAACCCCTTTCGAACTCAACACTGGCCAACACCCCAGGATGAGGACAGAACCCACATGCATGTTGTAGGTGGGAATCTCCGCTACCATACAAACTAGCCCAGAAATTTCAATTCTAACACCCTGATGAACACCCCATACCCGAGGCACTTCATACATGGTCCCAGATACCTTTTCTACCATTTCCCCATTTTCCCAATTTTTCCGATGCATTTCCAGCCCTATGTCAGGGCACACACCCTGACTAGCCCGGACCCACTACACTTCCCGCACGCATTCCCACACCACATGCTCCATGTGCCGCATGATCCAGCCCTGGATCCTGCCTTCATGCGACTTCCAGATATTCCCAGAAGTTTTCCTGATATGGTGGCCACTGTGGGAAGATGAGAAGTTAGCTTCCTTCTCATCTCCTTACCCACAGTAGGTTGTGCCCTGGATAGGGCTGGTTACACCAGTAGGTTGTGGACCATAGGGGAGGGTCATGGGGACCCGGGAGTCATCCCCTGACACCCTACAGTCAAGATTCCCACGCCTGTCAATCCCAATTCCAGTCATATCTCAAGAACCACTGGATGGATTTGGATGAAATTAGTACCATTGGAAAGCTACGAGAGAGGAGAGTCCATTCGGTCGGCAGGAGAAGGTTGTTGGATGCTCGATTAGGAGGGATACTATTTCCATCATTCATTTTATTGTTTCTGATATTGTTTTCATTGCTTTTATTTGTATTTCCTTTCCATAACTTTCTTTGCTATTCTGTGTCACCATAGAGGTGAATTTCTATTCTTCCCCTTTGCCCTGCAATTTCTCACTTATAGCACACATTTTCATGTATGGTACAGAGGACTCCCCCAATGAGAAGGGACACCCCCACCAAGTAACAAGTTGTTTGATAAGTTTAGTGACGCCAGAGGGTGATGTATGAGTTTATACAGTATCTCTGACTCCTGACGATAGTCCAGAGTGACCAGGAGTGAGTACTTATTTTGTGAGATTTTGTTGATTGTTTTCTAGCACCCGGACCACAGCACAGTATTGGCACTGTTGCCACCATCCTTCCTTTCCCTCCTTCCAACCCGACTCAGACACTTCCCCCAGGTCCCTACTCTCTTGCCTGGGCAGCCTTCTTGCCCGGTTACAACGTCCAAGGTGGAGGCTGCTGATGCGTTCTCGTCAAGGATGATGAAAATGCAGGAGGAGGCAAAAGCAGCACTGGAACATGCAGTGGACGAAATGGCCCATTACTATGACCAAGACCATGAGACGGCCCCAAAGTATCAAGAGGGTGACCAAGTCTGGCTCAGTGCCCAAAACTACATGACTGACTGCCCAACCAAAAAGTTGGACCACAAGTGGCTTGGCCCTTTCAAGATTGTCAAAGTCATCTCCCCAGCCACCATCAAACTTCAACTTACCGCATGACAGAAGGGAGTCCACCCAGTTGTATCCATGATGAACATCAGGCCATACTGCCCGGATGACATCACAGAACAACCCACTGACCCTTGCCCAGGCCTGGAACTCGTAGATGGAGAAGAAGAATATGAAGTCAAGAAGGTATTGGACTCTAAGTGGCTACACTGGAAACTCTGGTATCTGGTAAAGTTTGCTGGCTGGCCAAACTCAGAGAACCAATGGCTCCAGCGGGACCACTTAGCCCATGCCCCCGACCAGATTGAGGAATTCCACAGGACACACCCCCAGGCCCCAGGAAGAGAGAGGGAGAACCACCTGGCCGCTTTGAGGTGAAGCGGCTTAAGGAGGGGGTGATGTCAGGGCACTGTCAGGGACAGCTCCAAAAATGGTGAAGTCCTGGCACAGGGGACTTGATGGGATGAGTAGCAGCTATGCATAGCAGTGGTCCTGTCATGGGGTGAGCGTCCCTGACCACTTAGTCTGAAGTGGGAAAGTGAGAAGAAGGCTGCTTCTTCTGTTCCCACCCCAGGTACTGTTATATACATGCAGCTAGGGTCACATGAATGGGGCCATGTCATCTCCACACACAGCTGCACCGCTCCGGGTGTCTCCATGGGAGATCCCGAGGGTGGCTGCTGTGTGGGCGGGGATGCATGCAGCAGGTGCAGCGATAGAGGTGGTGGCCTTAGGGTGTGGTGGTACATAGAGAAAGAGGAAATCAACCATAGAATAGGAATAGAAAGAAAGGAGAAGGAAGAAAGAGGAAAGAAGGGATAGGGGGAGCAGGGAGTGATGGCAGGGGAAGCGGAGTAGGGCAACGTGGTGCAGGGTGCAGCATGGGGTCAGGTGGGGTATGCCCTGACAGGCACACCCACCTGACCTGGCCCCACCCAGCCCCACTTCACCCAGTGCCCCGCTACCCACTCCTCTCCTACCTCCTCCCCCCTTCTCTTCCTTTCCCTTTCTTCACTCTCCTCTTATTTTACTTTCTCTTTATTTTCTCTTTATTCTACACAGACAACCTTCCCTTGTATCAATGTACCATTGACCCACCTGCAGCGCACCTACGACACACCTGGCCCAGGCACCTCAGGCTCCCGCTGTGCCCAGCATGCATGCTTGCAGCAGATGCCCTTGGGATCCCCCACAGGGACACCCAGGTGACTATGGCTGTGTGCGAAGGTGACATGGCACCCATCATGTGACCCAAGCCACATGTATATAAACATACCTGAAGTGGGAACCGAAGAAGTAGCCTTCTTCTCACCCTTTCCACCTTTAATAATAATAACACCCTTTCCACTTCAGTCTAAGTGGCCAGGGACCACATCCCGAGTTGGGCCCACCAGTATGCATGCCTGCTCCATGTCAGAGACCAGATTCGAGATGAGGGAGAGTCTCCATAGCGGAGGGCTTTGGCCTCAGCGACTTATGCCAAGAGCGCTGTGCCTAGTGACACGTCCATGCCCTAACTTACTGACTGGCAATCAGAACCAAAGGGGGGTAACTCTAGTTGATTTTATTACTGGAGTGTAACCTATGTACAAGTGGGATATATATATGGTTACAGCGAAGACGGGTCCGCAATTGGCAGAGCCAAACGGAGCAGAGCTAACGGGGTTAAACATTAGCCGACTGAATATTACCGATGAGTCGGGTCGCAGGGTTAGCGGAAAGGCAGGCGATAACCCAGAAACAGAAAGGAGGGATAGGCCTGAAGGTGGGCTCTGCAGGGCAGGCGAGTGTATTGCCCAGCGGAGACGGGAGTGCGCTAGCAGACGTCAGAGCTGTCCGGAAGTCTTCAGGGCTCCATACTTAGGGAGGCGTAGGTAATAAATTGAAATGAGGGGGTGGTGACCATCAAGGGGTACCGAGAGGATTGCGGAATACGGGAGCTCCGAGGTTAGTGAGGAAGGAGCGGAGTTAGACCGGAGGGATCGGAGGGACCGGAAGTCGATGGCCGGGGATGGATATGACACTCCACACCCTGTGAGGCTTCTGGTGTCAGGCATTACACCCCGGCCCCCTCGACCCCGGATGTGTCCCTGACACTATGTACAACTTGCTCAAACCAACATGGCAACAATGAGAATTGAATGGAATGAGTAACTATATTACAGAAGTCCCCTTTTGTATTAATTACATAAGAGTCTGTACCTTAATGCAATTTGAAATTTGACCCCTATACAGTTGGTCAAGTCACTAGTAGTGACCATTGGCTGGTTTCAAAATAATTTCCATCAATTTTCACATGACTATTGCATCACACTCTGGGAGGTTGGTTTAGGTTTAGTGTGATTATACAAGCTCCTCAAGACCCCCGGGTTCAATTCATTTGTAACAGTTGCCACATGCTATGCAAACTCCAGCAGCAGTGCTGCCATTAAAATCATAGAAACATGGTGTCTTTAATATCCATCTGACCTCTTATAACTAATGATAGCGAAGAGACAAGTCACCTCTGCTCGCTCATCTGTGCCAAGTAGTCCGAAAGCTACAATGAAATGTATTAGCGGTATTTGCAGATATGACCATGAAGTGCCCACCTTCAAAGCTCCGGCACGAATGGAATCAGCTGCACTCTGTACATCAGGATTCGACAAAACGCGGCTAATTGCATCCCTAGTAGCAGTCTCCAGCGCAGAGAGGGACTCGTTCCCAGTAAAAGGCCCAATGGACCCCGGCTCTGCTTCAGAAGTGGCTTCATCCTCGTCACGACCAAAATATTGATTGCTTGATATGCTAGTTGCATTTGAGAAGTTTGCCAACCTGGACTGAGCCTCATTCTGGAAGAGTTTTGAATAACTGAGTTTACAGCAACCGCAAATCACGTACCCGAGCGTGAGGATCACTAAGGCAGACAGCATTAGTATCTTAAAATCCCTCATCGTATCTAATGTGATAGCTCACTATGCGTTGCGCTCGAAATACATGTCTGAGGAAATTGCCTTTTGATTTCCAAACCTCTCACGGGCTGTACTTGGTGAATCGTCTGCAACCTTCACAATGGATGGGAGGACAGATGATGCAGAAGCAGTAGATTGGCCAAGCCCAAGCTTCCTGAAGCCAATGCCTAGCCTCTCAAGATCTTGAGTGGCATGTTTCGCATCCATTGCAATAGAGGGTGTCATAGTGGAGCTCCTTGCAGACTGTTGAGAGTCGGTTGAAATTTCAGCAATGCCAGGGGCCGCTTGGCCTTTATTCTTGTCTTGCTGAACCTCCTTTTTCGAATCGTATCCAAGCTGCTTGACCCTCTCTTCCTCCACTCGCGCCTTCTGCTCGGCTTCCTCGAAATTGACGGTAGGCCCCGCACGCTTAGCCCCCAACTTAACAGATCGATTGGACGATGCAACAGAAGGCAAACTGCCTAGCCGATATCCTTGCTTCGTGGGTCGTTGGGCTGACGCAGAAGATGAAGGGCTGCCGGCGACCGATGATGGCTGTGAAAGCAAAGCAGCTGAGGTGACAATCCGCGGCCCCGTAGCTGAGACTGTGCCAAAAGGTGGCGCAGACCTTGACATGCTAGTAGAAGGAGCGCCTGTAGTAGTAGTTTTCTGATCCCAATTCGAGAAGAAATCGTCTTCCTCCTTTGCTGTCTTGACAGTTGTATCGCCAGGAGATGGAATAGGATCCGAAATACCATCAAGATAGATGCCTTGGGGAAATCTTCAACCAGTTTAGTTGCCAATGCAAGTAGCCCCTCCGCAGAACTGACCTAATAACGTCATCGGCGACCCTCCTCGCAAGTTCATCCTTGTACAGCTCTGAAACGCGCCCAGAATATTTCTTCTTTACATCCGAGTCTGATAGAAGAGCCGTCGCCCCATTTCGCATATAGAATTCAGCAGCTGCGGCATTACCCCCGACTTTCATCGTACGGAGTTGATGCAATTGCCAGCTGTCAAGGGTTGTCGACCTTGAAACGAAGTAAACCTAGTCAATCTTGTCGGGAAAGTTCGGAAACACGCGCTCTAACCTAACAAAACTTATGTGTACACCCATGTTTCGATGAATGCTAGAACAATCGAGGCATATGTAGACTCCGAACGTCACGCTCGCCCATGTAGGGTTGCGAGCCTGGCAATCGAAACATGTCTGCGAATCGTAACTAAGAATGCAGTGACTTGTGTAGACTGTCCATCTGCACCTTGTTCGCCTTTTGGCATTTGAGCGCATTGAAAACTTCATCAGTCTGAGCTTTCGTCGGATCGAACATGACTTATTGCTGTTGGTCAGATGTATTGCCCGATTTGGAAGTCAATGTGAGAGCTTCATCCGTTCAACACTTTTGGAACATGGGCCAGAACGCATCCAACAACAGTCCAAGTCCACGCCCCGGAACACAGCTCCCTCAAGAGGCTCGAAGACGCCCACAGCCTTCGCGCAGAACTAGCCTGGAACTACCCGATATCAATCGTCTCTCCCTCTCGCCTCTTCGTCGTCCCGAAACCACCACCGCCCCCGCACCTATTCCCATTCCTCCAGGCAACAATACACAAGGAATGGTGGACATAGGGAGCCACTTGGACACCTCCCCTATTTCGCCGCCGAACCTTTCTCAACCCGAGTCCTCTCATCCTCGATATATCCCCCAAGCAGAGGCACCCCGCCACGATGATTATGCTCATGATTACGACAGGTATCCAGAAGGGGGTATGCATACACCGGAGGTTCACATCCATAGCAGTATCCCTCTAGGAATCCCTCTTCCTGTGATGGGGACCTCCCAATCTTCTCCTTTCCAGCCTGAAGGGAATGACGGTCTCGTGCAAACAACGATTACTTGGAGAGGAGGTGGGACAAACGTCTTTTTGTCGGGAACGTTCGAAAGCTCATGGAAGGGTCGTGTCCGCATGATTCCTGAGTATGTTGCTTCTTTGGCCTTGTACCGATTAATTGACGTTATTGGCAGATCAAGCCCTGGTGTTTTCTCTGTTGCGATTAGGTTGCCGCCCGGGAATCATCGTTTGAAATTCTTAGTGGATGACCAGTGGAGATGCTCAGACGAGCTACCCACTGCAACAGATAACGATGGACATTTAGTGAATTATATCGAAGTTCCCCCCTCTGCATGGGATCCGTCGGAGACGGCCTCATCCCGAACTTCTCGCCAACAAACACCGTTTATCAGTCACATTCCACCTCACCTCGTGCATTCTGCTGTGCAGGAGGAAAGGTACCTTTCCCAACAACTTGCAGATCCTCCCCCAATACCGCATCCTGCCACGTTGCCCCGTCATCTTGAGAAGGTCATATTAAATGCTCAGCGGCACGGACGAGATCGAGCTGTAATGGAGGGTAGCCGGGATGATAACTCCGTCCTTCCTATACCAAACCACGTCGTGCTTAACCATCTAGGCACCAGCGCAATCAAGAATGGGGTGCTGGCGGTCGCAACCACAATGAGGTATCATAAGAAGGTGATCACAGGGTTTTTTTTGGCTGTGCACGAACTAATGTTGTTCCTAGTACATATCAACACTATACTTCAAACCCGCTTGATCATAGGTTGGTATCCCCACGCCCGCGCCGTTCACCCTGCAAGACCATACGCTGGGCTAGCTGAATCTCCATTGTATTCCAATGTCCAGCTTCCTGCTGTACGAGAATTTGCTATCATCGCTTTGCTTTTTTGGAATTTATAGCTTGAGGTGCTTTCCGCTTCTTGGACGAACGAACTGAATCGGCTGTAGATGGAATATGGAGTGAGGATTCGAACAAAGCATGCCCGATAGTCTGGGCATCAGAAGTTCTCTTCCGACGCTAGGTGTGAAGGTCAATAACTAACTTGTGAAAAAACAATATATATGGCTCACACTGGAGGGAATTATTGCCATCTCATCCACCTCCGAATCGTTATGATCTTCTCCAGTGTAATATCCAGCTTCAGCTTGCCGACCATTAGAATGTCGTCGAAATGAAGTGTTCAGTGTGCGAGGATCATTCACGTCGCCAGAACTAGTCGATGGTCTCGTTACGGAAGTGTTGAACGAGCCCCCGAATCCTGGCATATCGGATTCGGTTTTGGCAGCTGGCTCGCAGTGAACAGCCTCTGACGAAAGGAAATTGTAACCGGGAATATTTCGTCCGTGATACAACTGTGAGAGGCTGGTGTGCCGCTCATGGAGAGCCTGGATAAGAGCATCAATCTGGGAGGCTCGTACCTCCCGAGCCTGCTCTATCCGAGTACATTGTTCGTGCCATCTGTTAGCCTCTTCCCTGGCTTCTGCAAGCGCTTGATTTTTCAGTCTACTGGTAAGTTCAGCCTATATAAAAGATTCATCAGTATGTTGTTTCAACTAGATTGCATGGGACCCACAGCGTCTCGGTGTGATCGAAATTCCTTCAAAGTTGACGAGAGCTTTGGGGAAAATGGTAAAGCAGCATTGTCCATGTGTGTTTGTTACGTCTACATTACCTGGTTTTCTAACTCTAACACCCTTTCGTTTGCTTGATTCAACTACATTGCTTGAATGAGCACAACGACAACCAACTTTCCACCTGTGTAAAAGCTTACATTGTCCTGAAGATTATCACGCTCCTCCGCCACTTTTTGGAATTCTTCTAATGTCACACTGGACTTGTACTCCCTTGCCTGGAACGAATAGTTAGGTCAGATTAGATCTGCGCCGTCAGTGGGACATTTACCAACGAGCCCAGCCTAGCTTCCTGTTCGCCAATCTGACAGGAATTATTCATCGTTCACGATGGGCCAAAATTGATACGCACTATCCTTGCGGCTTTGGATAACAAGTGAACAACACCCAAAAGTTCATCTTGTGGTTTGGGAGGCATGGTTGTTGACGATTGTTGATGACGAGCTTCGGTTCCGAACGTTCTGCAACGCTTTTTCATTCCGGCATGGAGGATCTCATCTGTTCTCGGGTCTCCCGGGCTCAAGTGAAGAAGGCGGTAAAGGCACTCTCGTCTTACACTCTAAAGCTAAGAGCAGAAGATGAAAAACGACTGGTTCTTGGTGCCAAAGACGACTTCGTATACCTTGTCATTGCCACCAAACCAATGCCTTCCGAAGCTACCAGCATTAGGCCAATAAGAATGTGAGTGTCACCTTACAGATCACATTTCAAGGGATGACAACATGCGCTGCTAGACCTATTACATATCCTATTGTTGACCCACGAAACCACCCAGTTTGCCTTCTCACTAAGGATCCTCAGCGAGAATATAAAGCCCTCTTGACCAACAAGCAGATAGGATTCATCAGCAAGGTTGTTGGCATCGAGAAGCTGCGAGGGAAGTTTAAAGCTTTTGAAAGCCGTAGAGAGCTCGTACAAAGTCATGCGTTGTTTCTTGCCGATGACCGCATCATACATCGTTTACCTCAGTTATGGGGGAGATATTTATTCAAAGCAAAGACGTATGTGCCTGAGCTTGCCTGCGTGAGTTCAGCCACACTGAGTCTTGCTTCATCTGATTCTAGGCAACCTCTCCCTGTCAACCTCCGGAGTTCAAACTTAAAAGCCGAGCTCGAGCAAGCCATTTGTTCAGCCTACATGCACAGAATCCAAGGGCCGTGTATGTGAGTACATTTTCCGCTCCAAAGTATACTGCTTAGATCTCCTGCAGGAATGTTAAAATTGCTACAGCAACATTTACCGACAACCAGATCATCGAGAATATCGCAATTGCTATCCCGGCGATTGTTTCAAAAATCGAAGGAGGGTGGGACAATGTGCAAAGTTTACACATAAAAACATCGCAAAGTGTCAGCCTTCCGGTTTGGAGCTCGCCACATCTCAACTTGGACCCCACTCCCACGGATGAACAACCGTCAGCGCGAGAGTCCGACCAAGGGACTGATCTAGAGAACCGAGTGGACACCAAAAGCGTTCCTTTTGACGCTCCCTGCCCCAGTGACCCTCCATCCCCACAATCAACCATGGCCGACCAGAATGTTTCAACAAACCAAGTGCTTCATCCCAAAGGACTGGCTGTGGAAATCCTCAAAGTTAAGTGCAAACCTGCCAGTCGGATAAAACGTAAAGGGGAGAAGGACAGAGCACGGAGGCGCAAAATAAAAAACCGAGGACCCAAACAGAATGTGCTTGGTGGAAGGCGCGGCCGATAAGCACCGGGTATGATATTCAAGGTCGGGTGATTTTGGATCGATTCCCGAATGCACCACCGGAAAAGCCATAATTATCAGAGCAAATTATACATATCACAGTTGCAATTTAAACAAGACTGGCCCATTGCTTCAAATCGAAATTGCTCGCGCGCGCCTGTACTATCCATTCATGAGTCTGTCAGAAGTTAGTAAGCAATGTACGAGAGCTAGTGTTCATGAGATCATTGGTTCATCCACCAATACTTACTAATAATTCTTTGGGCGTTGGACGTTCATGAACGTTCTTCCGCAGGCAAAGATCCAAGAACTCCTCGCTTTGCTTTGGAAACTTTCCATCGGGTGTAAGGCGAGGTGCTGGTTCGTTAACAATATGTTGTAGTAACTCCAGGATAGACATGGTCATTCCCCCGCCCTCAAGGCTCACACCTCGACTCTTCCGTTTGTCACGAACGGACCGTGTCGTATCAATCTGGGATGCCCTTGATACGGGAAAAGGCTGAAACGACGATGGTCTGCCTGGGTGAACTGTCGACTCGGTATCGTTGAAATGAGGAGATAATGTGCCTTCAAGGTCATGAAGGTCTGAGTCATCGGACTCATCGGAGTCAGCGAAAGGGAAACGCCCCAATGCCAACTCTATCAAACTGATGCCCAATGACCATGCATCCGATTTAACGGAGTACTGCGCCCCCTGGATTCTTTCAGGCTGTGGCTGGAGGTCGGTTTCTTACTTGAGCAAGTGGACTGACCACTCACACTCATGTAGGTGGAAGTCCCAACGAAAGTGTCGGCTATGGAGTTAATAAGTTCCCCCGATACTCCAAAATCGCATATCTTGATTTGTCCTTCAGAATTGAGGAGGATGTTGGAGGGCTTAATGTCTGGAAGTGCCCTGAGCGAAACAGGAATACCAATAAAAATCAGGGTATTCACCTCGATGAATGATGCGATGCTCATCATAAAGATAAGTGAGGCCCTCGAGGACTGCCAGCGAGATTAAAGCCACCACGTCGATCGGGATTGGCCCAAATTTCTTGTATACACCATCCAAACTACCTTTATCCATGTACTCCATGCAAATGCAGATGTGGGGATCGGAAATATAGGCGCCATGAAACGAAATGATATATTTCGAGTTGCAATGATGCATTATTTGTAGCTCCCGAAGAATCTGTTTTCGAACAACGGGCTTTGCATCTATGAGGACTACCTACTTTTGATTCTTGAACTACTGTGTCATGTTCGTAGTAAGGAGAAACCGAACGATACCTTCTTGGCCATGATTTTATGTGTAGGGATATGCTCAACTTTGGTGACGGTACCACCGTTCCCTTGGCCCAGCTCGCCAATGGTTCTTAAATCGTCCTGCCGAAGATCTAAGATAGCCTCAGGATTGCGGACATCCAATGTAGCGATCTGTTCCTGCAATCGGCTGTGATAAGTTGATCGCGATGCTGATGACGGCGCTGACTGGACTGGAGCCGCGATGACCAGGCTTGGAGAATCGATCACAGTCGATTCTCGATGAACAGGCCGCTTTGACTTGGTAAGATCCATGGCTGGAGGCTTCCGGCGCGGGGCGTTGGGTATGGCAGGAGGAGCCCTCGACGCGAAGGCAGTCACTCCCGTATTCTGCGGTGCTGCGGAACGCGATGCAAGAGGGGAGTCGTCAACTTCGGACTTTGATGACTCGACATCAAGGTGAAGGGCCTTGAAGTTTCGCTTCTTCCTAACGACAGAGGCAGCAGACATGATGATGGATGACCGGAGCCCTCCGCAATAGGAAACTACAACCGAAACTATAGATAGATTATTTACAGCATTAAACCAAATAATGACTGATCGCAGTAATGGTCAGCTTCACGTTGAGTGAACTGAGAATGTATATATACCTAATCGCTGTAATGCTAACATACATCGGTTATCAGTGAGATTCACAATAGCCAAGGTGGTCACCGCTCTCACCTCAGCTTCACGTTGAGTGAACAGCTGAGGGAGGCAGGATGCAGCGAAAAAGTGAGCATTTTGTAGATAAGAGTCAAGGACCCAGCGCGTAGTACGCCAGGCCAAAGAGGAATCAAGGCGCTCAAGGCGCTGTGTTTAGATGAAATAGAATAAAGAAAGTCAAAGTGAGGTTTCGGCACGCCACCTTATTTCCATCGTCGCTGCATAATGACGCGTACTGCAGATAGCCATCCACACATGCGTCGCGTCGGTCAAGGCCAAGTTGGGCCTACGCTATGCCCCCAAGTAGCCGTTGAATTTCCAACACATCATTATTCCAATTTTGCTCTAACATTGCGGGTGTCTAGCACGGCCCCATTCCGGGATGGTGTCGCATCCACCCAAGATATTGACCATCCGACTTCCAACTGTCGCTTCATTCCCCATAACCAACACATCCCAAATATCGCGGTGCATAGTACAACATTCAGAACCACGTAGAGGTCGGGATAGCGCACGGGAGGTGCTAGGAAGACCTCAAGTATATGCAGACAAATCAATCCACCGTACGATCCCTTCAATAGCACATCAGCGAGAACACTAGTGGTCACGAGGACAACCCTTGCCTGGGTGATTACTTTGAGCCACGAAGACGGCATGGTCCATGGATTGTGTCCAATGAGGTAGTTCCAAAACAGTGTCAATACTACGTATTGCAAAGTCTGGCCATCACGACGTAGCAATGGCCACAAACTGTCATCGAAGCAATGAGGAGTGGTGGATCTGCGGAAACCGGTTTCATACCTGAACACAGCGACATTGTTTAATAACACGCCCCACTCCCAAACTCCGACCGCGGAAGGGCCCAGATCCTCCCTGCCGCCCATCATCAATGTAAATGGTAGCAGGGGAAGAAGGATCGACTTTTCGTGCACCTGAAACGAGAATAAGAAGAACGAAAAGGCACAATTACCTAATACGTATGGTAAGAGGATTATCGTAGGAGCAGCAGGACGTCGCATCCGAAATAAATTTCGTATGGAGTTCGTGCTCCCAGGAGATCCGGTACAACCCTCATTTGATGCCAGTCTGGGCCGTAACATCCACGACAGGTACAGCATGTGCAACATGCTAGGTAGGAACCCTAGCGTGGTAAGAATAGTCGCGAAGAGGGGTAAACGGCCTTTTATCCACGATCTTTCTCTCCATTTCATGAGAATGTTAGAGGCGCACCAAAAGTTGGCAACTTTATCCTCAAAGAGACCTCGGGAAATTGGGAAGATCCGATGGATGGATTCCAGGAATAAAACTGGAAATGGACTTCGCAGAAAGGGGGAAAACAATAAACAAAGCGTTGTCAGGCTTGTGATGCCAAGGGCCAAGAATAAAGATAGCCTATAAGTCATTTTAGCATAGTATTTACCCTAACGGAGTTAAGGACACACCCCGATTTTCCACCCAGATAGATACACTTTCCAAACAGGTAGGCAAAAATAGCAGGGGAATAGTATAGGGCCATTTGTTTGAAAGTCAGAGCGAGGGTGAAGACGACAGCACCAAGTATGTCATGTCCTTCGTGAAACAGATTGAAAGAAATAATGCAGAGGCCCAGCATAATGGAATTATACCTTGAAATAGATGAGGTCAAGTATATCTGCCAATTGCGTGTCCTTACTGGAAATGCCCATGGTCGACGAGCAGGAGGGCGGGTTGCAAGAGTAGAGTAAGCATGGCAATCGTCTAATTGTAGGCGAGTAATGAGAGAGAAGTTATGTTCTTATCCATGAACAAACCTGAGATCTTTGGGACCTTGCTTTCAACCAGCACCGAGAGAAGCACCAAATCGATGGGGAATAGATAATGATATCCCAAGCAATAACCGTGCTTCGCATGTATGCCTTACTTCCGTCAGACTCAATGCCACGAGAGTCCGTTAGTGCGAACCACCGAGGGTCAAAAGTCTCCCCTCTTTAGTGGTGGTCAAAGACAAGTTACACAATTTAAGGGTCACAAACGTACATATAGCCACACAGCCAACTCACATATGCTGTGAGGGGAGGGTAGTCCAATCCCCAGTAAAGAACGTCATACTTGTACCACTGCGACACTGGAAGGTGCAAAGTCAGCTCCATCCAATGCCGCTGTGCCTCGAAGTCTCCATAGAGAGGTGGGGTCCCCTCGCCTGCTTTTGCATCAGAAAACTGTCGCTCAATGGATGAAGGGGTCAGTACGCGCACCTGAATATCCCCCGAGTCCGACCAACCACCGAATCAAGATCGACAAGAGAAGGATGGATGGAGAGGCCCAAGTTTTACTCCTTCCCTTTGCAAGCCATCGAATCCATCTTCTCGCCATACTGTCCATGTGAGCGCTGCGAAGTGTGCTCGTGCGAAGAGAGTTTGAATCCTTCACAGTGTGAGCATTGCACGTTGATGAGGGCGCGTTCAATGACCAGTTCATCGAAGAGAATGCTCCAACACTAGTATCGTCACGGAGTGGAGAGCCGAGTGAGCGCGGCACAGGAGATATGGGGCGGCTATCTTGTCCGTATAGCCAGGGCTGAATCAAATGAGATGACGACTGTCTGGGACGGGGCGCATAAAGGATGTCTCCACCACAGTCCGTTTCTGATCTGAAACCAATTGGGAACCATCTGGTGGGTGAGAGACATCAACTGCTGCATAGGGCATAAGACGTACTCCAGACGACTGTGACGAGTCGAATTTGATGCAGCACTAGACAGTCGCTGACGGGAAGGCCGTGTGAGATTAGGACCATAAACAGCACGGACTGAGGATTCAGATAAGGGCACCACATGGGAGCGTGACGACCAAGATAATCGACTGTGATCATCCATTTCAGGAAAGACTACAGGGTGCCAGAAAGTGGCTGCACGGATTATCACCTGTCGTTGGAGGAAATGGATATCTCCTCCATCGGCATATGCCGCGTCATGAAGTCGCCGCAAGTGGATGAGATGTTGAAGACAAACCACTGAAGTGGAGGTCGCAGTAATTCGTGGTTGGGTCGTGTTCCCTTTATAAGCCGTTACGTCCTCGAATACCTCGTGTGGAGTCGCCGGCAGGACCTCCGAACGTACCCGACCTCCCACCTCTGAATCTACCGGCTGGTGAACTCTTGGCGTTCAACCCCCTCCATTCCCAGCCATCGTCAAGGTGGAGGGGAGGGCTTGAACACCACTCTACACGGATGCCACGTAATTCACAAACCTTTGTCGTTGAGGGTCACCGATTCGTCGTAAGCCCTTATCAAATCCATATCGGGCATGGTGTGTACGCTTTCTTATCACAGAGGGAATTAGTGATGCGTAAAAGATCATCTTAACCATTGTATAATACACTCATTTTTAACATGATTAAAACTGTGTTTTACAATGTGGTCCATTGCATTTTACCAGGATTCCTTTACCACGTTAAAGGAGGTAGATGACCTGTTTTTTAATGATTCTCCACCACGATAACGATTGTAAACGGTCAATTTACAAGGGTGCATTTTGTAATTTACCAGTCGGATTTCGTCATTTACAATATTGTTAATTTGGTGAAAAACGTGGTTATTTATCGTCATTTACAACTACATTTATGGCGATATACAGCGGAGACTCTAGGTTACGTTGCAATGAATAGCAGTCATTGCAAGTGAGGAAATGAACCGAGTTGAGGTGAGCAAAAGACAGAAAGGTCAATTCGAGGAGTGACGAAGAAGACCCGATCCGGAAAGCATAACGCAGGATTGAAGCCTTGGGCTCACGAGAAAAGTACGGAGTTGAGTGCGAGCAAGAGACGGGTAGCATAAAAGTCGAGCATCAATTCGATTTTGATGAGGTTGATTTGACAGAGCATAACCTAATGAAAGTGGAGGAAGTCTCGGGCTGTGAATAAGACGGTAGAAGATACCATAAGTGAACTTCAACCCTTGCGCACAACTTCGCGAGGCAGTCTTTCCTTCTGAGTGGGCCAGGTTAATCGATTCAGACTTTCTTCTGTTGTGGGGCCATCATAGTGACGGCCACGGGGGTTCTTTTTTGGCAGTACTAGTAGAGGTGGTTGTCATCGGGCCTTGGTCATTATCATCGCTTTCGAATTCCAGTCGCGTTTTTTGGTTACTAGCACAGGGGGAAATTAGCAAGGCAGCAGTGGGGGAAGAGGTAGTTGGGAGATAAACTAATGAGCGCACATGGGGCCAAACTACGCCCTAAGCAGATGCACGAGCTTTTCTACCACAGGTGTGACCCTTGGGTAACATAGATTCCTGTTTGCTGTGAGAGGCTTGACGATTTTCTAAAATAAATAAATAAATAAATGCTATTTCTCATTCACCAATGAGTTAAAGACGCGTAAAGACGCGTTGAAACACGTCCAGATGGAAGCCATTCATGGCATCGCTGTCAGTGAGGCAGCATGCCCAGTGTCCATATTCATAAGTACTTGCCACTTCTGAGAAGAGTAGCTAGTTGCATAGCGAAAGGATAGTCAAATTGGGAGGAAATGAGCAGGTTGCAGAACGTGTATGGTATGGTCGAGAGGATAAGGCACTGAGTGGAATGGAAACTGCCGAGAACAACTTAGTCCGATTTCAGTCTAAGCGCCACAGTCTCTGCCCACCTACCCTTACATCTTTAAGTGCCAGCTTCCATACTTGGGGCTCCTCGCGACAAGAAACATTCCTGACAATTCCACCCATCGCAAAGTCGCGATCTAGTTTACTAATGTCTACAACAAGCCGTACCAACATATAATCGAGCTCTTGGTTATGCCTCGCTAGGGAAATCATGCATTGTCGGGGGAGGTGACAAAGTTTCCACAATGTGGGCCCAAAAACGACGAATTGAATTTAGGGACTTATCCTTCGTCTGGGTAGGAGTGTTTGAATTTCATGGCTCTCACTATTGAGCTGAAGTAGCTGTGGACTCAAATCCCCGAGCACGTCACAAAACGTCGCTTGTGAGAACATGCGTCACCTCGTTGACCTTGTCTCAGATAGCGGTGCTTACATGGATGCTGCCTTGGCACCGACCTCTTTTACTACACTCAAATTATCGCTCTCGCTTCGGTCTCTTCAGTATGTGGCCGATTTCCCTATGGTACGTACGCATTCCCGTCGTTGGGCCATCATCGATCGCAGTTGCAAGCTCGCAAGGTCAATCGACGACGATGACTAACCGAACTCCGGCCGTCCATACCTCTGACCTTTGTACAATACATCGCAGCTCGAATACCATGAATTGAGTGGTAATTTATGCAGGGAAGAGTCTGGTATTTAGCATCGTGAAACGTATATTGTAATTTACAATGAAAAAAATATCACGAAAACAATGGTAAATGGTCAAAAACCAGACCAAAAATGGTTTTTTACGGCCATTTACTTCCCACAGTGTTATGCCACTTTATCAGGTTCCAAGGGCTCTACTGGTCCAAAATAGCGATGTATTCCTCGAGATCAGTTCTGATGCAATGACCACATTGGATGATGATGCCTGCCTTATCTCACTCATGGCACGTCTCCTTATTCATTTGGCAGGAAGAATTTGGCCTCATTCAGCGCCTCTGTTCGCCCTTCTCTCCCACTTCAAATTTCTCCTAGGCTACACCATCGCATGGTTCCCCATGCACGCTGGCCCTGTATTTTCAATCAGTTTAGGTGCTCATTACATAAAACATCGATGTTTATGCGTCCGCATAATATTAAATATACAACTACGTATCCTTGGTGCAGTTGCCCAAATAATTCACGCTTGCCTTCCCTAAGAATGAACCAATGTCAGCATCTCTCCGAACAGCAGATCACAACTAAATGCCACGGCTCAGAGAGTAATGCTATATCAATCCAGCGATAACTGGTCAACAATAGCCTCTAGTACGAACATCTCATCATTGCCAAAAGGCAGCTACGCTGGGAACTCACCACTAGCAAGGAAACGTTGACGTGAATGGGTGACGAGGATGACGATCCGCCCTGATACTCGCTACCATCCTGACCGGGTCCAACGTAAAGTTTGGCGTTGCCTCAACGTCTGACGTTCAAGTACATGTAGGTGTTCAATCTGCGAGAACGTGCTTTTTATGCATACCAAGAGTGGCAGTGCAATCCCGCCGGAGTCGGCCGATTGCAAGGCCTCTATCGAAGTCATAGACCTCCTGACCCCATGTAAGCTGGATGAAGCGGTGTAATTTCTGAAGTAAAAGCCTCTCATCCTGTGGCTATCTCGTGCCCCGTACATCACAGAATGACGATCAAAATTTTAATTAACCGACCAGCTGTGATATTTGTCCACAACTTGAGCCTGGGGAAGACAACGCGACCATTTCAAATGTACCAATCTGTAATTTCTTCAGCAAGTCAAGACAGATTGCTATCTTGATGAACAATTGTATTTCCCCTCCCATCTTGCTTGATGGGTGTTCTCCAACCTACTCTTAGATATGGCTTCTGTGTAAGAAAAGTCCAGGTACCGTGCTCATGAAGTGGTCCTAACAAACACACACACTTAGCCGTATCACCGTCGCCTTTTCTGGCACGACTCGTACCTGGAGTCATTCATGGTTATCAGCATCATCAAACTAACACAATGGTAATGTACGGCAAAATAACCTCCACCCTTCAAAAGTCATATTCGCTGTCGTAATCGCCGTCTGACAACGCAACACGACATCATCCTCTGAGTGTTTGTCAGGCCAGCAGAACTCACCACCAAAGACATCCACACTTGCGTCTGAACCCCCGGATTCGTCTGGATAATCATTGAGTGGGTTATCTTCGGCTGTTTGAATCACGATATGAGACATTACGATGAGGGGTAGTGATTTCAACTATGACGCGCACCGTTTGAGTCGACATCATCTTCATATGGCTCGGTTTCATCGTCAGAGGAACTTATGAATTCGATTTCATCTTCGGGTTGCAAAAAACTACCCCAGGATTAGAACCGTACTTATTCTGGCCCAAGAAGGGACGTACACCAGGCCAACATTGGTGGAGTCTAAATCCATTCGCTCTGTTGAGCTCTGTCTTTGGAGAAGGAATAGATCATATACGTATTCGTCTTCAATTTCAGAAGATGTCACCACCCGCCCTGCACTGGCGAATCTGTCAACTCTGATATCGTTCACTAAAGTGGTGATGCTATCATTAATAAGCACAAGGACATAACAAAGCATTCAACGAGCCTGTTAGGTATTCTTGGACCATGCGGTTGAACTGCTCCATCTCAAAACCTGAAACGGAATCACGAAAATCGCCAGTTGTGGATGATGGAGCCACGCCGCTGCTGCGCAGTGTGGCGCCGTGAGGAATCGCATCGCGAAAACCAACGGCATCTCGTGAAATTTCCCTGAAAATGGGTGGCCATGGGCAATATTGTCGGCTTGAGTGGTTCATCAACTCACCGAATACTGGATCCTGTCTGCGCAAACTCATCCACATCAGGTACCGTGCTTTTTCTTATTGTGAATCTAGGAGTGGTAACGCGGTTCTTGGCGGTCCCAGATAACAATTTGACGGAGGATATGGAATGGTTCGCACATGCGCTTGATGTGTTCGGGTTTGTCGAGTATGAAGCAACACGAGTCTGAGTGACATTCATTCACATCCGCGAGGGTTCAGGTCCATAACCACCCTACCTCCAAGCTTCGCCTTTTTTCAACGTCTAAAAATTCCTCATCTCCCTGCACCGTCTCCAAATACTTGAAGATGCCAGCGTTGGCCTCGCGTTGTTTCTTTCGGCGCAAGTCGACAACTGTGCAAATCCACCTGTGAAAAAACCATAAAATAGGGATTCATAATGCGCAGGGCATCTACCAAGAGCATCGAGCGGTTCATCATTACGCTTCCTTTTCACCCTCAACACCAGGTTGGCACTCATGGATGTTTGCAAACTGACGGGGGTATCAGTCATGTGACCATGCTCTTTTGTTGGGTGGCCACCAACGTTTATTTTTTAATATCTTTTTTTTCGTGTTCCTTGCTACTATGAGAATCGAGGATGGTCGTTTGCATTTTATTGGTTTTGCCCTGGACAGACCCACATTGAGTCAGGCCCTATGTAGCTGTTGTAGCGGAGTTGGCCGAATGCATTCTTGTGTTTGTCAACTATCTGCCGGTCAGCGCTGATGGTTGGGCGTTGGAAACCGCGCCATATCCTACGAATTCCACCTGTCCATATCCAAATCGGTCCTACACACCCATCCCGGCTCGCCAGCCACTATAACAATACCCTCGTTCATGATCTCCTCTATTTGCACTATTCGCACACCCATGCTGCCCATGCGACCCATGGACCCAATCTTTCACAGCTAGACCCCTCCAACCCCTACCAATCCAATCGGAAGTTATCGCCTCTTAAGGGGAACCGACCGCCCCGACCTTCCGCCCTCCCCATCTCTACCGAGAACGTTACGCGACTCGAGCGCATCATCCTTCATACAATGGTGAAGGAGGCTGTCACCAGCAAAAATGCCCTAGTGTCGGCAGCTATGGCATTCAAGGCGCTATCTGGCGAGTCATACCACGGAGGAGGCAATTCCAATTCCCTCGGGGTGCAAATTATTAAATCCAAGTCCGGGGTCGCGGAGTTCAAGGTTCGCGCTGGGCTGCAAATATCAGCTCAGGTTGAACTGAGAGGGGAAAAAATGTGGGAATTTGTCGGATCATTGGTGGACTTTGTGTTGCCCAAGCTTCGAGATTTCCGCGGTATTCCAATGCCTTCGCCATCGTCCAGTTCTACAAGTCCTAGCGCTGTATCCGGAGTTGTGGCCTTCGGACTACCACCAACTGCGATGGGCCTGTTTCCCCAAATTGAGGTCAATGTAGATTCATATCCCCGATTGCCTGGGATACACATACAGTTCATTACGAATGCCAGGGGCAAAGGCGCGCAAGACCGCGCACGGGCATTGCTGTCCGGGCTACGAATACCATTTATTAGGGGGTAGGAATGGGCAGGAATTTTGAGGTAGGATTGCACGCGGTTATAGCCTCTACATATTCTGATATGGTTCTGGGACTTTGAAATATATAGATGGTACACACAAAGATGCATAATTTCCTTCCAATGAACGCCGAGTACAAGTGTGAGCACTGGACGGATAGATGAGTGGACGTTTCATTTTGGCGTGCATCCATACTGTTTGATTTATGCCGCTCAAAAAAAAAAGTGGGGGCCATGTGTATGTGTATGTGGGAGGTCGGAATGATGAAGTCAATGAGCATGGGGCATGACCGCACTGGATTGGCGCAAGTGGTGTGAGGACAGTAAACGAAGTTCAAACCAAGATAGGGCGTATGGGATGGCATGAACTAAGTAAATGGGTCTGGCTATATATAGATGTGCTGAGTGATTCGCGTCCTGCCCGGACGAGGTTGAGGTAGCGTGTTCCCATCTGGTGGGTTAACATAAATTGAATGATCCAATTCAGCCATAGCGCTAGGAGGTTGTGGGTGGGCCGTAAGGTCCACGTACGTGTAGGCAATGCTATCTCTCAACCCTCTACGGATGCTTTACATAAATAGTGACGTTGTCGTGTAGTGTACTTATATAGAGGCTATATACTGTACAGCCTGCGTGAGTGGTGACAAGCGGCTTCTTGAGCTAAATAGCGGCGAGAGGCTTCTGAGCGCTAATTGAGGCTCCTGGCTTGAGTGGACCGAAAAAGGGAGGGGGAGTGGAAGGATTTGTGACAACGACTATGGCCGAACAGTGAATTTGGCCAACTCCGCTTGCAAGCTACAGACTCTCTGAAGACAATGATGACAATACGGACCAACTCCGGACAAATAGACAAATTCGACCAACTAATGTTAATGTCACATGATCGTTCACTTGCATCCGCCACACGGTTCGAGTCCGCCTCCGCCCCAAATCAATTCTTATCTCGGGTCTCCTTACATTGTATTTCAACTCATCGAGAGAGACGAGAACGCCCTAGACGTGTCGTCCACTCCTTTAACCTTTCATTATTTTTTCCTTCCCCCCCTCTTTTGTCACTTGCTCTAATCTGTCGATCATGGCCTTGATTGCTCCAGCAGGCACTCCACCTCACCTCTCCCATTACGACAGGGATCTATATGAAGACCAGATAGTTCCGACCCTTAGGAAGAGTTCGCTTTTCTATTCTAATGACGTGACGAAGGGCTTACTCTGAGATTGCAACAGGGCTTGAGGATGAGTCCCGTCGCCTGGACAGGCGGATATCCACCCATTCTATGCTTTCGGGTGATCAGTCTCCTATCATCCCGACCCATCATATGCTCCCAATCAATGACCGAGGTGATTATACAGCCTCTACCAGCAGTTCAGGCCTTAAGGGCAATGGCTTCAACAGCCTGCCTGACAACTCCGTGAACGTTGCTCTGGTGCGGTCTTCCCAAGCTGCATCGTCATTTCCGTCGCCTCCATCGACAGCATTGCCCGTGCCCTTCCGTCGTGTGCGCACATACTCTACCCCCCGTCCGTTCCATACCAACACACAACATAAGCAAGAAGCACCAGTACTGCAGGCAACTTCATCTGAATTCCGCCCCAATCCCTCTGGCTCGAAACTCCCCTCACGCATCCCAAAGCCAACACCCCGAGCACGTTCATCCTCTCGACGAGAACCAAATCCGTCTTCTTATGGCAACCCACTTCCTCATGACCCATCAAGCCCGACGACTTACAATGGATCCGCCCCTCATAACATTCTTGGAACTATTAGCAGTAATCTCAAGACCAATGGCTCGGCTTGTCACTCAGATCCAGAAGACGACTCCTATGAGGCGTCGCAACAAGATGACAAGCCTCATCAATATGAACACTGGTATCGTGGAGAAGGACGTGAAGGAGGAGGAAGGAATGGGGGTAGAGGCGAAATCTTGGCCGGCACCAAAGAAATGCTAGAGATTGCAATGGGGGGGCACCCCCCAGGGAGTTATACACGACGCCGCAGCTGGAGAACTCGATACGACCCACCCGTCAATTCTCCTGACGCAGAATCATTCTGGAGCTCAAGCCGTCCTGGCTCGTCTGTTCATAAGTGGGAAGACGAGTACATGCTGGACGAACCTCCGTTGACCGATTTAGAGGCTGACGACGGTGCAACAATTAATGATTGTGAGCCGACATTAGGAACCCAGAGCCCAACCCAACCCAATCGCGCAGTCACACCGCCCAAAGTGACACCACCCGTTTCTGCGCCTCCTGCTTCTGCCGTGACTCTACGGTCGAATTCTAACCTCCAGACTGAGAACGTGCCTCGATCCAATGCTGCTCTCACACATAAATCGGCAAACATTCCGAGTGCTGTCGTTGCCAAGAAACGCCCCAGAAAGCAGTCCATTTCTAGGCCTAAGAATTTAATGTCGCGATCTCGCTCTGCTCATGAGGTCCCATCGCATGACGGCCCGCTTGCCGATGCCATCCCCCCTCAGCCAGACACTCACATTATACCCCCATCGGGCAATTGGGACGATGTGATCCTTCCTACGGTTGCGAAGAAACTTAGGCTCGCACGAGGGCAGAACAGTGACGACTTTACAACATTCATAGCCACTCCAGGGAGCCAAGCAGATGTTATTCAAAAGTTGGCGGTAGTCACCCATGAAGGAATACACCCTGAGGCAGCAAATCACAATTCTCCACACCACGTGGGCAACGTAGAGCTAGCCGAACTGGGAATGCGAGCCAGGAATCGGCGCTCTGTCCAGCGGACCTCACTAGCACCACCCCCAACATCACCACCAGACACTCGCACTTCGCTTCCCAAATCTTTTCCTGGGTCGCCCATGACAATGAATCCGCCGTTACCGTTACCCGAGTCTCAAGAGGGAAAACAATTCAGGGAGCATGATGACATTCACAGTAGCGGATGCTGCAGATGTGTTATTATGTAGTTTCCACAGCCTATGTCCATCATGTCCACACCCAATTACCCTGTCTTCAATTGTCTTCCATTTGAGGCCCCACATAACCTATATCTCATCGCTGCCTTTTCTTTCGTTTTTTGCTTGGTCGTCTGTAGTCATCTGGTGTTCCATAAACGCTTTTTCTCTTGAATATCCCAATGCATCTTCATTTAGGATCCTTGCGAAAACCCAAGCCTGTTAGATTGACCAATATTGGCATATTGCTGCAATACCGCAAACCGCGGTAGTGGCTGTGCATTGCTTCAAGTTGATACTGCACGTCGTCAGGGGCGGTTTGCCCACGTTGAACCCCCCCGAGGATGGGTACCACCATCGCCAATTACGTGCGTTCCCCTATCCTCTTGATACTTACTATTTACTTTCAATGCAGCAACTCGGGGATCTACTTGGGAAAGGTGCCTTCGGCCAAGTTTACCGTACATTCCACCCACTTTTTAGCCATTGATCTCCACCTCATTATATCTTGTCCTCTGCGATTAGGGGCGTTGAATTGGACAACTGGAGAAACCGTTGCTGTTAAGCAAATCCAGTTATCCAGCATACCCAAGGCTGAGCTTGGGGAGATCATGGTGGAGTCTTCTTACCCTTCATCAATTGGGCAATTGGGTCATGCTAACGACGATGCGACAGTCAGAGATAGATCTACTAAAAAATTTGAATGTTCGAATTCATTATGATTTTGCCTGCGGCCGCACTGATGCACACAACTTCAGCACCCAAACATCGTGAAGTACAAGGGCTTCGTCAAAACCCGTGAATATCTATACATTATTCTAGAATATTGTGAAAACGGCTCCCTCCATAATATTTGCAAAAAATTTGGGAAGTTTCCTGAGAACTTGGTCGCTGTCTATATCTCACAAGTTAGGTGTTTATGGAGACTTTTCTTCTGTCACTTATCCAGTCTTAGGTTCTGGAAGGTCTCGTGTACCTTCATGAACAAGGCGTTATCCACAGGGATATCAAGGGAGCAAACTTACTTACAAACAAAGATGGACGTGTGAAACTTGCGGATTTTGGGGTGGCGACCACCCATAACGGAGCCATCAATGACGCGGCTGTGGTCGGATCCCCATATTGGAGTGAGTTGAATAGCAGAGACTCTGAATCATATCCTAACAACGTCCTTAAGTGGCGCCGGAGGTTATCGAGCAATCTGGCGCAACTACGGCCTCCGACATTTGGTATGCATTATTCCAGCGTCATATCGAAACACTTTCTTATCGTACGATCTGTAAAGGAGTGTGGGATGCGTCGTTATAGAGCTTCTGGAAGGAAAGCCCCCATACCATTTCTTGGACCCCATGCCCGCTTTGTTTCGCATTGTACAAGACGATTCCCCACCAATACCTGAGGGCGCTTCTGCTGTCAGTTGCCTCCTTGATTTGCCTTGTCTTGGCTAAGACTCCTTTACCCCCAGATCGTGAAGGATTTCCTTTATCACTGTTTTCAGAAGGATTGTAACCTGCGAATTTCAGCTAAAAAGCTACTCAAGCATCACTGGATGGTATCTGTACGAAAGCAACTGAAGACTGATGGCATTTCGGGGGAGAATTCCCTTTCAAATTTTGATGAAGCCTTGCAGAAGGTGCAAGAATGGAACGAAGCTTTAAAGTGTTCGTCTTCGGCTATTGGCTCAAAAAGATACTGACTGTTTGTCATTTCGGTAGCACCTTCCCGGCCGTTGAGGCAAAAAGATCAAGTTTCTCCTTTTGAACAACGTGATCGTCGAATAGTTTCACCAACACTACCCACTTCGAAAAACGGAACGAGCAGCAATAATCCCCTGTTAAATTTTTCGCACGGCCTTTCTCTCCCTCTGTCAAACCAACTACTCCCTGTTGACAAGAACCCCAATGGAGTACTCATCCAGCAACCGGAAGAAGACAACGATAACTGGGACGACGACTTTGAGGGTAATATCCTTCTCGAAAAACTCAGAGGTGTGTCTTTCCCTTCTCCGGATAAATCTCGCGCGCCATAACCTTCACGCAGCGGATAAGTCTGTCGATGCGGATAAGTGCGAGATGGAAGACAATGCGCAAACAATTCGGCCCACTAAGAGTCCAAGCATAAAGGGTCTTGATGTTTCGGAACAACTGCAGGATTTACCCCCGATTGTTGAAGACTATTCCGACATCGCTGGAGATGAAGATAACGATCTTCAAGCAAAGGTCAAGGAATTCAAAGTCAGTGTACATACTGCCGGGGTTTCCGCCACGTCCCCAACAATTATCACAGATGAGGACTACTGCTCGGAAAACATTGTATCATCCCGATGACATTAAAGGCCTCGGGTATACACAACCTCGGTCACGGTCCGGACCTTCATCTTCAAGCAACTTTTCCTCATCCCCTCCTCGTTCTCCCTCTAGTTCCTTGGCTTCCAGGAGTGTAACGACAAGGCCGGGTCTCTCTTCGATTGCCCCCCATCTGCAGGGCATACTCGTTCGTTATCGTTGGGCAGTGGATCAGTGGGCAAGTCGGAGGCGCGTTGGCTCCATACCCAGAGTAAACTTGGCAGATACATCGAAGGCGATGAGGAAGATTATGAAGATGTATTTGCGACCTCAAACGATGCGCGTAAGTGTGTGTTTGATGCATTGGTAAAATGTGCTCAACCTTCCCGAGTCCCAAGCTCTTCCGCTTCAACTCTGCAACTGACCACGCGGCTCTCGAGAAAGTCCTGGGTGAGCAGCCTTCATGGTCCATTCTCATTGCGTTTCCATGAACAAATTCTAGTTCGGTGACGATGACCTGGGCGATGACGACCCGTTCGCTGAAGTGAGCAGACTATTCCGACTGAGTGCCTTGTTCTCAAGTGCGATTCCGTAGATAGATGAAGAGTTCGCCGAGAACGATCTTGAGACTAACCTCATTCGGGACAGATTTGCTCGACTGTGCGCTTTAATCTCTCAGCTGGTGGACCAACTTGTTCCCACTGCTGCTGATTACACCTTACGAGAGATATGCCATCAATTAGTGGGCTGGAAACTCTGCGACACCCTTTATTTCTTCTGATGCACCTTCTAGTTAGTTGTGCTCACAGAAAACCCAGACATGCAAGTTCAGTTCGTTTTGTCCCACGGACTCCTTGCTGTTGTTGAGATCCTGGAATCACGACCTTCTCGGGATGTCCTAATCAGCCTTCTCAAATTAACTAATATGGTAAATATTCACTCCACTATTTGGGATCAGCCTGATCAACATATCCCAGCTAGTCACAAATGACTTAGGCATCCTGGAGAGTTTCTGTTTAATAGGGTATGTTTGTGCAATGCGATACCAACTAAGCTGATTCCATACAATTTTATCTTACTACTGCAGAGGTATTCCTGTCGTCATGGGTGTGTGGTCCAAATAGCTCGTGTGTGCAGCGCAGTTTCACTCACTAATTGTAGCATTCACAAGCAAGAAATATTCCTTGGAATGTCGTTCGGAAGCCTCCAACTTTGTCCAACTTCTTTGCCAATCCTCGATGCTGACCCTACAAATGTTCATTTCGTATGTGCCTACTAGACAACTTCCAGTCTTCCAGATCCCAACAACTCCATGTAGCTGTCGAGGACTTAAAGTCCTCGTTGAGCTACTCGACGAGGATTATTCAGAGCAGAAAGACCTCGTTGTGCACGCTTTGAGCGGTGTAGCCAGTGTTTTCGAACTGCAAGTAAGTTGCTCCAGTTTGTACGTCGACCGCTCTAATAATCATGTTCGACAGAGTCCCACATCTAAAAATGACTTCTGCAGGATGTTCATTCGGGAGGGTCTGCTGGACCCTCTGACGTCTGCTTTACTGAGTATCATTGCGTCTCAGCACGCTTCGAGTCCCGAGCCTAAAGCAAAGGCCTTGCAAATACTTCTCATCTTTTGCCAGGTCTCGCAATCGGACAGCCATGTGCGCCAAGCTCTTGGGACTCGAAAACTGATTCGACGTACGCTAGTGTCACTATTACCTTTCCGGTTGTCTGACCCACCTCAACAAGGCCTGTTACGTGCATGTGAACTTCTCGACCCTGAATACATCGTAACGATGTTGAAGGCGATTAAACATCTTTCAATGAATTCGACACTTCTGGATGTCCTTCAGAATTCGAATGCGATTGAAATCCTGGTGCAAATTCTTGCTAAAGCCATGGACTCCCAAACCACCGTAGGTTATCCTGCACAATGCGCTGTGCGCTTTTCAATTTTTCGCCTTCTCAGGAAACGTCCAATCACATTTTCCAAACTTGCTTCAATCTCTGTCGCCTCAATAAGCTGCGACAAGAGGAGGCGGCACAAGCTGGAATTATTCCACACTTGTTGAGGATCATCGACGTCAACTCGCCTCTCAAACAATTTGCTCTGCCCATACTTTGTGACCTAGCAAGTGCCGGGAAGAGTTGCAGATCACTGCTATGGCAACACAATGGCCTATCCGTTTATCTAAATCTCTTATCAGACCCATACTTCCAGGTCAGCGCCTTGGAAGCAATATTATCGTGGTATGTCCATTTCAACTACCAAAAGGCCTTGACGCTGCTGATGGTTGGAAAGGCTTCAAGATGAAACATCGCGTGTCGAAGATATCGTCGGCGAAGCCACAGCAGTGGATCAGGTGGTCAACTGCTTCATCAACGCCAAGGCCAACTCTTTCGAAAATCTACTGGACCCATTCATCAAAATTTTTCGAATATCATCTTCCATCACTCTGGCCATTTCGGCATCTCCAAAATTCCTGAAGAAGCTGGTTGAACGACTTAATCATAACAAAGCTATTGTTCGCCTCAACTTGCTCCGCATCCTCCGAGCAATCTGCGACACCTCACAGGATAAGCAAGCTCTTGTTCAACGCTACGGTTTTCACAATGCCGTGCAAAAACTCAGCCAGAATGATGGTGCCGTTCTTGTACGAGAATTAGCCCGGGAAATAGCACCGGCCCTTATGCCAAATTCATCCACGGCGGGCGGCGTTGAACCAGAGCAATCGAATACTGATGCACGAGGGGGAAGAAGGCGAACACCTGGGCGAAGAGCTGCATCGGATGCCTCAGGACTTGCATATAAAGTTGAAACTGTCTTACTTCCCAAACCTGGGCGTGGGCGACTGAAACCGGTGCCACGGACCAAATTGAACGACCTATGGAGAGCCTCGGAAGACAGGAATTAGGAACCTAATCGTAATCATTATACCAATGCCCATTTTTTTTTACCCGCTGTTGTACGTATTCCGAACCACTGTGGTGATACTATCTATACATACCTCGGTCACATTAACAGTGATCTGGGTCCCGTATCACCTCCCTAACGGTAATCGTGGCCCAGAATCACATGGCAGTGCGTCTATCTCGTCGTTACATCAGGTGTGCAAGTAGCATTAAATTTGCCGATCCAATCTCGTTGCACTGCCACAATGTTAACTTTCCTCGCCACTGGGCTTCAGAGTCGTTCCACGAATTGCGCGGAGTTACCATTCAATGGGTGCCGCCGTGTTCACCTAAACCAAGAATTTATGAGGAAAAATGGGATATCATCAGGGGAATTGTTATTCTTAAGTGCCAGTGCCGACCCCAATCAGGTATTTCGCTCGCGTCTGTCGCTCTCTCACACGCCAAACATTCGCACAACCATTCTAGCCGTATGCATTCTCTACTGCTTGGCCCTCCGCCGAGCTACAGACATCATGTAAGGCACACTGCCACGAGTTCCAGAGCTTCACCTTGAGTCCCCAGCCAGGTATTGAAGTCTCTTCATGCATCTTGCGAACGATAAATGCTACAAACGAAGACATGCTTTCGGTTGCAAAAATTATCTCGGCTCGTGGACCCCATCCGGCTTGTGGGGACTTCCCATTAGCACGAGCTATAATCGTTGAGGAACTTGACATTACATCTCATTCCTTCGGGTTTCGGCATGCTACTACCAACGAACGTAGTGATTCAGTTTCTGATTTGCTTTTACTCTCCCTCAAAGAGAAGCTTGGTAACTTGCTCCCAGGTTTATTGATATTCACACAATTGATGTTTTATTCAGTAGGAGTAAGACATATTTCAGATCAGCAAATTGTTGAAATAAACTATCAAGGGGTTAAGCGTTCGTTCAGAGTGGTTTCAGTGCGCACGTCACTTACCACGGCTGCAATCGAGGACTCGTTCGGCGACCTTGCCCTCTGGGAAGGCAAGCAATTTTTCGCTCATGGCGCATGGCGGGTTGGTTGGGACTCTGATGTTTCAATTCGCCAAACCAACGACGTAAGGCAGTCCCCAGTCCTAATGGTTCGGTCGCGGCTGATTTACACAGGGTCTTGAGTCAATTTCAAAGTACACCATAGACCAAGAACTGGGAGGATTGGAACGACAAATTCAGGAAGTCAGAGAACTCATCGACTTGCCTCTCTCTCATCCTAAGCTATACCGTCAATTTGGTTTGTCGTTTAAACATCTGGTCATTCGTAAACTTCACATCTTCAATGGCAGGGATTAAGCCACCTCGAGGAATCCTCCTTCACGGCCCTCCCGGTACAGGGAAGACTCACTTTGCTAAAACTATAGCCAAATCATCTGAATGCAACTTCATGTCTGTGTCTGGACCTGAGTTATCTTCTGCTTTCCATGGGGAAACAGAGGCCAAGTTGCGATCCGTGTTTCGGGAAGCAGAACTTCGAGCCCCATGCATCATACTTTTTGACGAAATTGATGCCATATGTCCTAAACGGGAAGAGTCGGGTGCAGGCGTCGAAGCACGAGTAGTGACGACCCTTCTCACCCTATTGGATGGCCTGACCAGCACGCAATCCGAAGCCAATGGCAAGAGCTCGTATGTGATCGTTGTGGCCACTACTAACCGCCCAAACGCCATTGACCCTGCCCTGAGACGTCCAGGCCGGCTCGACAGGGAAATTGAAGTTGGCGAGTACACATTCCACATTCAAAGCACTTGGCGGGAAGAATTGAGAAATATTTTTGTAATTAGGAATTCCTGATGCTAAAGCGCGGCATTCGATCCTTTCAGTTCTACTGAAGCAGATACCTCATACAATCCCACAGACAGAGCTCCAGCAAATTGCATTCCAGAGGACTCACGGCTTTGTTGGTGCTGACCTCGGAGCCGCTATTCGAGATGCAAGTAATCGTGCTATTAGACGGTTTCTTGAGGAAAAGGTCACTTCTGCCCCTTCTGTCACTTCCGCGGACCTTCTTCTCGCGATAAGCTCCACTCGACCCTCAGCCCTCAGGGAGTACTTCGTGGAAACACCAACAGTCCGCTGGGGTGACATTGGTGGTCAGTCGTTAGTAAAACAGAAGCTCCGGGAGTCTGTTGAATGGCCTTTACTTCACTGGGAGACGTTTAATCGTCTAGGCGTTAGGCCACCAAAAGGAGTCCTTCTATACGGGCCTCCTGGCTGCAGCAAAACCCTGACCGCGAAAGCCCTAGCCACAGAAAGCGGCATCAATTTCATTGCTGTGAAAGGTCCAGAAGTAGGTGTATCTCACGTCGTGTAGTCAAGATTCTAAATCCGCCCCTAGCTGCTCAACAAGTATGTGGGTGAATCAGAACGGGCAGTGCGTCAAATATTCCAAAAGGCCAGACAGGCTGCACCTTCCATTATTTTTTTTGTACGTACGGGGGTCACAAGCGCTTGCGCGAGGTCTCATGGCAATAAAGGACGAGGTAGATGCACTGGCTGCGTCGCGCTCTGGGGAAGATCATCATAAAGGTGTTCTCACCAGTCTTCTAAATGAATTGGACGGTATACAGGAACTAGTCGGTGTCGTGGTGGTGGCTGCAACCAATCAGCCCGAAGTCATGGTATGGGCCCGGACTTGTGGAGCTTTAGGTAGTATTCAGTATCTACGCAGGACACAGCTATCATTAGGCCAGGCCGCCTGGACCGTTTGTTGTACGTGGGTCCTCCAGATTCAAGCGCTCGGCTAGAGATTCTGGAAGTGATCACAAAGAGAATGGCGGTGGATCCCTCGTTGAATCTAGAGCAGTTGGCGGAGCTGGTAAGCAACACCTCTCAGCCCGCCTAGTTACTGCTGACTTTACATACATTCATGCAGACGCATGGATGCTCAGGGGCGGAGATTGCATACATGTGCCAAGAAGCAGCTCTATTAACGATGAAACGAGACATTGGATCTCTATTTGTGCGAATCAATCCCTGAAGATTTTTTCGAAGTGTTGATCTCCTTCCTACTAGGTACACCAATCGGACTTTATTCAGGCAGCTCGCAATATTCAAAGGCAGATAACACCGGAATTGATTACCAAATTTGAAAGATGGGGGCAAACCTGTGGCGCCGGTTATTGAGTAACCCTCCATATTCGAAAAGTATATTGTAAGCATTAATCTGTTTTCAGCTTATCTTCCTTGTCTAATGGCAAGAGACGTATCCAGGCGAAAGACCTGGTGAACAGGTTGAAAATGCTACCGAAGAAGAGAGCCATCAAGGTGCTTGTCATGATAATTACGTTGTAAGGCATGCTGAAATCTGGAGTTGCGAGGTCGCCTAGCAGGATGTGTGTGTAAATCCGCTTCACCGTTCCAACGTCAGACAACGAGAAAATGGCTGGAGGTAAATCCCAACCACGGCTGGCATCCGGAGGATGTTCTGTGTAAGAGATGGATGCCTTGTTTAGGTCCATTTGAAGGTTTAGACGTGACAGTGGCGGGAGGTTGATGTTGGCCTCCAACAGCAGCGCCTGTTTTTGAATGGGTGGATTATAGGAAAGAATATCCACAATGTCCTCGACTTGAGCTGAGAGGATCAGATATCCTCAGTGGATAGGAGAACAAAGTAGCAATCACAACGCACGTTGTTCTACCCCGTTCAGCGCAGCCCGCAACGTGTGGAGATAGTATGTTACGAACCAAGGCATAGTTTCCAGCCATTGAATTACCACGGTCTCGTTCTTATAGTTGTGAAGATCGATGACGAGTCTCCCGTACGTTTGACCACCCTGCAATTGGCGACGAGCAACAAGTGGGAACTCCAGGTAATCTCCTAAATGAAAGAGTGTGAGGCATAGAGAAAGAAAAACAACTGAAATGCGCCCACTTGATCGTCGAATAGGCGGCCACTGCATACCGAGATCGAGTGTGCCTCTGACTGCCAAATAACATCGAACCAACAGTTTATAAGGGGAGAATAGTAGACGTACGATTACGAAGATCATATTTCGCAATACCATCAGGGGAGGTAAGGGATGTATCTGGAGTTGGAGTCAATGCATAAGGTTGACCAACGGGTAATTGGACTTCGATGTAACTGCTGGTGGCAACTAAACACGAGCGAGTAATCGCCCTGTCGAATGAAGACCTGAAAGACCAATCTTGGCAAGGTCAACCGTATGAAATATCGAGTGGACACTATCTTACCCCTAACGAGCGGCTCATGGGATAGCCTGGTGGGGTCTAATACTGCTGTCACTGTCAGTCGAAGTTCGATCCCTTGGCCCTTCAACCAACGGGCATGTACGCCGATTCCGTGCCAGTCCGCATCGAATAGACGGTGAGGGTCAAGGAGCATGGCAATTCCGGAGTGTGATTTGCAGGGGAGGAGCTTAATAAATGGAGTCAGGTTTTCGGTGCACACGTTCTCAGAAGGCAGTGGCGCATATAACAAAGTGTGGTTCATCCCTAAAATCTTCCACATGAATTGCTGATTCGAGTGTGTTTGGCTAGGAAAATGCTCGCCTGGAGGCAGATCGCCTTCTGGTCTCAAAGCGAAATTCGGCGACACCGTCCTCTTTTCGTCTAGTGAGCCCAGAGACGCGCACAGCAATCCGGACAGGCCATTAGTAAGGCCCTTCCAGCGCTCCCTGGCGCTTCTATAATGGGGAAGGACTTGATCAGGGCTTTCTTCCTCGAATTAAGGCAACTCATTACGTTTGGCTTTGTATAGGCATCCATGCCCAAAGATCTGCCCCAGACCCAACAGAATCATAAGGCGGGAAGCCCCATGATACATAGTCCCATTTCCCAGAATTCAGAGTCAGGTGCATCTCGGCAACCTTATGTTGTTGTAGGATCTGTCCAAGGGCCAAGGGGAATCGTGTGAAGTGATGCTCACCCACTGGTCCGTTCAGAATGGTATGGAAACATTTAGTAAGGAGCAGACAGCTTACGCTTTACAGAAGGAGACGAAAACGGCTGCGACTGGTTCAACTGAACAATGAACTCAAAGTGCGCCAGAAGCCTCCCATCTCTGATAGGGCGAAGGTGTAGGAGCTCATTGAAGTGCTCGGCATTTCCGGAGATCTGCCCATCATTAGCCCGGGAAGGTGTCACATTAAGCGCAAACGAAAACAACAACAACAACAACATAGAGTGTCTGAGCGAATTCATGTTGCCATCAAACGACGTAGGCTGTTGGTTTTGCACCGCCACACAGGCCACAATGATTATTAATGTACATGCGCATGACTCAAGAGCCCTCAATCACCTGATCACCATTTTCCAGAAACTTGACGTTATCCTATTGAAAAAATCCTTTCAGCGGAGGCCAACTCGGGAACGCTCTCATCCTACCGCACGTCCGATAATACTGGCTATATACTTGGTATGGCCTGGTCCAAACGCATTTCAGCATGATGGGAGACATGAGTTCCAGAATGTATATGTATCAGTCTCACTTCCATATGCAACAAGCTTCCCTGCCGAATCCTCGACGTCGATCCTCGTGTAGGCGAGCGTTTTGCCTTCAGAGGCCGAACATGAACGCGCACACTTGATCTGATGTGATAACATACCAAAGCCGACTACCCTCCCCCTTACGTGTAAGGTATCACCAGCAATGCCAGCCGGCCTGAGAAAGCTTCCATTGATATCTGCATATGTGCTCACATCGGCAACTACTCTGAAAATATCCCGTATGTTCTCACCGACTGAAACCCCAGTCATGAAGTGACCCCTTGTCTCAGTCAGTCAGAGATACGCCCCGCAACAGATTTCGAAAGAAATGCCATACTTGCTTGCCACGGCGAGCGAGCCGACAGTGTCGACGAGAGACAGAATAAGTCCTCCGTGGACAGTCTAGCCGATCTAAACAGAAATGGATAGCAAAAAGATTGGTCTCTGATCATACCTTGTTTCGGTTTACTTAATCCAGTGAATAAGTTCGCTTTGCACAGCGTGCAGCATCCATACTACTTACAGTTGTAGTCGACAATCTTTAAAAGGGTCAAGGCAACCATGGCCTATTTCTACTTAGCAGCTCACCTGAAGAGTGCATTCGATCGTTCCCGGAACGGCCCTCTGAATCTGAAGATTTGGGAAGCATCTTGCATCATGTCCTGTGATTCAATGATATGGTACGTGAGATCAAAGAAGCGGGTAATACAGGTCAGTGTACCACAATTTTCCAAGAAGGACTTCCAAACTCTTTGAGTGAAGCGCAAACACGCTGTCATTATGTCAATGTGAGGGCTTGAGCAGAATTCGTCGGAAGATCGATACTGTCGTGGAAAGTGCCGATATATGAGAGAGGGACGGGCATCCACCAGAAAATTGTGAACGTGTGCATTCCACTGAGGCATTTCTCATCTTGAGATGACCAAATGGCGGCCTGACTGGATTTAGGAAGAACCGTTCTATTGAAATATCAACGTTTATTCACGACAACCGAGTGGCTACGGAGGTATCGCGAGCTTCGGGAGCTTTGGAAGGACGAGGACGTTGTTTGTTTTTTTACATGTTCCATCATTGTTCACAATTGTCCGATGACTTTGCCACTGGGCACTAGTCATGTATAAAGGGGGGGTTTTTGGAAAGCCTCACCCTCAGTCTCTAAGTCGAGACTGAGGTGAGGCCATGCGATCTTTTCTATATATTTTACACGATAACTTCGTGTCGCAGCTAATGCGACATAGATAACTACAATATATATTAAGTGGAGACTGAGCTAACGCGACAACCGTTCACTGTTCACGGTGCTGCTTGTTTATGGTCCGGTTGATACCGGCGGACCATTCAATCGTTGTAGCCAAGCTGTCGATCTGGGCCTCAATTCTGGCCTCGGAGGATCTGTGTGACTAAACGCTATTAGCATGGACCAGCTACCAATATCGAGGGATGCCCCTCAACAATCTTTTCAGTTTCGAGAGGATGCCTCCATCCTTTCTCCCCGCGAGATGATAGAACTTGAGCGACCGGAGACAGGCGTGGCCAATTCTGTTGGCGATCTTGCCCTTCTGCCCGTAACCCAGCATTCGCTATCTGATGGCAAGTAAGTCGCTGACAAATCACTTACCCAACATAGCACACTATCTACGCTAAACTTGTTCCTCCAGATCGAAGAGGCACATATACATCGTGTCTCTGGACTTAGAAACAACTTCTTTCCGTCACCCTTTCCTCGATGAAGGAGAAGCCTTCTGGCTAGATTCTCGCACGATCGGCTACGTGAAGACATCCGAGGCATCTAACCAACAAGAAATCTATGCTGTGTCTCTGCAGCACTCGACGGGAGGTTCGTTTGAACCTGTTTCTCCGACGTTGGTTGGAAAGCTCCCACCAGGGGCCTCTGCTGCGTAAATGCGATAATTGCCACAGTTGTCGGCATCTGGCTTACCCCAGCTACAGCAATTTTAAATACCTTGTTACTCAGGGCACTTTGGTTTTCTCCGCCTATGTCTACGATGACGAAGACTTGGACACAGTGCAGGACCAAGATGACACATGGAAAGAAAGCAAAGTTACAGCTAGAGCGTACGATTCACTCTACGTCCGGCACTGGGATCGATACATTGGACCCAAACATTCGTCTCTATTCACTGTGCGATTGCACAAAGAGAATGGCGTCTGGTCACTTGAGGAGAAAATCCATGCTCCGCTCAAAGGGACTCGGCATGTGAGGCTGTTGTTGAGTTTCTGTATCTGTTGGATGATGATCGACTTGCTCTGTAGTCAGTGCCCGTGGAGCCTTTCGGTGGTCCCAAGGATTTCGATATTCATGATGTAGGTCTCGTATACACCACTAAGGACCCTACCGTAAATGAGGCAACACACACACGCCAAAACGTATGGGTCAACTTATAACTGGGTCACTCACTTCTGACGGTTGGGCACAGATTTACTTGGTGCCCTCACAACTCGGAGAGCGACCGAGGCACCTTACTTCAGGGAACCAGGGAGCCACAAGCAATCCCGCCTTCTCTCATGACGGAACCAAAGTAAGGAAGATATTAGTCATTCCGGACTGTGCGGTGTTGTAATGAATCCCTCAATAGGTGGTATGGCTAGAAATGGCTACCGATGGCTATGAATCGTACGCCCTTCTCAACCACACTTCGGGATATCGGATCTGAGAACATGCATTCAGCGACCAGAATTTTGTTACCATCTACGACCTTGCAGTCGAACGGCGGTTCACCGTGGACTTCCACGACGGAGGCGAACTACCTTCGAGGTGGGATAGAAGTCCAAGCGCGGTTACTGTAAGCCTTGTCAGGTTTCAGTTCCCTTCTGAGGGTCTGATCACGCTTCAAGTGGTCTCTAGATGACAAATCCTTATACATAACGGTTGGCGATTCAGCCAGGGTCAAGATATTTCAAGCCAAGGTACCTCTGACCCCCACAACATCTGAGACAGGAGAGTGGGACCCTGTCGTCAAGGCTCCATTGCCTATTCCATTCACTCAAGAACATGCTGCGGGAGGCGTGCAATGCATCAATGATGGATTGCTTCTGTTTACTAGGTCGTCTTTGCTAAGCCCGAACAATTTATATATTCTTTCCGGTTTAGCAAACTCCGGGAAGGCTCGCCCAATTCATCAGCTTACAAAGTTTGGTGAACCTGTGTTGAAGGATAAGAAGCTTTCCGATTACGAAGAATTTTGGTTTGAAGGGGCAGAAGGGGCACGCGTGCAAGGCTGGTCGGTCAAGCCAGCGGGATGGTCGAAGGATGATAGCAGCGCTACCTGGCCAATGATATTTTTGATCCACGGAGGTGAGGGGCCCTTGCCAGGGAATACCCATCATCTGTAACAGTCGCATCCACAGGTCCTCAAGGTATCTTTCCATAGACTAGTGGCCATGCAACTGCTAATTGCAACACTTGAAAGGAGCTTGGGAAGATCAATGGAGTACTAGGTAAAGTTGCGGGTCGCTTCGAATCATTGTCGCTGCTCTTACTCATCCGTGATCAGATGGAATCCCATGGGTGAGTGAGATATCTCTGCTGTAACTTGTCCCTTTCGAATCCTTTCCATGCAAGTTTTTGCTCAGCAAGGGTACTTTGTTGTGGCTATCAATCCTACTGGATCCACGACATTCGGTCAAAGCTTCACAGATGCAATAGCGAAGGACTGGGGAGGACGACCCTTCATTGACCTTTCCAGAGGATACAAACACGCTCTGAGAATTTTTCCTGAAGTGAGCACATGTCTCCAGAGATGCTCTTGATAATGGCTGAAGTCAACGTCGCAGATCGACTGTGAGAGAACAGTTGCTGCCGGAGCTAGCTGGGGAGGCTTCGCAATTAAGTAGGCTTATTCATGCAATATTGAAACTACAAGCTTAAGAACGTGACAGTTGGATAGCGGGACATCAAGAGAAATATGGTTTTAACTTCAAGGCTTTGATAACGCATGACGGAGTACGTTTTCTGGCCCTAATGATTTACTTCGGCATTAACTCGCACCAAGATATTTGACACTCGATTCGGAGGATATGTGACGGAGGAGCTTTTCTTCGTTGAGTACCTAATGGTTCTAATGACGGGGAAATGACTGAGATGGAGTCCGAACAGTTCATGCATGAATTTGGAGGTCCCCCATATGATCCAGAGGTTATAAAGAATGCAGAGCAGTTCAACCCTGCGAACCACGTCTCCAAATGGAATACACCACATCTTATCATTCACGGGACTAAAGATTACCGTCTCCCGATCACTGATGCTCTGGCTGGATTTACCGCATTACAGTTGTGGGTGGTGCCTTTGTGCTCATGGACATATGTACGCTGAGCCATGATGATACATTAGGAAATCCGTTCCCAGCCGTCTCGTCGTCTTTGAAGAGGAAAATCATTGGGTGCTCCGGCCTGAGAATAGGTGAGGACGCGACCGTTTGTCGATACAAGCGTTCTGACCTTAGGGAACCAGCCTTAGATGGCACGAGGAAGTTTTCAGTTGGGTACACAAGTACGTTGGGAGAGGCAGCCATTACAGCAAGTCCGGTTGAGCTGTGTTGTATACGCTAATTGATGCCAGGGTCACAAAAGCGTATGGGATTTCGATTGAAAATCCCGCTGCGGACGACATTCGTTGTTCGTATGTAGCTGTGGTGTAATGGATAGTGGCTCGGAAATTCTGCGAGTGCATCCCAACCTTCAAAAAACGATGCCAAACAGAAGCGCAATAACAACTAGAATTCTCAATGCATGGATCTACGCAAAGACCGTCTGAGAACGGGGCCGCTTTGTTGACGAAGTGCGGTGTTTATGAGAAGAGGCTGGTAAACGAATCACAGCTGACCGTTTCGACACCGGCAACAGGTACTTAAACCTATCAACGATAGGCAATCTTAAATGGATCCTACTAGTAGGACAAGAGTGGGCGAGTGGATTGAAATCGAACTTGATTCCATTTCTACTATAGTTTCGTGTGCTATTACTGAGATCCACCAGGATGCTTTGCGAGCAGCTTAATTATTACAATACCATTTGCAACTTCCAAAATACAAATGATCAGTGGGTGGCGCCAGTCGCTGTAAGTGCCCGCTACTCACCAGTCGCAAACCAGCTGCGCGCTTAGCAGGGAAGACCATGTCCTTTGAATCCTCATTGCTGTAACTGCACTCAGATGCCAATAAGCGGAATCAGCCGAATTTTATAATGAGTGATTAGATTTATGTTCCCCATATCACGCCTTGAGTTCTTGGAGGTGACCAAACCTCTGCTTGGTCCATTGCAACATAAAACGAAATTAGGTGCCCCGGTTCCTATGCACATCGGCGGAACGACTTATCTCTTATCTCTTAGCACTAGCTTTCTCTGGTGGGGCGGATTCGCTTTGTTTGCTGTTCCTTTTGCATCGTCTCCTCTTATCAAAAGAGGGCAGTGCTTCTTGTTTCCCTAAATCGACCCCTCCAACAATTGTCGCCTTCACGATTGATCATGGACTTCAGAGGAACTCCAAGGCCGCCGCAGATCAGGCCGCAGAGCTTGCACGGCGACTGTCTGTCGAGCATCATACCATATCCATACCATGGGACTCCCACCCATTCCCATCCAAACCCCTGGATGGCTCGGCAATGGAACAGAAGTCCCGAGATGCACGCTATCATCTCATGTTTGCCGCAATGCAGAGCCATCACATTAACTGGCTGGGACTAGGGCATCACGCGGACGATCAAGTTGAAACAGCTGTAATGCGGCTGAGTCACGGAAGTGCACAATTCGGGCTCTCCGGAATGCGACCTATACGCCGTTGGGGAATGGGAGGACTCTCCGCACTAACTTGGGCGGGGCTACCGGGCATGACTACTTGGATTGCCCGACCACTCCTGACGTTTCCCAAGGTAGCAGCGGTGAATTGCATTAGTATATCCATTTCTCAATGTCCCAGTAGGAACGCATCATCGCGACATGCTCAGCTGAAGGATTGCAATTCATCACCGACATCACCAACTTCCAGCCATCACTAACTATTCGCAATTCTATTCGTGCAACTATTGCTGCTCTGGATTCAACAGGAGGGTTGGCTTCCGACTCCCTTCCTTTGCTCGGTCGTGGTCCCTCTATGGTCATGAGAGCAAAAGAGAATGCTCGGCATTGCTTAAGTGAGGATCTAGAAGAATCCACTTCTGCTCAGCTTCATAGGTGGGTAACGCACCACGGGTCCCAATCTCAATACCACGAAAAACAAGGTAAGGCATCACATACCTTCATCACCCACGCGAATGGCCTAGAACGCTCCTTGTAGCTAGCGAATACATTAGTAAATATTCCAGACCATCACCACCGTCTACATTGCTCTTATGTACACAGCTAGTACCTTCTCCGGAGGTCCAAGCCGCCATCATACTCCGCGTCCTTCGATACGTGTCTCCAAACCCTTGGGGACACAACACGTCACAGTCAAGGAGGAAAGCCACAAGTATCGCTCTCATAGCCTCTCGACTCTGGCCGATGGCGGGGCAAGAGCTTCATGCCCCTTTTGCTGCTGGTTCTCAGGTTCTCTGGGCCTCGGTCCCAACATTGCAGGAGGGGTTGCTACTACGCACGAGCTCAGTTTGTGAAAGGGGCGCGGTCACACCTGCTTGGCTCGCGGTCCGCCAACCGCTGTATCGCCGTAGATGTCCTTGCCATAATAATGGTTCTCCCGAAACTGGTTCTCTTTGTCTTCCTCATGATGGCGATGGCACGGTTATCACTGTTGTATTTGACCTTCGCTTTCTTATTCGCATCACACCACACGCGAACCCTCTCATCTCTCGTCTCAAAATGGACAAGCTCTGCTTCTCAGTCTCCGGCCATGGCCCTTATCATCTTCCTCTCATCACTCTACGGGGTCCGGGTCTGTCTGGAGTTGTGATTTGGAAGCTAGACACCTCGAACGTCCCCCTTTCGGCAACTGTCCTCACAAAAAGTGAATGGCTTGAGGTGAAACTGATACGTTCGCTGGAACCATGTTGACGAAGAAGTACTCTGCGCTACACCCCACGCCATATTTTGCACCGGATACATTGTATGGAAAGAGGGAAGAATCCCAGTCCGAGCTGACCATGTAGTTGACGAAATGCACAAAGTCCCAGATCGCTGGGGTCTTTAGGGATGGGTCCGGTTCGGAATGCCACTAAAATGTCGGCGTAAGTGGTGCTGCATGCCTACACCGGGATACACTAGCACTATTGGAGAGATCATGGAAGGGTAGCGATTTCTTTGGCCTGTCGATAATCCAAATAATGATGCCGCCCATCGATGTTCGGGCGCCCCAGCAAGTAAAGCACTTCATCCGAATCCTGACGAAATCAAATTGTAAATATACTTATACTAACACTGAGGACATGAGTCTACCGACCTAGGAAGTTGATCGGGTAGGTGGATTCAGTGCTTGAAGCTGATGGTTGGCGAGATGCCAGAGGTCAGATCGATCTGACGTCAGAATCAAGCCTGAATCTATGACATTTCCAACTGAACAGCAGTCATGGGAGTAAATAAGTTTAGAAGTTTTCTTGGCACCTCACGAGATTCTTTCTGGCGATCAAAACGCCGGAGTGCAAATATTAAATGTAGGTTCTGAACGAAGGCATTCGTTTGGAATATATGATACCATGTCTAGTTGATCTGATAAATGAAACGAGAGTAGGCAGGACTCCAGCCTCTAGGGCTTCGTAATATTCGATAGAAAGCGAGAAAAGATGGCCTCTGAGCTAGGCCAAATCGATAATGTAGTCATGCATGGAGAATGTACGACAAGCCGTGTCAGAATAATGATATATGACCTCTAAATTGTGCAATAAAATACTACAAGAAAGGAACGTGTCACGTTGAACTAGTGGCTAGTCCATCATGTATCGGAAATTAATAATTAGCGTCATCTACATATGGTTTCCTGCATTTCGTCGCCAGGTGTTCAATTATAAATCTGTAGTGGTACAACTTTGCCTCATTGCAGCAATCCCATTCAAGACGTAATGGGTACCAGATAGGGTTGATTGGCACTTTCCAAACCAGACGCTCGCAACTGAGTGCCAATAGACAGTGCACAGACACCCACAGCTCGATGGCAGCGACGTCAAGGCACATTGCTGGATGCTGGAGATGTCCGTGACTCCGCCCCTCTCCTGTTAGTCTTTGAGAGACTCTTGGATATGACGATCCACCCAGATCAGGTGAGAAGGGAAAAATATGTCGACAACATTAATCCCGAGGCATGAGGGCCAGTCGAACGCACATGTTCTACGACTGCCCAACATCGAACCACTTCGGTCTGCTGAACCGAGGCGACTATTTCGGCGAGTCCACCGAAGATTGGGATCTAACACTCGCACAGAGGCACCTCGACAACCTGAGCCCCTACAACCAACGCTCGATGGTCACCCAAGAGAGAACCAAGACTTGAGTCAGGATGCAATTGGTTTGATGTGGGTAATGCATACATCCTATGTGGGTGGATGTACACTACACATAGATGAACGGGGAATGTAGTTCGATCTGATGATTCCGGGTATCAACAATCTTGCACTAAAATTTCAACACCCATCTTCGCTCGGGACGCGAGTTCAGGCGGCGTTCAACCCCCTTAAAGATATATCATACACAACTTCTTCAATCTTTTTCACATCGTACTTGATTCTGCAGTGTTTTCTAAGTGAGCGATTTGGTTAAAATACTACTGATCAACGTACGAGTCAAATCTTCTCCGAAGTGAGTCATTTTTGAGGTTCAACTTGAGGTTACTACGGCGTCAAAAATAGCAGAAAAGGCACGTCATATTGGACGAACCAGCTGGAATGCGCTAAAGAGGTCCTTAACGAAAGAATTGATCTTGTGTGGGGCTTTATAATCTCCCAGAGTTACCATGTTAATGGCAAGCCTTGACTTGGAAAACACGGTTTGGAGTGAACCCTGCACCAGGTGGGAACATGCTGACGGAAATAGCGCACCAATTCGTTTATGAGAAGGATGACTGGAGAAACCTATGTTGAGCAAGGAAGACAGGAATCCCGACAGATTTCACCGACGGCCATGCAAGTAATCCTCGACTTGAAGACAGTACCTGTCTTTCCACGCATCCTTCACTATAATCCAGTATCGATCAGAAGGCTAGAGGCTGAATAGTTGGGACTAACTCCCGAGGACCTCATTGGCAGCTGTGATGGAGAGCAGCTGCCCAGATTCCAAGTATTGAAGGAAAGCCGAAACGAAAACCAGATTCTGGATATGCCTTGTCCAGAGATCCTTCCATCTTAACCATTGTTCGGTATGCGGGGACGTCCTGGATAATTGATATGGGAATCGATCACTTACCTCCAATACTGATTGGGAGGTACAATTTCTGCGAGTTCGACCGAGTGTTGAGGTATAGTTACAAGAATCTCACGCAGAGATAATAACAGCGGTTGTACTACGAGGGGATTGTCAATGTCATCTGAAAAGCGATACCACATGCAAAGCAACAGACGATCTTTGGGTTGTGTTGAATGAACTTTGTTGAGCAAGCCCAACATTGTTCGTAATTTCTTGTCAAGTTCGATCGTCTCATCACGGATGCGCTAAGAGGGAGCGTGACCATGAGTCGGCGGGCAGATATTCCTCGTATGCGGGCTATAAGATCCTTACGTCTCGGACATGAGTTTCCTGTGAGAGCTGTAACTCAATCTCAAGGAGATCGATCTCCATGATATGTCAGGGTCCGGCTGAGACAATTTTAACTGAAGGGGATGGTTGTGTCGTTGAGCGTCGCTCACGATTTTTCCGAGGCTAACACAACTTGTGTTATCCAGAATATCAGCGCGACGTTTGGCCCAGTGACCGGGCGCTGAATCTTACTGAAAATAGCATACCGGATCACGCGGGATGGCCAATACAATCGCTTCGGGCGGCCAGCTGTGTGAGTTCCTGTGGGCGAAGCAACCAGATTATATATCGAGCACTCAAACATTTTTCCTGAGGGTGGGTGTGGTACGCATATGAAGCCTCGGTAGGAGAAAATACACATCTGCGGTTCATCACTGGAAGCGGTGACGGTTTATATTGTAGGATCCCCTTCGTCTGTATATAATGCAAAGCGGCTGGTGTCCTGTTTTACTATACTACTACTGCCACATCGGGATGCTCAGCTGCTGGAGGCTTGGTCAGGCCTCTTAATGAAGATCAGCCGGAATGAGGGATAAAAATCCACCATCCCAAAGTCAAGGGGACGGAAGATTTTTTTTCGGAAGGGCCCGAAGCGGATAACATGGCATCGCCACAGAAACAAACCCCTTGTCTCAGCACTGGCTCACAGTCCAGGATCACCTCGCACTCACCTTTGGTTTCCCCTAATAACCCCCTCAGGAAAGTTCACTCTAAAACTGCTGATATTCATTCACCTAACCTAAGAATGAACATTCCGTGTCCCCCTCCCGTAACCTCTCTCACGAACCATCTAGGCTTAGGGGAGGGCACCGACTTACACTTGGGACACTCAGATGCTGAACCCTCTGCACTTCCTCCATCGGCACTCTCACCTGCCGCCCTTTTCCTTGCCTCTTTCTCTCCTCCAAGTCTCCACGACGTTGCTTTTCTAACCTCTCCACAAAATGAAGAGGGAAATATGTCCTCCCTTTCCCCAGCCGCTCAGTTCCTAGCATCATATTCCTCGCCTCCACCCCCTGCGACGCTTGGCCCCAAACAACTCCTGCATAATCACGGCTATAGTCTTGGCCGTCATCTTGGTACCGGTGGATTTGCGTCTGTGTATGAAGCGGTTTCGCATGCCACAGGGGCGGCGGTCGCAGTCAAGATTGTTAATAGGATTTCCCTCGGTTTCTCCTCCCCGCACGCGCTGTTGCGGTTGGGGAAAGAAGAGAAGATATGGAGCAGCCTTAATCACGAGCACATTCTTCCGCTATACTCAACACACCACACCTTTGATACGTCCTTATTCTTCATGCTACTCTGTCCCGAAGGCAACTTGTTGCAGATTCTGTCGAGGGAGCAAGAAAGCTATGGGAAGGGCCTTGAGCATGATGTAGTGCGGACATTGTTCCAGAAGATTATACGTGGTGTGAGGTATCTCCATGAAACGATGCGGATCGTGCATGGGGACCTGAAGCTTGAGAACATCTTGGTTGATGATAGCGGGATGCCACGCATCACCGACTTTGGATTGGCGTCATACATTGAGGATGATGAATCTTCCTATCAATCGGCCGGCGAACATCCAGAAGCCGAAACCGATTCAGTACGCTCACATCCCTCGATCCGCCGTCCGGATGCACCACACTTTCGTCACACCAGCGTCAACACTCCTCATGAGGCTGTCGAGGTTGATGACGGCTACGGGATGGCAGGCTCTTTGCACTACGCCGCGCCAGAAATTCTACGGCCATCGGCGTCTGCATCACGACGCAAGTTGTATCCCAGCCAGGATGTGTGGGCTCTAGGATGTATTCTCCATGCGCTCCTCTCTGGAACCCTCCCGTTCACGGATGCGTTTGAGCCCCGCCTAGTGATGAAGATAGTAAATGGGGACTGGGAAAGGGACAGTACTACAGTGGTCGAAGATAGGATTGTTTTGAGAGGCTGTTTTGCCTTGAATCCTGACGACCGCTGGTCGATTTCAAAGTTGGACGAGAACTCACATCAGATTGGGGTTTCGGAGTACCAAAAGTTACGGGATTGTCGCCGATCTCCCCCAACTGCTTTGCATTCGACGTCTCGATCCCGCTCACGCTCACGCTTTAAGCACGCTACGCCCTACACCGTGTCGGAAGGAGCGGAACATGAGGGAAATTCTGGCTACGAAGTGTCGACTTTGGCTAGCGAGCCGAATTTCCGGCGTGCGCGGTCCACATCGCGTTCTCGGATGAGGCGCCGGGTGAGTCTCCCATATGGGAAAGGCGACCCTCGAGGGGTGAACTCGTTCGATGGAAGTTCTAGCCGCATCAGTACCGAACGGAGATTGCTCACAGCTTCGCGTTCCTTGTCATCGGACTCGTACTCTCTATCTGCACTGGGCTCCGATGACGCCACAAGGACCCCACCTGATGACGGCGACCTATTCGTTTTCGAGCGGCATCCTAGGAGTGACAAGCGGTCCAAGTCGAGTGTCGCTAACCGGCGCGGGCTCCAAGCCCGCGCCTATCGATCAACCTCTCGCAATTCACGAGATCTAATTCCTCGACGTTCAAGGAGCAGAGGTCGCGCTTCTGCACGTGATTTCTCTGAGGGAGGAACCTTCCTTGACACTCGGATCCACAACCGTGAGCTATCCGAACACGGTGGTCTATCCACGGCGATGTACATCCGGGGACTGCAGCTAGAGTCCACATTGAATGATTCGAAGGAAATTGGGTAAAAAGGGTGTGTTGATTTTGCAGGGGGTCAGAATTGTTTTAGACCTCCCATATTCCAACTTGCTCGGTATTTTGAAAGGACTGGACATTCAGAAAGTATGCATAATCACAGATTGATATATTGGGGTGTATATTCCCGCCACCCCCTGCGGGTCTTGCAAATCTCTCGGACCAGAAATACATTCACCTCAAAACCCCTTACCTCCACTTGTCCATCCCTGCGCACGCAAATGGATCTTGCTCCTCCACTAGGTTTGTGCGTATTGCCCTCTTTTGTCTCTTTCTGAGGCCTCGATGGCTTTTGACTCCCGCCATATTGAGTATCCTCATATGATGACTTGCGATGCTGTAATTCATGGCATTTCTGTAAATATTTTGTCCATAATTCATGTTCGTGAACGTTTGCTTGGTCATACGTTAGAGTGGCCTAAAATATATCTAGGTGACATCGAGTTTGGGAGAACGAGACGGGATTGCCTTGCGCGAACCAAAACCCCAACTTGCAAACAGTCTGTGCAGCCAAATGAAAGCACCGTTCCACCAGTTATTAACGCACGGCGTCGACACTTAACAGGCGGGCGCAAAATGGATAAAACTCGGGCGGTTTCCGGTACGTGAATACAACATGATTCCGGACGGCCACTCGAAGGTGTCCCGAATCTCTTTCCCTCTTCCAGGTTTAAAGCTCGTACCAAAGCACCGACTCGGTGATATGGAGTGTCTATCAAGGACGGTGAAATGACTCGAACACTAGATAATGGCAAATATTCGCCGTCACGCTTGAGCCACCTCTGCATGAAGACAAGTGATACTTTGGGGGTCAGCAAATGAAGGGAGACGTCTGAGGTAATGTTGTAACCACGTGATACAAAAAAAATGGCCGTCATCCTCATGCAAAAACAATTCCTCTTGACAGTACAACCATGTTTCAAGTATTACCATAATTATTACTTAATAATGATATTGAGATACCGCACAGGATGTGAGCCCATTTTGAAGCGGTTTTATGGATGATTATGGAATATCACAAAATGTGCGGGATCTTCTTGAGCTTTTCTCATGCACCAGGAAGAATTTCGGAAATCCACTAGGCCGAAACCTGCATTCGCACCTATAGAGCAATCTCGCAAAGTTTGAGCCCAATCGGAAAAGAGGAAAGGTACATTCTGTGACTTGGAAGCCACAATGGATGTAGTAGGCCCAAGCTCCATATAATATATAGTTGTGCCAAGGTAATAACTGAGCAAAGAGTCAGTCCAATGCTATTTTAGCATTCCATCGAAGTTTGATGGGTTCATATGTAGTTATCATTGAGTTATAAAGCAATATGTTAAAATGCGATTTTATGTATGATGAATAACTTTTGATTGAGGAAGAATTTCCAAAATCCGGTAGGCCAAAATATAAACAGACGATACATCTACAATCATGCCAAAAATCAAGCAAAAAGAAGAGGATTGAAGGTACATTTGGGGTGCATCTTTCCAAAATGTCGGGATAGGCGCAAAAAGGAATCACGTGCCGGGGTTTACCGACGTCGCCTGGCCCAACCTGGGATCTCTTGGCATCTAACCTTCAGTCTTATTGGCTTATTAATTTGGGGGCAGACACCCACACCCACTTCCTAGTCTCCCAAATGCCAAGGGATAGAACTTCTTGGACGTATTCCAGGAAAAAGATCACCTCCCCCCAAACCCGACAATTTACTAGAGCTCGGGCTCATATGACTGGCCATGCTGAACAACAGTCAGCAAGGGGGACCCATAGATACAAGGAGAATTTATGGCGACGCGGAATGACAGTGTTTAGCCCAACCACGGTTTCATAAATAAAAAATCCATCTAATTACTCACCTCCACATGTAGATAACTTCCGACCTTCACATCATTGTCATTTACACAAATTCTAGATAGTTTGCAACCTAAAGATGATGTGTTTTGAGTGGGAGGATGGCACGGCCAGAATCGAGACGCATTTTGCTTATGTAAGTGTCACAAGGTCGCAACGTTGGTTGCCGACCCCCAGATACTTGATCTGTCGTACCACGGCAACTTCCAACCGATGATAACACGTGACTTTCAGATGCTCCTGCAAGTGGACCGGTAGCTCGCTCGCATATCTGCAACCCGAGAGTTCCAAGTGAGGGCTTGCCGCAAGAGGGCATTCTATGCACGCTCAACTGTTCCGGGGATGTTGGGGTTCGCATCGATTGGTTCGCTCACCAGATGCAGCGGATTCAAACTGCAGATTCTGCAGATTGCAAGCTTTTTCTGCATTGCAAATTTGTTCGCTATCCAAAGTCATAAGCGAATGATTCGCTCCGAGTATGATAACAGAGAACAATGCAAGTGGTTTAGGATGCCGGTGGGAGAGCAGGGGTTACCGAAGAGGAGCTCAATAACGTTTCACCAATACCTCACGTCGTGTACAATGTTCAAACCTGGAGTTGATCCTGGAAACAGCGTGTAAATGAATATCACCCTGGGACCTGCCACTTGGGATGGTGAGAAGAACGCGTTCTGTGTGAAGCCCCACCTTGGTCAAAACGGTGCATTCCGTTTCGTGAGATTCAACGTGCAAGCCTCTGGTCGTAAGCAGTCCTAGCTGGCAAAATGAGACTCAACGTCAGACCGTCGTTTGCAGCATTGAACCGTCATGGACGCTACGCCTTCCGCGAACCTGCCATGGATGTTGACCATCTTGTCGTTGGGTAAGTCTACTCTTCAGCACCACGAGGTCCCTGATCCCTACCCGGGGAACGTATTAGCGGAGGTGTAGTTGGCCTGGCAATAGCTGCCGAGCTCGTGAAAATGTATCCACATCGATCCACAATAGTGGTAGAACGGCACTCGCAGGCGGGGCAGGAGATAAGGCAAGTGTGTTGTAGTTTTTTTGGTGTGTTTTTTTTTTGGCGTTAGCTTTTCTCTTCAGCTCGCGGAATTCTGAAGTTATACATGCTGGTGAATAAGCGGTCTGCTCGTGAAAGTGTTCTACGGTTCCTAGTACTCCGAATTCTTTAGGTCTTTACTACCCTCCCACATCCCTGAAAACCCGGCGCTGCCTTCGGGGTCGTCAATTACTCTATGAGTATTGCACCTTGCATTCGGTTCCCCACAAGCGCATTGGAAAGCTCATTGTCGGCCACCAACATCAAGTTCAGGACTTGAAGGCTCTCCATGAACATGCTCAGAGTGTATGGAGAGCCGCATGGGCCCCAGAAGGGCCTAATGATTACACTGCAATTCAGGTTGAGGACCTGACTCCCCCAACTCGGTATCTAAGCGAAGCTGAAGCACATGAACTGGAGCCGGATCTAGGGCCTGCCATTAAGGGGGCAGTGCTAAGCAGTTCAACTGGGATTGTCGATTCGCATGCCCTTCTCCAATCTCTAGAGCGTGACATTCAAAACTCTGGAGTTGGTATTGTTGCATACGCTACGCGTGTTGTCCGCGTCGATCCTGCCAAAGATGGTTGGGTTGTTCAGGCCCGCTCAAGTAACGGACCAAACACGGATTCCATTCGTGCTCGCACGCTCATCAACGCATCGGGATTGTCTGCTAACCTTATCCCGAATAGCCTAAGGGATGGAAACTCGCGGATTCCGATGTACTTTGCCAGAGGGTCATATGCAGCATACAGTAGTAAAGTGGGCGTCTCGAAGATTTCCAGACTATTGTACCCCGTGCCCGAGGCAGCACACACCTTCGCGTCATTAGGAACACACCTCACGATTGATATGGCGGGTAGTATACGCTTTGGCCCCGATTTAGAATGGGTAGACGCTCAGGATGACGCGGATGAAGATGAAGGGACGTGGTGGGAATCGTTGCTCGAATGCGAGCTGACAGAGGAGCGTCGCGAGGAAATGCATCAAGCTATTACCCAGTACCTTCCAGGAGTGAAACAAGAGGGTCTTCGTGAGGATTATTGTGGAATTCGCCCGAAACTGGTGGGCCCAGGAGCCGGGTTCCAAGATTTTGTGATTCAAGTGGATAGTGTGTCCGATTATGGGATGCTGGGCAATGCTACCATGATTACTTTGCTTGGTAAGAGTTAACATTTCCAATCACCCCTTTCTCGCAGCGGCACGAGGAAGCCACAAACTTGTGCCCCTGCAAGTGTGTGTAGGACAGGTGACCTGACGATGCATCCTCTTCCATCACTAGGGATCGAAAGTCCTGGACTGACCAGCTGCATGAGTTTAGCCGAACATGTCGCTTGGGTGGTTCAGGGTGCCGAGAGCCGTATCAATGTGGGAAAATGAAGTGGCCGATTGGAGTGTAGTATACTTAGTGGGGAAGTGGCCGGACACTGACCACGAGAAATTGAAGGCCCGATTTGACAGCACGAGTCCGTGGTTCTTTTGACAAATGCTCAAGGTTTTTATATATGCCAAACGGCCGGGCTCATGTACTGTAAGCAACCCGTGAAATGAGATGAGGACCGTAGTTTGCATGAATTACTTAATGTATTAGCGGTGGGATCGCCCACGAAGTATGGGGAAAACACTGCCACAGCCTCATCGTTCCTGGTAATTCCCTGGTCTGCGAATGTTTGGGCATAGACATAAGTCGAAATTCATCTGTTTATTATTCGGGTCATTTTTTCCCCCGTTTGAAATTCATAATTTCAATGCATTGCCGCTTCCCCCGATGTCAATAACTACAAATAATTCTCATGCATATCAGCTCCTCACATTTCGTCCTTTCGACCGGCTATGCCGCTGTCGCTGGAACTACTCGCTTCTCCTCTTCGTGGTATAGTTATTAATACTTCTCCATGTTCTTTGCCTGTATTGGCGGCCAACTTCATCAGTGACCTCGATAAATACACGCCCTGAGCTACCTCGCGTTCATGCCCACTTCCCTCCTGTAGTTGCATTTCGACAGTCACAGGACGTATAGACGCTTCTCAGTGTTTTTTGTGCCTGCCATTTTGTCTGGTTTATGCATGGGCTTGTTTTCGATGCCCTGCAGCACAGAAACCGCCGACTGTGTCGGACATACATGTGAGTAGTCTGCTTCTTTTTGTATTCTGTGGCATGGTCTTCCTGACTACGTGTTGTTATCTTCGGTCTCGTTTCCCCATGTAGGGGACCCTTCACCTGCGGTCTTTCTCCATCTACCCTACTATCATTGTGACAGGTGTGTGTTACTTCCATCAGCTGCGAAACAGCCGGAAATAGAGTGTTTCGCTAGCGATCCTTCTGTTCCTTCATCACCGAGTCGTTTCGTTGATCCGACTCGCGCGCGCCTGGACACTATACCCGACCGTGCCTCGCCCGTAACCATATCTTTCGATACTCCTCAAATTCCTTTTTCCCCGACCCGCAATACAAGGCATCGCTCAAGCCTTCCAGCGTTTCGCCCACAGCGCGTCGCCATCAAATCCAAACGGTCCCATCATCGGAGGGTTTCACGCTCCTTCCACTGGCCACACCCCAATTTCCCCGTCTCACGCCGTCGCGTCCTATTGGACAGATTTTCGAATGTTTTCACGCGGCTCCCTTCCTCTCTTCGTCATCCCAGTCATCGCGGTCTCCCTCCCCCTGTTTTGAGAGAGATCCAGTCCAACATATCCATGACCACCCCCATCAGTGCCTCGCGATCCTCTGCTCAGAGATTGCCTAAAAATGTCGTGGCAATCAATTCACCTCATTCTACCCCACTTCATATCACAACGCCCACAACAACATGCACCTCCACTCCACACGGTGATCCAGGTGATTCGCCTGCCCTTGTGCCCCCCATCCGTCTTGCCACTCTCGTGGAACTTGACCTCGAATCGATTTTGAGCAATGTTCAGCTAAGTGTGTATGGCGGTTTGCTTATCATCTTGGCGAGCTGCTGATTTTCCGTCAGGACACGATCTTTTGTTTGACCCTGGCTTGCAATTCAGGCCCACCATTGGACGTCGGAAGCGTGAAGCGGCTAATAGATACTGGACAGCAGTACAACGAGAGCTTGAGATTGGCTGCACATGCACCTCATTTGATCATTTGGGACTCGTGCTTCCTTGTTCGTGTCACTCAAATAGTGCCCCCTCTTCTACTCTTCTGCAGCCAGGATCAATGGCCCATATTCCTTTCTCCAAAAGCCCAGGGGCTTCAAGGATGCCTGCTCTAATTGAGGAGTTGCGCGAGATATTGTTGACTGTAATGACACCAAGTCCTATCCCTTTACCCGATATTTTAAATTTGGATGTCGCCAGCGACGATGCCTTCAGCGATCTTTTAATAACGCCATTAGGTGTCACCAGCAAGCTAGTCGTAAAACAAGCCAGAAGCTCCGCAACAAATACTCCACCAGCCCTTGCAACAAACCCGCCACCCAACCAAAAAAGTGGGAAATCATTGTCCTGCTTTCCAATCATTTACCCAGCATTGTCGCCGCGCACCTCTCATCAACATCGTCAGGTCCGTGCCATGCTTGATGTGCCGTTAGTGTTGCAGCAGATCCAGCACGGTGTTTTCGATCCAGTACAGCTTCTTTCGTCAATAGGGCGTCTGCTGAAGTTTCATTGCGCCCCTATTCGCGATGGCATTGTGAATGATATGATGGTGTTAGCTGAGAGATCACGGAATGCTGGGAAAAACGGGAAACTAGATTTAGGCATTGCGGTACAGGCCATTCGGCGTTGCTTTGATGTATTGGAGCTTATGCGATTGGTATGTGACTGGCCTCGAGCAAAATTTTATCAAATGCTGAACTGGGGATCCCCCTAGGATATCGCAAATCATCAATTGCAAACGCTTCGTCCTTACTTAATGAAGTCGGCTGCTCAGACGGAGTTGGCCGCTGTGCTTCAGCTGCAACAGCGTGGCTCAATGTCTTTGCAGGATACGCGATCTTGGATCAGCAAGCACCTTTTATCGATTTCACCCTCGATCGACCACCCTGATTGTTCCAAGCGGAGATCACTTGTCTTCGAAGCCGTTGCAGAAGGCATAGTTGATCTAGTGTTTTCTCCTCCGGCCTTTTCTCCCTCTACCATCGCATCCTTCTCTCGCCAGATCTTCCTCCCTCCTTCCCAGCAACCCAGCGAACCTCCTCCATCTTTATTCTGTCACCAACAACCACAGCAAGCACCAAGTTCTGCGGCATCTGGCTATCCGGAGACATTGTGGTTAGATCAGACGAGACTCGGTATCTTAAGCGCGGATGCTGCCGATCTCTCGGTGTTGTACATGCTCATACTGCTTTTCCGACAAGTGGTGCATTCTGTCAAACCATCTTCCTCTTCTCCGCATATTCAAGCCTGGGAATTAGACCGCCTCAAGAAGGAAATTTGGGAACTTGGGCCAGAACGGCCCGGCTGGCGGTTCTTTAGGGGCGGGATTGGTGCGATTCACAAGCCCACTCAGGAACAGGAGACCAGATGGGAATGCTCGATGCGTGATGTTACTCTGCAAATTGGGAGAAGAGCTGTCGAGATAGCCTCCAAAACGAAACCCTTGGAGGAGTCGGCGACTTTAACAAGCGATCATGGCGTTCGATCAACGAAGGTTCCCCTGAGTCCCTCCCTTCTTTTGCTGTTGGAGGGATGGGTCGAGACTAATTTGCATACGGGTTCCTCTCTTCGCGTCTTGACGCACAATAGGCTTCGGGCAGCCATTTTACAATTCGTGCGAGCGTCAACTTGTCACAGGGCAGACGTCTCTGGTCAAACGCCGATGGAACCCATTGTTCCTCCCGGCGTTGGTTTGGAGCCTCTCATTCCGGAAATTCGACACCTGAGCGAGCGCATAGGCAGTCTTGTGCTATTCCATTGCCAAGTGTTTGGGCGGGTCTACGAAGACCCTGATTTCATGGTTCCCTGTTGACATATTTATTTTGCTTCGTTAACCTAGCTTTGGCGTGTCATTTCTTGCGCCTTCGCCCACTTGATTGAGCCAATATGAGGCTTCATTTGAGAACAGGATGAGATACCACTTTGTGACCAGCTGTTAGGCATGAATTGAATGATCCTGCAAGTAGATCGAAAGTTGCTTCAGGCAAAACGTCAAAACGTCATGGACGGCACGTGGTTCAAAATGGCAATTACCAAGAGGTCAAACGATGCATCGCGCGAACCTTGACAGCAATCAGTCGACTCATCTCGATGCGACTGGCTCGGGTGCCCACTCTGTCCTTCCAGCTCCCCAGCCAACTGTTCACATCGATGATCATTCCTGTGTCATACGTCAGTTCATTGGCCCCATGCCTTTTCGTGTCGCAGCCCCCCAAATTCGCAAAACGCGTCAAGTGATCTCCGAGGTTGCTCGGAACGACCAAGCTAATGCGGATGATAGCATTTCTGATGAAAGACTCTGGCATGTTATCCAAAGAGTTATTCCCCACTCCAGCCGGAACCGCGGCATGAATCCTAGCCGCCAGGAAGAGCTTCTTCGTAAATTCAAGCAAAGCGCCTGGTCGGGGATGCCTGAAATGATTCGAAAAAGGAAACAAAGTGTCTGGACTCGTAAGGCGAACATCAAATGGGTCGGGGATTCTTTTCAAATTGGCGAGGACATTTTTGGGGAAAATGTTTTGCCTTCCTTGGACTCTCATCTAGTCGACTCTCCCTTACAGAGCTTCGATGAGGACACATTCCCGGCTGTTGAAACGCCAACTTCAGGCCGGAGGCAAACAGACGACAGCGCGTCCTTTCATTCCGCTTACTCGATCTCAAATGGACATGCTGTGTCCTCTTCACCGTTTCATAGCGAAAATGGCGATGGATCCCTCCATGACGAAATCAACACCACCCAGCTAAGTGATGAGGCCCAAACTCAACCCACGACGTCAGATACGGCTCTGCTGCGTCAACAAACCACTCTCGCAGACTTAGGTCGATCGGGGGATGCCTCCGAGAATCCTGATCGAACCGATTTTAATGATCCTCAACGCCCTTCTACTTTGAGATCGGCATTCCAGCGTCCTTTCACTACGTCAGCAAAGAAAAATGGCCGCAGCGTAAATTTTGCGAACAATCAAAGCGATGGCCTCGAATCATCGCCTGCCCCTCCGGTGGATGTATCATCTGGGACAGGGGCCCATAGACAACTCACAGGCACAAGTACTACTATTCCTGATCAAGAGCAATCCCAACCTTCCTCCGAGCTTTTGTTGCAAGGTAATGCAGTGCTCTCTCCGGGGCAGTCTTAATGGTGACACGGTCTCCTAGACCGAATGATGGTAAAAATTTGTACCAGCGCATCCAGTCTTCCGAATCCGTTCGATGAGATATGTGCCCGCCGACACCCAGAAGTGAATGAACAGGTACATTCGGGCAGCAGAACGGATTTGGCTATTAGTTAATGTACATGATGAAAAGGAATGGGGTGAATATCTCGTTTGCTGGAATAAGGATCGTATCGAGTTGTATGAAGACTATGTAAGTACTTCAAGAGGGTTTCCTCCCGCAAGCAGGCTCTTGAAGGATTTCCAGGTAATTCCAGGAAAGGAGTGGCTGCTCGGTCGTAAACATTTAGCACACTCAATCCCTCGGCTTCGCGTAGCTACTCGCCTCTCAGTCTTCTCCTACGTCGATATGAGCTTCTCTCTTGTTTGTGCAGCAGAAGGTGATAACAAGCTTCTCAAATCTCACCGGACCACCGTATTTGTCATGAGGGTGCGAAATACTCTTATGGCTTCTTAACCGCGGTGGTGCTGATAAATTAGCAGTGCTCCACACGATCGCGATCTATAGATTGGATATGGTCCCTTTGGTTGGTCAAATTACCCGGCAAGCAGTTAATCGTTAACCTCTCATATCCTACTCAGGCGATTCCTGGGGGGAGTATTCCCGGCCCAGCTGGATGTTCATGTCCCAGTATTGGGTACTAAAATCTCACTGGATGTGCCCAGATATGACATTGTGGAGGACCGTGAAGGCTTTCGGAACCTAACTCCCGATAGAATCATTGAACTATGCGAGGATGCCCTCCGGAATATTTCATCGTATTCTGACTTGATGAATGCTGGAATGAAACGTGGCGCACGTCTGGCACTCGCGTGGAGGCATGGGATGAATCTGGAATGGGCATGGCTAAAGGAGGACATTCATGGTCGGCTGCGAGACTGGGCAGGTATTTTTGGCTGGGCTCTACAGCAGGTGATTTCCAACTGTATTTCAGGCTTGGCATACATTGACCCGTTTTCCCTTCCCAAAAAGCGTGGCTCTTCGGTACAGCTGGAGCTACGGCTTGCGTCTCACTCGCAGTCCAAGTTGAAATTGACGAGTGGTTCCATGATCCATGAGCCTGATGCCATCGAGGGCTACTTGTACCAAATTCGGCCAAACAGCCAAAGTCGGACTGCTGTCTACGTTTCCACGCACAGTGGCAACCTCTTCACCATGACACACTGGCATGCTTTTCCACCTTCAGTCCCCGAGCTGCGTCCTAACACAGGCGGCATGAATCGGCCGAGAGCTCAAAATGAATTGCGCCGCGGCTCAGATCAAGTCCTCCATGCCAACGGCTTTCTCGATCTCAGGGACATACTCTCCGTGCGCAAGGCGCTTGCTCCGCTGGCCCCAAGTCAGAAGATCGCAACATTGGATCCTTCGGAGCTCGGTGGTCCCATCCTTGTGGATGTGGACCACGACGATGACTTGAGAGATGTATTTGGTCAAGATGCGACGGGTATCGTGGAGGATGAATTATCGGGGCAGGAGGATGAAACGGTGAGAATGAAGAAATCCTTTGAAATAGTGATGCGGACGGGTGCAGTGATCAGATTCGAGGTATGCCAGTTGACAGCGGGCTTCCTGATACCTAAATTAATTTCTGATGTAGACTCACTCCATCCGCAACGGTGTGTGAAGTTTCGGGGCCCATCTCTCTTTACTTACAGTTGCCGAACTCAGCCCACGAGTGGATCACGAGGCTGAGGACCCTAGTTCGTTATTGGGCCCATCATCACCGACAGAATGCTCGAACTGAGATGGATTTGGAACATTTCAATGCTGGAAAGCCGCGCTTTGAGAAAATCAAAAGATCACGGCCACAGGCTTCTCGGATCTATTCGGGCACATTGCCAGACGTTCAGGAGGTGTCGCGTAGGCTGAGCACTTTCTGGTCCTGGTGTGTTCTCGCTCCTTGCCGGCCTTTGATCAAATCCGGAAAACTGTTCGCAAAGACAAAGCCCCGTGCACACTACAAGTGAGCACCGAATACTCAATCTGACAGTGAGGGCTTTGCTAAATTGGGTCTTGGTTGAGGCATACCTTCATGACTCTCACCGCTGGTCACATTGCAACATTCAGCATCACAGCTGCCCAATCCTGTTTCCACCAACGTTCAAGAGTCATCAATTTGGTAAATTCATACGTATATTCGGGTTTGTTCGCTGCTTCGGATGCCACGCCACGCATCGACGATGCTTTCTCGCCCCGACTGTACCAGGATGGGCTCGAGTCTGATGATTCGGATGTCGACACCATATTCGTAGTTCGGTCTGTGATGTTCAGTATCCAGAGTCGGGACCTTGCTGACATGAATGCGTAGTTATCATTTGTACCACGGTGAACCGCAGCCACGGGGCGGACCCCACGCAGCAGAACGTAGCAGCTTTGGGCCTCCACCGCCACCAAGGTCACTACATCTACTAAGTTGGGCACAAAGCCTAAATTCCTTATACTTAAAGCAAGAAGCACTTTGGAGAGGGATGCATGGTGCTGGGCGATAAATACTGAAGTAGAACGCATCGAAAGGAGCAGAAATGAGGTCTCCTGAGCCTAAGGAGTCAGATCTCGACAGCAAATGATTTCATGGTGGCAGTTGGGACTGTCGAGTATGATTACAAGGCATGGGCTGTATTCATCATTCGGCAATGAATTATCAGCCAATCTTCGCCAACAAAAGCACAAGTTATTATGCGGGTGAAGCTGATTTTGGTTTTTTTGCTGATATGACCAAGAAGCATGTTTGAATCGGCACCCTATTGGCGTTTGATAAGGAGACTTACTCCCATATTTACTGCGTGATATAACCCGGCCAGCGACAGCACCGAAATCAAGCGCACCACGAACAAGCTTATATCTTGATTGACGCGAGTAAGAATCACCAATGAACATCACCGAACAGAAGACATGCCTGAGACCAGGAAGATCCTGAGTTCGGCCCCCTCTGACGAGCACAACACTATGTTCTTGAAGGTTGTGTCCCTCACCAGGAATGTACGCAAGCACATTCTTTCCTGTCGTCAGCTTGACTCTCGCGACTTTCCGTTCGGCAGAATTGGGTTTCTTTGGTTTCATGGTCATTACAGCGAGTGTCACGCCTTTCCGCTGATAGCAGTTTTCTAAGGCTGGCGATTTAGACCGATTTAAGAACTTTTTGCGTGCCCCCCGCATAACCTGGTTTAGTGTAGCAGATAATGGCAGAGAGGACGAAAAAAAGCGAAAAGAAGGCACAAATGGATGGAACAATATGCTCGCTGGCAATGTTTGTCGAAAGAAGGAGAGTCGCAACATCTCGGAGGTTGTGTGACAACCTTGCAGGTTCGTGGGAATTTTGAACAATCACATGACCATCATCGGGCGCTTTACATCTCAATCGACGATCCCCATGCGGGGTAGGATAAATATCAATATCCCAAACGACGTTGTAGCTTTAGCACACATACAGCATAGACTCCCACCCTGATAACACAACCCAGAGCATCCCGTCAACCCAACCATACCAACCTGTAACCCTGATCCTGTATAAGTAGTCGATCCCCTCATGTACGCCCAGATGCAATGAGCCGGCCCCAATCGACAAATGTCTCATCTTCCTTCCTCTTGTTATCCTTTGTATATAGCCTTTTCTACTTTAATTGATTTACTCGCACGTACATAGTCATATGTCCTCCTCATGCCGTGCCACTATCTCCGTCTTTTGGTGACCCCGAGTATCTCTTCTGTTTTATCTGATATTCCGATAATAACCACAACAGTCCCTAAGCGACTTCTCAAATACAACACGTCGAGGGTGCCGCGCACCCAACCTTTGTGATATTTCCTCATCTCATAATCTTGAACTTGGACCATTGCACGAACACACTTCATATCTTTCCATCATTTCGAGACGACAGGCAGGGATTGATACTTCAAAATGATTTCGTCCATCCGTCCACGAATAAACTCTTCCGGGCAAAAAGACGGATCACAACGTACAGAAAAAACAGATGTACAAATTCAAGATGTGTATCAATCGAAATAACAATTTCTCGTCCCAGCCGTTATGCCAGTCTTCAGAACTCTGGTCGTTACGGTTTTGTGCCCGCAGACTGTTGGGATGAATGGGTCCCTGAGTTACTGTCATTCACCTTAATCGCAGAATCGCAGTCATTCAAGACGCCGTAGATCCTCCCATCTCTCTCGAGATACATGATATTATTGAGACAGACGTCGCCGTGGACGACATGTGCAACATCGTGGAGCCAATGAAGATCTGATATGAGATGGTTACTGGATGGGAAAGAACCCCCCAATGACAACTTACATGTCAGGATATCATGATAGACCGACGCCACCTCGTGTGGGTTGGGTAGCGGGAAGGTTCCTCTTGGCAGTCATTCTCGCAACACGCTTATGCTCGCGGCAGGAGCCAAGTCAAAGGAGGTGTTTCCTTCTTATGTGGTGCACCAGAGGTGGCCCGTTGAACAGGGAGGCGGCAGCACCCGACTCCGCGAGCAGCCCGTGATCCTTGTGCACACAACACCAGTCTCTGCGCTTCAAGCCCATGAGCATTGCGGAACTTTCAACTGAAACCTTGACTCATGTGCTCAGCAAGCTTGAATACTTCGAAATATTAAAAGCCCGAAGGGTGTGCAATCAGTGGAAGCAAATTATTGACAGTTCATTGCTGTTGCAATATTTGACGGAGTTGGGATGCCATGGCAAAGTGGAGGGCTGTTCGGCCAAGTTGACCACTGCTGAGAAGCTACAGCGGCTCCTATTGCACGAGCATCGATGGATTAGCTTAGAACCCCGCAGCGTGTGCGAGATAGAACCCCCGTCAGACGACATCTACGAATTCGCATGCTCAGTAGTCGGGGCAGGAAGGAGATGCTCTCCTATGGACCTATTTTTTGCGGAGGCAAGTGGTTGGTCGCGCCCCATCTGGCATGTGGTAACAACCCCCAGCTTCCTTCAGCCGTCAATGGCACGCCATTAAGAACGTGGACGCACCAAGATTCCTCTTTGTTACTTCGCGATTTTACAATGGATCCGAGTCAGGATTTACTTGTTCTGCTAACATACAGCAGCCGCAATGCGTACGCTTTCATAGGTTTGGACGCTTTGTGTAAAGCAACTGACCTCTACGCATGATCCCACAGCGGCTCGAGATTTGAATGGAATATTCGTCTTCATTCGTTATCTACCAACAAGGCACATAGCCGGGCAAAAAATCCAATATTTCCCCTGAAACTTGCGATTATGCCTGGGGGATCATTTTATATTCAAGTGTTTGGAGAGACTCTTGCACTCCTAGAGCCAAACTTGACATCGCATATCTTGACTGTTCGGAACTGGACGAGCGGCACGCTCTTGCTGGTGAGATTATCTAGGAGCTACTTTAGCGATAATTCTGACTGCGAGATTAAAGAATTGGGAAATTCCTGATACACCCTTGCTCTGTTGTGGCATTCAGTTCCTCTCGAATGACACTGTCATTTTGCCAATGCTCCCAGATATTGGTGACAACCTCCCGGCGAGGCTAGATATATACACACTTATAGCCGTGAACCCTCATTGGAAAACGCAGACGAAGGGTTATTAGTTCCGTCCCTCTCATGTAGCCTCCTTTTTGACAACGGCATCATGTTATTGAGCCTGAAGCTTGGCAGCCGGCCCTATGCATCACTCTCTGCGTCCATTGTTGGCTGTGGTTCGTCTAAGCTATTCCGCCATAATGGGGACCAAATTGTTATATTGGAGTTGGTGACCGGAGACACTCGCGTGTCCAGTCTTGCAATTTATGCTAGTCAGTTTCTAGCATTTGCGCGAGTGTCTACGTCCGAGGGACGGGCCCGCCGTGCTCCTGGGCTTCCTGCGAATGCAAGTACGATATCTTGGTCAGAATGGTCAGCCAATACGACGAGCGTCCCGACGTCTTGGGGTGGATTGGACGCTTGTTTGGCATATGGGGATCGTTATGTTATCCTAGGCGAGACTCCAGAGGGCATACCTACAATCAGGGTCTTTGATTTTCGCCCCTCCAGAATACAAAGGTTCCGTGGTTCATTGTCAACGGCTTCAGTGACTTCACATAGCCGCCCATGGCCGTCGCCACTCCGATCTCAGGATGGCCCAAATGTAACCACTCGTTTGATGGAGGCGAGGCCGGTTGCTGGGACACCATCGATTTCCACCGAGCTCGAAGCTGCCAATACCGACGACGAACTCGATGGAGGGATATTTCGGCCAGGCAGTTCTCCATCCCATTTTCCGTGCATTGTGCTAGAGCGCCAGTTGGGTAGAAGGCGACATGTCCCAATGAGTGTCATGATAGACGAAGAGAACGTAGTTATCACTTGGGATGTACGTGAATACCACGATATGCCCCTGATTAGAGACACTGACTTACCCAACCCATTCTAGTGCACCCCTGGGAGATTCAAATACGAGATACTCAATTTCTGATTCAGCGTCCCATGCTCGCAAGTGGGGTCCAAGTACCAGTTATCGATCCTCCGGAGTTCATGGCTGGCCATTGCTGGTTTAGTGTCAGTGGAATCCGGCTCTTGGGATACTTCATCGACGGTTGCCCACTCTCAATCATATGGCTAGGGAGGGTTGGTTTAATTCAGTCTTGAAATTCACCCGCGGTGCGACGGAAATAGTGTTCACGAGTTCTTTTCATCCCAGACACCCCGCTATCCATGCGATGCTCCGAATCCCCTGTTCCTTCAGCTTCATGTCGGCAGTACATATCATTGAACTGCTGCGAGAAGGCAGTCTTATACAAATGCACTTCGGGCTCAAAGATTTGCTTATGCTGCAGCAAAAATATGGCAATGTACATATGCTTCTTCCCCGCTGTCCACAAGGATCCGAGGAAACATAGTTCGGTCTTGCCTTAGCTGTACCTTAGTGGAGTGGTCCAAGTGCATGGATGTGTTAAATTTGTAATATTTCCATGATGACGTGAAATTCCTAGTATGATGTGGTCCAGGTAAAAGAATATAACCCCGCAGAGCGACTGATCTTGTATCACCGGCCAGTGTTGAGTATGAACACTTAGCCGATGTTGGAAAGTTATTTCCCCAATAAACAAAGGCTCTTTCTCGATATCGCGTTGCATCATGCAATCGCAAGTCATTGCGTCTGCGTCTTTCACAGTTTTGGGCCCGCTCAACTATCGCAGAGCTCAGTTTTCGAGCTGGTTGGCGGCTGTCCCGCTTGGATTTGTAGGGCTTGCTGTCATCTGCCTCGGCGCTAAGTGCCCAAGATATTCAGAGTGTGGGAATATTTCGGTGGATCGGTTTCTGGTTTCGATTCGATGAGCATTGCGGAACTTTCAACTGAAACCTTGACTCATGTGCTCAGCGAGCTCGAATACTTCGAAATATTGAAGGCCCGAAGGGTGTGCAATCAGTGGAAGCAAATTATTGACAGTTCATTGCTGTTGCAATATTTGACGGAGTTGGGATGCCATGGCAAAGTGGAGGGCTGTTCGGTCAATTTAACCACTGCTGAGAAGCTACAGGAGCTTCTCTTGCACGAGCATCGATGGGTTAACTTAGAACCTCATAGCCTGTGCGAGATAGAACCCCCAATAGACGAAATCTATGAATTCGCATGTTCAGTGATTGGGACAGGACCGAGACGCTCTCCTATGAGCCTATTCTTTGCGGAGGTAAGTGGTCGGCCACGTCCCATCTGGCATCTAGTAACGACCTTTTAGCTTCCTTCAGCGGTTAATAGCACACCATTAAGAACGTGGACACACCAAGATCCCTCTTTGCTACTTCGCGATTTTACAATGGATCCAAGTCAAGATTTACTTGTTCTGCTAACATACAGCAGCCGCAATGCGTAAGCATCTATATGTTTGCGTAAAGTGGCTGATCTCCATGCATGAGCCTATAGGAGCCCAGAATTTGAATGGAGTATTCATCTTCATTCTTTATCTACCAACAAGGCACATAGCCGGGCAAAAAATCCAATACTTCCCATGAAACTTATGATCATGCCTGAGGAATCATTTCGGATTCAAGTGTTTGGAGAGACTCTCGCGCTCCTAGAGCCAGACTTGACGTCACACATCTTGACTGTCTGGGACTGGACGAGTGGCACGCTCTTACTGGTGAGATTATATTCAGGAGTCGCCTTAACAATAATCCTGACGGCGAGGCTGAAGAATTGGGAAATTTCCGATTCGCCCATGCGTTGTCGCGACATTCAGTTCCTCTCAGACGACACCGTCACTTTGCCAATGCTTCCGTACATCAATGAGAACCTTCCGGCGAGGCTAGATATATACACACTTGATAAACAGGAACCTCCTTTGGAAAACGCAGAAAAAGGGATATTAGTCCCGTCCCTCTCATGTAGCCTCCTTTTTCCCGGCAACGGCATTATTTCCCTGAGCCTGAAGCTTGGCAGCCGGCCCTATGCGTCACTTCCCACATTCATCGTTAGCTGTGGTTCCTCTAAGCTATTCAACCATCAAGGAGATCGAATTGTTATCCTGCAGTTGTTGACCAGGACGGATGAGAAAATCCACAAGTGTAGCCTTGCAATTTATGCTAGCCAGCTTCTAGCGTTTGCGCAAGCATCTACATTAAGGGAACGACCCCGTTATGTCCCTGGGCTGCCCGCGAATGCAAGTATATCTCTTGGTCAGAATGGGCAGCCTATACGACAAGCGTCCCGACGTCTCGGAGCAGATTTGATCCTTGTTCGGCATATGGGGACCGTTGCGTTATCCTAGGAAGGACTCCAGAGGGCATATCCACAATCAGGGTCTTTGACTTTCGCCCCTCCAGATTCCGAAGGTTCCAACATTCATTATCAGCGGTTTCAGTGGCTTCACGTAGCTGCCCATGGCCGTCGCCACTCCGGTCTCAGGATAATCCAAATGTGACCACCCGCTTGATGGAGGCGAGGCCGGTTGCTGGGACACCAACAATTTTCACCGAACTCGGAGCTGACGACACCGACGACGAACTTGATGGAGAGATATCTCGGCGAGGCAGTTCTCCATCCCATTTGCCGTACACTGAACTGGAGCGCCAGTTAGGTGAAGCGCAACGTGTCCCACTGAGAGTCATGATAGACGAAGAGAATGTAGTTATCCTTTGGTTGTACGTGGATACCATAATATGCTCATGTTTAGAGACACTGGCTTATTCAATCCATTCTAGTGCAGGAATGGAAGATACAGATACGAAATACTCAATTTCTGATTCAGCGTCCCATGCTCACAAGTGGGGACCAGTACCAGTTATCGATCCTCCGGGTTCCATGGGTTGTACTTAAATATAAATGAATCATGGCTGGCCATTGCTGGCTTAGTATCAATGGAGGGCGTGGCAGGGAAAAACTGAATTCCAGCTCTTGGATACTTCATCGACGGTTGTCCACTCATCATATGGCTGGGAGAGTCGGTTTAATTCAATCTTGACATTCTCTTGCGATGCGATGGAAATAGTGTTCACGAATTCCCTAATTCTTTTCATCGCCAGACACCCCGCTGTCCATGCAATGCTCTAAATCTCCTGTTCCTTCAACTTCATGTAGGTGCGGAAGACAGTACCATTGAATCACCGCGAGAAGGCAGTCTTATTCAAACCTATTTCGGGCTCAAAGACTTGCCCATGCTGCAGCAAAAAACCATGCCAATCTACATGTATTTCTTCCCCGCTGTCCACATGAGGATCCGGGGGAAACAGGATTTGGTCTTGCCTCGGCTGTGCCTTAGCGGAGTGGTCCAATGCATGGGTGTGTTAAAGTTGAAATATTTGCATGGTGACGTGAATTTCCTAGCATGATTGGTCCAGGCAAAAGAATATAACGACTGATCATGTATCACGCACCGTCCAGTGCATGAACGTACGCTTGGCTGGAAAGTTATTTGTCCAATAAAAAGGACCCTTCCTCGATATCATGCCCCCTACAAATCCAAGCGAGACAGCCACCAACCAGCTTGGGAACCGAGCCCTGTGACAGTTAAGCGGGAACACTGACCTGTCGAAGTTGTTCAGTGCGTGGGAATATTCTGCTGCATCAGTTTCTGGTTCGATGAGCATTGCGGAACTTTCAACTGAAACCTTGATTCATGTGCTTAGCGAGCTCGAATACTTCGAAATATTGAAGGCCCGAAGGGTGTGCAATCAGTGGAAGCAAGTTATTGACAGTTCATTGCTGTTGCAATATTTGACGGAGTTGGGATGCCATGGCAAAGTGGAGGGCTGTTCGGCCAATTTAACTACTGCTGAGAAGCTACAGGAGCTTCTCTTGCACGAGCATCGATGGGGAAACTTAGAACCTCATAGTGTGTGCGAGATAGAACCCCCGACAAACCACATCTATGAATTCGCATGTTCAGTGATTGGGACAGGGCCGAGACGCTCTCCTATGAGCCTATTCTTTGCGGAGGTGAGTGGTCGGTCATGTCCCGTCTGGCCTATAATAACAACCTCCTAGCTTCCTTCAGCGGTTCATGGCACTCCAGTAAGAACGTGGACACACCAGGATCCCTCTCTATTACTTCGCGATTTTACAATGGATCCGAGTCAGGATTTACTTGTTCTGCTAACATACAGCAGCCGAAATGCGTACGCATCTATATATTTGTGTAAAGCAGCTGATCTCCATGCATGAGCCTATAGGAGCTCAGAATTTGAATGGAGTATTCATCTTCATTCTTTATCTACCAACAAGGCACATAGCCGGGCAAAAAATCCAATACTTCCCATGAAACTTATGATCATGCCTGAGGAATCGTTTCGGATTCAAGTGTTTGGAGAGACTCTCGCGCTCCTAGAGCCAGACTTGACGTCACACACCTTGACTGTCTGGGACTGGACGAGTGGCACGCTCTTACTGGTGAGATTATATTCAGGAGTCGCCTTAACAATAATCCTGACGGCGAGGCTGAAGAATTGGGAAATTCCCAATTCGCCCATGTGTTGTCGCGACATTCAGTTCCTCTCAGACGACACCGTCATTTTGCCAATGCTTCCGTACATTAATGACAACCTTCCAGCGAGGCTAGATATATACACACTTGATAGACAGGAACCTCCTTTGGAAACGCAGAGAAAGGGATATTAGTCCCGTCCCTCTCATGTAGCCTCCTTTTCCCCGGAAACGGCATTATTTCCCTAACCTGAAGCTTGGCAGCCGGCCTATGCGTCACTTGTCGTTGGCTGTGGTTCGTCTAAGCTATTCAACCATCAAGGAGATCGAATTGTTATACTGGAGTTGTTTACCAGGACGGACGAGGAAATCCACGAGTGTAGCCTTGCAATTTATGCTAGCCAGCTTCTAGCGTTTGCGCGAGCATCTACATCGAAGGAACGGCTCCGTTATGCCTCTGGGCTGCCCGCGAATGCAAGTATTATCTCTTGGTCGGAATGGGCAACCTATACGACAAGCGTCCCGACGTCTCGGGGTGGATCGGATCCTTGTTCGGCATATGGGGACCGTTACGTTATCCTAGGCGAGACTCCAGAGGGCATACCCACAATCAGGGTTCTTGACTTTCGCCCCTCCAGAATCCGAAGGTTCCAACATTCATTATCAGCGGTTTCAGTGGCTTCACATAGCTGCCCATGGCCGTCGCCATTCCAGTCTCAGGATAACCCAAATGTGACCACCCGCTTGATGGAGGCGAGGCCGGTTGCTGGGACACCAACAATTTCACCGAACTCGGAGCTGACGACACCGACGACGAACTTGATGGAGAGATATCTCGGCCAGGCAGTTCTCCATCCCATTTGCCGTACATTGAATCGGAGCGCCAGTTAGGTGATACGCCACATGTCCCACTGAGAGTCATGATAGACGAAGAGAATGTAGTTATCCTTTTGGTTGTACGTGGATACCATAATATGCTCATGTTTAGAGGATACTGGCTTATTCAATCCATTCTAGTGCTGGAATGGAAGACTCAAATACTCAATACTCAATTTCTGATTCAGCGTCCCATGCACGCAAGCAAGGCCCCGCACCGGTTACCCATATTGTTGATTTCCAGACTCCATGGGCTGTACTTGGATCATAGTTTAGTACCAGTGGGGGGATTAGCAGAGCAGAACTGAAATCCGACTCTTTGGATACTTGATATGGTCGCGGAATCTTCAGATTCGCGTACGATGCGATGGAAGCAGTGTTCATTTAGGGGTAACAAAACTACCACAAGGCCACAAATTCCCCAATTCTCTCTTTTCTTCTCATTGCCAGACACTCCGCTATCCATGCAATGCTCCGAATCTCCTGTTCCTTCAACTTCATGTAGGAGTAAAAAACAGCATAGTTGAACTGCTGCAGGAACGTAGTCTTGTTCAAATGTACTTCGTGTTCAAAGAATTTCCGCTCCAAGGACGCGGCGAGGGCAGATTCGGGGTCGTCCTCTTCAAAGGAGCGCGTGTCATCTGCGGCACTAACGGTCCGCGACGCACTCGTATCAAAGAACGCTCGGTATTCGGGAACACCATCACAGGCTTGCCGTACAGCGTCAAGGTCATCAGCCCTAGCTAATGCATTATTACCGCCCGGATACAGCCGCCCTATGGTAGGAAACAATCTTGCCCGTGCCTCTTCGACAATTCGGTCCCGAAGGAGTTAAGAGTGATGTTAATCGTACGGCGGTCGGCTTCAAAGGCGAGTATGGCCTGCATTGACTCGGCCGTTGGACCTCCTATTGATGCACAAAAATTGGAGAAATCTTCCAAGTATGCTCTATAAAGGGTGTTTCGGATGATTTCGATGTTGAGATCGTCCAAGTCATTTGCGGAAAGAGCGTCTCGGAAGTAGGGTGCTTAAAAAAAAATAATGTCAACAGAGTTCCTCCATCTAACCGTAGTTGTGGCGGCCAGAAGTTACCTAGGGGCGTTTCCACCAATACACTATGATACAACTCCTCGACGTTCGTAGCTACGCACAGAGCGGGAAGGGTGTCAAACACGCCCAAAGGGTGACATCGCTCCAGTAGCTCGTGTGTATCGCGCTCATGGAGCGTTCCAGTAATGATAAGGACGACATTGTCGATCATGTACGCGTACCTACCTCAATAACAATAGTTCAATGTCATACGAGGGCTAGCAAAGAGATACTCACGTCATGTATTCCAAGAACTTGTCCAGAGGATGGACAGAATTATTTCTTAAATAATTGAACTGATCCACGAGTATTTGCGTCGCTCTTTCAGAAATGGTGGTCGTTGAGATGGGCAGGGGTTCATTTGCTAGGAAGTTGCCATATTCTGTGGCTGACAGTTGCATTCGGAAATCTAGAGTACAAAGAAAATCACCACATTAGTGGGTCTCACGCACAATGGCACAAGTGCCCTCGTAAATGTGAGTGTGTGGGTGCCATACCTTCCAACGTATCACACTGTGTTAGATTGTTGTAATTCGCCTGCGTTAGGAGACCAGCTTTGTAGCCGCGGACGACCCCTTCCAGAAAGCCAGCATCGGCCTGTAAAAAAGGAACTGTTCAATACGTGCCATTTAGCGAATAACAACGTTCGATACGTTGAAGAATAAGGCCTCCATACGGGCGCGGACAGGTCAAGTCAACTGAATGAGAGGTGGCACGTGACCAGGATCAGGGAATCATCAGACACTCGCACTCACCTATCACTCACTAGTGCAAGTGCAACGTCCTGTTTTGCAGGTTGGTAAGATAGTGGATGAGGTTGTACGGCTAGCTTTTTAGTCTGTCAGGTTGGTGAGGTTTCAGACTGCTCTGGAGCTTGTTTGGCCTTCTCCCCGAACTAGTGCGGTAGGCAGAGTCTTCGTTTCTTTGCGTCGTGGAATACGTATCGAGTCCGTGCCTGGTTCACTATTATCTGCTGCACTTGGTCCTCGCTCATACGTCCTAGTTTTGCGTGTAGTACTTTACATGCGCCTCTTTCACCCAAATTTTACGCTGGAACCAGAGGTTTTCCTAATATTGGTGTGCACTTTTCAGGTCATGGTGCAGAAATGCTTCATATCGCTAAACCTAACGAAATCCCCATTTCCGTATTACATAATGGGATCATTATCTTGGAATAGCCCTGCAGTCAACAGGGTCGTCAGTTTGGGATCTTGGCTGGGACAATCACTTCCAAGTTCTATCCGCGATGTGAACGGAGCAATGACTACCAGGTCTCTTCGGCCCCTCGGTCGCGAGTGCCCGTCTCCCGTTACGTCTCTCACGGACAGGGATTCGAGAAGATTCAGATTCTTGAATTCTCACTTCTGTTGAGGCATGTGGAACCTGGTGAAGACATTGCAGAGCCACTTCCTAGGAACGGGCTGACCAGCCGAAACCTGATCGGCAATCAGATGTATGCGCGCTCAAGGCACCCATTATCAAAGCTAGCGCTCATTCTCATTGTCTTCTCAGTCACCGAATCCTCTCTTAGCGTGCAGAGGGCATGAGTCATATGAAGAGTTCTAGGCTCATGGAAGAGATGCTAGGTGGATTCATAACCCAATTGCATACGTTTTCAGCCTAACGACGAGCGAAAATGTTCGGCAGGGAATAGATCATGCATGGCAAGCATGCGTGAGCGCCGGCTTGCCAATACATTAATGACAAATCCTCTTGCTCGGGCAGTTCCGCGCTGCAAATTCCGACATCCGCCTTGTCCCGAACTCAATTTAACATGCAACTCACTTGCTGGCGCTTATATCATTTCCTATATATTCATCACCCCAAGCTATCCGCAGCCCCCCTCACATACAACTCGAGCTGCTTCGCTACTTGTTTGAGTTTCAACTTTCACTGACGGTCGCTGTTTCAATAACATGCTGTACCGCCCGACGATTGCGCGCACAGTCATTTATGGTGTCTCGCGGCGGGGCCTGATCACCTCTGTTCGTCTCCGCGCTCCCCTCACAGCTGCTCCTGTGACGGAAAGAAGAGCGCCAGGCCTTCAGCCCCCCGACTCGACACATTTCAAAGGTCGGTTACCTTTCGGTGCTTGCTCGCCGAATCATGTTATGTAATTTGCTTTCTGTTTTACAGACTCACCAACTCCCATACATGAGCACCAATCGAATAAAATCCTAGGGGATTGGGTGTTATTCCATCCTGGTATGTATATATACATGTGCTCAGGAATATCCACGTAGTGTATACAAAGGAAGAAAACGAGGCAGTTGAAGTGAGTTCTTCATCGCGGTCCATTGGCTTCCTCACGGACTGAACCACATTACTAAGGTTCTGCATCGTCCGCCTACATCAATTTCGGATCGTGTGGCCGACTTGTTTACGAAAGTAACTCGGTGTGTAGTCGTCCCTCAATTTTGACCATACGCGCGGAAGATTTTATACCGCCCGTTTTAAGATGGGGATTCGATTTTGTATCAAAATACGAGCACAAGGAAATACCCCCAAATCATAAGATGTCCCTGGCCGAACTGCGTGCGGGTGGTTACACGATGAGTGAACGTCAATGGCTTGCCGTGCGTCCTTACCTCTTTCGACTATGTGTTCTCAGAGTCATTGATACATCCCTTTACATATAGAGAATCCTTTTCCTGGAGTCAATTGCTGGAGTTCCGGGCATGGTCGCCGCTGCATGCCGTCATCTGAGAAGTCTAAGACTTATGAAGAGGGATGCGGGTTGGATTCATACACTCCTACAAGGTACAAGTTGTCACATTTGAAGATGGAAGTGACAATGTTTGAAAGACGTGTTGGATAGAGGCAGAAAATGAGCGAATGCATCTGATGACGTTCATGACTCTCAAGAAGCCGAGCAGGTTCTTCAGAGCGTCGGTTCTTGCGGCACAGGGGTACGAATGTATTCAGATATTTCTCTCACGAGATGACACTGATAACCTTCTTTGTTCGCCAGAGTTTATTATAACGCGTTCTTCCTCGCATACCTCATAAGGTCCGGTTCATGATGACATATGGCATTTTTATCACGAGAATTTAACTCGTTTGGTTAGCCCAAGAACGGCCCACCGATTCGTAGGTTACCTTGAGGAAGAAGCGGTCTTCACGTAGTGAGTTGTTTACGCTTCAGGTTGCGCGCACACTTTGAATCAACCTATTTGCACCAACAATTCAGTTCCCGGATAATAAAAGAGATCGAAGACGGCCACCTACCAGAATGGTGAGTATTTCATTTCAGGTCGGGGTACGTTGGGGGCCAAATATCGCTGTGTGTGTGTGTGTGTTTTTTTTTTATAATTAGGGAAAATCTCCCCGCACCTGCCATCGCCATTGAGTACTGGAGGCTCCCAGCGGACGCCAAGTACGTTTGAGATTAATTGGTAGAAGACGTGCGTTTTTTTCAATCAGCAACTACTCATTCCACAGGCTCCTTGATGTCATGTATGCGGTTCGTTCTGATGAATCGACACATCGGTTCGTGAACCATTCGCTTGCAAGCCTGGAGACAGGTGATACCAACCCATTCGCACTTGGTGAGCCTGGAATGAAGTTGAAAGGAACGAAAATTGGGTGAGTTCAACGGTTTTTTTTTTTTTTGTTTGGCTTCTGTGGGTCGTTCCAGAGCTGACCCCCCGCATTTGATGCTAGATTTGAACGAGACGAGAGCGCTCGCTACGTACGGCAGAAAGGGGAACAAACCCAGCATGTAATGGAAGAGAAGCAGAAGAAGGAAAAGTGAACTTGCTCGGTCCCTACTATCTCTCAAATAGGGATATAAAACTGGGATTGATCATCTTCATCACTCTCTACTACCCTGACGTTGTATCGTCATCCCTTGGACTGGGTTCTATTTTCGTCCATCTTCTTCAAGGCCCGATACCATCTATTGTCAGTCGCTGCGGAACGCAGGGGCTGGTTACTTGTACTTAAGCCCGCATCCACTAATCAATCACCACATCCTTGTTCTTCCGATACTTATGTTTACATGTACATAGTTTACTTTGCCATCATCAATTGCATACCCAACCCCCACTCCCTGCTCCGGATCCGGGTTAGGCCCTGTCTTTGAATGGGTTTCAAACCCTTGGGGAATTGCCCAATGATCAATCAATCGAGCCGAAAAGAACTGAAGCAAGGGGATCTATTTACGAGATCATCAGGCGTGAGACGTGCGGCGTTGCTCGCATGCATAAGTATTGCATGCATGCTGTGTGGAAGGGGGACGCAAAAGTTTGATGAACGGGCACGTTTGTTGTGGAAGTTGTACTATGATGGCTTCGATGTACGGTTTCGAACCTCTTGAATTGTCCCTAGCTCGCTGCTACTGGCGGAGATATCGGCAAAAAGGCGTGTGGCGTGTGCATCAGAGAGCAATAACACATCATATATGGGAGCTTCATATATACGTGCAATTTGTACGGCGAGCGGCCACCCACATATGTAAGTCATCGGTCTATCGTAAGGCATGTACCCTCAAAATGCGCATCGTCGCAAATGCCCGATAGGGAACCAGCCTCTCTTAGAGAGCGCGGCAGGTGGTATCATGTATCTCTCTGCGCCACAGCTTGCAAAGCCACGCAAACGTGATAAACTATCTTTAACGCATTGCGGAGCGGATGCCAACTCGCCCATAACATACTTAACAGCTAAATGGGAGGTGGATGTGGCCGGGTGTGGCCGTGTGGCACCACATCATATGAAATAAGTCACATTACATATCAAAATCGATAAGGAGATGGGTAATGATTGGTTATTTTATCGTGCGTAATCGTATGGGTGTCATAGGGGGGGGGATGACAACTTGCACCAAAAAAAATAAATAAATGCCGCTCGCTATTATTTAACATAGCTTTTTCATCGCTTTTTCATCGCATATGCATATGTATATGTATATACATTCGTTGATGATGTTAGCTTTGATGTTGATTGCGCCCGGCGTGATATCCCGACAACCCCTGGGGCTCAAGCTCAAGGTACTACATGATTGCGTAAGATCAATTACATAAATCCCCCAAAAAAAAAACTGGGGGGTGCTTACTCTTATATCCACGCATATATTGTCATGCATGTCCCCCAACTAGTGTTAAGTAACAGCGCATATATCCAATCCAATCGCAGTCAGCTGTGCAGTATATGTAACCGGTATGCACTTTGCACTTATGTGTACTTCGACACATGATGCATGTTGGGCTTGCTCAGTTATATAAGCTAAGTCAGAAGCGGCGGCGCGGCGGGGAAAGTCCAACCTGTACTTATTGTAAGGTTACTTACATAGCTATGGAACAAGAAATATTCCTGATACATGAAATGAGCTTTTTCGCGCCTAAGAGAGCGCTTAGCGCTCACACTCGATCGAATCATATATTCCCCCTGTTAATCTGTTGGCAAGATATTCTGAACAATCTCTAGGTACATATTGCATTCGCATGCATGGATGGCGCCATACAAGACAATTATGAAGGTTTTTTTTTTTTTTTTTCTGGCACAAGCTGGTAATGTATATAATATATATATATATGTAAAAAAAAATGTGATGGAGAACCAGCTGGTTGTGGGGTTACTTGTATAGATATATAACGAGGGAGCGAAAACTACTGGAGCTACCAAGAGCTGAGAGAACAATGGTGGTGAATGTTAATGTGGAAAGAGGAATTAAAAAAGCTGGTCCCGCGCGGTCACGCAAGCTGCTGTTAACTTGGGCTACCGAAAGAGGTCGGGGTTGGGACTTTGCATACAACAGCTCGCTTGGCTGCATGTGGGTTCATACGGCGAGTTACCTGAGGCGAACACGGAAACGACCGCAACCCCCGGAACGGCCAAAAGAAAAAAAAAAACAACCGAGAGAGAATCGAGAGAGAAGAAATGGAAATTAACTCCCCGCAGTTGCGCTTCATACGTTTTTGTTTACGTTTGTACGTATAATGTACGTACAAACCACTTTGATCGAAGGAAAGACCAGCAAAAAGGCAAGAAGGACGGATGACAATCGAGTTCGAGTAAGAAGCCCCCCGTTACTAAAAGAAAAAATATAAACCAGCACAACCCCATATTGAACACAGGAGAGAAAAAAGAAAGAAAGGAAGAGAGAACTGCTGCAATAGACATAAATAAGTGTAATGAGGTTGACCATGCACGTACAGTTTCGGTTCGGGAAGGGTTGCTTTGCAAGAGAAGATGCGTGTAAAAAAAAAGAGCGAAAAGAGCGAAAAGAGCGATAGACAAGACCATGGTATACTGGAGCGACGACGGTGATCACCCAAAGCTCGGTCCAAGATGCTTCAAGAAAGTGATTGATCGTAGGCACGACAAGTGTTGTTTTCTAGGAACAAAAAAGAGAGGTATAAAGAAAGAAGGGAGAAAAATGAGCGTGTGTTGGTTTCTAAACCTTGGTCGCAGATAACAACCATTCGATGGGTGTGTGTGTGTGTGTGTGTTTGTTTGTGTGAATCAGAATCCCATCACCAAGAAATGACCGATCACCAATGACCCTGCCCTCGGCTCACCAAGATTAACCGTCTACCAGTCCGTCCGTCTGCCCGCCCGTGATCCGCACGCAAATCACTGCCATGCGGAGGACACTCGCCGCAGGTGGGTTTAAAACAACAGATAACGGAAAGACCACGGCGGCGGAGGTATGACATGTTGGGGACGAGGATGATTCGGGCCCTTCTTCCAGGGAGGTGCCAATTAGAATCGAGGATGCCAAAGGACTCGATGTGAAGTTGAGCGTGAAGTTGCAACGAAAAAGGGTGGCCCGAAAAGAATTGATGAATTTGATTGAGGCGGAAAGAAGAAAAGAATTGGAAAAAATAAATCAAATGGGGTGACTAAAAGGCGCACTAAATGTCGGCGGAATGATAATGATGATGGTGGGGTAGTGATGGCATTGGAGAGGTCGCGTCTGACAGAGTACGCGAGGGCGGAGACTAAAGGAAGAAGTATTGCGGGAACGCATGTCGGTAAGGAAAACAGACAACGTCCGTTGTAGTGTGACGGAATAAAGAGAAGAAGAATACTACAATGGAATAACGATTAAGGAAGGGGTTGTAGGCCAGGCCATGTCTGGGTGGCTTATGGAACAAGGGTGAACCCAGCGAGCTATCACCTGTCTCCAGCTCGTGGAGTAGTCAGGGAGAGCGACGCAGAGGCAGATGTCCATCGAACGACCATCGGACGAAGGCACGGCGTAAGGGGCATTACAGCATTACAGCAGCATCAGCAGCAGAAAGCGACGAACAAATGACGAAGAAAAATGAGTAACCAGTGTAACCGAGCAAAACGCGGTGGAGGGGATCGATCAACGGCTCGATTTTGATCCTACCCTGTCTCCGCAACGGCGTTCCTCACTGCTGCTGTGCACTGCTCCCTTCAACTCTAACATCCCTAGCGCTAGACACGCTCCTAATATCCCTCCCTTCCTCCGCCAATTCCCGATTTAATAACTGCCCGTTATCGCCTTCCTCCAACGGCCCAATACTTCTCATTGCCTGCCGGAAGGCATCGCCTAGGATCTGGGCATCAGCGGTGCTGATCAGTCCTGGTTCCGAGCTAACCATCGATCCGCCATCAGTGGCTGGGCCTCGCACAGACGAATCACGTTGTACGGCGCCTGCGCCAAATGCTGCCCCGACAAGCGAACCCCCTGGAGCAGGTCCAACTCCCCCGCCGGCTTCAGGTTGGCCGACTGACATAGGTGAAGTGGGCGCAGCAATCATAGGGGAACGACTTCCTGTTGAGTTACGCTTCGCGAGATCCTGTTTTCTTCGCATTTTACGCAGCAACATGTAGGAGAAAGCCAACAGCGCGAGCACAGCCAGCGAGCCAAAGACAGCCAGTAGGGCGGTAGCCCAGTGCGGAAATTCACTGCCCGTATTGGATGCACTTGCTGGGAGGCCAGTTCTAGTGCCACTGGGTGTTACGGTGTAGACAACCCCACTACTCGTAAAGATGGTAGGCGACATTGTGCTAATGACGGAGATGATGGATTGTGTAGACTGAACGGACTGAACGGATTGGGTGGAGACAGATGATTGGAAAAAAATAGAGGAGGTCGAAGCCACGGACTGTGAAGACTGCACAGACCGTGTTGATTGTACAGACGATACCGACGACAGAGACAGCAAGGCCGAGTTAGGTAAAGCAGTTTCTGATAGCAAGATTTTGCAAACATTAACACGATGTGAAACGAGAGAGAAAAATGACTACATGCTACTCACGAATGCCCGTGAAAGTGGGTTCCGTTCGTTCACCAAAATGGAGAGTTGCGGTTGTGGGGAGAATGACAAAGTTGAAGGGGTAGGATTGATTCTGCCCAGATTGTATACTCAAGCCTTGCGTACCCCAAAAGGTATCGTTAGCGAGGACTTGCAGGGTCCCTTGCTGTTTAGGCAGTGTCCAATGGGCGAGTGTCTGATCCGAGTTGGCACTGAGAAGATAAATATCCACGTCTGTGACTTGGTTGAAGAGTGGATTGCCAGTGCTCCCTAAAAGTGACAGTCATGGCAAGATGATAAGATAAAGCAAGTCAATAGGACATCCTTCTGAAGGCGCAAACGAAGGAAAGAGGAGAAAAAGACAGACATTCAAACGTGAACCATTGATTCTGGATAACCTGTTGATTTTGTGTCGGAAGGCATGATAGCTGAGAGTTATCTGCGGGTGAGCAGTTGGCTACGTGGTACGTAAAGTGAGTTGACCGGAGATCTGGTTCACGGGTAAAGTTGGGAAAAAGGTCGTTACCTCTTGAGGGGAGGTCACGCCGTCTCCGGCTCGGGTGCTTGTTGGTTAGGTGGTCTTCGTCCAGGCAGTCGAACGTTCGGAAAGGAATACGCGGGTGGTGTTGATCGAGCAGAGGGAGGATTTCGTGGTGTTGCGCGTGTGACTTGAGAGGTTTCGACGGCAACGAGGAACCTGTCGGAGAAGGAAGGGCCTGACGATACGACGGGCGAGACGACGTGGGTGGAGACGGTGTAGCAAGAGGCAAGAACATGAACCCGGGCGAACAGTTGTCAAGGTTGTTTCGAGGCGAGTTGCTGCTGCTGCTGCTACTGCTAGAGATTTGTGGATTGTGACTGGATTCAAAGATATGATGACGATGACGGTCTTCAACTAGTGGGTGAAGGACACCGTGCATGCGTGAAGAGAAGAAGGAAAGAAGAAGGAAGGGAGGGAGCGGAGATGGATGAGTGCGGTGAGGAAGATGATTGTTGAGGACGGTGAAAGGAGAGAAGGAAACCTCAACGCGAAACGAGGAATAAAAAACGATTTATTCAGCTGGATACCACAAAAATGGTTTTATTAAGTAATATATTCATGGCAATTTGCGATCCCACCCTCAATTTGGGCATCAGCGGCGGAAACATCCGACAAATAAATGTGTGTGAATTCACATTGAATAGACCACAAGAAAACGAGGGTGGTTGTGACGACGAACAATTCAGTTGGTTTGGGTGGTTCCTGGAAGCAAATAAAACACAACTATTGTACTCGCCACGAAAGGCCGGGGGAAGGGAAACAAGACGACTTGATCAAACAACCGAAGGTTGTACTCTATTCGTACAGGTGCACTGCGTCCCCACGCAGGAGGACGGAAGGGGTTGGACAGCGGTCTAATGCGTGATGATGGTGGAAGAGAGGAAAATTTGACACAAGTCCAATCACCCCTTACAATTGGGCCAGTCTAGATCAACCATCAGGTCTATTGTTAGACAGCAACGTCCACTGGCAACGGTTGCAACTAATTAGCGTCTGCAAAAGAAACAATAAATACTGTAACGTGCGCACGCGCACACCGATCGGTAACTCAGTGGCTGGTCATCCATTTTCCTACTATGGCTCGTGTCGCAAATAAGAGGATACTCCATCCGTACAACTGAGCAAAGATGACCGAAGCGGGGGCCATCCAAACAGGTCACAATGTCGGATTAGATTTGGGTGTAACCGAGACGCTTGCTGTAAGGAATTACTCCAGTTACTTATTTAAGGGTCCCTACATCGCCGTCGACAGCATACAACATCCGCGCTGCCTGGCTTCTCCATCGTGTTCCTTCTTCGTAATGTGCATGGTTGACACGCAACCTCATCGTGGGACATGATGTTGTTCAAGTCACGAGCGCCGATGAACAACGGAATTCCACTGAATTGAATTGGGCGCCTACCACTTTTTTACAAGTCCGTCCTCGACGATTCGCCGAGGCTCCTTCTCTGGCTTCTCTACCGTCAGCCGCGCCCCATTAGGGTTCATCCGTTTCTCTTCTCTAATAATTTTCTCAGTTCTCCATTTCTTTGCCTCGCTTCTGGGTCTAGTCTCTGTGGCCCATTTGCACAACCACTTTTGATTCGGTTTTCTATCTCGCTGTTGTTCTGCGACTCCAAACTGGCACCGTCTCCAGCTCTTCACTCAAGCCACACAGCGAGGCCCCATTATGAATACTGAAAAGCCCCAAAAACCGCATCGCAATCCTCGTGCAGGTGGTAAGGCAGACAAGAAACTAAAGAAAGAAGGCAAAGATCGCGGGAAAGGATACAACGAAAAGGTGAGGCAGTGATGAAGATGCACAATAACGCTCTGAGCGTCCAACTCCCATTCCTTCTTGGGAGGAAACGTTTGCTAACTTCCCTTGAACATATGTTGCTTTACTGGTCATTTCGAACTCGGGCTCTAACTTGGTCTAGGCATTTGCACCTCGGTCGGCCATAAATGCTGAGAGACGGGCTAGACGAAAGGCGGAGTTAGACCAAACAAGATTACACGTCCCTCTCATCAATCGCACACCCGAGGATGAACCTCCCCCCGTCCTCATCGCGATCGTTGGCCCCCCAGGAGTGAGTACAATCAATGGAACCCACTCACTTCACTGATTCATGGTCTATTCATCTATCTCCTCAAAGGTCGGAAAGACAACCCTCCTTAAATCCCTTGTGAGGCGATTGACAAAGTACACGCTTAGCAATCCACAAGGTCCAATTACAGTCGTCTCAGGTGCACATTCTTGTTCACCCACTCTTGTTCACTGGGGCTAGGCATAATAACAGAGTAAACATACAGGGAAACAACGTCGACTTACATTTGTCGAATGTAACAATGACCTCAACTCCATGATTGACATTGGGAAAGTAGCCGACCTTGTCCTTCTAATGGTTGATGCAAGCTTAGGCTTCGAAATGGCACGTAACCGTTCCCTTCCAACCTTCTCATCCGACTCATTAACCCCCCAGGAAACCTTCGAATTCCTTAACATCCTCCAAGCCCATGGCTTCCCCAAAGTAATGGGCATACTCTCTCACTTAGACCTCATCAAGAAAATTGCCCAACAACGTGAAACCAAAAAACGTCTCAAGAGGCGCTTCTGGACTGAAATCTACGCAGGCGCAAAGCTATTCTACCTCTCCGGCGTCATCAACGGTCGTTACCCAGACCAAGAAATTCACAACCTTTGCCGTTTCATTTCCATCATGAAGTTCCGTCCTTTAGTCTTCCGAAATGCCCATCCGTACCTATTAGCCGATCGACTTGAAGATTTAACCCCTCGAGAAACGATCCGGTTGGACCCAAAAACCAATCGAACGATCACACTCTATGGATACCTCCGAGGGACGAACTTGAAGACGTCGACAAAGGTCCATGTTCCTGGAGCGGGTGATTTGGCGATTAAGAGCATTACCAAGTTGGGGGATCCGTGCCCTATGCCTACGACGGAGAGTGAGAGAAAGAGGAAATTGAGTGAGAAGCACAAGTTGGTTCATGCGCCTATGAGCGACATTGGAGGGATCATGTATGACAAGGATGCGGTCTACATTAATGTCCCTGGAAATTTTTCGAGAAAGCAGGCAGATGGGGACGAAGGCATGGATGGGAATGCTGGTGAGATTTTTTCATGTGCCCTCCAGTTGCTATAGGATGAAAGGCTTATTATTTTCTTTATCGACCCCTGTAGAGGATTTTGGGGAGGGTGAAAAGATGGTTATTGATTTACAAGACGTCCGGTCCACTCTTGCGGATAATATCTCTAAGAGCAATATCGTCTTGCTTCCTTCATCGGCTGCTCCACTTCGAGTTGGCGATGGTATTGACAAAGACGGTGAGGAGGAACCAGGCGACGATGACGTTGAGGATTCATCCTTGGTCAGCGATGATGACGACGAAGACAGGAGTGAAGATTTCGATGATGAGGATGACGAAGACGAGGATGAGGAGGATGAGGAGGATGGTGGTGAAGAAATTGAGACAACTTCGAAGCAGCAGGGTGTTCGCGGAGGACGAACTTCCCTTCGCACATCACGAGCACTCCCTTCATCTTCATCACACCGGGAAAGGGGTAATGATGGTGATGATGTAGCTTTTGCTGACAGTGATTCGGATCTGGAAGCTGGTATAGACTCCGATGGTGATGGTGAACTAGAGTGGGAACAAGATGGGGAAGACCGAATTGACCTCGATGATGAAGAGGAAGACGACGATGGAGGCGGCCAAAGTTACGCCATAGACGAAAATATGGCCGATCAAGAAGTTCAAGCGGAGGAGCAGGTTCCTAGATGGAAGGAAAACCTTGCCGCCTTCGCCCTCGCCAATTATCAAACAAGGCGCCGGAGAAGAAACCTCGTTAAACTCATTTACCATAGCGAACTTACGTCCGAGCAGATCGCCGCTGGAGAGACCGTGGACAGCCTCAAAGAGGCTGCGAAGGAGGCTGATAGGGGCAAGGGAACGAACGCCGCTGGTGATGACGAGGACGAAGACTTCTTCTCCATCAAGAAACCTGCTCAAGTTGAAGGTGAAACTCGCGTTTCGGATCGGACGAAGGAGGTCGATGTCATCCCGATTTCTTCATCGTCGGGAGAGACGTGGGATGATGAAGTGTTGGACAGTTTCCGACATTTTTTCATCACTGCTCCTCCCACGACAAAGCGCAATGACTACGAAGATGCTTCCGATGCCGAGCCGGATGGTTTCGTCGATCTCGAGGCTACCGGAGGCGACGGTGGTGAGGATGAAGACGACGACGACGAGACGGACGATAACGTTGCCGGAGCAAAAGAACAAGAGGAACGTGAAGAGGTTCAAGCCCGTACGCTTGCCGCGAAGAAGGCGGATCTCAAGCGCAAGTTCGATGAGCAGTATGATGACCCTGACGAAGACGAAAAGACGGATCTCTACCAGCAGGCGAAAGCCGAAATGGCAGAACAGCTTAGGCTCAACCGACAAGAGTTCGAAGGCGTCGATGAAGAAATGAGGTTCCTCGTTGAAGGTTATCGTTCGGGGATGTACCTTCGAATCGAACTTGAAGAGGTACCCTGTGAACTCGTTCAGAACTTTGACCCTGCCTATCCTATCATTGTCGGTGGTCTCCTACCTGCAGAAGAACGCCTCGGTTACGTCCAGGTCCGCATCAAGCGCCATCGATGGTTCGGCAAAACTCTTAAAACGAACGATCCTCTCATTTTCTCCATCGGGTGGCGCAGATTCCAATCGCTTCCCATCTATTCCTTGGACGATCATAGCATTCGTATGCGAATGCTCAAGTATTCACCTGAGCATATGCATTGTTTTGCGACGTTCTATGGTCCTGTGTCCCTTCCCAACACGGGTTTCTGTACTTTCAACGCGGTATCGAACGATACTCCGTCTTTCCGCGTTTCCGCTACCGGTGTCGTATTGGATGTCGACCGTTCGGTGAAGATCGTCAAAAAGCTCAAGTTAACGGGGTATCCTTATAAGCTGTACAAGAATACGGCCTTCATTAGGGACATGTTCAATAGTCCGCTGGAAGTGGCCAAGTTCGAAGGGGCAATGATTCGGACGGTTTCGGGAATCCGTGGGCAGATTAAGAAGGCCCTATCTAAGCCGGAAGGAGCATTCCGTGCGACGTTCGAGGACAAGATCCTTCGGAGCGGTAAATATCTCGTTATCCTAATGAATTGTTTTCAATGAGACTCAACCTCCTTCTCCCTCAGACATCGTTTTTCTGAGGGGATGGTATTCCATTCAACCGAGGAAGTATTACAATCCAGTCACTTCGTTGTTGTCTGCGAAAAGGCAATGGGCCGGAATGCGGTTAACAGGCCAAATCCGATGGGAGAAAAGCCTCAAAGTCCCCACGCGTAGTGATTCCTCGTACAAGGTAGGAATCTCTTATTGTTGCCCTTGCCTTAATTTGCACTTTCGCTTACCTTTTTTTTGCTAGCGCATTGAGAGGCGCCCACGTGAATTCCAACCCTTGAAGATCCCAAAACAACTCTTGGCTGCTTTGCCATACGAACACAAACCCAAAGAAGTCCTACCTCCCGTTGAGAAACGTGCGGTCATCATGGAACCGGAGGAGCAGAAAGCTATCGAACTTCTTCAGCAGCTCCGCGCGATCAACAAGGATAAGCTGGAGCGGCTAGAGGCGAAGAAGAAATGGAAGAAGGAACAGTTCCAGAAGAAAATCGCTGAGATGGAGCTGCGGAAGACGAAGAAGAGGAATCAAGAGAAGGCGGCAGCTTTGAAGGTTATAGGACAAAGGCAAAAGGCGGCCGAAAGGGCTAGTGCCAGTGGCCCGAGCCGGAAGAAACGTAAGACCTAGTTAAACGTCACCCTTTGGATACACTTCTTCATAATCGCCTGTATATTATTGATCTTTTTTTGTGGGCTATCCTAAACCCGTCTTCGGTCCCGCTTATTGCGTGGCAGTGCACTCGTCTCGAATCACAAGTCTATGGATTCTGCTGAAGGAGATGAATTTCTCGACACTGTTGAAGGCGAATCCGCCTTCTTTCAGTCTGTAGCTCGCGCGAGACCAGCGGGAGTGCACCGCTATATGAACATCGTGTCTATTCGACAAAATATTAACGAAATTTCAGGGAAATGGGTCACGATCGAACATATCTGGAGAAAGCTCCGACAGTACTATGCCATGGATAACATTGAAAAGATCGTGAGTAACTCTCAGGTGTACTCGGGTTTCTGGGGTTCGTTCGAGTGATATGCTTTCGCCTCGGCCCTGAAAACCAAAAAAAAATACACAGCGTCGCCAAGAAGGTGCACCGGATGACCCAGACTTTCCACCTCCGCCTCTCCCTCGCACTCCTGGAGAGCGGGACCCTACTCCTTCCTCATCAGATTCTCCTCAACCCGCAGAGGTGCCGGAAAGAATAGAAGATGAAGAGAAAATATGGATGCAGGCTCACTTTCGCCTGACGTTCTCACTTCCAGAAAACGAATTCTACGAAATGATGGAAGAGCGAGCCAAGAGAGGGAGAAATGACCCATCTACTCCGGAATCTGATTATCGGGAGCTTTCCGATGATGATGATGATGATGATGAGGAGGAAGATATGAAAGTAGACAAACCTCTTTCGTCAGTGACGAGACGTTCGAGTAGTCACAGTCATTCCCAAGCACCTTCGATGTCATTGGACCCAATACGAGCTAGCGGTCTAGCAGCCGCAGAGGGCAGCGAGTCTTCCGACCTGACCGACCCTGAAGATGACAAGAAGGGCTATACCGATGATCGTGAGAGCACTTACAGTGCAACGCGACGCAGTGTCGCTACCCCTGAAGACGAAGGCGGTGGTCCTGATGGATCGAACATCTTGCCTGGTGAGCCCGTTTTTTTTTTGGTTTTCAGAACGAGTATTTAAATAACGTTCCTCCTAGTTTTAGCGCGAAAGAAACGAGAACTTACATCCGACAGTGTTGCCTCGAGAACTACAGCTCGCAGGTCCATCGGAGTGGCCTCAAGTAGCAGAGCCAAATCAACTACCGCATCCACCAAAAAGAAGCGAAAGGTATACATCGTTGTTAGCTGGTTTTGCTTTAAATTTGCAACTGATCCATTTCCAGCGGTAAAGTAGGCGTCAAATACTACGTGAATCCTTCGCCTTGGTATCCATCCGCCAAACAACGTGTACGCTACCCGCATCTGCATCTAATTAACATTGCATTTTGGTATTTATGACAGTGCTCTTCGCATCGTCGTATCAAGATTCCGCACTAGGTAGTAGAAAAACCCCTGCTTTTCACATGATAATGCAATCCTTCCCATCCTTTTTAGATGCCTTTTCTAATAACTCGTTTTCCTCGAGCATCTGCCTCTCGCTCTCAGTTAAAAGCTAGTTTGAGCCCAACGGACATTAATGAATTCACGTTGCCCAGGGGTGTGGGATTGTTGCACTCACCCCTTTGCGAGCCCTTTCTTTCAAGGCTTTCCGCTTACTTTCCATCTCAGCTCGCGCACGTCTTGGGTATCATTGCATATGTTTGGGCATTAAGTGATGGTAAATGGAAATATAAAAACAGGAAAGTTCTTTCGTCAGACCGCTGTAGCAAGGTGGGTATATAGAAGGATGGAATCAATGTGTAAACTGCAGACACGTCTATGCGGTACCGAACAGCGGTCGGGGAATAAACGAGCTAATCTCGATGTGCGGTTTAGGCTTGGACGCAATATCTGCCTGTACCGCTTCCATCGATGTAGTCGATGCCCTCCCCTGCAGCGGAGAGGAAGGGGACTTGGGTGAGGTGGATGGAGATGTATGGAATGGAGTGGTCGATTTTACAGGAACGGATACAGTGGACAGTGAAGACTTCGTGACTACTGACCGGTCGGTCTTAGAGAACAGATTACGACTGGTCGATGCCGACGACGTTCCGGGAGGTCCCTGAGCTGGGCTTGGCAAGATTTTTCCCGAGGTCACACTTGAAGCTGTAGAGAGTGTTGGAGCTTTGATTGGGGACTGCGCAACCGGCTTTGCAGGAGTTACCGTGCTCGAGGAAGATCCACGTGGAGAGGATCCGGCAGGAGTACCGAGTCGAGCAGCAAAAGCACGAAGCTTGGAAGGACTGTTTTGAGGGGCTTTGGGCAACGGAGAGACCGATGAAGGCGACGCGACACATTTATGTGAGGTTGGGTGCCGGTGAGTGGCGCAGAACTGTTTCTTGCATGCCTGTGATGGACGAATGAAGCCGCTAAGCCAGGATCCAAGAGTGAAAGGATATAAATGCGGACCTCGCACTGAATAGGCGCATGGAGCACCTTCTCGCAATGCGCCCTGGCACATCTTGGGGAGCCACTTTTCTTCTTCCCCATTACCTCACACGCTGTATTAAAGTGCCTCTCCATAGCGATGTTTGGATCTTCCCCCATGGGGATGGTGACAGGGGTTTTACACAGCGGACACGGTGGTGCTACACGATCATTGTTCACTTCTTTCTCGCACTGGTGAGCGGATGGCCGGAAGTGGTCAGCACAGAACGATTCTTCACAATACTGGCACTATTGCGTTTTCGTTGAGCAGTGAGTACAGTCGGTATTGATGGATGAACATCGAGGAGCGTGTGTACCTTGTAAGGAAGATAGTCATACAACCCGCAATGAGGATGTGCACACTTCGCGCCTGCAGAGAGTAGATGGGGATTGGCAGGAGACTCCATGATAGTGGTGACAGTGGCAGAGATAGCGCCAGCCAAGATACTCAGAGAGGGCTTTATATACCCTCCAGAAGAAAGATCCAGAACAAGCGCGAGGAGGACGCGTCAGCAGTCAAGTAAGCAAGAGATCACAGCTTGTCCGATAAGCAACGGATTGGGTAATCAGTACAGCCACGCAATTCGTAGCCATATTCTCACGCTTCTTTCGCAACATGGACGTCCCTCAGACCGAATTCGCTGTCACCTTTGTCAGGCACGGAGAGAGTACAGATAATCTCGTGAATAACTTGCTGACTTTTGTGTTCTGAGCTTACTGACGATCTGGAGAAATCTATCTGGGCAGGGTGGAAGGATGCTGGATTGAGCGTGCATGGTTTCAACGTGAGTCAAGGGACACGTATTGGGCTTTCGTCCTTAGCGTTGACGTCCTTTTCTCATCAGCAAGCGGAGGCATCCGGAGCGTCCCACGCAAACATCAAGATTCATACCATTTTCTCCTCTCCCCTTGAACGAGCTCATACCACGGCGCTTCAGGTTCTAAAGCATCAGCGCGAACCAAAGCCTCCGCTCATTCTCACACCTTTGCTTCGGGAGCAGCATTTTGGAATAGCAGAGGGTCAAAAAATATCGTACAAACGCACCACCACGCTTGGAAATGGCAGTTCAGAATTTTCTCCACTTGAAGACCGTACGTCCAAGTTTCCCCAAGGAGAGTCGGCCGAGGACGTAGCTATCAGAGCTGATAACTTCATTGATGAGTTTTTCTACCCTCTCATGGAGGATATCTCGACTTTAAGGTCCTCAGAGGATCAGCCCCAGGCTCGAATTCACATCTACGTTGTCAGCCACGGGATTGCCATCTCGGAGCTTGTAGCCGCCTTCTTAAGACGTGACCGCCATGCTGACACAGCACAAAGCCAGGCTTGGCGTGGACTCCGGAATACAGGATGGACGAGAATCCTTGTCGGACTTGACGTAGGTGATTATGGTCTGATCCCTAGAGCTTGCTGATCCATCCAGGACATACACAACATGGTCCGCTAGCCGACGGCAAACGAGTCATTTAGTACTGCTCCATCGATGACGACGGTAGAATCTACGCCCTCGGATGTTCATTCCATTCCCGAAGAGAATGCGACTCAAACGGGACCAGCGACATCCGCCAAACCAAACATAATTGTTCGCATAACACATGTGAATCAATCCTCCCATCTGAATAATCTTGTGAGTCTGAATGATCTTTCCTCCATCTCCATTACCACTGATAACAGATGCTGCTGCCAATCTTCCGGTTAACAGAAGCGTCAGAAAGGCATCGGCTCATCAACATATGACCAGAACCAAAAACCTATAACGGATTTCTTCAGCGGTGGGTCACTTGCGAAGAGCCAGTCATGAGTCGTGCGTGATCCACGATATGCTCGATAGCCTCTGCTATCAATCTTCAATCAATTTCGCAGGCGGTAACGCAAACCAATGACAATGTATATATCCTTTGTAAGCACCACCATTGGATTGATGTGCCATCGCAATACTAGGTGATATAGATAGTACACAGTGATTGAAAAAGTGGCCCATGTCAGATGAAGAGAATTGCGCGTGCTGAATATAAAGATGAGTAATCGTGTGGGTGCGTTGAATGTGAACTCTGGGTGGGACGTTTGATCCATTTTGTGGGGGTGTCCAAAGTATGAGGGTTGTGCTATGATGCCAAGAGGCTGGATGCGCGTTGAGTGGTTTGATGGGAAAGAGGAGTGTGGGGATTTACCGGTGGCAATAGATGGCGGAGATGCTCGCGAAGAGTTGAATATGAAGTTTCGCAATGTGTCAGACAATAGAATATACCTAAGTATAAGCAGCACTTAGGGAGCCGGAAATTTTCTGTGCGAAAAGCGATGTTGGGATAAGCATGAAAGTAGAGAGGGCCAAATGATGTAGGGTGGTGGTTCTTCAGATCCCCCTTGCAGCTTTACGATTCTCGTTCCAAAGCCGAAGTCTTTCTCGCCTGGCAGCCTTCGTTCTCGCCACGTCCGGAACATATCGCACGCTCGCCAGCGGGGAACCACCACTACCAGTAGCTGTAGGGGACTTAGTGTCTCTAAAAGCGAGGAGCTCATAGAAGGCGGCAATTTGGTCTCCCTTGATTTCAAGTGAATCAATGATCTGCTTCAAATGCTCGGCCAGGACGTTGCGCTTTAGAACATTGGTAGCGGGATCCATGGAGCCATACTGCTCAGCAAGTTCAAAGTATATCCTGCATAAGTGTGACGTGAGACATAAGATGGCAACGGGCGGGGACACAGGCCTCACGATTTGTAGTGCGTAAAGTCATCCTCCAGCTCCCTAACAGCTCGCGCGACGACGGTTTGGGGAGGCAACTCGGCATCATCCAGCTCATATGCACCGCCATTATACTCTCCGCGTGCACTGCGACTAGCCTTAGCACGATCGAGAGCCTCCATCGCAGCATTAAGGACCTCGCTCGTATTCGGGAGGTCCTTATCATCTTCCCTGCGTCCACGAGCTGGATGGTTCCTGCCGTCCATACTCTGACCCAATGAATTAGGCTCATTAGCTCGTCTTTTACGACAGACATGGCAAGTTGTCTCGTTGTGGTCAGGAAGCGAGAAGAACAGCTTCTCCATCCTGGCACCACGAATAGTGGGGAAGGGATCGCCTTGGTGGGATCTCGGTTTGCTCGTCTGGGGCTTTCGAGGGGCTTCGTAGTCGGACACCGTGACCCTTGGGACCGGTAGCTGGATAGGCAATTGCTTGGGAGTTGTTGAGGGGCCAGGTAATCGTGGCGGGGGCGCCATGGAACACGACGAGACCTCCAAGTCCCCGCACATTCGTCCAGATAAGAAAGATCGTCGTTCCTCTACATCCGACTCCACCCGTTCGAGCTCCGCATCCTGAAAAGATCAATGGAAAATTGATCAGAAAAGCATAAGAAACTTACAGTGATGAACCTTTTCATTGTACGAAATGAACTGCCGACGGTAGCGCGAGACTTGAATTCCAATTCATCAACGGAAATATTGGATTTATCAAAATCAGAAGCGCGAGAAACAGGTCTCGCGTTACCAGGGATTTCTTCAGTATCAAGAAGTCTTGGATCTTGAGATGACTCCTCAGGAACAGGGCTCAGCGCGGTGACCTTGGGGATGGACAAGCGTGAAACCTCCTGTTCTTCTTTTTGTTCTTGTTGCTGCTCCTCCGCATTCTGCGCCGGGAGCTGGAAGTCTTCTCGTTGTTGGCTAACCTCTCGACGTTCACGAACGCTATCCTCGATAATGTCGCGCAAGCGCATTACCTCATTACCCAAACGTTCCACTTCGGCACGAAGTTCTTCAACCTCCTGGCTGCGCTTTTCTATCTCAGCTTCATCCTCTTCATGCAATGCCCGGAGCTCATCCACAGCTTGCTTGTAAACATCGAGCTCAGAAGTCATCTGCGCAAGCTGCTGCCGTAGAGTCATAACGAGGGTCTCGAGCTCTACGCACAGGTTAGCAATCGAAGGCATTCAGGGCAATTATCTTAGGGACTCACCTCTTTTCGTGTCTACTACGTCTCTATATCGGACCTCCCACTTGCGAAGCTCCTCACTGCTTAAGGGTTTATTTGACTGAGAGTAGGCATCGACTGTATCTGCACGACCCTTTCCCTTACGATCTGAAGTAGAGGCAATGTTCTGAGCATGTTGAAGTTGTTTTTGGATTTCCGCTTGCACCCTGTTGCGTTCACGGACTACCTCTTCACGACATCTTTCTAAATCGTCTTCTAGCTCTCGAACGTGGCGACGAGAATTTATATTCTCCTTCTCTAAGTCACGGATACGATGGGCAAGCTCATCAATGGTGGATTGAACGACGGTAGCTTCGGGGTTGTCAGAAAACATACGTGAACTGAATAATGATACTAACCATCGACAGCACCATTTCTCACCGACCTATACCTGCGAGATGACTTGATGGGGGTATCAACGGCAGACGTGAGGCCAGTCACATCCGGAAGATGGACGCTCCCGCTGGTTCTATTTGCACGACGCGACAGCGCTGAAAGATGATTGCGGACATCAGAAAGAGGGGCACGAATAGAAGGTGCAACGGATGGTTTGGAGGTTGGGGGATCCCGATACCTCTCGCCTTCGCTAATCCCTTTCTTTATGTCGCGCTCGATTTCACGTCGGGCCTCCGTGAATTTACTCGTGCTAGCGCCGCGGGCAGCAAGGTTCTCACGTGTTTGACCCGAAGAACGTCGCTGACTGTTCGTCGCAACTCGTGGTCGCCTTGGACTAAAAGTCCCTCTTGCAGATTGCAAAGTTTCTGTTAACTTTGCACGAGATGCCCGACTGCTGGCAGAGCTCCCAGAATCACTTTGTTGCGAACTGGAAGAAGTGTCTTCTTCGGGGTCGGAGACGGTGCGGATTCTAGGCGAGATGTGGCGCATGTTCGTCTGTTTGGTCTTGGTGTCGTGTGAAATATCCAGGTAGCCAGATTCAAGAGCGCGTTCGAGCTCCGCCGTGTCCTCCACAATAATAGGGTCCACACTTAGAGAAGCAGCAATATTCTTCACGCGGAGAGAACGCGTCTGTTAAGGAGGTAACGCGCAGGATGGATTTGGAACATACGGTTTGACGTGTTGGTCTCTCAAATTGAGTAGACTGATTCATCGTTATTGACTCCCCTAACACATCCCTGAGACCTCTCCTCGGTGAGAAATTAGGCAGTGGTCGATCTGGGTCGAATTCTGCAATGCCAGAACGTGAAGGTGTTCGGCCCAAAGCACCGCCTAAACCAGCACCTAAAGTAACAGCAGAAGCATGATGCTGGGCAGTTGATAATGTTTCCCCCGTGGTCATAGCAGAATCGTCAATAGTGTGCTGGAAAGAACGAAGATTTGGTGCGGAATGTTCGGTGTCGTCCGGGATGAATTGAGAAAAGTCATGAGGTTCGCGCAAAGAGAAGGTCGGAAAGACGTCGAGAGGTGGGGGGTACGGTCCATCGTTGGGCTGGAGGTGTCTAGGGTACTCTACGCTGGACTCCGTCGAGTGGGTGGACGTGTTGTCGAAAGTTAGGTCTGCAACTCGACTTATCATCTCCTGTTCCAGCCGAATTCGCTCATTTTCTTGTTCATCGCCTGGAATGCTCCAGTCCGTATGTCTGCCCCTTCTGGCCTCCGACTGCATACTGGTCAGATTCGCCTAAGGAAATTGAACAAACGGACAGTCCGACAAGAACTGGAGATCGTCGGAAGCAAAACAACAAATAAATGTCAATAAAAACAAAGTGCATCAACGCCCCCAATATGGTGAATAAGCTGCTTTGACTGTAATGCACGGTCTGTTCATGATTGAGGGACATGATAACATACAAGATGGAGAGAGGGAAAACAATGACAAACTTGATGATAAGAGTTATGGTGACAACGTGAAGGCCGTGAAGGCGGTTGTAGGGCGGAACGGTATCGCGTGTGCAAACGAAGGTAGAAGGATGGGTGGAAAAGGAAGGATGGGATAAAGATGCTCAATAGGATTCGTAATGCTCCTTGAGCCACTTCTCAGCTTCGGCGTAGTCGACCTTGAGCTGGGGAATGAGCTTTCCGATGCGCTCCAGTGCATCCTTCTCGGTAATGCTTACGCCCTTCTCCTCATCTCTGAGCTTTCCGTAATGCTGCATTCGCTCACAGGATTCTTGCACTTTCTTTACACCAAGCGCTGCAGACGATCCTTTCAAGAAGTGTCCATGCCGTGACAGGGAGGCCAAATCCTCCTTTTCCCTAATTTTGGAGCCGGTTAATTAGGAATCGAAGTAGGACGTGCAAAAGGAACATATTAAGGGGTGTGTAATATAAAGACTTACAGCGCACTACCCATTTCCTTGATGGTGCTTTCAGCTTGATCGAAGTAATTTAACACAATGGACCAAGAGAAGTCATGATTCTCATCATCATCCATCTCAAGAATCTGCTCGAACGTTTCCATGTCTACTACAGAGTTCTCCTAGATTAGGGGAGAAAAGCGCATAGTGAAGATAAGATTGTCCAGAGGATCACTGATCGCAGACATACCGTGGGGTCAGGAGAATCAGTGCCCTTGCGAGCTGTGTCAGTTGCACCGGGAGATATTGGCCCCCCCTCCACCTCCTTGGGTTCTTTAATTGGTGTCGTAGCTCGCTTAGATTTCGGACTCGATGGGGTAGGATCATGTAAGGACGGCCGAGACGATGATGATGTGCGTCTGGGCATCGGAGGAGGAACGGGTTTAGACTCTGCAAGCTTTGGGCTATCGAGGCTTCGTTTAAGCAAGTGAGGGTCTCCTCGAGATGTAACATCGCTGCGGGAGGCCATTTGAAGGGGATCGAGTCTGGTATCGTTAAGTGAAGGTCTGCCGCTTTTTGAATCTAACAGCTCCAATTGCGGGCACTGCCGCACGCTCTCCGTCAGTGACCAACTTCAGCCACCCGTGGCTGGAACCCTTACTCATGTTGTTGCAAGAGGTGAGCTTTGCAAATACCAAACCAAGAGTATTATACTTGAGGCTAATCGGCCGCCTGGGGCGTAATCCAGGAACCGTTCCAAACATTTCGTATAACCCGTCGATCATCATTAGTAATCAAGAACCCCCACTCCAGCCTCTCCGGCGCGTCAAGCGCGGATTCGCAGGAATTCCGAAAAAAATAAGGGACCATGACGATAGGTCTAAGAAGGAAGCGCACACGTTGTGTACAACAGACGCCTTATCTCACATCTCCACTATCTACAAATGTTAAGCTACCAATTGGTCGCCAGGAACGCCCTAAACTTAGAGATCAAATCCTCGTCTGCGTGGACGAAGAGCCTCCTCATGAGGAACTATAGGGTGGGATGCGATGACACGGTGTTCCTTAAGGAAGCACAGGAACCCGGCTATGGTGATCGCCACGTGGGTATTGAAAAGCTCGTCCAAGCGCATCGCGTTCCTTCGGAATCACATTCATGCGTGATTTTGGAAGTCAAGCTAGGCAAACAAAGGCGTGGTAGAATTATTCACGCTAGCTTGCATGTCCTGTTAAGGCGTGGTTGAGCCTCAGGACATCAGGAACCATTAATGCCAGCCTGGCAATCCGGCCATCAAGCCTCAGGGTCAATCTAAGCGAACCGACGGGGGCCGAACCTGTGCGTACCTCATCACTATCTAGATAAAATGATTCTGGATCTTGGAGGCCGAAGTATATCTCCAGAAGCTAGCTGGAGATTGCGTTGTCCACAGCGCTTTTGCCAGGCACAGCTTGGTCGATCATTGATGGTCCCTGTCTCCGCAATATTGAGCTTGCCTGGGAAGCACCTCGGTGCCTCAGAATTGCCCGTATCTGTATTGCACCACCGCTTGCACGAAACCGCCATTGAATGCCAATTACAGTCGGTGCGATGAGCCCTGAATCATGTTGGAGGAGAGTTGGCTATAGCGTGAATTGGGTTAGTGCTTTACTTAATGCCCATCACACAGCACTGCACATCATATTGCGGCGAACGCGACAAAGGGCTCCGCTGGTCGACTACCCTGTATCATGCCCGTATTACCTGGTAGTTGACACTTCACATCGAACAATTATTGTGGGGTAATTATCATTTCACAGACCCCAGATGTTTTCGCATGAAGGAAATTCAACCACCCTTTAAAAATTGGTAAAAGGGGGGATGCATCCACACAAATTAATGGGCACCGTGCGAGCGACTGTGAGGACTTGCACGAGGAACCATTTAATGGAGTGTATACCCTCATCCACTTACTGAGGCTGGGATCCTGCCTGCATGAAAACCTCGTCAATGAATACCCCGCTGTGGGAAAGGAGCAGCACACGATCAAATACTCGGAACCAACCCGCCACACACCGTTGATCGACCCCAGGAAACGTGACTCTCCCTTCCAAAGCAAAGCAAACCTGGATCGAGAACATCACAGAAAATTTGAGAATAACAATTCCTTCGCTGTGATGCAATCCAGCGAAATAACCACTAGTACCCGTACTCCTATGGCAAGTGATCTAATGACTCTTGACGCTGCAAGCCGAAGCTAGGAAGATGCAGCGATCGCCCTGGATGATTGAAATAGTCCGACTGATTCACATGGCGAAGGCCATTCGGACCATGGGACATCTATCCCAGGGGATTACCTTGCGACGAAGTCGGGGATGATCGTAGCGCAACTGTGTGAGCGCAAAGGTCAAATACATGGACCAACGAAACTGGACTCGAAAATGACGTCGGTCGGCATGTCACCCAGCTTTGTCTTAGCAGCATGATATCACCGGTAGGTGGGTTAGGTTGAACAGTTGTGCGAACAGCAGTTGAGTGCTGGGCCTCGGGCGGGGGAAAATATGATTTAAGGAACATAGCTGGTCATCGTTGGGGTTGAAGGAGACATCGCTCTCCAAGGAGGGCGGATCGTACGATTGTAGACACTGTTCCCCGGGGCCAACCCAACCCTCCAGGTATGGGGACCCCAATGATTGGTTGACCCGTCGGATTAACGGGGACTACAGGGACCTCCTGGGGCGCTTGCGCCTCCACAGCCAATCGGAGCATCTTGGTCGTGGAGTTCGAAGCAAGGAAGGATTAGCATGCCATTCTTGAGCAACGCCATCTTTTCAACATTGGCATCGCGACAAACCTGTAACGCAAGCTATGTGAATTCAGCTGATTCCAGCAGGACCAACCCCTCGCACATGAGTAATGTAACGACCCCGGATTCACCAAATGATTGAACGGCGACCTTTTCTTCTGATATCATGAATCTATGGGTTCCAGGACCGGGAGCGGATAAAGATGAAGCTGTGCTTGGGGATGAAGTCTGCTTCCTGACAACGTGCGGACATGTAGCTTGAAAGGGAATATCCTTCGGGATTCAGTCTGAGATATGTGCACAGGACTTTATTCCGTCGTGAGTATTTTCAATGTTTACAAGAAGGTCTTGCAAAGTCTCTTCTTTGAAATTCATTGTAATTGAACTCCCATATCATCTCCCCATGCCCGAGAAGCTCAATGATGAGGCGAGTTGATGTGCCGTCGATGTACCCGTGTCCGCAACTTGCTTCCAGTGCCTGCGGGTGCGGTATGAATTGCGCCGAGCAAAACATACCACATCGCAGTTGCGGAGAACTGACAAGGCAAGCTTCAACAATCCGCGCATAAGCAAGGCAAGCCGGAATCGCAATCAGCACTTCATTGGGTACCATCGGTTTCCACTCCTGGATCTCCGGCGCCAGATGAAATTGACGTGCAGCAAACCGGACAATTGCGCGTGCTTCGCGGCAAGCAAAACTGATATTAATTTCTAATATTCAAGGAGAAGCTCTGACCACTACAGTCGTAGCGCCGTAGTTGCTGAGGCAGCTGCGCAAACTTCTGATAACTCGCCTACATGTACTGCAATCAAGAACTGAATATTGTAGATGGCTGTGCTGGGCTGTGTGGCGACTGAACCACAGGAGTCATGGACATAACCTGAACCATCGCCTTCATCCTGCTTCCGACACTTTAGCACCGATCCAGCTCGTAGCCAAAGCTATCATGAGCCAATCTCCCTTTGATGCGAGTCAAACTCCGTCGGGCCACTCAGCTGACCCTCATTCGACATCTCAGCCGCCTTCCTCAGGCCCTTCTTTCGCCCAACCTCCAGGCGCTCCTTATGGATATCCTCCCCCTGGCGTCCCTGGAGCACCGTTCCCTTACGGATACTACCCTCCTTATGGAGGACCGCCTTATCCAAATGTTCCCCCTTATCCCCAACCGGGACTCGCTGCAACTCAGCCAGGTTTTCCCGGAAGCCCATCTCCAAGCGCTCCGCACCCAGGAGCTCCTCCACCAGGAGCGTATCCAGGTGGCGCTCCTCAGCCATACGGCGGACATCCATCCAATGTTTTCTATCCTCCACAGCCAGCCTCTTTTCCTCAGCCCGGCGCGTATAGTCCTGTGACGTACCTAGGTGTTGCTATCCCACAATACCAAGTGTGGTTTACGCAGCCTCCCCCAGTACAAGGATACCAGGCGGAAGTCCAAAAAATGCGCAAAGCCACAAAGGTGAACAGCTTCGTGTTCAGTTGATGAACAGGCGTCATACTAACGCAGTCGCTTTAGGGGTTCGGGACTGATGATAAAGCTGTTATCAGCGTCTTGATTTCTCTTGATGCAATTCAAATGGACGAATTTGCACGAGCATACCAGTCCACAATGGGCGATAATTTGGTGGAGTTACTCAAGAAGGAAACGAGTGGGAAATTTGAATTCGCATTGGTTGGGCTCGCCGAGGGTCCTCTCAAGTGGGACGTTATTCTACTTGAAATGGCCCTTCATGGATTGGGAACCAACGAAACCCTGCTTGTAGGCTTTTAACCCTTGCAGATATGGGACATCACTAATCAAACGCCCCTCCAGAATGAGCTCGTCTTAGACCGTACAAATGCTGAGCTGCATATCCTCAAGGCAGCGTACGAACGCAAAACCGGTAAGAAGCTTGAGCAGGCTGTGGCGGACGACCTCTCGCTTGATACCAGGAAACTGTTCTCCATTGTCCTTGTTGGAAATCGTGACGAAACCGACTTCCCGAACCCACACGATCCCAACCATCTGTATAGGCCGGATGAGAATCGCATCAAGCAGGATGTAGCAGCCATCCAAAGGTTTTATAGAGGCGATGGTGACTCGATTCCAGTTTGCAACATCATCCTGAACTCAAGTAGGACTCATCTCGCCGCCGTTGACGCTGGTGTGCTTCATGCCACCCAGCGCACACTCCATCACATTATTCTAGACAAGTTTTCGGGACACACGGAACGAGCCTTGCTATACGTCCTCGCCGGATGTACCATCACGGCGGGCTCCGGAGCGCATGGGTATCTACACGGAATCGAGAGAGACGCAGAACTGATCTCTGAGGCTATGAGAGGGATTGGTACCAAGGATGAACAGCTTACCTGGAGAATTGTCAGGAACCATTGGAATAAGGCTCGCTTCGAGGCCATTAAGACTGCCTTCATCCGCAAGGACGACAAGACTCTTGCTGCTAGGGTGGGTCCAAAATCCGAGGGAGTAAACAGATGCTCATTTTATCCTTTCCTTTACAGGTGAAATCTGAAACTAGTGGATCTTACCGCGACTTGTTACTTGCGATAATAAGTAAATGAAGCGCCTGGATACTCTAAACTTTTCTACACGTCGATTACCTTTTTTCTGAACATTTTGTAACCTTGAAATGATGTGTATAATAGGGTGACTTTGTATGAAAATTGCAACCAGTGTTGTTCCAGAAATAACAGTCGATCTGCTTGACCGACTCCACCTATAAAAACAAAGGCAAATCAGTTGACGCAATCGATGCGCAGTTGAATAGAAATGAACGCGGCAAGTCAGCAGTTACACCCAGCCACGTCGTTTCACCAAGGCAGCGCTTGCGCGATTTGCGACAGGCAATACCCTTTATTTTTCAATAAGCAACGGTAGGCCCCTATTGCCCCCTTTCAAAGGCGCAGAGCACCTTATAAGTATCAGGTTAGCGTTGGGTCAACAATTTGTCATTGCATAACTCGTTCGATCCCTCCGTCATCATGAGCTATTATCCTCCCTTCAACGGCTACCCGCCTGTGCAGGACCCTTACCATTCGTCGTACCCAGGGTATCCGTCCCCCGCACCGCCTATGCCACAGGGACCACCACAGGGCTACCCACCCGGGCCTCCGTCTGGATCCCAATCTCCTTACGGATACCCTCCGCCTAGTGGTCCTCCTCCACCTCAGTCGGGCTATCCAGGTCCTCAGTCAACCTACCCCGGCGGCCCTCCTCCAATCCCTTACAACTCCCGTCCTGGAGCTTATCAGCCTGCCTCTTCACAATCACACGGTGGTCATACATATCCAGATGCTCCATTCTCCCATCCACAACAACCCTCCTACCCAGGTTATGGAGGCCCGCCGATGTATCTTGGGACACCCATTCCTCATCACTTGGTGACGTTTTATCAGCCACCACCAGTTCAAGGATACCAGAATGAAGTTCAGCGAATGAGAAAGGCTACAAAGGTTTGTGGCATGAGATCCGCGAAAGCAACGTGTGCTTTGATCATGATTGATCCTCTCTGTACAGGGCTTCGGGACTGATAACAAGGCCGTAATCGACATTCTCCACCCCTTGAATGCCATTCAAATGGACGAATTCTCTAGGGCATACCAGGCTACCTTCGGGACGAATCTAATTGACCTCATGAAGAAGGAAACGAGCGGCTATTTCGAGTTTGGTTTGGTTGGACTCGTACAAGGCCCGTTGTTATGGGACGTTACATTGATTGAGAAAGCATGCCACGGAGCCGGCACCAATGAGATTCTTTTAGTGAGTCTTTCCGACACCCGTTCTATTTGGTTCTAAGCGGACGATGTCAATATCTATAGAATGAGCTTCTGTTGGATCGCACGAATGCCGAAATTTCTGCCCTCAAAGGAGCTTACGAGCGGAAACACCGCCGGTCGCTCCAATCAACGGTCGAAGGAGAGTTATCTCTCGACACCAAACGCCTCTTCAATATTGCACTGAGCGCCAATCGCGATGAATCAGACACTGGAAACCCTAACTACCAGCCTGACCCGGCTCGTGTCAACCAAGATGTGCAAACAATCAAGAATTACCGCGGATATGGCGACTCTATGCTTGTTTGCAACATCATCCTCAATTCGAACAGATCACATTTGGCAGCTGTCGCCCAAGGCGTGTTGCACGCTACCAAGAGGACCATACAACGACATATCCAAAGTGCATTTTCGGGACATATGGAACAAGCGCTACTCTATGTTCTTGACGGGATTTCGACGACACCCGGCCCTCCACCTGAGGGCAAAGTCTACGGCGTGGAGCGAGACGCAGGATTACTGGTCCAAGCCATGAAGGGTTTAGGCACGAAGGACGAGCAACTGACCTGGCGTATCATCAGACTGCACTGGAATAAACCACGCTTTGAAGTTGTCAAGGCCGCATTCCATCACAAGGAGGGCAAGGCGCTGGTCGCGAGGGTAAGAGTGTCGTCAGACGAAACCTTACATATGGTTGACATACTTTCGATCGTGTTCCAGGTCAAATCTGAAACAAGCGGTAACTATCGTGATTTGTTATGCATCATCGTGGCCAATTAGTTTGACACAAGCTTGGTCTGTGTGTTCCGGAGTTTCGTGTGCGAAACCTGGATCTTTCAGCGGTTTATTCTTGGCAAGCTTTTCTTAGAATTATATCATAGTTTCCGCCCGTACATTCGGAATCGTGCGTTTAATGTCCTATGAAATCCGTAGAGTTTGCGCCCGCTGGTGTAAATCCGCTGTATGAGAGATCTGGCCTTCGTTTGACAGCCGTAATTTGAATTTGCAAGGGCCAACGGGAATAGCCGGACTGGAGCAACGTTGACTGCAACACTCTGTCCGTCCATTCGAAGTCTCCCTCCATGTCCGCGTACCTCAACCCGTCGAGCCAACTTGGCTTCACCAGTGAGTCCATCGCATGAGATACTACCGTTGCGCGTTCGGACGCTCACATTTCCTATTCCCCATTCCCCATTTTTGTGTGATCAAGGGCCCCTCTCCCAAACCATAACTAGAACCCTTACAATCACGAATCCGAATGAGCTGCCGATAGCTTTCAAGGTCAAGACGACTGCACCAAAGGTCCGTTCAACATAAGTGTCAGCTCTTTGTGTGACGTTAAGCGCCTTCACGTGTTGACGCAGTTGTATTGCGTTCGTCCGAACTCTGGCCGTGTTGAACCTAACCAAAGTGTCGATGTCTCCGGTATGTACTGGCTTCATACGGTTCACCCCCCTACTCTGCTCTTTTCCGCTGCTTCAATCTTGGTTGCTGACGGTGAGAATTTGTGGACGCCCCACACGCGACTTCCATGCTGCAGTCATCCTGCAACCTATGAAGGAGGAACCTCCGTTGAATGCAAAATGCAAAGACAAGTTCCTAATACAGACGACCTTGATAACGCCGGAACGAGAATCACTCCCAATTGGAGATCTGGTGAGCCCCGAATAATTCCGCACCGAGAATCATATTTCTTAATACCAATTACATTTTACCTTGCATATGTTGTTGGTTGACGACCGACGACTATTAGTGGACTGGTCCGGAGACGGATGATGCTACTAAAATCCACCAGCAAAAGCTTCGTGTCGTGTACCTCCCAGCAGAGGGAGTGCCAATTCCAGAAGATGCGGCTGAACAACCCAGCATGGTGACGTCCGATGGTGATACTTCAGTACGTGTTGTCAGCACCCTAGTTTACCTCGTCAATGCTTTTCGGAGTAGCTGAGACATTCGAACAGCGATTCGACACGATCAGAGATATATCGACGAATGGCCATCCAGCTGCTCCAGAACCCCAACGAGTATCGCCCTCACCGCCCGCCCCTGAGCGCGCAGCGTCTCCCGCGTATCTTGTCGCACAGGAAGAGACTACTACGACTACCCAAATCCATCCATCCTCTCCGACTCGTCCTCCACCGGTGCCTGCTCCCGAACCACGAGCACCATCTCCCATCCCAGCCCCTATTCCAGTGTCTATTCCCGCACCCGAACCAGTGCCTGAACCCATCCCTGTGCCAGTGCCTGCCCCGCGTTCTGCTACGCCCACTGCGGGAACGGTACACACCCAAGCAACAACCAGTCTCCCAGAAACCGATGACCTTACCAATCGTTATGCCGATGCTTTGGCTGAAATCGGAAGACTAAGGGCACTTCTCACAGAAGCGCAGCAACGAGCTACGGCTGCCGTGCCACCTATCGGTGTCAGACGGCGCACAACCCGTGTTGTGTCTGAAGATGGTGACACTCTTGCTCCTGAAGGTAGCGAAGATGAAGAAGGTACACTTGTTGACTCACTAGCAGCGCCACAGGCCGAAGGCGTCCCCGTGCACATTGTGGCGGGTATTGCATTTGCTGTGTTCCTTGCTACCTACCTCTTCTTCTAGGCCAGTTGGTCAAGAGTCAACGGGTTGTTAATTTTATAGATGGATCTGCCCGTTATGTTTTGTACGACTGACCGAATCGAAACGTACATATCTCAGCTCTCCATGGGCACATCAGCCTTTATGCTGAAGGGCAATCGCTGCTGCATCGACGATTCTTCCATCTTGTGCCTGTCGTCCGTCGTTCCTGCACCTTCTCTATCTCTTCCGGTTGTGCGGTTTGAGCGTCTGCCTTGTTCACTATCCTGCTCCTTTCAGTGAAGAACATTGCTCACTGCCATATTCTTCCTGTACATTTATGGACGGTCTCACGGAAGTGCGCTTGTCAATTTACGCCATTCCTTTTGGCTGCCACTTATCATGATTTATTTATCTGATCCTGACTGACTATTCTGTGGACCCATTGGGTTGACTGAATATAATAACTATGAAGGCGTCTATTCCCACCAGTCCAAACAAGCGGTGCGCCAGATGTCAATAGTGAGGACGGAGGATGACATGTTTGAGAAGATCAATATCTGCCTCTTTCGCACATACAGTTCCATCTTGACTCAGAAATCCATTTTCACGAGGTCGACACTCATCTTGGAGGCCAGAGATGGCGCCGGGTCGACTGAAGCATCGTTCAATGGGGTTGCAGGCCCAACGGATGACGCAGGAGGCACCGACATTCTTGCATAAGAGTTCACGTCTTGCCCCCGAGTGGCAAAGCTGGGGTTTACCACCATCGTGTGATCTACAATCTACAAGCAAGGAGAGTCGGTCTCCGGGAACCATGCAAGGGCTACGACAAGGTGACCCACCCGGTGGAATTGCTTTAAACGGCTAGGTAAGATAAGGATGTGAGGCGCTGAACCGTCCCAGGATTCATCGAGTGTCAAATCATGCTCTTCCCTCTTTATTGTTCCCTCTTCTTGTTTCGCGGCACTGTCAGGACGTGTCACGCCTATTCGCAATAGATGGGAATGTGTGACATCTAGATTAACAGTGCTTGACTGCTCTCGAGGACCAGGATTTACGGGATAGAAGCTGATAAGCGAATCCAGTCAGTGGCCATGAAGAAACGTCTCGGAGTCAGGTTATGAGGGAGGGACGAACCTTCGTTGTTCTAATATGTGGCGAGCGAGGAGGGACATGGGGTCAGAAGATTGAACTGCAGACAGATACCCAGAGGTGGATGGAAGCGGCGGCTCGGAGGATAAGTGGAAGCGTTTCAAAAATTGCTGACCGTTGATATGCATCAGGGTGTCGGCAGTGCCAACGCCAATAGCAATATCATTGATGGTAAAGATGGAAGGATTCGGAACGAGATGGATATACTGCGTGAAAAGCTTCTTAGCGTCATCCAACAACAATAACTCCTATTCACCTTCGAAAGGCCCAATCTCTCATGAGCGAGGGGTTTTTGAGGGGTAACACAATGGTCATGAATGACATCTCGGATACTCGGTACTAGGACGACTGATAGGCCAGGAACATTTCCCAGTAGCGCGGCAAGGGGTGCCGAGATACACTTTTGGAATGTGTCAATTGGGCTTTCAGTGATATTGGCTGTCTTGATTAACTCATTATTACAGTCAATGAATGGGCCCATCTAACGTGCTGGGTCAACTTCGATCAATGTTGTACGAAGTGTCTTTACTAACCAGGATTAAAGCGGTTGGTTGTCGTCTTTGCACTTCAGAGAGAAGCCTCGAGAATGGTGTGAATTCCAAATCTTTGTCGAAGGTGTACGGCCCGGCAGCGACCATGATCTCTGTCCTTTTGGCGGCCCCTTTCGCTGAGTATATGTGAGAGGGTGCACGCAGCCTCGGAAGCTACAACAAAAACGGAATGCCATGAGGAAGGAGCGATCCGGAGGCTGTTCGGAATCGCACTGACCGGCCAAACTTCCGACGCAACGAATCTCAGTCCGTCGCCATTCCTCCCTTTGAGAAGAACAAGTTGACCAGGAAAGAATCCCATACCCGGTCGCCCGGATCCATCGAATTGTACACCAGCCTCATTCCTAATGCTGCATTCAGGAGAGAATGCCAGAGGCACTCGGCTACCATGCCCTAAATTGCGCGAGGATTCGAGTAATATTGAGTTTTCGGTTAACTTCGTGCCAGCCTCTAGATCAAAATCGGAGCATATGCGAGTGACGACCATGACGCCTTCCTAGTCAATGTCCAGATATATCGAGAGCTAACGACTACCCCTCGAAAATTTTGGCATACCTCTGAAACTCGCGATGGATCGTGAAATTCTTCTATCCCATAGTGGGATTTAATGATTTCTGAAAATTCGTCGATGAGATCATCCATCACTGAGGGGAAACCCATCCTAATTAGTAATTTCTTATAGTTCAACACAGCACGCAAACCTTCAGAGCGTTCCGACAGCTTCTCATACATATATCGATCTAAGGATAGTTTAGTCGAACATCCCGTGCCTAACGGCACCAATTTGGCGCAACCCAACAACGCACGCACAGTCGTAGTCAGTTGAGTTGTAAGGGGGTGTGAACTGGGCTTCGGGTTTATGGTGAACTACCGTGGAGCCGGGCGATTCTGCTGGCTGCTTGAGCACAGCTGCATTCTTAGGGGTGGGAAAGGGACTTGATGCAAGCTTGGAGGTCGAGCTGGTAAGACCACGCAGAGCCGAAGGTGGGAGCCCCCTGGCTCGAGAGCTGGTCTGCGTACTTTTAGCTGGAGTCTTCAAGGACGCCATAGCATGTTCCTGTCGCAATTTCTGAGCCAAGCTCTCAGCGCCTTCCGCAGTTAAGAACGAAATCATGCTATTCTGCGTTCTCGCCGAATATGAGAAAGCCTCCCACTTGTAGTAAAGATCTTCTCCTGTTAGGCCCAATTCGGTGCAAATGGAAACGCCTGTGTGGAGGTCCACGTTAAGTATTCACTCTGAACTATGTGGGACGCGTTTTAAGCCCTCACACTTCTCCATTAGATCATCCTGGTTTACAGCAGCCCCAAAGTGCTTAGCTAGGTCTTTCCGAATTGTATCTGTGGTTGACATGTTGCAAGGCGAAGAAATAATCGATTCGGATTCATCGGCGTCAAGTCACATGGTCACTACTCATCCGGCGCTCTATCCTTCTGCTATTATTGTGCCCGCATTGAGCCACCCACGCCAGTCAGGATGGACATTGAGGATGAAGCACCGTTCGTACGATCTAACGTCTATGCTGCCCAATTTTTTTCATTTATCCTGACGATTCTTTGATGAAGTGACCTCCTTATTCCCGATGTGCCCGCGAACAACATGTCCCAAGTCCCACTTACCATTATCACCGGGTTTCTTGGCGCTGGGAAAACTAGTCTTCTTCAGTACGAGTCGATAAAATGGACATCGAAAGTATTCATTCCGATCTGTTTCGTGAAGATACATCTTGAACGCCAATCATGGGTACAGAATAGCCGTCATCATGAATGAGGTGAGCCGATCCCGGGTTAGGAAGAGGCATATTTGAATAATTTATAGTTCACAGACAGCGCGGATATTGAAGGTACTTCCCTATCCATAAAACTACTCCGATGACCCCTACTGCCCTTGAATGATGGAGTTCTTCGGAGTATCAGGGAAATTTGATCCAAGTCTCGTTTTCTGACATTCCGGCTAAATCCAGGTAGGGCGATTAATGTGAAGGGCCCGGACGACCCGCCAGATGCGCCGCTTTCGGAGGAGGTACTAGAGCTTGCGAATGGCTGTCTTTGCTGCTCCATCAGGGACAGCGGCGTGGCCGCGATCGAAAAACTCATGCATAAACGGGGCCGTTTTGATTATATTATTCTGGAGACGACCGGTCTCGCCGATCCAGGTTGGTGTCAAGCTTGTGTAGTATCACCAATGGCTCTCTCATTCAATGCTAGGGCCCATTGCAAGCATGTTCTGGGAGAATGAGTCGATGAGCGAAGCCCTATATCTCGACGGAGTGGTGTGTGTCGTTGACGCCCTGTACGGGATGGAGGTAAGCGAACTTGGATTGAACAGTTGTGTGTCTCTCCAGCTAAAAGGTGGGACTTCTAGGTTATTGAGGGGCCGGATCGTATCGTGGCTATAGGGGCGAGGTCTGCCTTCCTTGTTACATGCAAGCTAGCTGGTCTAATGGATTACAAATAGTCAAGTTGCCACCGCCGACGTTATACTCCTAAACAAAGTGGACTTAGCTTCGAATTCGGCCACTTCTCCTTCACTTGAGTCGACCGACGCTGCTATTCGGAAGCTGAATCCATCGGCTCCGATCTACCGAACAGTGAGGGGTATCCTCGATGGCCTCAGGCTTATCATAGGATTAAACGCTTATTCCTCGAATCCGTTCCGGAATCCTGCTTCCATTGCCACCGTACAGGATGAACTTGATCATGAGCATTCCTGTGTAATTAACCACAGTCATGACGAGATTGGGGGGATCTCGTCCATGGTCATATCATTACCCATACTCGACTCTGATCAGGCTCAGTCCCTCGACCGTTGGCTCAGCATATTATTATGGGAAGGTCGCATTCCTCGGGTAGTGTCGGATCCGCTGCTCCCGGAGGACGCTAAAACGGAGATTCTTCGATGTAAAGGAATCTTCAACACAAAGGATAAGGAGACGTTCCTTGTTCAAGGTGTCCGCACGCTGTATGAGATTACGCGGCTTCCTGACAGGAAAGAAGGAAATGACGAGGCAGCAGTGCCGGGCAGATTGGCCTTGATAGGACGGTTCTCGTCAGGTGCAGCCCGGGCCACCCCAGACTTCGTCGACGTGCGGACACTTGTCACCAGTAGCTTAAGTGCAGCATTAATGGAGCGACGGTGACCCAGTGGCAAATGTCGCCAAAGATAGGATATAAATGATGTGTAATTATTGAAGTAGATACATGAATTCTCCCCTAGAGGCCTTGCACAGGGGTTCCAAGTTATTCGCGAACAGGGACGAGGGATTGCATTATACATAGCCTGGATCCATGGTTAGGGCAATGGTAGCTGAACCGCCAAAAAATGTCAAATGTGGGTCTCCATCAATAGACGTAAGGGAAGATACGGTATGGTACCAAATTAGTGTAAATGGTCCAGTCCCGTCCATATCTCGTGGTACGGAGTTCATCAATCAGTTCGTATAATAAGTGGTGAGAGGCTCACTTCTTTCGGCAGTCTTCCTCGTCCCTAGCTTGGCGGTGGAGAAGTAGAATGAGAAAGTATGTAATCTGGAAATAGGGTATTGGGGATTTGAGGCCAGTTGCGGCGCACCAAGAAAAGGTCATGATTAGGTCACCACTAGGAGGATGTTCCGCTGATTGGCATTGCGATAGCACAAGATACAAACGGCGTACAGATAATTGGGATGCTGCAACCATCCCCACCATCCAGAGATCAAAAGTTTCGAACCTCTCTCGGTTGTCATGAAGGTGAGATCTATCATGGCCAGAAACGGTAAGACAGAGACCATACGCAAGTGTGCGCTTACTTTTGGGGTTCCTGCCCATCCTGAACCCGTCTTTCTCACTATTGCTTGCTCGAAAAATCCAGTACCCAATAGCTTGTAACGTGAAAATTAACGGGGTCCAAATTGGGCCGAGGTTCACAGGATTGAATGCGAGGAATCGAGCTTGAAGTGAATATGTGAACGGCACCCAAGCAAGATCCCCAACTGTCAACATGAATCCAAAACCATCAGTAACTATGTCCATGGTGGTAAATATGGCCGGCTTAAAGAGTGAATTAGTCAAAAAAGCTCCATTACCCTGATCAAACAAACCTCGTTATAAAGCGCGTCAAAAACGTAGGCGGTTTGGAAGAGTACAACGAGAGCCATTGAGTCAGTGATGGTGCCCCCGTTACGAACAGCTTGCTCGCACGCCATACTGATGTCGACGAGTACCCACCCAATCAAACCGGGTCGGAGTTCGAAGAACGATTTCAAGTCAAATGAACAAATGGATGGGTTTAATTCACGGCCGATCCAGAACTAATAACAAAATTTGAATTAAACGTCTGAAGATGGTGGAGATAGAAGATACGCACATTATAGATGTGACTCTCCGAGTTACCTCCTAGAGCCAATAATGATCCTTCACGGAAAGAGACGACATACAGGACGATCGCCTGAAGAAAGGAGTAGATAACGGACGCCGTTACAAGGCCAATCCAATGCTCATAGATCCATGTAAAGGACTCAGGACCTCCACGAACTATGGTTCCCGTAACAATTCCAAGGGTGAGAAGGAGGGTGGAAAAGGCTTGAACAATCACAGCTTCAATGAGACAGAAGTCCGGATAACATGAGAGTGAAGCTCACCGTTAATCTTATAACGCTTCTTCGTCCCATTCCTGATTTGTGTTCCCTCTACCCAGTCACCAGGGAGTATCCACCATGCAAGAATGTTATAAGCGAGCCACGCCAAGTAAACAAGGAATGCTTGAGTATCCCATAGGCTCCTCCACCACGATGGGTCAGTTAGCGCGTTATGAGCGTAGATAGGAAGGACGGTGAGAGGGGGCGGGCATCCCCCAGAATGTTCGTTGCAAACAAAGTACAATGCGTAGATTACAGATGGGACAAGAGTGGTGCATGCGCAAGTTCCAACCACTCCAAAAAACTCGGACGCAGCACCTAAATAAAAGAGTTGTTCGGTAAACCGACGCTGACCATGAGTTATGAATTTCTTACTACGAGGATTGAGGTCACTAGCAGGAGGCGTACTCAGGATACCCATGATGATAACTAAGGTTGAAGGTGTCACGGAACGTACGTTTGGATGGGCGTGCCGGGATTTGCCACAGCTTTAGTGAATTGATTGTTCTTGCTTCGATTGCCAAAGTCCTTCCAGAGCTCCTGTGGCGGTGATGGTTGTATTTGGGCTTTGGATCATAAATAAAGCTGGAGGATTGGTGTATCAGCGGAACTTCAATGGTGTGTGTAGCCTTGGAATGAGTGAAGGTGGTGGAAGCTGCTCATGAGCATTTGAAGAAGGGCTAGTCCAACTGTCACAAAACGAGTATCTTGTGCTTGCTGGTACTCTGCATGGCATACATGCTATCACGAGTAGGCTTTCTCCAGCTGGCAGTAGTTCTGGTGCCCAAGTTATTGAAGGAGAAACATTCAAAATGACTATCTTTCTGACATCAACGGGTTGCCTCTTCTTTGTCCTTCGCTACAATTTCTGCTGCTGACGCGCGTACAACTAGGGACCAAATTTGTTCTCCTGACTACGATTCCGGACAACACTGCGGATACTTTGTTGCCAAGGATTTATGAATCTTATTCTGATTTCGCTATGAAGAACCCTTTCCACACTCCCGAAATGCCGATACGGAGCGAAGCTTTCGACCTGCGTATGACTGCACTATTGGGCAGCTAACTGATGTCGCATTTTGGTGCGTCTGGTCGTTACTCGCCTGCTCCGCACCACCTGTGGCCATCTCATACGCATGGTCTTGCCTCGAGTCAAATCGGACATACAGTCTTCGTGTCCTCCCAATGGCGAGAAGCATCCCAACGGAATTGTACTTTCGGCCCACTTACTCTCAGTAACACACCAATAAGATCTATTACGGGGGTTAGAAAGGATCTGACCTGAGGGTCTGCGTGATCGATGACAAGGAGTTGATGGCATATGTATGCAGAAATATCATCACCAGCCCCAAACTGGCTAGTGTCGAGAAGAATATGATGATGCCTTGCCGTGTCAAATCAAAGGCGCTGACCGACAACTACTGCGTATTATTGGTGGAATTTTGTGTGAGATTTGTGGTTGAGTGCCGCACTTATGAGCAACAATTGAATCGTGCTCCCGACATGGTCGATCAAGCCCGCCTTCTGTTCACCTAGCCAGCAGACGATGATCCATGTTGCTTGAAGCCCTACTTAATCATGCCCTTGGGGCCGTGCAATTTCATCTGAGCTGTGGAAGCGCCAACAGCAATTGAATGACGGCGTGACTATTTCGACAGTCCCCAATATTGCTGTCAATGCATATCGTCTCGACCTGGAGCCCCTCAAGTTCGGTATATTTTTCAGGGAAGATCGGAGAGAATGCTTTGGTCGTGGCAAAATCGAATAGAATCGAGGTGATCGAATTGGCGCCTGACGGGTTACATCATAGATGTAGCTTGGAGATCTGGGGAACTATCACTAGCTTAAACGTCCTAAGGCAGTCTGTGAGCATCGATGCTCTTCACCGGGACCTGAGAAAGGCTCATTGTCCCTTTAGCCATATATATTGATCACTACCGACCATCCTCGCCCCACTGCTGTGGTCATCAACTACAATGCAAAACTATCTGCCTTGACTGTTATTCGCACGGTGTCACTGCTGGAACGCTCAAGCCGCTTCGCCGAGTATTATCAAGGGGCGGAAATCCATGAAGCCTCTGGTATTGCCGTTGCACTGTCCTACAGCGCGAGTCTGAAGGTCATCCCAGTTTTGAGCAAGGAATTGGCAGAGTTTGATTGTCGGTGAGCGTGTTTGACCACTGCTGTGAAAGACCTAGGTTTCCATTTCACATCTTTGGCTGACACCGCAGAATCCCAGAGCTCCATGTTTTGTCAATGTGTCTACTTCCTTCCAGCTCTTCGGCCACGCCATTACCCACAGTAGCGATGCTCTACATCGATCTCCAACTACGTCGTCGGATTGTAGCAAGAGAGGTGGATCTTGAGAACAAAGAGATATCCATTGAACCTTCACCTATGTTGCCGCAAACCCAGGTGTCGGATGGAGCGACACTGATTGTTCCGCTGGAAGGCGTTGATGGCCACGCCGGATATGTCTTGGTGCTTGGCGGGGGACAGGGGCAGCTGTTTGAGATATATGGGACCGAGAATTTATCGCCTGCGAAAAGGATCCAAAGGAAGGACAAAGGAAGCGAGACACCGAACCGGAGGAAGCGCGCACGAGATTCGGCAGATGTTCGAAACAGCGATATCCGAGTTGAACTGCCGTTCGCTGAGGTTGCTGCGTAGGTGGCCCGGCCTTCCATACGAATGCCTTTAACTTCCCATCTCTCACCTTACCAGCTACGCTGAGATCGATTCGCAAAGAATGCTTCTTGCCGACCAGTACGGACGATTGGCAATCCTCCTGTGCTTATGCACCCCAGATAGCGGTGCAATAAATGAGTTGAAGTGTCGAGTTCTTGGAGAGGTGAGCGGGCATTTCCAGTATCAGCTATACGATGTCAAACATCCTGGTCATGGGTAGGTCAATTCTCCTTCCACCATCACGTATCTCAACGACGGAATTGTTTACGTGGGTTCGCATTTCGGAGACTCCCAGCTGGTGCGAATCTTGCAAACGCCAGTGAAACACGAGAATGGCACTGTTTCTCGGGTTGAGGTACTTGAGACGTACAAGAACATTGCACCTATCGTAGATGCTGTGATTACACACACAGACGGATCCAGTCAGGTTCGCCTCGAGGTTAGAACGAAATGACGGCCATTGACCTTTTTATCTCAGGTAGTGACATGTTCGGGAGGCTACAATGCGGGATCACTGAGGGTAATTCAGCTTCCTCTGGCGAAATATATTGTCTGACGGGCATGTTCAGGTCGTTAGAAAAGGGGCGGACTTCAAGGAACTGGTAGCAGTGGAGAGAATGCCCAGAATTTCGGCCATGTGGCCGCTGCGTTTCCCGTCTTACGATAAGTCCGTACCAGCAGTTTATTTATATTACCCATTGTCTTATTGACGCGTCCACCAGGATAGACCGGTTCCTTCTCTACTCTACACTTTACTCTACTGCCCTCATCGACATTTCGGATTCAGGTCACCTGGAAGAAATGACACCGGATCGCTTTCCCGACCTTGAGCGAGGAAGACCCACACTTGCTGCTGGAAGCCTTGACGGATACGATGGAAATGCGTTTGTACAAGTAACCAACAATCGTGTCATCATTCTGGATCTGAGCATTGGGGCAAAGATCTCAGAATGGCCAACCCCAAAGAACTCGAGACGAAGCATAGTCTCTATCACTGTTGCCTGCGTCAATCCTACCCAAATTGCTTTAGCTCTCCAGGGAGGAGAGCTTCTTTACCTCATTATTGATAAAGATATGAAAATCATTGAACAGAGGTGATTGTTGGCCTTATTCCTATCACGACGCTTCCCTCATTCGTTTTGTTTTACAAGCTCGAGGATTTTCCGTGATGGAGGTGAACCACGGGAAGTATGTGCTCTTTCCATCAACCCCATGTGGTCTTCCTTCCCCCATGAGTCTCGAGTCTTGGCGGCCGCGTTTTGGGGATCAAACGCAGTAAATCTTCTGAAACTACCCACCCTTCAACCAGTTAGCGCCATACCATTATCACAAGGAGAATCCCATCTACCCCGGTCTGTCTTACTCCACACTTTCGGCGACACGCAACCGTATTTGCTCGCTGGTTTGGCAGATGGGTCACTAGTTGCTTATGAGCTTGAGAAACGTACCTTAGAGCCTAGAGGGAAGCGAGTAATGGGCTTAGGAAACTTGCCTATGATTCTCACACCATGCAGGCACGGTGCTGATAAACCTGTTGTTTTCGTTTCTGGGAATCGACCAGCGGTCTTATTCTTGGACAACGGCCGATTGCAGCACTCACCGATCGTGTTGAAGGCTAGTCGTGGATTCGGGTTTACTAGTAATCAGGGCTGAGCTTTACATTCCAGGATATAGAATGCGCTGCCTTGATCCATTCAGTGAAATATCCCGATGCCCTGCTACTTGCCGGTCCCGACAACCTGGTTATCGGCCAATTAAGAGAGCTTCACAAATTGAATATCCGAACGGTGAGACTGTAAGTATATTACTTCCATGGTTAATACTTTTGTGGTGTGCAGATACCTCTTGGCCTTGATAATCCGCACAAGATCTGTTATGACCCCGATAACAAAGTGTTTGGCTTAGGAATCCTGCGGAACGAGCCAAGCGGATTAAATGAGTTATCAGTAGAGAGCACTCCGTCCTTCAGAGTGCTTGACGAGCTTACGTTTGAAAGTGAGTTTAGCCATGTCGCAGATTAGATTCTGCTAAGGATTTCTTATAGCCTTTCACGACTTCAACTTACCATCATCAGAGGAAGTTACAAGTATTGGGTCGTTCCTACTGTCGTGTTCAGGAACGGTGTCTCGTTACTTCGTCATTGGAACAGAGATCACTGCCCCGATCCCTAACAGTCCTCACAGAGGGAAGATTCGGGTTCACCGAATGGTATCTGTGCATGCTGTTGATGATATTACAACACTTCCTGTGAATGGGGGTGTGGCAAGTCTCGATTGCGTCGATAATAAAGTCGTGGCCTGTGTCAATTCGGCGGTGAGCCCCTTCCTGACAGCACGCCTACTGTATACTGAGTTCCACAATTACATTTTTAGGTGATCCTGTACGAGCTCGCACAGACCGAGAGCGACCTCAGACCAACGTTGATCAAGCTTGCCAGCTGGGATCGCGGATATCATCTGCACACCGTGCGCGTCCGTGGCGATGTACTTGTCACCGCTGATGCGCTTCGCTCCCTCGATGTTCTGACGTACAGCGGGAAGGGCTTTTCGCTCCGAGCACGAGATCACAGCGCCTTGTGGCCCATTGCAATGGAAACGGTTGATGGCGAGCATATCATGGTTGCAGAGGCATGGGTCATTTATCACTCCAGTTGTCATGTGTTGTTGACTGTTCCCTTGATAGGGGCACAAAAATTTGTTCACTTATAAGGCGGAGGGGGGTTTATTGGACAGAATCGGTACATATCATCTTGGGGAACGGATAACGAGCCTGCAGAAGGGTGAGTGCGCCGCCCTGTTGTACTTTGGATTAGAAGTCATGCTTCCTTTGAAGGTTCCCTCGTCACCAATGACAATAAGGGCGTGCTGTGGCCATCCTTGGTATATTTCACTGTGAACGGTCAAATTGGCGTGATCTCGGAAACCCAAGGAGATTTCCCTCTCCTTTTAACTGAATTGCAGCGCAATATGGGTTATGTTCTAGAAGGGCCAGGCAAGGTCGAACATGCGGCGTGAGTAACGTTCCGCTTCAGCTCACCTCTACATTCTGAAGTTGCCTTAGTTGGCGGTCCCCGGTCAACATCAACGGTAGTTTGGAGGGGGACGCAATTGGTTTCATTGATGGTGACTTCATTGAAAGATTCTTGCTTTTTCCAAAAGACTCGGGTGAAGTTGCAAGGATAATGCAAGGACGTAAGAGTCACGAAACTCTCAAGGTGTCGTACGAGGAGATTCTCCAAGCGCTGGAGCAACTTCAGCTTGTCCACTAGTTCTGGGATATCCATTTCATTTGTTGTGAGAACGAGATGTCCCGTGAAATATATATTATGATACAACTATTTTCAATAGTGGGGTAAAGTAGCATCGGGATGAAGAATGAAACTTGTCAAGATGACCAAATGGAAAAGTAGAGTGTCTGAATATACCCCCATAGACCGGAAGGTGGCATGAAGTTGCGATGCAACAGGGTGAGGTCTTCATCATTGGTCCGAGGCGGGGCGAAGTAGAATCCAGCGACCAAGACAACGTAGCTGCGTAGGGCTCGCTCGTCAGTACCGATCGTTGCCAAGTAAGGAAGTAGCAGTTCACCTGAGAACGAGGATACTGCCTCGATAGTAGTTGGCCTTGGCTTCTATATATGTGTATGTGAGAAGGAAAATAGAAAGGATGATGGCGATTACATCCCAGCGGGGGAAAATGAGTCTGTCGAAGATGAATGTCGTAGACTGATGTGACCGACAAGTGAATGCACTCACGTAAAGGTATCGGCGATGCTGCTAAGTGCAGGGTCAGACCATGCAGAAAACGCCACCATCGCTGGGATTTGAAGGAGGCACACTTGAAGGGCGTAAGCTGAACCAATTTCCATACTTTCGCCAAGAACATCGGTTAGTTAAAGTTACGAAGGATCGAGTGTTTAAGCATACCTCAATGTGATATTGTCGTTCAAGGCAAAAGAGATAGCATTCATGAATTCTGTCGTATTCGGAACCAAAGCCAATAAGGTAATCCCAAGAAATTTCTCATCCAATCCGTAGCCAACAAGCAGAACGTCAATGGTGTCAACCAAGATCTCTGTCGATATTCATCAGTTTAGTCAAGATATAGATAATCCAAGTTATAATACATACCAGCGATTATGGCATATAGTACAGTGCAACCAAGAAGAACGCTAGCGCTGACAAACCTGCTCCAGGCGGGGGCATCGTGGCCTCCATGACCACCCTGGCCACCTGGTTCATCGTGGCCACGAACCTTGGGGTGGTCCTGCTGGTGTCGTAAAGCTGACACAGTAGCAACGGCCACGGCTCGTGTGAAATCATCTGTGGTGAGGTTCGGGGGAAGCTGCATCGGAGCAATATTGGCGTCCCTTACGGCCAAGTTGACGCTATTGATAAGAGGTGTATATGCAAGCGGGCCTGGACTACGTGGGGTTTGACCAACAGGTGTACTTGACGCAACGGCAGTGGGTCGTCGAGTTATGGTGGGAGATTCTAGAGACGCAGGGACTGGTGTTGTGCGACCACTTCCGGTTTGCGAGCTCTGATCTGAGGCCGAAGGTTGTTGTGAGGTTCCTCTGCCCCTTTGATGCTGGTTCACGGGAGGAGGCGGCCCTGTCATAGTTACATTGCTGGTCTGACGATTGAGTGGACGGTGAATCGGAAGGACTTGGGAGAGTTGCTTGTACATGGACATGCGACTCGCGGGATTTGTTATCGAACTGGCAAGAGCATCGAGGGGTTGCATTAGCTGCTGAGGATTTTGCCAAATTTGTGAAGCGTGAGTTCGCAGAGAGAACCAAAGCCCAATGAGATAAGACTGAACAAGTGTCAATATATTTCCGATAACAAAGATGCCGTATCTTGCTCACTAGAAGGAGGACGGAGGCGCAAAGGTACATGAGGCTCCTGACGGTCGTCTGATAGAAAGGATCGCTTGCTGGATCAAGGTGCTCATAATAACACTTCCGGCAGTGCCAAGGAGATCCATCGCCACTCAAAGGAGGACAGCCGTCACACACAAGCGTGAACTGAAGGGAACCAAGTCAGGAAAAAGACGACTTCATTGTCTAATGTAACGCACTTCACCGAATGTCTGATAGAACAACGTAGGAGTCAGCGTCCCAATGATGGCCATGATCAGCATAGTGCTAGTGACGCCGGCGCTCTTCGCATTGAACTTCTGCTCTTTGGTTCTCATAGCACCACTACACATACTGGTACCAGGCATAAGCAGCACGCCGGCAAGCAGACTGCCCACAATACAACCCTCCACGATCCTTCCTTTTCCAGCTAGCAGCATTCTGGAATAAAGAATAATTTCGATGATTGAGCCAAAAGTAGCGTTAATAACGGCCCCCATGCCGATCGATGATTGTGCACTGATGCTGGCCACGGCCATCCCAATGAAGTAGGAAAGCGGAATCACGCTTGCCAGGCTCAGGGAAAACAGCAAGGGACCTGAGGTAAGGAACAGGAAAAATCGGTTGATCGGCTGACCGGAGTTTTCGCTTCGTCGGCGTATGGGCACAAGGACGAAGAAGTCGAATATGACGAAGAATACGACAGGAAGAAGGTTGACAAACATGATGTTCACACCTCCAACTGTGTACTTGTAATACTGTAATCCAACGGCCCGATAAGTGCAAAGAAGCACCTTAGAAGTAGGCTTTCCAAAAGGAGCAATTTGTCCCGCCCGGAGGCGAGGTTGTTTCACGGTGAAAGTAGGTGTAGCGGAGTTGAGAGGTGATTCGGGAGGGGGAGGTTGGACGGTAGGTGGGGGAGCCTCTCGGAAACGGACACGTAGCGGGTGGTAAAATAGGTATTTGAGCAGCTCTTTGTTGAGCCTGGCCATTGGGATGGTAAACACCAAAGCATAACAAACCAAGGCCACTACGAGCATGACCGGAGCAATGATGGATATGAAGAAAAGATAATAGATAATGGTGCAAAGCATGTGGGCTTCCACGCGGTCGACTTCATTTCGAGGCAACTCTAAACCGTAGGTCTTGGTAGATCGCGCAACACCAGGACTTCCATTCGATGATAGTAAAGGAGCACGTTCAGTCTCAGGCCGCAGCGAGAAGGTTTGAGGAGTGATAGTAGATTGCTCGGAGAGCAAAACACCAGTTGGGACGTGCGGTGGAGTCTTGGAGCCTTTCACCGTCCCTCCAGCAAATTCCGATTCCTCTACGAGATTGGAAGTTTCTTCGGGGATTGGGCTGACATGGCCATTATCTGCTTCATCATCTTCGTCTTTAGGGCCCTCTTCGTCCGAAGGGTCTTCGATGTCGCCTTCAAGATACTTGCCAAAAGGCCAAAATAAATACCACCCAAGGCCGCGTATGAGCCGACCAAAGCGACTGCCACCTCTAGGGACACAATACAGAATAGTTGCAACAAGAAAGCATATCAGAGCCATCCACCAGCCAAACAAAAGTGCCCAAAACACGTTGCCTGGATGAAGGTGGCGCTCGGCGGTCGCGGATGGGATGTTGTGCAGTGCGTGTTCAGCATCACGAGTTACGGTTCGTGATTTTTTATACAAGGCGGGCTTCCAGATAGGGAGACCGAATGGGTGCTCAACATTGATGAGGGACTGTCGTTCTTTGAGTGTAACTGGGTCTAAAGACCCTGACTCGCTAAGGGCTTCCTCGCGCTCCAACACCCGAGTAGCTTCACCTTCTTCATCATCACTACTGGACGAGCCATCGCCATCAACAGCTGGCGTCACGTTACGCCGGCGACGTGGTGCTTCTTCGTCCTCATCCTCCTCCGACACAACTGTTTCCTGGTACCGTGGCCTAACACTGGACACACTGACGCTTCGGCCCTGGCTATGCCGTGGATTCGAGGGAACCGGTGGGCGGGTAAGGCTGGGTCCCGCTGCGGCTGATGTGCCGTGCATTCTGCGGTTGAGACTTGGCGATATGGGTCTCGACTGGAAGTATGATGTCCCTTCATTATGATGCAGAGGACTGCTGTCCGGAAAGTTAGTTCGAGTCTCACGACGGGTGACATGAGGCCGAGGCAGGGATATACTCATGTTTGTTGAGCTCGCATACGATGAGGGGCCATCCTGTGCTTCAGATGCACCAGGATAGGAGGGTGACGGGGGGCGATCATAGTTGTATGACATGGATGTCTGCGTGTCTCGTCCTCCGTCCCAGATGGATAGAGGTAGGGAGTCTCACAGTGCTTGCTGTATGCGCACTCAATGTGTGGTCAACGTCAGCGCCAAAATGTCGAAAAGGAGGAGACCCCTGACGGCAGCCAAAGAAACCCACGCGTGACATTACTCAATGATTTGAATAGGTAGGGTAACATGAACGACGATAATTGATATCCAGAAAAAATGAGGTATATTGAACCATCCATCAGAACTTCCCTGCTGCCACACACCTAACTGGCATCTTAGTACTCAGTTGGCGCAATGCTCTCTTCATAATTAACTTGTTGATTTGCATTTTCGGTTCCATAACCCTCCTCATCATCCAGTCTAAAGGAAGCTGAGCTAATTGTGCTATCTCCGTAGATGGGTCACTTACTCTGCCTCTTGGTATTGCTGGTACTCAGACCTACGTGCGATGGAATCTATCAGAAAAATTCATGAGTGGACAAGAATGTCAACTCACATCAAATCAAGAACGTTGTTTTCCGCCTCTGTGAACTCCATCTCGTCCATGCCTTCATTCATGTACCAGATCATGAATGCACGACGCTTAAACATGGCGGAAAACTATAGCGAATTAATTTAGTTTGGATGGGAAATGAAACGATTGACAACCGATACCTGAACTTGCGTCCTTTGGATGACTTCGGCGATTGCAGTCTGTGAGCATCTTGACTTCAGGACTACAAGCACTTGAATTGTTCAAACACTAACCGTATTTCCAAGACACGTTGCAGCCTGCTTCTGTCCTACGGGAGGCACGCTACATAAAGCTGTTTACCCGTTAGCACCTCTGTGACCATTTCATTCCAAAAACGAGGGCTTACTTATTGAGACGTTATCCGGGATATAGCTACGATAGAAGATCAAAAGTAAGTATAATACTTGCATCGGAAAACATCGAATTTTCACACACTCGACAAAATATGATGAATTCTTTCTTTTCATGTCGCCAATTGCTGCCTCAGCATCCCTGGAGTTCACACTGCCACGATAGATAGCCGCAGCGGTAAGATAACGCCCGTGGTGAGGGTCTAATGCTACGAGCATATTCTTGCGGTCAAACATGGAGGTCGTCAGCTCCGGGATCGATTGCGATTGGAATGCCCGGCTCCCTGGAGCGACGATTGGAGCATATGATGGCGCAAGGAAGTGCAATCTAGGTTGTGGAGCAGGCTCAGCAACGACAGCTGGGTAATTGACTTGCCGAGAAATGCTAACCGAGGGAATGGGACTAAATTCATAGCAAGCTTGCGCAAGTCACTAGCCACAAGATGATATGAGTGGTGCCCAGTTTTGCGAAAGAGCCATATAAACCGCACCCGTTTAGCTGCCCAGGGAATCGTAAACTCGTTGATACCCCAGCCATGACGGTTGCAATGATCTGGTTCAAATTCTCGAACTCTGGTGTCTTATAACCAAGACGGTGGGAGGTGTCATAACTGTACAACAATGCACAAGTGAGTCTTTGATGTGTGAACGATGCCCATTTCTGCACCCACAGAGCCTCATTGTCGATACAAATTGCCAAATCACTGTTCTCTGTCAATTGGTGAATCGCCAGCATGGCTGAGGTGTAGAGAAAGGTTACGTGAGCGTTTGTATTCTTGTGGACCTGCTTAATCGTCACTCACAGTTATAGGGCTCGACGACTGTGTCGGACATCTAGGACGAAGTATAAACTTGGATATGTGGCGAATTTAAACAATCTTCACTTTAGCAGAAGGCAACACCGAGAAAGTTGCAATCATGGCATCGGGAACCTCTTCGCGAACTTTCCCAGCAAGTAGAGCACCAAGACCTAAATTACAACCATACATCATAATTCCGTGGTAGAATTCATCTATCCATACCTGACCCTGTACCACCACCTAGGGAATGAATAAACTGGAAACCTTGGAAACTGTCACAGTTCTCGACTTGCTGACGTAGAACGTCAAGGACTTGATCCACTAGCTCTGCGCCTTCGGTATAATCTGGAGCATCGCCATCAACCACCAAAATAAACATAGTATGATAAACCACGCACAGCCCTTGGCCCAGTTATTTCCTGCCCCGCTCTCGCCATGGATGAATGTGTCTGGGCGAAAGAGATGCCCCAAGGGTCCACTGGAAAATGGTTTCGCCGATGATGAGTTCCTTCACACTTCAACTCTACATGTGTAACATACGATCGTAGCTATCGTGATATATCTACTCAGCACAAACCAGCTTATGATGGAACTGAATTGACACTTACATGATTGCAAACGCCTGCTTCCAAATCAAGTTGCACCGATCTTGGGACATACTTTGGACTTGAACCTCGTCCCCCGACTTCATTGAAATAAACCCCCGCACTTGCTTGTTGAAGAGGGTCACTCCCCACATATGCCTGGGGGGACACGATGAGGAGGATCACGGTGAGATGCGGAAGTTTCAAAGTAAGGATATCCTAATCATTGCCGAGCTAAAGCGTCATAAGTGAGGCTTACTCCGGAATCGTCCATTCCATGCTCGCGAAGAATCGTCTTCCAGAACGTCTCTCCTATCTGGGCGCCAATAATGATGATGGTCATCGATAGTGCATGAATGGCCAATCAGACTCAAGAAAACGACGCGTTCAACAAGGAAGAAACAATTGCTTGCCTGGTTACCTGCCTGCTCGGTAGCGTTGCGCGTGTAGGGAGGTGCGGAAAGCACTTCATAATGGGATCAACTGCGAAAAACGTCATGCACGACTTACTTGGCCCAGCTGGTGCAATTTTTGCCGTTCTAAGCGCCATTTTCGCCGCGAACTAGAAGGCCACATACCTGTATATTGATGATCTCGCGAACCATTGTTTGTCGAGAGGTCGATATGAGGAGGAAAATGGACGGAAAGAAAAAAAAAAGGTTGAGTGAGCGTATTGAGATCCTTCAATTTATTCACTGGCTCTTCCTTGACGCGTCATTTGCGGTTGTTCCCGTGTTTGCTGAAAAAGGAAAAGGACCGTGATTGATGGCTCGACCGACGGACGCGCGGGCGCAAGTAGACAGAGCCTCAAATAATGTTTGAGCCTGGCACTGAAAAGGTGTCCCAGAAATCGCCAACATGTCACCATGTAAATTATTCCGGGCAAGGTGATTAGTGGCGCAACCCCCGAATTAAGGACGGGAATGAGGACATGTATATTCTTTCGGCGTAATTACAGGTGTACCTCGATAGCATTGGGGAATGGTATGAGTTGCACGGCTGAAGAAAAGAACGAGCGGGGTTAGCTAAAGTTAGGGATCCATTGGGATGGAGGTTTCTCGGGTGTCGTTGATGTTTAGTAGAGGCTGGGATCCTGCCTATCGTTGATGCTGCTTTCTGGATTCCGTCAAAGAACAGAAGTTTACGAAGCCTCTGCCACCGGCAGGTTCGGGCAGAATTTATGTTTGGCTATTGTGTCCAAAGACTAATGTACCACCTCCGGTTAAGGCGAGGCCGCTTGAGAAGCTAAACAGCGAGAAGCGTAATATTGTCGAACTGCCATTCTCCGTCGAGATCACTGCGCAAGGGACGGGCGTACTGTATACTTCTTCGTGTTCACACCACATCGCTCACCGTCGCTTAGCAGCTAAGCAAAAATATGCCAAAGGATGAATTTTGCCGAACAATAAGGACCATTGCAATGAGTCGAGATGCTGAGTCCCTGGCCGGAGGTAGATGAGCATTTCCGCATCAACCCCCTATTCCCTTCCATAATCAAACAAGACGATATTCTTTACATGCTAGTGCAAATCTGGCAACGCCAGAGAATTATGCACGAGGACGACACTGTGCCTCGCCCCCAGATAGGAATACTGGAACCATCGTATGCACACGGATAGATCCAGCCTGCTGCGACATTAGGCGAAGCGCGTGACGGTCGTGTTAAATCGATGGTGTACAGATCCCCTAGTGGACTAACAAAATTGGTGGCGAAGGTCAAAAGCAGTGAGTGGATAAAGGGGCTGCCTGTTTGACTGGAGAGTAGAAGCAAAGAAGGGGGGGGGGGTCGGTATCATGAGCAATACCCGGAATAAACCGAACAAAAGTGGAGCATACGAGAAGGACAGAATAAACACACCCCGAGATATGACACCGCTGGAAGGAACCCAACCCATTTTCGAAATCGACACCCAAAAACTGTCAACCCAACACGACGACTCAAAAGTGGAGCAGCATTCGGGCAATGCCTTATCGGAGAGATCAAGGACACCCTAATCGGACTTATTTCTTTATTTTCTCACCTTATTTTCGTGTATTTATCTCGATCCCTACAGTCTGCAGGTTATGTAAATATCCAACAACAACAACACGTGACACGTGACGTGCCCTGGACCGTCTTCTCGACAAGCCTGCTACTGATATCATCCAAAAGACGTCAGGGCCATCTGCAACATGGATGAAACAGTCGATTCTTCCATCCCCCAAGTGGAGACGTTGAACGACGAAACCGAAGACTACCTTGAGCCAGAACAAGAGCAGACCAACGAGATCGAGTCTGACCCAGAAATCGCGGAAACAGAGGCGGCAACAGCAACAGCTGCTGATGCCGCCGAGCCTGCACCTAAAAAACCCAAAAGCAAGCCACCAACCGAACGCTTGCCCGGACAGTCTCTCTTGCCTTTAAGTCGTGTGTCAAAAATTATGAAAGCTGACAAGGAACTTGGAACGGCAGCAAAGGAGGCAATATTCCTTGTTGCTATCGCGACTGTATGTCCAAACTCCAGAATACGGGTGTCGCGTTTTTATGCACGTTCCTCATCACGTTTGCAAGGAGGAGTTCATCAAGCGTCTTGGTATCGAGGGTCACAACCAAGCAATACGAGAAGGGAGATCTATTGTAATGCTCAAAGATCTCGGTAAGATATTATAAATCTGAACAGAGTCTAAGTGTTTCTAACGGTTAACCAGCGACTGCAGTTCGCAGGACAGATGAGCTGCTTTTCCTTCAAGATATCATCCCTCATACCATCACAGCCTCCGCTGCCCTCACCAGGCGCTCAAAACCAGAAGTTACAGACCCATCCTTAGCACCAGCAGCTGGTTCAGGCTCCGCGTCGCTGCAGAAAGGTCTTGAAAAAATGCGCGTCAATAGCAACGAGGGGATACAAACGCCTGCTTCTGGAAGCTCGAGGAGGAAGTTTGCGCCGTCTGCAAATACTTTAGCGACCATGATGCAGAACGCTCGGAAGGGGAAGGGGAAAGAACTTGCAGTCGAACATCCAGTCGAGAACGGAGGCGTCTATACTGGATCTGCTTATCAGCTCCGTCCCGTGGCAAATCCCTCCTATTACACGAACCCAGCCGCAGCTCCCCTCCCTCCACCAGCTCAGCTACCTCCAAATGCCCGTCCACCACCCCCAGTGACGAGGTCTGTTTCGCGGACTGAGCAAGCCTCTGAAGCCATGGATACTTCTTAGTAGCATTCCCCTTCCTGAACAAGGGCGTTTACATCTGGTGGTAATACTTATAGGATCCCAAGGTATCAGAGCAAACATTTTCACAAGCGCGATTTAATCATTTTCGCCACTTCAATCGCATCGTCATCATCCAGTTGATGTCGCCCTGGGAATACTTCAACCTTGTTGTTGCCAACCCGAGCCGAAGTGGAGGTACTCCGAAAGTCAGGGGCGGGAACAATGTGGAAATGAGCCTTAAGGGTGGAAGACCGACAAATTTAGTGCCGACTGCAACAAACAAGCAGCCGTTGACGAAACTGACATGAGGAACAACCTGAGCGTAGACTTGATTCAAAGTTACTGTCAATGCCTGGTTATCAAGAGCTAAATAGGAGGAAAGACGTTGATACACGTTTCTACGATTGCGGACGATGAAAGTATCAGTGACATACCTAATGTCAAAGCCTTTGAAACTTTAACTAGGGCATCGCCCAAAGCAGCTGCGTACTTCTCCGGTAGTTGGGAAAACAACTCGATATGGACCTTCGGGATGATAAGGACGTGGCCTCGTCGTGCGGGTTGTATATCTGTGCCACGAAGTTGGAGCGTATAAGCTGAGCTGTTTGATAGATTACCCTCACCTAAGAATCCCACAACATAATCAGTCTCGTATATCTTGTAGCTAGGCTCAGTTCCCTCAATGATGTTGCAGAATGCACAGGGCTCCAATGACTGAGCCTTGGATGGCATGGGAAACAAAGCTTTGGTCACATGTAGTGTGGTTTGAAGATGCTGTCCAAGACAATCTCTCGACCCATAGAACCTATCGCAACGGAACCTACCGTCGACTTCGTGAGAAGAATATCACTGTGGGAAGTAAATGGCCGTAAAAAACCATTTTTGGTCTGGTTTTTGACCATTTACCACTGTTTTCGTGATATTTTTTTCATTGTAAATTACAATATACGTTTCACGATGCTAAATACCAGACTCTTCCCTGCGTAAATTACCACTCAATTCATGGTATTCGAGCTGCGATGTATTGTACAAAGGTCAGAGGTATGGACGGCCGGAGTTCGGTTAGTCATCGTCGTCGATTGACCTTGCGAGCTCGCAACTGCGATCGATGATGGCCCAACGACGGGAATGCGTACGTACCATAGGGAAATCGGCCACATACTGAAGAGACCGAAGCGAGAGCGATAATTTGACTGTAGTAAAAGAGGTCGGTGCCAAGGCAGCATCCATGTAGGCACCGCTATCTGAGACAAGGTCAACGAGGTGACGCATGTTCTCACAAGCGACGTTTTGTGACGTGCTCGGGGATTTGAGTCCACAGCTACTTCAGCTCAATAGTGAGAGCCATGAAATTCAAACACTCCTACCCAGACGAAGGATAAGTTCCTAAATTTAATTCGTTGTTTTTGGGCCCACATTGTGGAAACTTTGTCATCTCCCCCGACAATGCGTGATTTCCCTAGCGAGGCATAACCAAGAGCTCGATTATATGTTGGTACGGCTTGTTGTAGACATTAGTAAACTAGATCGCGACTTTGCGATGGGTGGAATTGTCAGGAATGTTTCTTGTCGCAAGGAGTCCCAAGTATGGAAGCTGGCACTTAAAGATGTAAGCAGAGACTGTGGCGCTTAGACTGAAATCGGACCAAGTTGTTCTCGGCAGTTTCCATTCCACTCAGTGCCTTATCCTCTCCACCATACCATACACGTTCTGCAACCTGCTCATTTCCTGCCAATTTGACTATCCTTTCGCTATGCAACTAGCTACTCTTCTCAGAAGTGGCAAGTACTTATGAATATGGACACTGGGCATGCTGCCTCACTGACAGCGATGCCATGAATGGCTTCCATCTGGACGTGTTTCAACGCGTCTTTACGCGTCTTTAACTCATTGGTGAATGAGAAATAGCATTTATTTATTTATTTTAGAAAATCGTCAAGCCTCTCACAGCAAACAGGAATCAATGTTACCCAAGGGTCACACCTGTGGTAGAAAAGCTCGTGCATCTGCTTAGGGCATAGTTTGGCCCCATGTGCGCTCATTAGTTTATCTCCCAACTACCTCTTCTCCCTCTGCTGCCTTGCTAATTTCCCCCTGTGCTAGTAACCAAAAAACGCGACTGGAATTCGAAAGCGATGATAATGACCAAGGCCCGATGACAACCACCTCTACTAGTACTGCCAAAAAGGAACCCCCGTGGTCGTCACTATGATGGCCCCACAACAGAAGAAAGTCTGAATCAATTAACCTGGCCCACTCAGAAGGAAAGACCGCCTCGCGAAGCTGTGCGCAAGGGTTGAAGTTCACTTATGGTATCTTCTACCGTCTTATTCACAGCCCGAGACTTCCTCCACTTTCATTAGGTTATGCTCTGTCAAATCAACCTCATCAAAATCGAATCGATGCTCGACTTTTATGCTGCCCGTCTCTTGCTCGCACTCAACTCCGTACTTTTCTCGTGAGCCCAAGGCTTCAATCCTGCGTTATGCTTTCCGGATCGGCTCTTCTTCGTCACTCCTCGAATTGACCTTTGTGTCTTTTGTTCACCTCAACTCGGTTCATTTCCTCACTTGCAATGACTGCTATTCATCGCAACGTAACCTAGAGTCTCTGCCATAAATGTAGTTGTAAATGACGATAAATAACCACGTTTTTCGCCAAATTAACAATATTGTAAATGATGAAATCCGACCGGTAAATTACAAAATGCACCCTTGTAAATTGACCGTTTACAATCGTTATTGTGGTGGAGAATTATTAAAAAACAGGTCATCTACCTCCTTTAACGTGGTAAAGGAATCCTGGTAAAATGCAATGGACCACATTGTAAAACACAGTTTTAATCATGTTAAAAATGAGTGTATTATACAATGGTTAAGATGATCTTTTACGCATCACTAATTCCCTCTGTGATATCCCACCAACTTATCGACCTCCCTCGAGGCCCTCACATTTCTAATGTTGTGATTCTCCCCACTCGTGGGAGCTCGTAGAGAGGAGCTGCAGCCTCAATACTCGATATATTTGTCGAGTCCCCTTGATATATGGGACTGTATGATGAATCGGCAGGTACATATGAGCGGCAGGCTGTTGTGTGGTGTTGGCAATGGTGTTGAGATGAGACCTTACCCAGAACGTTCAGCACGGTCTGACCGCATGATCACAACCGGTTAAACCTAAGGTCTTGTTAACTTGTCACTGATCGGATCCGATGGAGATATACCTGTCCACTCGCGCCATGTTATGGGCTCCTGTGCACGGCGTCTAGTCTCATCGAACATTCAGCTGAACTAGTTGGTTTTGATTGACATAATTTCGAGTTAGCATTAGGCTCCCATTGTTCTTTCTTTTGCTGTCTTGATCCTCCGCGGTACAGAACTCTGGTGACAAAAACCGCTTTCACTGAACGTCCTGCCTCATGTCACCATTTTCGCCGAGACCCCTGCCCTTGGCGCTCTCACGAGCAGCCTATAGTGTGCAGGTTAAATATCCAGAACTACACACACACACCATTTTCGCCGACAACTCCGTCCCCTCTTTCTTACATGACACTCACCCCCGACATCACCCACCCGCCTTCTTATTTTATGTCCTGATAACCCATACATGTAAACTCAATGTGGATCACAGTAGGACTGTTGCGTTGTCGCGCGACCGCGGGGTAACAAGAGAGAGTCCACACACACCCTACTTCAGCCAGAGCTTCAGGCTCCCGCCTTGCTGAAGTGTATATAAGAAGCTGTCTGCTGAACCTCGGCCCATTCATCCAACTACACCCTGAAAACACCGAGATTCACACTCGGCTTCGAGTCTAATTCCAACGTTGGAGAAAGGAATCAGACCGGAAAGTCAGCGGTGCCGGAAGGTGGCTATTGAAAGGGATGGACTTGTTTACAATGATGGGAGGCTCGAATACCCATCTCGGAGCCTCATGTAGGGCTAGATGGAAGGACTGGGCATACAAGAATGACTAATGCACCCGGCCTGGGAGCCTCACCCCTCCCTACGAACTCTCAGGCACAACCGGCTGTGCCCAGCGAAAGCTACGGAGACCACTCGCGTGCGGAAGTGAATCCGAACCGTATAATTCTGGAACGCTGCAGAACCTTTCATGAGCTCTGTAATATTGTTGTACACCAGCACGACCAGAGGCCCGGCCTAAGTCTATATCCTAACCTCTCGTGCAACCGACGTCCACCTGCCGTAAGTGCATAAATCCCCTGTTGACCTTGGCTACGCGTTACAGTGGCCAGGCCGCCCACTTCCGCAAGGGACGTCTCAAGGCGTCATCCAAACACCTCCAGACCCTATAGCGTCTTCTATTAACCTTTAGATGCTATAGAGGTGTCAGCAAACAGTTTGTTGACTCTCCATCCCTGATGGGTAACGGTTAACCCATCATGGCCGCTAGACTACGTTTTACCTCTGCACTTCATAAGCCGCGAGGACTTGCCACGGAATGCCGTGGTAGAAATCGTTACATAATGATACTTGCATGGTCACAAATCCATCGCAACGAAGGTCATAACGCTAAACCGCATGTATATATGTATGACGTGATGAGGAATGATGGTGCAAGAGCCCCGTACAAAGAGTCTTGAATTGGGCAAGCACTACACAGGGAATCGTGCAACTCTTCAAGGTTTTCTCATAAGTGGCGAAGCTTCTGGTCACAGGAGAGGTGACTGGACGCATACCCCTTGCATCTCGGAGTACGCTCCGTACAACTGGTGCTGCTACCCAACCGTTTGTGCACGAGGCTACATTGATACAAGGGCGCTACCATACTCAAAAGACCAAAGGTATACTTGCTCATCTACGTCAACCGGATCACAGCAAGAATTCGCTGCTCCTCTGATATTCAGAACAGGCCACTTGAAGGGACACTGTGGAATAAAAGGCAGCCATGGACTGTGATGGCCTCGAAGGTAGAGCATACAAACGGCTTGTCAGTCGACGTCCACCATTGCCACGGTTCTCTCGAGGAAATCTCGTGGCAATGGAATCCAGAACATTTCGCCAGTTTGAAGATCCTCGACTCCTTCCCCCAGGTTTAAGTCCGTCAACCTTGACCTCACCAACCCATGATCCCTGAACTCCTGTAGCAGCCCTCGTAACGCGAGATCGTTTGATGCAAGAAATTCCTCCTTCGCACGACGCATCAGTTGTGTATAAGGCATTCCTAGCGTATGCAAAGGATCACGCGAGTTCGGGTCGTTCTGCAATGCCTCCGCCCATCTTGTCAGCATATCCATGCCCATTGCTTTGAAAAGCCTCCGTGCTTTGAGGGTAACGCTGCCAAGAACCTGGCTGGCTTGCAACTCTGTAATCGGGGGACGACCACCTCCACCGACAAGGAGCTCATTTTGACCGCCGAATGGCGCAGTATTCACGAGGCCCAAATTACCTTTGCTTGCACTGGCTCCAGTAGGCGACGGCGATTTTGGAAGGGCACTTATATCGCGAGAGGCAATTATCTCCTCTGTGTAGGGAGCAAAAGTGGCCAACTCATGCCAAATCCATGCGAACCCGCGGGCAGAGGGAACCGGTGAGAATGCAGTCTCAGGGACTTCAGAATGCTTGCGACTCAACATCTCTTGTGTGGACCACATGATAGGCGCATGTATATTGTCAAGCGAGGCAGCGACATGTATCCGGGGGTTAGACGCGAGAAGGGAAAGGCACGAACGTGTGCGCAAGTTCTGAAAGTTAAAATGGGGCGAGTCAATGTTGTGTATAAAAAGAAAGAGCGGTCGGCGCGATCGGGATGTGGATGGAGGTTCTTGGTCGGTCCTATGCTCGGTATCAGCAGCCTCAGGCAGGAAATACTCGTATATTCTACGAGTTTGCCCCTCAATGCCCCCAGGATTAGGGACAGGCAATGAGCATAATCCAGGAATCTGCTCAATGCTTTCGAGAAGTCCCTTGAGACCAAATGAAGGCAAGTATCCGTTGACGATGACCACATTCCCTATCTTGCGACACACGTCCATCGCGAACTTATTGAGTGGTCCCCGTTTTGAACCATATCCGTAGAATAGTAGATTAAAACCCTGACCAAGCTCGAATTCCCACTCTCGAAACATGTTGACGTGCCGTTCAGAAGCCTGATCCTGGAGCGCTAGCAGTAAGGGTTTTCTGTTAGCGGGCGATTGTGAAAGAAGATGTCTGCACTCCTCCATAGTGAGGTAGGGCAGAAGAGCCGTGAAGACATTATCCGAGGTTTTGGATGGATGAGATGAAAGGCAAAAATAGATGTCGGAAGAAGTCCGTCGGACAGAGGAGTCATCATCAAGTGCAGCCCATGCCACAGAAAGATTTTGGCTTGACGCAGTCTTCCTTGGCGATGCATAAAGGTCATTCTCATCTGATTCGCTTTCCCCATCATCACTAGACACCCCCACTACGCGCTTCCCCTCGTTTCTGAATCGGGAACTGATGCGAGAGAAGCCTTCGCGTCGTCCTCCTGATTTGGATGGCGTTTGTGCCATATCATCGGAGTCATTTTCAAGCGCTGCGTCAATGGAAGCTTTCCCCTTTCCCTTAAATTCCTTTTCTTCAGTTGTATATGCCGGAATATGATTACCGGAGGTGGTTGATGTCCTGAGCTTCCTGGGCTTGGAAGGAGTCGAGTACGTTCGTGTCCGCTTGGCTGGGGTGGCAGAAGAGACTAAAATTATCTGGGGTTTCGTGTGGTCTTGGGCCCCCTTGCTAATAGAAGACGCGACTTCGGGCTTCTCTTCTGCACGCGCGCGTTTGGTGGGTGGCATAGAGTGGCTGTGCAAAACAGCCAAGTTCATTCTCATGTATGTAAATTTAAAACCTCTGACCGCAGAGGTTACTAAATAAAAGACATTATCATTAGCCGTCATTGCGCGATCCACGTAGATCAGGAACATCCAATGGCATCTAGAATGTCAACTCTACTTACATCGGTGGGTGACTGATGTGTAGCTGACCTTTTGGGTGCTTTGGTTTATATATTAGAAATTCCTTTGTGACGTTGTCACTCAGCGACGTTGCGTATATAAGAGCTCGAGAGTCCTCATTAGAATTTGAGGTGTGTTAGAGATTATATCGACGTCCCGTAGTTTATTGGCTCACGGACTTCCAGCCGCCGATGATTGCCCACAATTCCTTTCCCTTTTGTTGATAGACGTCGTTGTAGGTTTAAAAGCCAATGGACGCGACTTTTTCTTGCTCTCCTTTCGTGAACTGAGGTGAGATCTATCCTTTGTGTGCGACTATCCGAGCGCTAGTAGACTTTGAATGGGAATTTGGAAACACCCTGAGCTCTCGCTGAATGGTAATATTCTGGTATGTGGGTTGAGATAATTACCTATGTAGACCAATAATCTAAAAATGCAACATGCCCATTTTCAACACCCCGGTGCGACATGCGGCCAAACTTATGGCCGTTATGCTACAGTACACGCATACGGTATTGAAGCCTATATCTGGACTCATACAGGCATGACAAGCTAATTAGAATGATCATCCGGAAGTCGGAAGACGGGATAAAGAAAGGTTAGGCCAAAGGGCGGTTAAGATGACAGGTATCATGGAAGTGACAAGGTATGCGGGAATGAATGAATGCGGGAAGAAGACAACCGCAAGTATCGGAATTACCTCTGAAAGCGATTTAGTTACTTGATAAGTCGTTCCCGCAATTCAGCGCCTTTCAAACGGGCCCTTAGATAGTCCAGACGATCATTATATCGCTGCATTGTCTCCTCTTTCCGTCTTCGTATACTATCCAAGTTCGGGTCTGATCGCGGTACGGCCGGGTTAACGGTACCTGGTAACGGGGGAGGTGGTGGAACGGGTGATTCGTTTAGCGTAGATTCTGGGGAGGATATTTTCTGGTCTGTGGTAAGGACCGGTGTTGATTTTTTCCGGGAAAAAAACGAAGCCTTTGAGGATTTGGCAGGGACTGTTTCAGTGACGCCAAGTGATGCTTTCCGTTGAGCAACGCTCGGGCCAGTTGAGGGTAGTGGAGGTGGGGGGGGAAGAGGAGGAACGGGAGGCGGATTGGTGGGCGGAAGACGTTCTGGTGTCACTGTCCACAATGAGCTAGGTCGAATTATGGGGCTACTCAATGCAGGTGCATAAGGAGAAGCGTGAGGACTAAGGCTGGGTCCACGTCTCGTGGACGCCGAGATCTCAAGCCCTTCGAAGCTCTTCAGGACCTGCCGCATCTCCTCTTCGAGAGCCGTGATCTCTGCGCGAAGTTCGGCGGAAGATTCATCGCTATGACCGTCGTCATCCAGCCCGTTTGAATACTTGCCGATGCGTCGGGCTTTATAGGCAGACGGTGGGCCTTTTGAAGCGGAGGTACGGGCTGTCCTCGAACTCTTCCCTGTCTTCTGAGAGGAGAGAGAGAATGCATCTGCTTGGTAGCGAGGGGAAAGATTATTCCGTAGAGACAAATTTGACGGCTGTCGAGAGAGTTCTTTCCTCTTCTCTGAGGCTACAGACTGCCCTAAGATCGGGATACCATCTGCATCTACGCCTAAGCCCTTGTCTTGGGATCTTCTCCCAGAGACGCGCGTTATGACACCTTTAATGGCCGATGTTACGGTTGAGGTATGAGAAGTGTTGGAGTGCGTTGATGGTGCGTAAGTGACGCGAAAATTTGAATCAACTTGCAGACTAGTGCTTGAAGGAGTATCTGTTGGCCGAGAGGCTGAGATAAATTGTTCATCCGACATGAATAGACGTCCTTACTCATCTTGCCACCAGAGACTCGAACAACAGGGGACTCTGCAGGGAGTTGGCTGCCTGCACCAAAACGCTCGAACAAATTTTGTTTTAGTAGGCGGTACTCGTCATCTCTGAAGTTTCGTTTAAATGGGTTTTGGAAACGCGTCAGAAGAGAAAAATTGTGAAGACCTGCACAGACAAAAATATACCCTAATAAGCCATCCGCATTTGCGTTTGCCAACTCTTTCAACCGCTGAGCCAGGGTAGCACTGCAATCACCCAGATGCATTAGGATGAAGTATGACAAGAATACTGTATATACAAACGTTGTACGATCAGTAGTGGGACCCGCGACTGAATCTTCGGAGTTTCGTTGTGTACGGAATGAAGAGCGTGGAAGTGTAACATCTGAGAAGGAAGCGAGATATTTGGATGGACCAGGCTCATTGAGAGAATGCTTCGACGATCTTGACAAGTCGAACTATGCGGGTGTCAAACGATGGACAAATGGAGTCAAGCCGAGCTTACCCATCTCTGCTTCACCGACGCGACACGCTCGCTAGAGGAGCTTAGTGGGTAATTGGGAGCCGAGTGCTCTTTTCGCGAGGAAAAGAAACCCATTGCAGGGGCACCCCAGCCTCCTGGTAGTATTGCGCCTTGAACCTGAATCAGTCCCGAATCGTGCTTTCCCTAGAACAGCCTGGCTTCGGCAGTTTCCACAACCCGCCTTCCCCTGATACGCAACCGTCATAAAGGAGGGGATACGAGCATACTTGAAGCTTATCCCTTGCGTAGGCATACGAGGAACCCACTTGATCATACTAGCCATGGCAATTCCTGAAGAGGTTATTGGGATCATTCTGCGATTTGCTGTTGCCCAGCCGGGTGGCACACAGGACCTCAGCGCAATCGTCCCATGTGCAAGAGTCTCTTCATCGTTCAGATCAGAAGTCGAAAGGCTTCTCTATGCCTCCATAACCCTCACTCGCCCAGACCAAATCGTTAAGTGCTTCAAAACTATTGTTAAACGCCGTGACGCAGTAGCACGTTTCATTCGCCACTTGTCTATCGAACTTCGCGAGTATCACACGGCGTTCCCTTCGACATCCGGAGGAGCTCGCAGTCTTTTACTCTTTGGACGACCATCCCCTGGCAGTGGCGATGATGGGCGTCTCTTGAGAAGTTTCGCTCTCCTTGTTCTTCGCGCGCTTCATGGCCTGAAGAACCTCCAACATTATCACCTTCGTATTGGACGCAACTCCGCAGCCCAAAATAAATACAGCGAGCCTTTTTTGCCGCATACTGCTCCCTTTAAGCTCAGGAGTTTCCATTGCACATCCATGGACGCCAGCTCAGCTCTCTTCCGCTTTCTAAAGAGCCAGTCAAGCATAGAAGATTTCTCCGCTCCTGACATGTTTCCTCCATATCCTCTAGGGCCGTCCATCTTACCGTCTGTTAAGTCCGTTACCGGCACTCCTGAACTTCTCAAACGGCTTGTACCGAAACGACCCGTGTCAGCCGTGCATTGCACAGGACCTTTAGATTCTGAGAATTTATTACACCTACTACCAAACTTGGCTCTTTCGTCAGCACCAATAACGACTTTGGTTGTGCCCGTCAAGGCTCGGACTGCTTGTGATATCCTTCCTTCCATCGCTCGCACTCTCCCGGACGTGGAATTGCTATCCATGCCTCTACCAGCTGCTTTCATTGACCGCCATGTATGCCTTGTAGCTCATGGAGCTGTCCTAGAATACTAACGGTGATCTCCTTAGGACCCATACGAAGTGTATCAGGATGAAACGTTCGCCAGAGCCTTGGGCTCGTTTGATTCGCTGAAGCGTGTGGAGGTTCCCACCATGGATTCCGTGATGATTTCTCCGCCTTCATTCCCATTCAATCTTCCTAATTTTTTCAACCCACCCCCACCACCATTTAACATTAATGGCCCCATGGGACTTGCCAATGAAGGGCTTCCTGGTCAGGCTGCTGATGACGCGGGCCCCGACGGCGACGGCGGCGGCGATATGGTCATTGACAATGTTGCCGTAGATGTGAACGTTGCCATTGAGGTTGACGAAGGCAACGCACCTGCGAATAATGACGTCGGTGTCAACACTGACCCTCAATTAACTACACCTACTTTAAATGCCGCAGATCTTCCAAATCCCTCTGCTGCAGCTGAATCCGACAAACCAACCTGATACCAATGCACCTCCCGCAGTCCAGAATGGGCAGAACGGTGGCCTCGGAGGCTTATTGGGTCAAGTGTTGAACCAGGTGCAGGCGTTCAACCATGCCATGGGCCAGGTGGTCGGTCAAGTGAATGGCATTTTGAATGGCGTTGCTCAGGGCGGTGGAGTTGCACCAGGTCCTGCTGCGATTCCTGCTCCGATGCCTCCCTTGGCCCAACAACCACCTTTCCTGAATCCCCCGCCACCCTTATTCGCTCAGAACTTTCCGCAACTCAATCCTCACGGTCCGAATGGTCCCCCTCCTGTCGCTACCCAACCAAATGTCCCAGTTAATCTGGGTGGCGGAGGCGGGCCTCCTGGACTTCCGAATTTTATGAATCAGCTTTTAGGCCAAGTTTTGGGCGTCATGGCACCTGAAATAAATGCAGAAGGCAACGGTAATGCAGCGAACGCAGGTCCAGGGGATGTGAACAACAACCTTGGAAATGGCCAGCCACAACCACCGGTGGTGGAAGGTAACAATGACGACAACGATGGTGATGGTGATCCTTTACCCTTCCCTGGTGGTCACCCTCCTTTCCCCGGTCTACAGCTCCCCCCCTTGCCTGCATTCGTGCCCGGAGGGCCGAATGCATTCACTTTCAATGGTCCCAACTTCGATGCCATCCTTCAATTCACTCCTGCTGTCGGAAATCAAAATGCTGCTGATGTGGGCGCAGCCACCCCAGGCGGTGTGCAGGGACCCGTAGTTCCAGACGCCGGACCACCAGCCGCTGCTCCGGGAGGAGGCGTGTTTGGTGCACCACCGGGTGCCAATCCCCAAATTAATATTGCCCATCTTGTCCTCACTTTCCCACCAGTGATCACAAACGGGGGCCACACGGATGCCAATGATCAGCAAGATCAGCATACTGCTCATGTTTCCTCGCATACGCCTCACCTAACACCCGCTCAACAGGAGCAAGTCCGAGCTCGCGAAAGGAAACTATCTGACGTACAGCAATCTCGTGCTCCCGTCGAGCAAATGATTCTACATCTGTGGACATCGTATTGTCCTACATTAATGAGCGTCAAGTTCGAAATGGCGAAGAATAGGTATGTGGTTTGGCGAAGAGGGGAGGACTCCACTGGATTAGTGGAACCTGATGACGGAAGTATCGCGGATGATACATGGTCGTCTGAATACACACCAGTGCAAACACTGGACGATCCATGACTGTGACAAACCACACTGCGCACTCGCATTTCGAGCAGTGTTCCGATTACTCGAGAGCTTGATTGCTAACCAGACTACTGTAGAAACCAATAACGGACTGCCAGTGCTTCATCATTTTACGCAGATACGTGGACTCATGAACCCCTCTGATATTAACTTATTGTAATAGAGACTGGCTTCTCCCTGACTGTTGTTACTTTCATGTATCCATTCCATGTGTTTTGTAATGCATAGTGTTACATACATGTATGCAAACACCAAATTACATAATCGTTTTGACTCTTGGCAATGACTGCAGAAATGCATTGCAACCCGCGCGCCAACCTGTTTCTTTGCCCTTCTGGGGCGGCAAAGGGGCTGTGCAGCCAGCCAGGAGACTGTCATTCACTGAGCGCCTATGCACATTGGCGCCGTGAGGAGCTGAAAAGCTTGAAGCATCCCAGCTGGCAGCGAATCGTCGCGGCCCTCAATTCTGGTGATGGCACCCCCAACGTGTATTATTGCCCCAGACCCCGAAGTGTCGGGTATAGGGATTCGGATATCTCTGCATATAACTATCTTGCTCGTCTCGTTCATCCCGAATAGCTTTGGATGGATTCCTTCCTTCGAGCTGAGAAGTGCCCTTCTGGCGAGCGCTACCTTGAACGCCTTCTCCCTCCTACTTATCGGCATAATAAAAACTGCTTCCAAAGAGCTTTCCCTCTACCATGCAATTTTCATCATCCACAACATATGCGTCCTTGCAGTTGCGACAAATTTCGTCAGCGGGAGGTCCACACAATCGCATTTTGCAAGGGTCGGATTGTACTGGATATCAACCTGGATAGCACTCGCTGCATTTTTAGGCTGGTCCATTTACGTCCTGACCGAAACTCCCAATTTTGGTTCTCAACCGGAATGCAACGGTTCAATTGTCTACGTGGTTTGGTTCCGGAATGTGAGCCCGACCCACTGGGTGCGATGGGTGGTTATTTCTTTCATGAGTCTGTATGCAGTTGGGATGGTGGGGATCCCTTTGGGAAGTACCATCTTTCGATGCCTGCGGAGAGCGAAGGGCGGCGCCAGCGAACAAGTCGGTTTGCCGCATTCCGCACAGCATCTCATCCTCCCAGTGTCCGCAGCGCCGACAACGGGTGCTTCGGCTTGGAGAACCACCTTTGGCATACGGTCAATAGATACGGATACAAGCAGTGAGGCAGACAACGTCAGCGTGTTTGGAGCTTTCCCCAAGCGCCCGATAGACATATATGGGACCCCAAACGAATCCTCTTTCCGCATGTTTGTTCAGCCATTTGCCGCAATTTACGGAACGGTTATGCTTGAATTTTTTATTCGAAGAAATAATGTTGGGCCGGGTGAGGATCGATGGACATCGGGGCAGATCGTGATCATCTTACCGGTAGCTATGGGGGTAATTAACGAACTTATTCGAATTGTTCTTGGGGGTTTTGGACTGGGTTCCCAACAATAATCCACATTGTTCAACCAAGGTATTTATGGCAAAGTCATGTCCTACTTGATTTTGGGGTTTGTGTTCTCAGGACCAATTAGACTGGCGGCACCCTTATATCAAGGTCCAATTACAATCGCAACTAGATTATTTCCAGATCATCTCCATGTACTGGAATATACACTTTAATCCCATGATGAATGACAGCAGCGAGGCTCGACTGCATTATTCCAAGTCGATACTGATGATTTTAATGTCGTCAAATGGCTAGAGACAATGATCAGACAAGGGATGATAGAATCACAAACTCAGTACTCAGACCTTGTCACTTTTGTCCGTTCTGACGTTCTCAATTGCATGTACGACTTCAAGTCCCGAAAGCACGCGGCCAAAAATAGTGTGCTTGTTGTCGAGCCATGGTGTTACATTCGTAGTGATGAAGAATTGTGACCCATTTGTGTTTGGCCCGGCGTTCGCCATACTGACTGTATATGGGCTAGGAAATGGATTGAGGACCACAATACGCAAATGGTGGGCAGGTGGGAAACGTACCGGTCGTGCTTGAGGGCAGGCGTGAACTCGTCTTCGAATTCACGTCCCCACAACGATTCACCACCAGTGCCATCACCGAGAGGATCACCAGTTTGAATCATCTGAGAGTGGAAATAAATGTTCTGTTCACAAGGACACGGGGATGAAAAACACGTACGAATTTCTTAATGACCCGGTGGATGATGATATCTTCGTAGTAACCTTTGCGAACTAGTCCTACGAAATTTTCCACAGTTTTCGGCGCGTGCTCGGGGAATAACTTCATATGAATATCGCCCATGGTCGTGTGGATTGCTGCAGCTTGAGCATAGGGAGAGTTCGGGTTGGCGGAGAGCTTCGCTGAATCGCTGTGCTGAAGAGCAAGGGATTGCTCTTCTCGTGTAGGCTTCTCGTTGAAGACATCGCGATCTCCGCCATCCTTATTATCCCTAACAGGACGTAGTCTCTTTAAAAAGAATGTAACACTCCACAGCTGGTCACGTACTCTGGCTCGGCACGAGTAAACATATAGAATCGCGGACGTTTGAACGCGGTGCAAAAAAGGGTTGGGTCACGCTGCTCTTTGCTTTGAAGAATCGGATTGGCAGATGCTTTCATTGCCTGAAATGCAAAATATACTCAATAACTGTCAGCACCGTCAATGATGGACGAACCAACGTGGAGAAGCCTTTTTTAGCCGGTGCACCTTGATACAAACTAAGATTCAGCCATCTTCCTGTTTCATCTTTTCCCAGAAGTCTAACAACCCGATTGTTAAGGATATTCACAACTACCATGACTTAGCGTCCTAACGGAGATGTGAAAATTACGGAAAACGTACCTTTTATCCCCAACAGAGTCGGGTAGAGGATGAAGCTCCCACTCTCATCCCAAATGACGTTCATTATTTCCCCAGCACGTTGATCCTTTTCAAGCTCCCTCTCAACAGCAAGACGCCGTCCAAACTCCATATCATCGATATTATACGCAGCAGTGCCTGCTTGCTGCATCTCCTGAACCGCAGTGAGCGACTCGTCATAGTGGCGAGTCATTTTCCCTGTCAAAAAATTGAACACTCGTATCGATTGAGATGGAAACGATATGGTCGCGAAGTGAGTGGAGTCGGGGGAGAATGAAAGGTTGGTGGGTGTGGACTTTCTCTATTGCAGCTTCAGGAAATCAAGTGCGGTAGATACCACGGGATCAAATACCTTCTTAAATTCATACAAATCAGTGGAGCTCTTAAATTCCCACATGCCGGGGATGTCTTTGGGGGGTTCAAATGGCTCCCTTGGCTGCCAGTACTCCAAGAACCCCGACTGATCAGCAGAGATTACTGTATCAAAACGGTCTGTGTACTAATGGGCTTGCAAAGAAATTATTTACGGAAACCGCGAGCGATTTACAGGACAATCCTCACCGCCATTAGATGCACTGGGTATTTGTGCAGACCAATGATAGTCTCGAGCGGCTTCCCGTCGCCTCGGCCATCATAGATGCGAATGGTGCTGGAATCCTGGTCGGATCTGAATTCGTATGAGGCCAAAAACTATATATACACACAGAGTGAACAACCCACATAGCCAACAAGGATTGGGCTTGCCCCCGACGATGGACCCAACAGCAAGTACGTGGAATAAATCCTAGCTTCAACATGTTAATCATGTCTGCCCACCAATAATCTAATGAGTTCAGGTGTCATTAAATGAGCCAGCGTTGAGACGTACCGAAGTTGACGACATCGAAGACCTTCGCACTTTGGTCCTCAGCGATGCTCGCAAATAGCGTGCCATCACTACTCGCAGCGACACCAACTATAGGAGACAGGTGTGCGCGGAAGTGTTTGACGAATTCAATACCAACTTCTTGCTTTTTCCATAGCTTAAGATGTCCATCCACAGATGTGGTAACGACGAAATCCGTCCTGCAGTTGAAGCGTCAATTGAATGTCGACTGCATCGGAAATGAATGAAAAACTTACCTAGTGACGACGACGTAGTTAAGCATGTCCCGATGCATGAAGCTCTTCGAGTACCGATCAGCGCTAGGTAAATGCTCAAGGAAAAGCTTCTCATGAGGTAAGACTACAACAGATTTCAATACATGTACAATTTTATCATGCATAATCGACACACGCCCACCTTTCCGCTTCTTTCGAGGCACTCCATTCTCCGGCACAGGCATCGGACCAACGTCCTCTTCCTCCTCATCTGCATTTTGGGGCGCATCAAATTCAGCTTGGTCCCCCGTTGCATGGGAAGAAATGGCGGAAATTTCACTCGTCTGGAATCCCCCCGAACGACTCCGTTCCCCAAAGAGGTGAGTTCATCGGCCATGGTCTTAATGTATGAAAATCAGAAGAATGCACCCGGTGGGACACGTGACATCCGTGAGAAAATTTCAGATCGGGTTAGTGAATAAGTTGGCAAAGTGGGAGCTAACTTTTCACGACAGGGCCTAAAAGGTTTTTTCTGTCAGCTAAGCGCTGACGGCATCGGACCGATCGAACCGAGACTGTGCAAGAGGATTGAGATCAATGAAATGACATCTCTGGCAGGTGCCGAGATTGAGGGCAAACACGGTCACCTATTCTTCATCATTATTCAACTAAGCAGTACTGTAATAAGATAAGACCCCAATCGCGGAGCAACTGAGGGCGAAAATGGCTTGAAGACACAAACAAATAGGACGAAGAAATCTGAGAGTTACAGTAATAGGAATAAAGCCAATTGCCATTGTCATCTATGAATGTGACAGCGACTTTTGGCGTACCCCAAGATTGTCCATACTCATGTCGATTTGGTAAGCTGGCGCATAAGCAGCTCATATCTATGAAGCAAAACGAGCCCCGAACTTGATTACCAACTACGACAGCACCAAAATATTGTCATATCAACTCACGTAAGGAGCGTGATCCCGCTGTTCGGGACGGTTCGCATTAAGTTTATTGAAATCCCCCGGTACAGGCCCCTCCAACTGTTCTCCCTAATGATCAATCGCGTTGTTCGAATGATTGCTATGGAGCTGGCGCGGAACTGTACGGGATGGGGAGTTGAGACACCAGGGGACAATGATGACAATGGGGATAGCCTTCGGCTATTGTTTGGTAGTGAGAGGGTGCTTGCTTGCTCTGGTGATTTCTCTATCTGAAGCCGTGTACGGATAACTTCATGGGGATATGTAACGAGGGACGCAACCATTTTCGATATCGATGAAGCGAGAAGTATTGTACCAGAGTCTAAACCAGAGATGGGGATGTGCTGAGACTCGGCTGAACGACCGTGTTAAAACAAACTATCTTCACGATGGAATAGCATGTCAACGAAACCTACCAAAGAATGATTTCAGCTCTTCATAGAGAGGGAACTGAACAGCGACATGGGAAACACCGAGAAGGTTTGGCACTAGGCCACGGTAGAAGGCTCCAATGCCTTCCTTACGATAGACTCTTATAAACGCATCGAACGTGTGACGGTATTGAGGTTCGTTGGGAGGTTGAGTCTGTAATGAAGGGATAAATACGGAGCATCCCAATAAGAATAGATCTGTACAAGCAGACGTACCATGAAACGGGTTTTTATAACCCACAATGGATATGTTACAATGGATCCAGTCGCTCCGGCCGACATGGCGGCAAGAACGTGCAATGTCATAAAATCCCGCACGCTGTGCTCGGCTGGGATGTACAGAATTAGCCCACGCGGTTGCTGCACATCCTGCGATCGGAATGATCCCCACTCACATTCGTGATGAGATCTCAACAAGTGGCGTTTCTCGCGTAGGTGGGTCTTGATTCCATCGTAAAGCGAGAAATAGATGGCCCAACTTGGCAAATAACCGAGGATCGTTGGTCCCAATCCACGGTACATCCCTCTTATCCCGTTTCGACGCCATATATCTTTCACTGTGCCTACAGGAGGACGGGGAAACATGAACTCACATGACTCATGGAAGCAGATCGGCAACTGCATACCAAGGACTCCTAGATAATCTGCACTACCTCTTGCCGCTTTTTGGGCCTGAAGTTTCGTCTTTATAACATCGAGAGGGCAAGTGACGACGCTGGATACCAAGCCAGCGCCAGTTCCAGCAAGAGTAGCTGGAGCAGATGTCCATTTCCGGAGGGTATTACGGTTGGTAGGACTCGCCGCTTCCATAACTCTCCCCCCTCTAAGGAGGAGAAATGGTCTCGATTAGCACGGATAGGCGGTATGCCTAGGAATGTCGTACGGCTTGAAGAGGACCAGCAGCGGCCTCGTGACGCCTGGGACGCCGCACAGCACCGTGCTGTGGGAACTGGATTTGGTTCCTTATCTTCGATCCTGGACACACTCAAGCCCGGTTGGGATGAAGAGCTTTGTTTACAGAGAATTCTTTGTCTGACCCAGGTTGTAACTCCCGGTCGTCGCGCGCGAGTAGCTCGAAGTTGCGCATTAGATATGGACGTTCGCCGTTGGACAGGTGACCCGCCTCTGAGCAAGGACTTCTCACATGGTTTTCTTGGCCCAGCCCCCGCGCTACCACGAGGTTCCACCTGAGCATATTCTCTCCAGCCCGCAATCTTGAAACGTTCTTAGCTATGCTTTCGCCCAAAGGAAATTCATGCTAGGGTAATCCACCTTGGATGGACTGGTTCTTCAATCGCCAACGCACGAGTCCCACGTACACAGAACGGAATCACAGGGCTAATACTTCTGATAGGGGATGGATAATGCTCCGCGGCACTTCTAATGGCTGCTTAATCGGTCACTTGATGGTGATCCTTCCGAATGCCGTAGCAAATTGAATATGTTGATCTGTATATATCCACAGGGTACGTGCCCAAGGGACAATTCCCTCAAAGCATGTCATCGGAGTCGAAGCGGATAAGTAAAATAAAAATTCTCAGACGCCAGACAAAACTAGTCCCTGGGGTTGGCAGAGTTTGATGTGCCAACTGTCCTTGGCAATTTCCTGCTAGCGGCCGCCATCTCTTCGAGATCCGTTGGTTTGAAAAAGTGAGGCGCCACTGCAAATCAAAACCATGAATAGTAGAACGGGCATGATCAATCTCAAGCCTACCTTCAAGAAGCCATTGAGGCTTGATGTCCATTAGCTGTCTGCAGGCTTGCTTAAGTCGTGGGGGTCTGCAAATATGGAAATCCATTGCTCACCTCATGTATGACTTCGTTGTCTGAACAAGTTCATAGTACAGGACGAATTTAGGCGGTGGTTGATGTTGAAATAGACTTGATGACGGGTGAATATAGACGGTCTGTTGTGTCTTCATAGTTCGGTAAGAATCACCGCTCTTCTGCATGCGGGCCTAATGCGAGGAAAAATAAGACGATCCTGCTTTTGCATAGTACAGGGAAATGACAGCACCGTGCAATAGAAATACCCCGAAGTTATCGCCTTTTGAATGGGCGTGATGTCCGTGGCGTTTGGATTGCCCTGTACTACGACTTCCACTCGTTCGCACAGGCCCGCGAGCTGATCCCGAATGTCCCCTTCAACCATACAAATCATAATTATTCGCGAGGGAGGTATCCAGAGCGGGTGATACTCACGGACGCGGGACAGAACTTTAAACTGCAAGAATTGTTCGTAGCAAAATCTATTTTAAGGACTGGGTTGGATGCATTTTAAGTGAATGAGCTAGGCCACGCACGTCTGAGAATAATTGGATTCTGCCCATTGCTCCCATACGTTCAGTAACGTGAAGTGATCACCCCCCGGTCGTACGAAGTTCGCCCGTGCCTTATCCGCGTGCATCTTCTTATCCTTTGGTCGATAGAACAGAGACGAGGACTCGCTGAGCATCGACACAATAGACAGGACCTAAGGTCAACGCGTTACAAATTGGATTCGATTGTAGCAGTGAAAAGCAACTGAAACTGGCCTCGTCCGTGCAATGATAATCCTCGCTTGCAATGATAGCCTTACTGAGCATTGGATCGACCGGGAACTCAGCCATTCTTCTGCCGAGCTTCGTCAGTTCGCCTCTGTCGTTCAATGCACCAAGCGCATATAACAATTCCAACGCCCTCATCAAAGTCTCGCCCGGCGGGGGATCCATGAATTCGAATCCAATCAGGTCATTGATACCGAGGGACTTAAGAAGCAGAACAACCATTCCAAGGTTTGTGCGCTGGATCTCTGGCACGGTGTTTTCTTCCAATTCATTCGCAAAGGCCCATTTTGTGTACAATCGGAAGGCCTTCCCAGGACCCACGCGGCCAGCCCGACCAGCCCGTTGGTTGGCAGAGGCGCGAGAGCACTGATTAAATGATTGCAGTCAGAACAACTAAATCAGTGTGGAAAGCTTACAGGGACCACCGTCAATGATGCCATCCCGGTGCGAGGATTGTACGAATTTTGTTTGACAAATCCAGGATCAATGACAAAGACAACTCCGTCAATAGTAATCGAAGTCTCCGCTATATTTGTGGCAAGCACCACCTTCCGAGCGCCTTCGGGTGTAGGTTCGAAGATTTTCGCCTGCATTTCACTTGGGAGATTCGCGTAAATGGGGCAAACAGTGAGCTCCGCAACCTTGTTACCAAGAGCATGAAGAGTATCATTGATGTTTTCCATCGCAGTCTCGATTTCATCTTGACCCTGTGGCGCATGGGTTAGGCACCGTGATGCTGCACTATTATAGTAACCTCACAGTGAAAAACACAAGAACATCTCCTTTCGGCTGAGTAGTGTGAATCTGGAAAACAGTGGTGATCGCGGCGTGCAGATAATTTGCTTCGGGTTGGGGGGTGTAATGGATATCAACAGGATACCGACGCCCAGGAACTGAAAACCCCTCAAGTTGACGCCAAGAGCTATGAGGTTGGGACACTCACCGTAGAAAACCGGAGCACCGTCGAAGTATTCGCTGAACTTCTCGGCATCCATAGTTGCACTGGAGATGAGCAGTCGCAATTCAGGGCGAAATCTTGCAATGTCCTATGTGACAACAACTGAGTTCGCTGGGATCGACCTGCAAGATGAAACACTCGCTTTGACCAGAGCGAAGAGTATATCTGTACTGAGTGTACGTTCGTGAGCTTCGTCAATAATCAGGGCAGAATAACCAGCCAAATCAGGTTCAGTAAGGAATTCTCGCAGCAACATCCCATCTGTCATGTACTTCAGAATAGTCTTGTCGCTAGTGCAATCCTCGAACCTAATGGAGTACCCAACTTCGTACCCAACTTTTGTGCCCATTTCATCAGCAACACGAGCGGCAACGGACATCGCAGCTACTCGACGGGGCTGAGTGCACCCGACTTTCTGTCCACCTTTGGTATACCCTGCTTCGTGAAGATACTGAGGTAGTTGAGTGGTTTTTCCAGAACCAGTCTCAGCGACAACAATAAGGACTTGGTGTTCTGCTATGGCTTCCAGGAGCTGCTCCCGATACTGGTAGATAGGCAAGGACTTCCTTGTCTCCTCCATCGTCTTTGCTACACGATTTAAGCAAGTCAGATTTGGGTGTCAGGCTTCGTGAGGAATGCAAGGTATACCTCGTCGCTCGGCCTCTTCGATTTGCGCTTTGAGCAATGCGTCCTTTTGGCTCAGCATCGGCATGGTTCCGCCTAGACTCTGGTCCATGACGAATTGTATGGTCTGGCTTTCGTCAAACACATACTCATACTCATCAACCAGCTCAGGCTTGTCTAGGGCGCCAGTTTTGAAAGTGCTATTCCGGGTTTGACTTTCCTCCCACTGGTCCACATCCGTGACGAAATTCTTCTGGTCGCGGTTCTCCTCGTATCGTTGATACATGACAGACTCCTTCTTCTTCTTATCAATTTTCCCCTGCTCAGTGAAATAATCGTCTGGGAGCTGATACCCATCCCATTTGTCATTGATCCCCATTCGTTCTTCTGCAAGCCTAAGGACATCTTTCTTGTATTCAAGATCTCGTTGTTCCCGTTTAGTAATCTTCATGCCACGGAACAGGGCCTCGTCATCTGCGATCTCCTTACGAAGCAACTCGATTTGTTGGATCTCGCGCTTTGTCAAATATGCTTGACGTGAGCGTTCGCGAATCGAAGGGAGGGCAAGTAGTCTAGCCGTAGAGTCATCTGCGAGACGACGCATCTCTGCCGTTTCAGCTGCTGCGCCTTTTAGATGACGCGAAGACCGGTCCTCAACGATCTTCTTGGTTTTTTCCATGTCCCTCTTTCTCACTCTCTCCGCAAAAGCGTCACGTTCCTTGCGGTCCCTCTCGCGACGCGCCTCTTCGTCTTCCACATCATCCATATCACCTTCATCACGGTCTGTTGCACGATCAGGCCCAGTTCCCCGTGACTCGATAGGCGACGTGGGTTCTTCTGCGCGCCGCCGTTTTGCCGCCTTTTCCTCTTCGTCGCTCTCCCAGTCTCGTCCATCTGCGTCACGTTTACGCAGCCTACGCTCCTTCTTGAGGCCCTTCTCACGGCTAGTGCGGAGCTGGCCTTCGGAAGGGGCAGAGGTTGCGTCGTCCTCGTCAAGCACAAATGAGAACTTTTTCGATTTGAGTTGCGCAGCCTCCTTCTCCGCTTGTTTTCGAGCACTATCGGAAGAGGACTTATGTTTGGATTTCCGCGGGACCCTAGTGAATACTTCATGAATGAAGGTGTGTGCTTCGGAGGTGTTGGGAAGACCGGCCCCTTGCAGGGAGTTGAACAGAGCATCCGGGGATTTGGATGAACTGGCTGAAGCAATAACAAAATCAACGGTGCTACGGTCAGATAGCCCAAAGAACTAAAAAATGCCATTTGAGCTGCTGCATGATGCAGAAAACTGAATATGAGACTCACATTTATCGCATTGTCCGAGATGTACCTTTCTAACTCCGTTGGCATGGGGTATTAAGATAGGATTCCAGTGAAAAGGCGTGGATAAAAAACGAGGGCGGCGGCGCTGGGAAACGGGGCAGTGCAGAGGGATCGGCAAGTGCTCAAATCGAAACCAATGCTGACTCGCAGATACCTTCCAAATTGAACTCACAGAACGGTCACAAGACTATTGCGATAAGCGCTGGCGAATATAAATGGTATCTTTCTGACCATCGTTGCGTCTTCGCCCTTGGTGCTCTCAGCCCGGAGTTTGCAGGTTATATATCCAGAGCAATGACAACGACAATGACAACAGCAACCATGCTGCATTGCGACTTGCCATGTATTTACCAAATACATTTATAGTGCTACATTCATCATTACGGTTGAGCGGAAATAGACTTTTATGCCAAAGGGGTTTTACAGTTTCCCCTTGATTTCTTCCCAGACTTGTTTCAATTGATCGTTCGGCACCTGGTGAGCAGGCCAGCCGACAACAAGCCCCTCATTCTCGGATTCGGATGGCTTTGGGATCACATGGAAATGAACGTGGGGGACTTCCTACAATAACACATGTGTACGAGTGAACAAATGATGGCCGATTTACGAATGAATAGAACACTGACCTGATGTGCTATCCTCCCGTTATTCTGCAAGAAAAGTATCTTATGAGGAAACACCCCCATCTAGAGATTGATGAGCCTCCTCACCTGAAGAATATTGTAGTTTGAGAGGCCACTAGCGACCGCGATCTTCTTAGCGACAGGGAGTACATCGCTCACATAATCGTCTGGAAGCTCATGAAATTTCTCTGCGTGATCTGTGGATTGGAGGGCATTCAGAACCGTGGATCAAGCGAGATACTGGCAGTTGGATCACATTTCGGGATCACGAGTGAATGTCCCTTGGCCAGGGGATTGATATCGAGAAACGAGATCACCTTCTCAGTTTCCACAAGTTTGAGGGCAGGGATTTCGCCCTTTATTATTTTACAGAATATGCACAATGGAGAAGAAGCAGACATCTGCAACGACAGATCGGCGGCACAGGATAAGCGTTACCTAATCGATGCACCGAGGTGAATAGAAGATCGCGCGGGACATGTGACAGCATCTGAGGCCTGCGCTAATTCCATCCTCGCCCATGATTGGAAATATCACAGAACGCCAGCGCCGTAGCGCGCCTCCAGTCGCGCCTTCCATACCTCGCTCCGCTGGGTTTCCAAAGGCTGTACACCGGTCAAAGAAACTGGCAACTTCACCTGCCGCTCTAGAAAGTCAGCGTGCCGCAGACACGAGTTGGGTGGCCACGTCTTCTGCGGCACTCAAACAGCCTCAACTTCGCCCACCGCTTACACTTGATATCCCTTCAAACCCTGAAGAATCACGGCAGGACGACCTGGATCGAATGCATGCAGAAATATCAGCAGAGAATACGAACATTGTGAACAGGATGACCCCCGAACAACGGGAAACAGAGCGGCAGGAAATTCTCCAGAGATTTGGTGGTGATATTGGGGACATACTACGGAAAGCCCGTGAAGCCAGGGAAAAGGCAGCGAGGCGATCGCCTTCGAAGGGTTCGTCATTCCGTTCTCTTCCAACCTGATGGGCGCTGCAGCTAACTTCGCATAGTATAGGAAGTCTCCGGAGATCTTCTGTCTCCAGTGCAAGTGACATGGACATGAGTCCTGCCTCTAGAAGCGGGACACCTCATCCTGGTATGCGCATATACTCGTTGGTCCATGAACAAACAAATCTTGAACAATGTCACTTTGCGTGACACAGATTCCTTGAATACGACGTCTTCTGGGCTAAAGCGTACGCTTAGATTTGCGGACGTTAAACCCTCGGACGTCTATATTTACGAATCGCAACCATCGTCTCCCAAAAAGGAGCGTCTCGCCCTGCCGCCTCCCCCGGACCAGAAGGACGACTCGATAATATCTCTGTCACCGTCAAATGGGTCTCATCATCCACCGGAGCTATCTTCTAATCCGAACTTTCAGTCCCCCTCTTCCGAAGTTACGTTGTCACCACTTTCAGTGCATACCACAACTGAGGGCACGCCTGAAGATATTCGTCGTAGGTTTTTCCCCGAGGCGAGATCGGACGAACCTGCCCTTTCTTGGATAGCTGAGAAACCGGCTCCGAATGCGTCAGCTACCTCTGCATCGGAAACTCGTTACGATTTGGAAGGACACCCAATACCTCGACACCTGCATCTAACTCTTCCAACACACCTAGGGCTTCACCACCACGGTGCTGCCGACCAGGCAGCAGGATATACCCTCGATGATGTCCTGCATCTTGTCAGGTCCACCGTCCCTGCCCAGAGAATGGCAATGATGAGGGTGCTTGGTGGCATATTGCGCCATCTCCACGAAGAAAGAAATGGCGGAGGCAAGGAAGGCGACCCTTCATCACAGCTCGCGGAAATTGACTCAACACGAAAGAATATTGTGGCTGCTGGGATAGAGGCGCTGACCGAAAGGAGCCCTACCATTCTTGTACGGGTCGTAGATGTCATTTGGGAAGGCATAGGAGCTTGGGAAAAACAGTGGGATTCCTGGGGCCACGAACTGCCACTGGTTGAGTTCGAATTGCGAAATATCGACCCACGGAACTCCCTTGGGACCCCGCGAAGTTCATCCTCCGAAGCTGCGATAGAGCCACCACTGATCATCTCCGGTTTGCCGCTGCCGAGCATTCTGCCTCATTTCGCAGAGCTTCTGGATTCGCAAACGCTGCCGCTCACCACCCTATCAAAGATACTCTCCATTATAGAAACCATCTCACGGCAATCGAAAGAATGCGTTGAGGCTGTTGTTCATACATCTTCTCTGCTTCGAGCGCTCCTAGCCATATTTTTAGGATCACTTTCTTCACCCTCGGACTCATCCAAGTCACCTTCCCAAAATGGTTTGACGTATGGGGAGTCGCCGCCCATCGCTGTGACCACCCTTCGGGTCTTCAGGCTCCTTCTTGCTACCAAACATGCTGCCGTCAAACTCATCGAGACTGGAATTCCCGATGCTCTCCTACGAAGCTTCATAGCCTCACCGCTGGATCTTGTACTGCTGGCCGACTACTACTGTCAGGAGCTTTTGTACGAAACCTTGAAATTCTTCGCTAATATTGGGAAGTATGGATTGTATTGCTCAGCAGTCACCACAGCCCATGCAGCTTTCCAGGGAGTTGGTCGCCGCATACTGGACGAATTGAAGTCTTCATCAGGGTCAGATTCGAATTTCATTTCGCCCTCACATTCGGCTCCTACCCTGAGAAACCCGTCGGAGCCTAATAGAGTGTTTCCAATTTCGTTGTTAACATCCGCCTGGCTCGACCTTCTCGCGGTTTATCTCGCTTGTGCTCTTGACCCCCATGTTACAACCCCTGTGCACGATATCAAATGGAGCTTCGTTGGAAAAGATGGTTGGAGATGGGGCGATGACTTACTGCAGTTCAATGAAGTGATGACGGGTGTCGAAGATGCCCTGCCGTTTGCTGTATGGGCCTCGCTTTGGAACACCCTGGCTAGCTACCTGGAAGGAGCGTTTGTCAACTCCACAAGCCAGGGGTGGGCTGCAGAGAGGGAATTATTCAGGGGAGCAATTCAGGGGGGAAGGGTAGTAACCGGTGCTCTTGAGGAGTGCAAGGCAGTTCTTTCATCATTCACCACCACCACCAAAGAGAAGTTCTCACAGGAGACAGCAGCTGATTTACGAAGGCTCAGCTCAGCAGCGGCTTGTTTACATGCTTCGCTGAGGCTAGAGCTGGTACTGCTTCGTGAACCAACTCACAGCAATGAAACCCCAGCCACGGAGCTCGAAGCGATCGGTCAGCACCATGTATCCGGCGAGGACGTTTCGGAAATCCCGCTGGATTTGATTGGCGCGTTTTGTGACGCCGTAGTGACCATTGACAGTCCATGGCAACTGATCACCAAGGAAGGGGTGCCATCATTTGCATACACGTTCCTCCTCCCCCTCACGTCCCTCCTGTCTCTGGATCTGCGTCTCCGCCATGATATGAAACGTAGGCATGACACCGACTGGACGAAGCGTTGGCTGGCGCATGCAATCCGCGTGCTTCACCATCTCCTTCCCTCAGATGAGCTGCATGGTGAATGGATAATAAGTGCTGTTACAAGGTTAATGGGTGCCGAGTTGTCTGAATCTCTTCATTGGCGTGTCCCACGCAGTGTATGGACCTTTGGGGGTACAAACCTCATTGCTCCATTCTTGAAGGATGCGCTTCATCCGATTGGCATGCAATATGGACATATACCCATCCATTTGTGCCAGTTCAGCACCACATCAGACTCGGTCAGACTAGCCACCCAGCTTCTCCTTCCTTCTTCTTCTGCTATTAGAAGCCAGGTTTGTCGCGATGGCCCTAGAGGTTCAAGATGGGGCCTCCCCCTGGCACACGATTGGTGCTTTTCACCCTTGGATCACCTCTTGAAACCTGAGAAATCCAGGGTTCTCAGATCTGGTCTCCCGATGATTGGCCCGGATTTATCCTCCATATCCAACATCAAGTCTCCCGCCAATGATGAAGCGCTGGAAGTGACGGCGTCGGAGACAGACCTCGTTCGGGCAGCTCTCCTTTTCTCCGGCATATTAATGAACCTATATGCGGTTGAGAAATTGATTAGTGGTGCATGTGTCAGTCACTCCGAGACAGTGTTCGCCTGCATGAAGATATTTATGCTGGAGCACGATCAGAGACAGGGAGACTCTTCCGATGAAGTATTCCGAGACAAATTCGTTAGCAAAAGCATGCTTTCATTACTATCGCACTCCAAATTGGTTTCGAGACCGTCGGCAAAAGAGCTGCATAATCTAGAATTGGTATCGCGCAATTTCCTAGGCCCATCTACACCATTTTTTCAATTTTGCACTGATTTTATCATGCTCTATGATGCCCTCTCTTTTGCGGACCCGGTCTTTGCATCATTACTCATTCCCCCGCTTTCTATGGAATATCCATACGACTATCGCAGACTCCTCTGGGTCGATTTCTCGCACATACTCTACACTATCCGAACCGACACATCGCATCCAACCATTCGTGACATTGGGGATTACCTTTGGCCGGTCGAAACCAACGGAGATGTCATGAACGCGTACGTCAACATTCTGTGCGAAAGTGGTCAGCGAGCCCTGTCGGACGGAATCCTTCGGTTCATTGCTCTGCACCACACTGCCTGCTACATTTGGCCTGACATGATGACCCTGGGAGACGCATCGCCACCTACATGGAATGAGCCGAAAGCACAAAAGCTGTTCATGTTGCTGCTCTCCGCTCCACACGAAACCATGCGTCAAATGGTGTTTTACCGGCAGGAGGGCAGAGGCCAAACACTTGCTCCTCCCGCGTGCTTTGGTGTCGGGATCATGATGGGATCAACACTTTGGGAACAGAATCGGCGTGACCTTGCATTGCGGTGGGGAGGTGACAAATCTAGTGACAGGATTCGGGCTTTGTTTGAGCCAATGTAGAAGGTGTGCGTGACATTTTGTTGAGCCTGTTATGTAGCCTGTTTTGCGTTTCTTTATCTCACATAAAGCCAACTGGCTTTCCAGTGTATGCCCAGTTACGATCTATTAAGCCACCCGATGCTTATCGTGGGTTGAATCTATCCCATACCCCATGCGGTTCCTCTGTTGCTTCGCGAAGTATTGCCATGAACACCGAAGAGCTCTTCCATGGCTGTACTCCGGTCCCATAATTGAATTGACGCGCTTTTCATGCAAGGCTACCTTGCAATGGCATTGAGGCAAATCTAGAGCCTCCCTCTTTTCCTTCACAACCTCCATCTCTGTCGCTGTCTCTTACGCAGCAAGGCTGGTCTCCCCGCGAATCTCTCGAGCTTTCCGGATTCCCGAAGTGATGTATGGTCAAAGAAGGTGGTTGACCCGTTCCCTCTCTGATCCTACCTTACCTTCATCTTGGACACGCCGGGCGCCGTCCTCTACCATTTCTTCTCATCCTACTTCAGATAGCCTTCAAGACACCCGTCCTGGTGGTCTTCCCCAGTCATTGTTGAACACCCAGCCGACGTCGACGTCGCCTATCGAACCAAGCGCTACCAATCTGGCTTCCGTATCGAATTCGACTACCTTGAAACAACATGGGCAACCACCCACCCTGAACGATGGCCAACTGACCCCTCAGCGTCTCCCGCAGCGGACTGCAACCCTGAAAGACGAGACACGTGCTTGTCGCCAGGCTGGCCCTGCACATCCCTCCCGTCACCCCAAAAATTCCAGTGATCCGACGGCCCAGGGAACGTCGAAACATTCGAAGAGATCCTCGCACAAATTCACCGTTCCCTCTCTCTCGAACGTCTATACCCCACATCTATTCGAGATAAGGTTGACGCCTGTGAATAGACGAGTGCCAAAGCATCTTCGACCTACAGCATCGTTTACCAACCTTGGAGGTGACTCCATTGATCCCTCTCAGCAATCTACCCCCCGATCATTCGATGTTCGCGTTGAGATTCCACCGCGGAAACGCAAACTGGATGTGAAATCTTCGCATCACACGGTAAGGTCATTGTATTTGACTTGCGTAAGACTTGGTCTGATATGACGATGTAGAAGCCACAGGAACCAAAATGCCCCTCCGGCAATGCGCCACCGCCTACCAGTTTACTTCTCGGCATTAAATCCCCCAACACCCCACTCTCCCCTAAAGCCGACCGTCTAGCGTCCCCGACAATGGGTCCTCCATCTGCTCACCCCCAACAAGAGTCTGAGTTGGATATGCAAGCGACCATTCGTATTATCAAATCTCCATCGAGTGCATGTCCGGAGAACAACCCCTTCCTGACAGAGCCCAATGAGACAGCATCAGAGGAATCTGTCAAAATAGACCTGTCCGAAAGCACCGACCATGGCGAAGAGCAGGTCATCCCTGAACCCGACGTCCCTGAAACGAAGGTGGAGACTTCGGTGAGACTCGAAGCGGAGACGGTAATTGAGGAAATTGCTAAAGCAGTCATTGAAGCCGCTGAGGAGCTTGCTAGCGAGGTCGAGGCGCAGGTTAAGGCGAGCTTGGGAGTGACCGAGAAAAGGGAGTCTGAAACGGAAGAATGTGCGGATAGAGAGGATCCTGTCGTCCCTGATTTCCCGCTCGAGATCAAAAAGGGACAAGACGAAGTAGAACGATTGACAGTTTCGGAGACCGAACCTATTCAGACTGTCGAGACAGCGCAGGAGACTGGCTCAGGTGCGTCCGCCCAACCGGTTTCCCTGGCAGACCCGGAGGTGTCTGTCGAGGCAACCCCACCCGCAGAACTGAAGATGGAGGAGACACCGCATGTTGCAATAAAGGTGATAGAGACCCCCCAAGCGAACGAGCATCCCGAACCGGCAGACACAACGACACCGTGGTTGCCTGGGACAAAGAGCATCGGATCAACCACAACGGCAGTCGAGTCGAAACGCCCTGAATCACTCGCCGAAACCTTGTACGAGCGCTCCATCCCAGGTACACAGAAGTCCAACCTCCGCTCCCGGTCTCGGGCCAAAAGTCGCATAGAAGAGCCTGAGTCACTCCCGAAATCCTGTGCTGCAACGACCGAGAACCAGATTCCTGCTCCAAATCCGACAAAACCCCCTCCCGCACCTCAACCAGAGGCGAAACCCAAGCCTACTGAGCCGAAGGAGTCCGCTCAGAAGAAGCCAAACTTCGCCGCAGGAGATGATTTCGACACGGACAACGAGCCATCGTGGGCATGGGAGGAGTTGCTCAAGCAAATCGATGAGGAGGAAGAGAAATACAAAAAGGGACGGCACGCTGCCGATGTCAACATGTGGTGGATAGGCTTTGAGCTCGCATGGGAAGCGAACGTGAGGAAAGGGAGACCGCTCAGGTCATGGCTTGACGTGGAGAAGAATTGGCCGAGGGATGCCGAACGGGAAAGAGAGGCGAAAGTCAGTGAAACTGTCAGTGATCCCAGCAGGCTTCCGAAAAAGGTACCCAGTCAGCAGGAAGAGGCAGGTTCCAAGACGAACGCCGATCCCTCAGGAACCAATCCATCTCCGCAAGGCGAGAAAGATTCCGTCGTCACCTCGTCCACGAGTACCAACACTTCCTCCCTGACAACTCAGAAAGATAAGGAAGAAAACCAACGTCGAAGTTCTACAGGCAGCCTTAAAGGCGATATCTGGAAGATGTGGAAGGAGACCGAGCAACGCTGGGCGGAGGAGGAGCGCACAGAGAAGGAGAAACCAAGAGGGCCGGAGCCAGCACCAGCGGCGGCCTCGCAAGAGCCACCACGTTCGAAATTGTTCAACAATGATACCTTTCCTCGGAGTCGGTATTCGAGACGACGCGGCTCTGCCTGGGAGGAACGTCCCCGTAAGCCCGAGGAGACCCGAAAGGAGGCTGGTGGCGAACATTCCCAGCCGCAACCACAACCTCACCACCATTCGTATTCTTACACTCAATATCCCCAACAGCAGCAAGCTTACCCTCAACATCAAGGTCACTGCTATTCTCAGCCCTTCTCCCAATGGCAGCGGCGCCAGTCCGATGCAGCTCCCCCGCCGCCTCCACCTCAACCCAATACTACTCAGCATTCAGGCACTCAATCGCGTCGAGATACTTTCTCCGGGACCCAAACTCGCCCCAAGAAAGAACCCCGCATCCCACTCAAGATCCGTATTCCCGAAACGCCCATGGGCTCGGCATGGAGGGCTTACGAATCACGCTGGGAAACACTGCTCAACTCCCAAGGACCTATCACTTTCGCTTCCGTTCCATGGCCAACCCATCACCGACCCGCTGACCCCACCGCGATCACGATCTACAACATCGCCGCTTTCTTACTCTCACCCGAACACTCCAACGTCATGACCGCACGCGACAGACTGCGTAACGCCGTGAGGAAGTGGCATACAGATAAGTTTACGAGATTTGCGAATCGGATCGTCCCTGAGGATAAAGCGATGATCGATGAAGGGGTGGGCATCGTTGCGCGGGCGTTAACACAGCTCCTCGAGTTGGAGAAGAGACGTAGTGGTTAAAGATCTCATCTTGGTTACACGTATGATACCCTCCATTCTTTCTGCCTCCTGCATTTGTCTTTTTTTTTCCGTTAGCATTTCATTGTATAACTGACATCGACGTCGGCCTGCAACCGTTAACCTTCGAACACTGACACTTTCACTTTCGGGTTCTTGCTCTTTTTTCTCCCTTTACATCATGGTCAGGGCTATCCTTCGTTCGAATCGATATCCGCCAATCAAGGGAGCGCGGACATCGTATGAGGTAGACATGGGTAATTTTGGCAATTGATTTACTTCGTCTTTTCGCACCGGCTTGCGCTCAGCATTGAACCCAACGCATCATTTCACCGATCTATACTCGGACGATGTACTTCCCCGTATCTTGGCATAGCCAATACCAACTCCCATTTTTCTTCCGTTTGGAATCCCGAAGAATTATACATGTGCCCAACGGTGATAGAGCTGAAGTTTGATTCTTTTCAGCAGCACAAACGTGTAGGCGAAACTGCAGCCCAACAAGTATATAAAACAACCGTCATCATCGATTACACCATTCAACCGACGTGTGCCTCAGCTTCCTTTATCATTGTACACATGATGTTGTCTCATTGGGCAAAACATGCCCACTGGCGAGATGCATTCACAGAGCCATTTCAACCTTGGATTCCCTAATCGGGTCTGTCCCGGTTGTTCGCCCCTCGGCACACCGATGGACTTCCCATGATTGGGCAGCTTCCCGGAGTTGCCGTGGAAGCTAGAATGTTCCATTCCCTTGGGTCATCAAATGAAATGAGCACGACGCACCATGGCTCCCGCGTGAGGCCGAATGGTGAGAGAGTCTGTATGCTCCAGGCGACTGCGTGCGTGGTTACGGCCGGTACGGTATCGACAATAGGTGCTTGGACTGTCCAGGCACGAAGTCAAGATGTCAAGCTTAGCGTAAAAACAGGTATTTCAATAATTTTGAACGAGGGGAGTGAAGTTGCAGATTGTTCTTCGAAGAATATGAAGAATTGATGATAAGAAGCGAAAGAGCTGGAGTAGGTGATAGTACACGCTGCCATTCATCCGAAAAAATCGAGATGCATTCGCAGGAAGCAAATCGCAAAAGAAGATAGAGTCGATCGGGAAGTTGGAATGGGTTGTGACCACCTCGCATGCGCAGTCATTCCTTCAGGGAGGAGGGGTCTTTTGGTGGACTCGAAGAGCTAGCTCCGATGCTGGGTGACGTGAGGGTACCATGCGGGCCAATCGACGGCTGTGAAGCATGTGGGATCCTAAAACGAGGGGCGAAAGAAGATTGAGGAACGATGTTATCGCATTGAAAGTTGATGAGTAACACGCACTGCTCGGGCTGAGGGATCGCAGCTAAAGGAAAGAAGAAGCAAGGGAATTAAATGGCGTGCTGAGTAAGTTGGGAGCCATTGTTCCACTCACTTCCGACACTGGCTTGAGGTGCTACGCCAGCTTTCGAAAGAGCGTAATCACCAGAATCAAAGTACTTGCGTTCCTATTATTCATCAAGAGGGAGCAGCAGAAAAAAACGTTGGATAGTAATAGCCAAAGTTTCATTAGGCTGCGGCGATCGTGTTGGGCGATAACGGCTACTAACCTTTTGCATCTTCGCAAGCACATTCTTGTGTGTGGGTAGCTTTCCATACTTCTCAAACAATTTCTTCTCCTCTGGACTCTAATACGGATGACAAAAAAAGATCAAAGATTTGAGCGGCTGTTCCAACATCCAAAATTCACGAGGCATTGCCCGGCAAAGTGACGTACCAACTTACTGATGTCAACCTTCTTGCGCTGTGCTGGAAGCATTGTCGTGGAGGGGGGATCTGGGGGTGTGCGAAAGGCGGAGAGAGGCCGTCTTTCGATGCTGAGTAGACTTGGATCGGCGAAGGAGCGGGTGTTGTTGTGTGTGTGGCCTTTGTTGGGTGACTCCAAGCTTTATTATGGACATTGGCGGCTCAGCCCGCCGCAACACATGACTTGATGGACAACACAAAAAGCTGGCTTCTATTGTCAACACAGAAAATCTCTAGAAAATAATTGGCTTTCATTATACCCTTATGCTTTTTTTTCAAGAATCAAGGTACAATCTCCTGTTCTCGCGACGCCATTGTGGAGCCTGACATAAAGCTGGGACTCCGGCCCCATGGGATCCGATACGCGGGTGGTGGAAGGATTGTTGTGAGCCTCGAAGCACGAGAACCGCATCGACGGAGTACTACCAGGATTGGCGAGCCCCGAGGCTTGATACATTACCTCTAGACGAGCCTGCACCAGTTGCTCCAGAAGAGTGAAGCAAAAAAAAATCTCTTCATGTATAGCTCTCAAGTTAATCACTGAGGAAAAAGATTCCATGATAAAATCATGCACACGTGAGGATTCCGTGAAAAATCTTAGCACTGTGTAGGATTCTTGGTGACAGGATTTTTCGTCGATCCTGTTGCACGACAGGATTGGGGTTTCAGACTATCTAAATCCTGCGCAAGGAGGATTTTATCATCAAAACTTATGTGCACCATAATCTTTCAGCCGTAATATTACTATATTGTAATGCGTGTTATGACATATATTTAGGTGTACATCACGAACCTATGTCCTGTTGGGCACCCGTAGATAGTTCGAGACCAGGATCCGCTGCGATCTACAACTGCCCACATGGATCCACCCCCCCAACCCTGAGTCGACCAACAACAGTACATACAGCGTCTAGATTCACAACCTCGATGTATGAAACTGTTTTGAAATATGCTAGTTCAGAGATTCCATCATGTCCGATTTCGCGATTACAGCATATTTTGATATCGACGTTGACTTTGGAAGCGTCATTTCTCTTCGGCTCTTCGGGTGCATCGCGCACGCTCATGTCCCCGAAAAATTCCAGAAAAGGATTGGAGTGCAAGTTGTCGAAGGGACCCACATCGGATTCATAAAGGAGAGTGCTCGGGTGCTCCATGACCATGAGAAGCGCCAGATTATAAAAGCGCGCGATGTCGATTTTTTCGACACAGGAAGTAGGGAATGTGTCGGGGTGGAAATGGATGATAAGGATGGGGAAATGGGGAAATGGGGTGTAGGAAACAGATCTAAGGGCGTCACAGAACGTCAGAATGGCGACTCAGGGGGCGAAAGTCAGAAACAATGGCATGAGCATACCAAAAAACCAAAATTCGCGCATCCAAGATCCATCCACATTAATGCAAAGGGACCGCACGAAGAAGCCCCATCGTCACAGACTCCACTCCTCATCGATCGAGCCTGAAGCGCCCAGAAGATCTTCCAAAAGCACCTGATATAGCCTGGCGCAAGTGAGGCAGCGGACGATACAAAGATGCTAGTGGGCATCTACAAGCTGTGGCGTTCCAGAGAAGCTGTGGCCTATAGGAGTAATGGAGCCCTTGATTTGAACATATTAACGCCAGATGCAGAGTAGCAGAGACCCAATAGTAATGGGGATGTTGCAGAGCAATGAGTTGGGCATATAGCACTTCGATGTGTTGTGTCGGTCTGTTTGTTTCGGCCCTTGGGTTAACTCAATCCCCGTGATTTACAACTCGCCTCAATCTAGCCAGAAGTGAACAATCTCCCAGATCGGTTGGGGGCGGGGGAGGCCAGAAGCGGTCCGTGAAGGTGTACCCTTTCTCTCGGAACAATGCACTTATGTGTGGTTCACATTCGTGCCATGACTGTTGCATCTTCATGTTGGTAGATCGAGCTCCCGGCAGAAGATAACACGTGTAAGGAGCCATTTAACCTCTTTTTTGTCTTCAAAAACGGACTAGAGTCATACAGCGCAAAAGAAACGCGTCCAGGGCCGATTCCAATGCCATGCAGAATGCGTGTAAGCCCTCATCATTAAATCATTGAATGCTTAACACCTTAACTTCAGGAATCCATTTGCACGCGCCTAAATTTCCTTCATTTCTGATGACTTTCAGGTCAGATAACCCAACTCGTCGCTTCAACCTCAAAACTTGTCACCGGTACTAGGGCATCGGCAAGAAACCGCAATGTGGCCACCCATCTTTACCACATACTGTTGTTATGAGTAGACTGGCGATCGGCAGCTGCACTGCTCGCGTGATAACGAGGGACTAAGGTAAGTACTAAGGCTGATTATTATTACGTTTAACTATGGCATCTTTTATAATACAGCAAGGCCGTGATTGGCACACTCACCAATTGGGAAAGCGGTGATGCGTGTGTGAGATGTTGCATGCTAGCGCTGTGCATGGGACATGTTGCCAGAATGGTAACATGACTCGTAATCCAACATGTGCGTGCTTAACATCTCACCATGTGCTTCTCTCTCACTAGTAACGGTGCTAGGCACTAAATTTAACTCAACCACAGTATAATATGTCGCACCAAACCCCTGCCTCTATGCTTTTCTCCAACAACACTCATGGCACTCTCGACCCCCGTTGTTCGCTTCAAACCTTTTTTGCTGTTCAAGTCCTTGACACTGCGACAACTTTATGACCCCTCACTTTCGATTGTCGTTTCATCATGTTTTTGCAGCATTCCACTCATATTGTCCCATACCATCGTGTCGACTAGTCAATATATAATCCTGCCTCCAGTCAGACATAAGCCGTCATTAGACAAGATTTGACCTGCATTAGAGCATGATTCCCTATGATATCATCACGGATAATTACCTGATAAAAGGATTATTCCCTGTTATTCAGCAGGACTTTTTGACATGATTCTGGTCACAATCATGTACGGCAGCAGGATTGTTCTAACATAGAAAATTTAGACAAAATCCTGCTTCTCAGTGGGACTTTTATCCTACTTCACGGAGGATTTTCTCATGGAATTTTTTTTCTCAGTGTAATTCTGCGCGTGACGAAAGAACAAAAATTAATCAAAGAAATAAACGCGTTTCGTGCAGGGTGACCTTCTATAGTAGTTCCTGGCCGGTCTTAACTTTAATGAACGCTGCATGCCATGGCATCTCAGGTCAATAAAACAAAACCGAAGATAGAATCTGGGACAGCATCTCTCGACTGTATCAAGTCTGCAGCTAGTCGCTCTCGGAGACAACGAGATCATTCCTCTCCATAGGCGGTTGCGCTTCGGGACTACTAACATGGTTCTTCCTACAATTGCGCGAACTCGCAGGATTATTGAGCATCAGCACGGTCGTGATATAGAAGACGAAGACGAGGCTTCTTGTGCATGAAACGGATCAGTTGATTGTTGCAAGATATCCTGCATGTCGAGCTGCTTCCCTTTGTGGGAGTACAAATGACCCTTTCCCGGATTATCGACCCACGCGGCAGTCTGAGCAAGGGTTATACCCCTAAGTGCGATAGAACCAATGCGAGCTGTATGTCCGAGCGTTTGTATGTGCAGAGCAATGTCGGGAGATGGTATCGTCATCAGATGCACAGCAGTGCATTTTTCTCTTCAAAGGATTTCTTGGATCCAGTGCGAGCCATGCATCGCATACGCGGGGAGTAACCCCATTTGCTGTTGCCTCGGAGCGGCTTCAATGGATCCTCCCAGGCGATGAGGCCGCAACACAAGTACGGCACCATATATACCATCAATAACACAATTGCTCTCGCCGATACAGTCAATGTTCGCGGCGGTTACTCTACAGGAGCCGTACAACTTACAATACACATACATTCGCAGAAGAGACTGAACAGCACATTACCATAACCGAGGTATATATATGCAAGTAGGCCAACAATATTCATAACAAACCACACTGATCTAGGATACCCTGGTATGATTCAGTTATCAGCCCATGCAGCGACCTATTGGTGGGATCGGCAAAATTCAGCTCGTACAAGTCGAGAGATTGATAGTGCCAAATTCCGGGTTACTCACCCAACTGAAGCCATGGAACTGCGCCTGATCTGCGGTAGATAACTGTCCGTGCACCGGGGTTAAGGTGGGTTGCTCCCGCGTGAACTCTGTGTCGAAGTTGCTGACATCAGATGGATTGGCCTGGATGGCAAGGTGTGTGAGTCATCAAGATTTAAAACACAAGAAACGAAATGAATCTGTACATACAATTGTGGGGAAATATGGGGGTGGAATGCGCTTATGGAGCACATCATCAAAGTTGGTATCCTTGAAGAATGGATGACGTTTGATAGGCTCCGCATCGTCCGGTCCAGATCCAAGACGTCGCCCAGCGTCACGGGTTAAAAGCTGTGAAATTTTCGTGAATACCAAATTCAGATCGATCCTAATGAAGTACCTTCTGTAGGATTGAGACCGCGTCCCTAGGCATTGTGATGGGATACAGAGGTTCGTCTTCCAGGATAGCGTCAAAAATTTCCTCCTCGTCATCACCACGGAATGGCGATTGCCCCAGAAGCATCTCATACATCAAGACGCCAAAGGCCCACCAATCGACGGCTCTTCCATAACGTTGTTCGAGTAGGATCTGGGGGATTATTCAATGACTTGATGGCAGGATAAATTTGAAGTGGCAACTAGCCTCTGGTGCCATGAATTCGGGCGTCCCACAAAACGTGCTTGTCGTCTGTCCATAGCCCATACTCTCCTTACAGAGACCGTAATCGGCAACCTTTACATGACCGTCCAGCGTTAACAGAATGTTATCGAGCTTTAGATCACTGGAAATTTTCTTGTTATGGAGAAACATAAATAGAGGCGCTTACACTCACCGATAGATGATGTCATTAGCATGGAAGTACTCAAGGGCCAGAAGTACTTCGGCCGCATAAAACTTTGCTTGCCTAAGCGAGAATTGCCGGCGCTGGATGTGAAGCATAAGATCGCCGCCGCTCACATATTCCATAACGAAGTATATGCGCGTCTCTGTCTGGAAACAAGAATGAAGTCCCAACAAGAATGGGTGTCGCTCACGGGCCGCTGTGAGGAAGACACGCTTTTCCGATTGCGTGCTGTGTCATGATATTGGTAATCTCAACTCCGCCAATGCAACTCTGCGTCTCACCTTTCTACTTCGTCATTGTCGATGATAAATTCCTTCTTCAACACTTTGATGGCATACAAGTTATTGCTTCGCTTTTCTTCAGCCAGCATGACTTTCCCGAAGTTCCCTTTCCCTAGGACAGCGAGGAAGTTAAAGTCGTCAAGACCAACTTTCCTCCTCTTATGCCGAATTGGCGAAGGGGGAGCGACTGAGGTAGGAGTACCCAGGCCGGTGGAGTATTGCCTTCCAGGTGATGGATAGATGTCCGTCCGAACTGGAGGGCCCATCCTTCCAGGTGGTGTCTGGATTCAAATTGTCAATGACCAAAGACGCAGGGCGGCAAAGTCAGTGCGTTACATACGGGGTCGGGAGGTTTCTCTTCCGAGCGTCGTGGTAACGCAAGAGGTGGCCCAGGATATCCAGCGGTGCGGGGATCTATGCGAGGATCTGGATACGGTTGAGCCTGAACAGCTTTCGGAGTTGGAGGAAGGGGAGGCAGTCCGCCTTGGGGAGAGTGGGGAGAACCGTAACGAGGATCGCGAGGCTCCTGATATGGCGGGGCTTCCATGGAACTACGTCCAGAACTGATATCAACGCGATTAAAGTCGTTCACCACCGTCTCCAATGGGGGAGGTTGTGGCGCTGGGGGAATTGGCTGCGCCTTGGGTGGCCTTTGCTGCTGTTTAACTTGCTTCTGGTGAGACTTGATATCATGAATTTGGCTTAGCAATATGTTTGCTGTCTCCATTGACATTCCACAAAAGTCAGGGACCAGATGAGCGCAGCTCGCATGACAGGTGATATCACATTCTGAACAGATAGATAATCGGCATGGCCACAAGTAGAGAAATGAAATCAATATCTTACCACTGCACTTTTTTGCGTCTTTTCTTCCTAACGGCAACATATAACCACAATGGCAGCACCAGTTAGCGCTCATGTTTGTCATGGTTTCGAATCGGTGCGGTATGCGATGGTTAATCTTATCCTCGTCAGCCTCCTGAAATTACTATTCAGAGGGGGTTGGGACATTTTCGATGAAGATCTCACCGTCTCGGCATTAGACTTCGATATGCATTTCGTAACCGCCTTGGGGTAGCATTCCCGGTGGCATGTATACCGGCAATCCTCGCATTGGTAGCCAGAAGCCTTCAGCAAGAAATCGCCGCATAACGCGCAACGCATCAATTGATAGAATGATCGCTGCACGAATTTATGGCCATTCATCTCGTGCACTTGGCCTTTCCGGACACGGACGGCGCCTTGACGTCCAAGACCACCAGCATCAGGTCGGCGCTTCACATTCTCTTTGACTATAAACAGAAACCATCAGTGGGACTGCAGGTAGACGAACAGTGGTTGCGTACCGAAGTTAACATAAAGGTTTAAAGCACCTGCAGGCTCCACCGCGAACCAGGCGGCTACACCTTCCTGTGCTCCACCTGTGCTGGATGGACCTCCGCCGGCGGGGACTGAAACTAAATTGAGTGGAGAGTTCATGTCGCCACTAGCCCCTGGGTTTTCAGGTGGTGCAGGACCACCGGAGCCTTGCATTGCACCAGCGGCAGTAACCCATGCACCTTGCGATTCATTTCCGACCCTCTGACGCCGTAAAGCATCAACGATGTCGTTTAGCCTGAGCCAGAATAGACCGATCGGTGTAGGCTGATCTCCAGGCTGCTTGTCGTAAATGGCGATCTCCACTTCGCTCGCCTTGTCAACAGTGATTTCGAAATCCTCATTCCACCGGTCTGTCCGAGAAGGGCGGGAAGTTGCTCGCGAGGTCCCTTCGACTTTGATGACGACGGTAGTCTCATTGTATACCTTGGAGGATCGTTTCAATAGAGGTGAATGGTCGAGTTCACGGGCTGAGTTCACGGTGACGTAGAATTTTCCAGACAGTGGCTTCCGAAGGTTGTCCTTCCGATCGCCGTCGGCCGGAGACATTTCTGGCAATTCATGTCAGAATGAGTGAGACTCGATGCACCGGCGGTGCTTACCTTCCTCTGCTTGCGGATCATCAAGTATATGCAGATTACGATAGCGTTTAAGAGCGGTCTGAAGAAGTTGGATCTTCTTCTCGCTCTCTATCCTTTTAATGTCAGCGTCGGCGCGACTTTTCTTATCACCGTCAGCTTGGTACAGTTTAGCCATTTGTATGATCGCCTTTTTATACTGCAGCTCTACTTGAAGCTTGAATTCGAGCTGCTGGAGCATTTTGGTGATTTTGGCGGTGGTATATGGTGTGTCAGCCTTGATCAGATCTGGGTGGTCCATGTCAGCGACACCAGAGACACCCAATCTTGGGTAAACATGACATACCCAAATTATTATATTGCTTGGGACGAGGCGAATTGGCAAGAGACGTGTTAGGGGGATAATTAGTGGGCCCATAGTCGTCGCCAAAAGTTGGTGGTGGAGGTGGAAGTGCACGTTCCCGATCAGATGGTCGGGGGCTATTGGGGACCCCCGAAGGTGTTCCGGGATGTAGGGCGCCGGGACTATCACCAGGGCGGAGTCCACTTGGGGTTGATGCACGGAGGGTTTCGTTCTTGCGGGCCTGCAGCTCTCGTAGGGTTTGCTCAAAATAAGTTAACTGTCGCTGAGACTCTCGTATCGCTGCATCGGTGCGTCTGAGTACGTCCTGGTTCCCAGTAGCTCTCCTCAAGTTCTCTGAAGCTTGGATGAGCTTGCGTTCAGTTTGTATGCGCTTGTAAACATCCTGGATTTTCTGGTCAAGCTCGTGTGCCTGAGAAACCAAAATACGAAGATCAGGATCATCCAGATGCCCCGTAGAGGCAGACAGACCATTTGAAGAAATTACCAGGAGTAGACGTAAAGCTTCAAACCACTATCGCAGTTGATCGGGTTGGCGCGCTGGAACGAGCAGAGCCCGATTTACTTTACGTAATCACCCTAGCGCTAAAGGTCAAGTACAACAGTTAAAAATCACGCACGGGAATATGGAATATTCGTAAATACAGCGGATGAACCATAAGTAAAGTGCAAATACAAGAAGCATCGTAGAAATACACTAGTCAAGCCTGGAAGCCACCAGCAACAGACGTAACCAAGGGGGGAGATGGGCCGATAATGGCACAATATACACGTTATTTATAAAAAGCCTGACTCCTGAAGCAATCTCGCCATTTTCTCATCTTCGCGCTCGCGGGGTTCGAGCTTCAGGCTGAGTTCCCAAAAGTAGTCAGATGTTTGTTCGAGAGTGAGAGCGTCATCGATAAACTGCCGAATGACGGGGATGACGGACAGGCTGTAAGGGTGAGACTGGTAACGCTTGATTTCGGCAATAATGGCTGCCGCCTTAAGACGTTTTGCGAAGTTGATAAGATCACCTTCTTTGACCAGCTTGTCTTTCATTCCGTCTTGAATGAAAGTGAGGGTCGTGAGGTATACGCCTGGAAAAGAGTACAGCCATTTACATAGGCATCAAGGGAAACCAATATGGATAAAACGCACCGATGAAAGGGACGCACGGCAACGACACTTTGGACAGCATATTACGGTACTCTGCCAAGTTCTTTCCATGCTAAAAATGCAAGATGTAACGCAATTAGTTGACAGTGCCCTGCCTCATGGGCGGATTACTGTACCTGCATTGTTTTCTCAATGTCATCTAGAACAGCGATATTTCGTCTCGATACCACGTCCCATGTTCTCTTTAATCGGCGTATGGGCGGTGAATTGAGGGCAGCAACCAAGGCAGCCATTGTGGAGAAGTTATTCAATGAACGGCAGCGCTTCCGGTTGAAGGTGAGGTCCAAAGTTCCTCATGCCACAGCGTATTAGACCTACCTCGGCCGTCAGAATGAAGTGCTTGATCAACAGAGCCCTCTTCCGAGGATCGTCCTTGGACAAAACGGCATCATTTACCCAGTCAGCAAGCTTTGTGCAAATGCGAATCACGACATAAGTTTTGCAGGGTATCCATGTATTAGATTAGCCTCGTACCTTGTTACTCATGGAAATAATTGCCCGAATGCTGTCGTCATCAGACTGACCGTCCTTTGCCCGAGCCAAGCAATCCATCGCACGAATTTTCATGAACAATTCACTCTCCTTCAAAGTAAGTTGACGTGCAAATTCGAGAGGGTCGATATCCAAAAGCTTTAATTTACGATTCCCACTGACTCGAGGGACTACAGGGGCGGGGGCAGCGTGCGGCGTATGGCTTACCGGCAACTTAGTTACCCCATGCCCTTTGGTATTCTGCGGAAGGGCTGAGATGACACGGTTCATGACGATCATCGATGTATACTCACAATATTGTCGAGGAGGTTAATCAGTAACTTCATTGGAACATACTCTTTGATATATTTTGTTGCAAAATCTCTGATTCTTGCCAGGATTGCAACATCATTAGGACCGATCACGTCTTCTTCTGACAGAATGGCTTTAATGGTGTTGACAGCACTGCGTCACAAAACGTTATAATGTGATGATTCAATTGGTTTGGGCGAAACCTACCGTATGCGAACTTTGGCTTGTAGTTTGACTCTCCAATCCTCATATTCATCAGGAGTGATGCCTTCTGGGGGTTTAATTTCAAAACGAGCAACGAGGAGATCAAACAGTTCATTCAAGTTGGTGAACGACTTGAAAGTCATAATGAATGTGTCAAAGAATGTGTTATCTAATCCGACCGGAAGTCAGTGGCGACCTTGTGCAATTGAATCTAAACGAACCTCGAGTAGCATGGGTAGTTAGAGTTTCTACCAAGGCCTCCAAGGTACCGCCGCGGACGCTTCCGTCAGGCATGAGTCTGAGATCTTCTTCCCTGTAGGATGGCCGAAGGTACCAAGGTTGCTCCTCTAGATCAGGAGCATCTTGACCCAAGATTTCCTTAAGGTTTTTCTTGGCAACAGGAGTTGTCTTTGCTTTTAGTCGTTCGAATTCTACAAATGCACTATGATTAACACTGCACTCCGCTTAGTTAGTGTATCAAAAATTACCATCGTCTGAGTCTGGAGTGACGGGTCGAGCGTTAGATGCGCTCGTGCTCATACCGGATGGTTCGGGAGATGATGAATTAGGCACGTTAGGGTTTGTTGAAGCTTCGCCAAGAGAAGTAGACTGTGACGCCGCTACAGCGGTTAGTTTCAGTTCTGGCGTTGGCCTACTCAGCGCATCACCCATCGACAACATGCTGGATGCGTCTGAAAACGCCCTCTTGCCCGAACCAAACGCATCTTCCATGCCAATGAAATTGTCAATGAACGTCGACGGATCTGAGGCAGAAATTGTGATGAGAGAAGGGTCAATATCAAGACTAGGGACAGAGTAGTGCCCATTTGCCCGCGGCGGAATTGTATCGCGCGCCCTCGCTCGATTGCCTCGACGTGACATGGAAGCTGATCGGCGTGCCTCAGCTTGTGTCTCCGCAATGGCTATTAAGCCTTCCAGCGACACTTGGGCCTGGTTTATGTGAGCAAGGATGGACGATATGATTTGAATGGCCATGTGAGGAAGAGATTTTTGAGAGGATTTGCTGGAAAGTAACTCGGAGGATATATCAACATCTTGGCATACCATGAGCAGTAGCATGCCTTCGTCAAACATCGCTTGCTTAGACGTCTCAAGCTGACGAAGCATTATCCTTGCCTCTTTAGAAGCAGTGACATATTTCGAACCACCACGCCGAGATGCTGTTAGATCAATATATGAAGCAACGTCCACATCTTCTATGAGCGAAAGAAGACTGGAGAGTTCAGTGACAACAACAGGCCCCCTCTCCCTGATCTGAGAGTTTGCTAATTGGACACAAGATGAGTTTTGTGGAAGGTATAGCTGAGAGGGAGACGGCACCTTGTGCTTCCGAAGGAGAGGTACGAACAACTTCGTCCAAGCAGAGCAAAGAGCCGGCAACACGCGCTCGGAGTGCCTTGAACTCCGATGACAAGTTCCTCCCTAAAACCTGACGTTCAGACGAATCTTCCGCTGGTACAAAGCCCAGCGCCTTCGAGTGCCCCCCCAGACCCCCACCAAAACTGCCCAAACCAACGCCTCCAGGCCCTTCGGCAGATTCCAGCACCCCACGAAGACGTTTCACTCTTGACTGAGCAGTCTGGAGCTGAACTTCTGTCACAAATGTAACCACTGCACGATCCAATTCAGCTGCATCATAATCAACGCGTGGGCCAGCCTCTGAAAGTGTCCATGCAGAGTTTGTCTTGTTCGCTCGCGCAGACAATACAAGTTTTGAGAGCGTTGCAGTCACTTTCCGCTGCAATGGCTTGAGCTCCAGCATTGGAGATCGAACCGATTCTGCTGCTTCCACAGTTTGAGGCATCAGGCTCGATAATGGTGATGCAAGTGTTCCTGAAATGTAGAGAAGGTTCCGAACGGCCAACACGACTTCAGTCACACGATCCATCACGAGCGTAGCATTGTTTGTGGGCGAGGAATCTTGTCCATTATACGCAGCACCAATTGCAGTTACCTCCCGAATTGCTTCCCGGGCGGCATTCGAGTATGTCACCAGAGCCTCGGACGATGTGGGTGCGAGTTTGGTCTGAAGATCCCGAGTGTTACGCTCAGCGAGAGCAGTTTGAGGCAAAACATCCCCAACACCAAATGTCGCGGTGGCAAGGTCTACGTGGTCATTGTCAAAGGATGCATCGGCTAGGGACTGGATGTCGGAGGCGTCTGAGTATATGCTAGAACCCCGCAAGACCTTGTCTGCGGTGTCACCCAGCCCAAATAAATCTTGAGTGAAGCCGCGCCGAAGCGCCTGATAGCCATCTTCAACATCCCCGTTGAGGCCAAAGGCATGCTGGGCAGCGCTTCTGGGCTGAGAGATTTGCACGCTCGGTTGAGCCCATGATATTTCCCCATTATGAACATTATACCAATAAACGGATACGCCATCATCAGCGAGACGTCTGACCCAATGGGTTGATTCATACTCCGGATCCACGGAGCGGGAAGAATGCCCTAACGTATCGTACGAAGTGGGCCATCCTCTGGGTGTTGCTTGTTCCGTGTCAACAGCATCGTGGACTTCGCTATGGTTTTCGGATGGGAGGTCTCGGGCTTCCTCTCCGGTCTGCAGATTTCTGTAAAAAATCTGTAGCACATGAGTTCAGGGAATTGCCAATGACCAGTGGCAAAACCATTGAGCTTACTTGTCCGCTGGCGCTTACTTGCGGCGTCCAAAAATCATCTGCTGGCCCCAGTCCATCAGTGGGAGTATCAGTCTGAAAGTAATTATGTGAAGATTGTGGAACCAATGAAGTTGGCATTCCCTCTTCCCGTTCCCGTTGCCCAGAGTCAACATGGTCCCCGAGGCTTGACAGATACGTAGCTTCCTCTTGTGTGAGCAATTCAACGTAATTCCTTGGGAACCAACCACGTTCATCACCCAAGACGCCATCCCACCAACCAGTGTCTAGCTGAGTGAAGACTTCAATGATCGCACCCCTCTTAAAGGCTAGGGCCGAGGGATCTCCTCCCGGGTAATCATACATGGCACGGACTAGAACTCCTGGTTCAAGGTCTTCCGCTTGCACGTCCTCCATCATAGCAAGCCACTGATGCCTATACACGGGGGGTCGGAGGAAGCGATGTTGCTTGTACGGCAAACGCCGGCAATTTCCAACCATTCCGAATCTGTTGTTGTTGAATTTTATCTCGCTTGTTACTTCCTCCCGGGTGTAGCAGAACGTAGATCAGGTACATCTAACAACCAGCTGGCGAGTTACACAGTCCAAAACAAGATGTGACGTTCGTTAACCAGGTCTCAACCACGAAGCGAAATGCGGCCGCACCATTTATGCCAAGAGAGCGTCGAAGGGCAGGGAGCACACTGATGATCCACCTGGCAATTGGAGGCTGCATACTATATACCAGGAGCATGGTTCATACGAATATGCAAGAATTGATAATGACGATGCCAATGGGGCGGAGGCGAATTCTGCTCACGGAATGAAGAGGAAGCTAAGGAGAACGGAAAATTGATGGTGAACATATCACATCCTACTTGTCCCATACTGAAAACTCAAAGGCTTCATACCCTGCTGCCTGGATATGTACGGGATTAGAAGGCTTGTAATGCCCTATGGGATTTGTGTTTATCGCCTTCGGATCCCTAAACGAGTTCTGTCCACATGCACTTATGGCCTGTATGCCATAAGAAATCAAGTTGGTTGATGTAACTGCACGCCAGATGGTAGGACGTCCCCAGTGCGAATGGTTATACAGAGGTATTCCTACGACGGTTTCCAGCAATTTCAGTGTCGAATCCCCTCTTCTTCATGTGTAGGAATATCATGTAGTTGATAACAAGCTAAGCTGAGAACAGGACGCAAACTGGTCCATACCTCTTTCTAACTATAATCACACACATCTGTCGGTCGTCGACCATTTACCAGTTGCCCGCTTACCATGGCAACGCGCCCACGCCCCCCGAACAATTAACGGGATCTAATGCCTCCATAACCGCAACATTGTCAGCAGTCGTCAGCTAGTGGTCTATTTCTGGCAAACTCCCCCCGGAACCTCTAACGCTTCAATGTGCGTTGCTTTTCGGCAGACGCTATCCCTTTTTGCTCCACAAATAATCCCTTTCTCTTCCGAACCGTATCCATATACGCTCTCGCTACATTCTCACGATCAGCCTTCTCGCCCAGGTCTTCCAGCTCTTCTTCGGTCGTTGGCACCCAAAATGGATCCTGGTCAAAGATCTCGTATCTATTGGCTCAAACTATCGTCACCCGTTGTCACAAAGTTCGGGCCGTCCCAGTACTCACCCTCTGAAGATGAGCTGCGGGCTTGCGGCTCCAGAGCTGCGCTTTCGAAGTTCTGAAAACCAGGACTGAGTTGCACGCCGGGCAGCTGTGACCTCCTCGCTTACCGTCAGGAAATCCGAAACTCTCGACCACAGGAATGGTGGCACTAATAGAAAAGAAGGCAGTCCCTTCTTTCATTTCTTCTGAGACAATCCGCCCGCGCCTCCTGGCAATTACACTATAGACCTTCCCAAGCACATCGTCTGGGAAGGGACGGCGAAATTCAGAACCATGAGTCCTCGACAAAGGATTATACGACTAACTAGATGCTTGGATGTCACAGGAATAGATTGCTAGCATGAGACGTGGTGACCAATCTAACATAGCCGTCCGACAGGTCTCTTTTGACAGGGAGACCAGCGATCCACTAATTTGAGCCTTCTTGGCGTTCACTGTCAATAAGGAAGAGTCAATAAGGGAGAGAATATAGGAGCGCTTTATTCGTACCGTTTTCGCCTTCCATTTGAGAGGCATCGTATTCCAAAGATTCTAGGAAGAATGCCACTCCTTCGAGGGGCTCTCCACACATCGGTCCTTGGAAGGTGGCAACCCGAAAACCGGTCTCTAGACTAGTCTCAAACTCCGGAGGTATTAAATTGGTGTCCAGAACATCCTGATGGCTGATGCTATCCTGGCCTTCACGACGACGAGACCGAGCCTTCAGTCTGCAGCGCACACTAAGTAAACCGGCGCAAAGGAAAATAAATCGTTTTATCACCCACAGCATTTTGCTCCCAACCTTGCATCTCCAAACCAGCATATTTGGCCCAATGCGGTTCGGTCCAAATCCCCATATTAGGGGTGCAATGCCTTTCCATTCAGGTCCAGCCTCATCCATAATTTTTTCCAATTCTTCCCAGAAATCTTCATACCTGACCGAGGACTTCTGGTGAAGTTCCCCTTCACTGATGTCTTCGGTGGGTTCCGCGTCGAGGGTGTCTCCAGAGTACTGCGCTGCACTCTCGGGACGAGTGTTCGAACGGCCTATGTCGCGTTGTATGCGTTTCAACAAAGACACATTCGTCTTGAGGAATCGAGTGATGGAGTCGGGCATTGGCACTGCACGAATAGTGAAATTGACTACTTTATGACTTGATGCTGGAAAAGTGCCACGGATCCCAAGTGGTGATTTCGTAGGACGCATATCTTAACCTCCTAGTGCGTGAGATGGCCAATTAGTTGTGAAAACTTACGTACCAGGTGCTTTCACGATAGTCTCGCGGAATGGAACGATTGGCTTGGATGCCTGAATCTTCACTTTCGCAAACCGTTCCTCGAGATCTCTGAGGCAGCGCTGATTGGGAGCAAAGGTGTTGGCTCCTGGTTTATGCAGAGTCAGTGATTATCCCTACCTCCAGATGAAGTTCCCCAGCGCCGAGAATGACCCATTCTCCGGTCTGCTGCTGGAATGTTTCCACACAAGAGTCAGACTGACTTAGAAACTTGAGTCCTTTTACCAAACGAGGCAGAAGCGCTGAGAAATTATTAGCGCAATGCGCGCGCCACACAAATCGCACACTCACCTGGCTCGACGGGCTCGACGGCGATCCGAACGATTGGGGCGACCTGAAACCCTGCGGTGAGCGTAAGGCAGCGGCTGAAATCCTAAATAACATCTCACTTGTCCACCAACGCCTGCGAGATTGATAAGACAGTCCCTGAGGGTGTCAATGTTTTCTAGTGTTACGAAGCTATCTCCGCCTTCAAGAGACACCGACGAAGGCCGACACAGAGTGGCATTTCGGTAGACAGCGCCAGCGAGGCCTTCGATAGCAAACACATTTCCAGCCGACACTTCATTGATTCTCACCAAGTCCCTTCCCATCATTTCATACAAGGCCTCCACACGCACGCATGCGATGAATGGCCCATTTCGGGCATGAGAAGGTGTGGTTCCAGAATCTGCGGAGAACTTGGGAAGGAGACAATAAACGTGTTTCCCAGTTCTGAGAGTACCAGAGTATAATCGAGCAAAGCCAAGCAATACATCGTCGTCTTTATTGCCATCCTCCTGAAAAATTTCCTTCTCGTGCTGACCCGTGGGAACCTTCATGTGGGAATCGTTGAGAGAGATTCCTTCCACAGAAGGCAGCCCCCCGATCTTAGGATCGGTTTGTTTTCTCAGAGGTTGCGGGGCTTCATCTCCCTCCTTTTTCGGGAGGCGATCTTTGGGGACAGCAAACATCTTGCTAACGTATGCCACAACATTGGACGAGTCTCCCTTCCGGCACTCCCAGAGATCCTCTTCTAGCTTTGTTTTCGGAACTGCGGTCGTTTCCTGTAAATCGGGATACAGCATTTTGGGAAGACGTGCGCGTTGAGCGGCAGAAGGAGACGGCAAAATTTCGACGACTGTCTGGAAGGTGCATGTTGATAAGGACAGCCATTGAGAGAAGATGAGGTTCACGACGTGTCGAGTATCTTTGGAGCGAAGATCACGAGGAGGTATCTTGATTTCGAGAGCTGTCACGATCTTGGCCACTTTATCCGGGTTTCTGTTTTGATGTGTAGAGCCAACATTAGGAGTTCGCCAGTCTACTGTGCACATTGAAAGGGCGCCTGGCTTACGGATTCAGAACCACATTCTCATAGACAGCCCAAATGTTCTCGAGGACGAACTGCACAAAAAGTGGTTTCAGATTGCGGCCCTTGAGCTGCCTGTGAGTGACAACACGTTTGAACTTGGGATCCAGGTAGAATTCGCCCCACAAAGCTTTCCGCAAATTCCTCTCATTCACACCCAGTTTTTTGGCGTATAATTGAGCGAATTTCCCAACCCGGAAAGCCCAGCCGTCTATAGCTGATGCAAAAATGACGTTCCCTCGCTCGGGCGCGAAGTACAAATCCTCGTCATCTCGCTCCTCGAACGCAACGCCTCCATCAGCAGAATCATCGCCGGCATGTTCCTCCATGTTAGCGGCATCCATTTCCTTCCTCTGCGCAAGACGCCGCTCACGCTCTTGCCTCCAGCGATAGTCGTCTTCCATGCGTTCTCCCGCGAAAAAGTCTCCCATGACAGCATTCACATTCTCGATAACAAGAATGAGGTGATGATAAGCCTCAGAAGGAGATAGTTTGAGCTCTGTGATTAAACGGTCGAGCTTATTCAGGACGAGAATTGGACGCAACCGTTCATGCCATGCTTGTTTAAGAACTGCAATTGTCTAAGCCATATATAAGCGTAAGACGCTCCGAGCGGAAACTACCCAGCACTTACATACCTGTGTGCACACACCCTCCACTACATCCACGAGAACTAATGCACCGTCACATAATCGGGACGCGGACGATACTTCGCTTAAGAAGTCAACATGACCAGGAGTATCTATCAAATTAATAACATAATCGGCGGAGGCGTCCTCTAGGTTAACAAAGTAAGCGTCAGAAATGCTGCACAAAATGGTGAAGATGATTGTGCTATTACCCCCTGATTCAGTCCTCTTCAGCATTTTGAATCTTAAAGACACAGCGCTGCTCTCCATAGTAATTCCTCGCTCCTGTTCGTCCTCCCTACTGTCCATATATCGAATCTTCCCAGCCATGCGAGCTGAGATGATGTTGTTGGCAGCCAAGAGGGAGTCAACAAAAGTGGTTTTTCCATGATCGACGTGGCCTAACACAGTGATGCACCTCTGCGTTCCAATTTCAGCACTCATCGACGCCCAGCCTAAGCTTTTTTTAGTAAATGTTGAAGGTACAGTCTGGAGGGAGAACCGACTGACTGGACACCCGAAAAGGAAATGCGAGATTCCGATTGCACAGCCATCGCACACAGCCATCACCACGTCGCATCGTCAGAACACGTCACATTCTGACAATATCAGTCTTTCTGCTTTTGCGTTCCTCACTGAACAGCTATTGTGGGCCTGGTGCTCTCATTTGGCCAGCCTCTGCTATAATTACATGGCTATTTTGAAGCTGGGTGTATGCGTCGCAGGAGTTTATTCAATGTTTTTGGTAACTGAGAATTCCACTGGAATGTATCTCTTGCTAATTCCCCTCCGTAGCTTTGGGCTATCGCACAGGAGAGACGTATGTCAACACTATCCCCCAATTCTCTAACTCGTGTTAATCCTATTTGTTAAGTGGCCGTGCCGTTCGCTTCCACTGACCCGAGCAAACCACCCGAACGTTTCCATTCTGCACTCTTTCTAAATACTCTCCAGAGCCTAGCGAGTGTTATTTCATCGGCTATCTATATATGGATCCGCCGTGTGCCTGGGCAGAGCCTGGCTCAAATATTCGGTCTCAAATCAGCTACCAAACCAATGCCAGTCACTAATGGGAAAGCGAATGGACATGCAAATGGAAACGATGTTCACGGAAAGGAAATATCCCGCCCTAAATACGCTCGAGATATGCTCCTTCGGTGCCTTCAATGTGCGATCTTCGTCAGCACTGCTGCCCAATTTGGATTTGCTGCACTCTCACATATATCATATCCTACAATGGTTCTTGGGAAGTCCTGCAAGCTTGTCCCAGTGATGATTATGAATGTTCTCCTCTACCGCCGCAAATTCGCACCGCACAAATATCTCGTCGTCGCCCTTGTCACAATCGGCATCACTGCCTTTATGGGATCAGGCGACGCCTCTGCAAAAGGTGCGAAACACAAGGGAAACGCGCAATCCAGTATATGGGGCATCTTTCTTTTGCTGATTAACTTGATTATTGATGGAGCGACCAATTCCACTCAAGACGAGATTTTTGCTCAGTATCGCATTACGGGACAACAGATGATGTTCTGGTTGAACGCATGGAGCACAATTTTGACCTCGACACTCATCATGCTTCCCTTGCCATATCTCCCTATCCTCCACCCTACCTCTAAGTCCACGCTACCTGATCGATCGGAACTTCAGGGAGCATTGTCATTTATTAGAACACATCCGGAGGCTCTCAAGTCGCTGTTGGAGTTTTCGGTCACCGGCTCACTTGGTCAACTCTTCATATTTGAAACTTTGCAGCACTTTGGGTCATTGACTTTAGTGTTGGTGATAATTTTATTATATCTTTTTTGCATGCAGTGCTGAACCAGTTGGTTAGGATGGTAACATTGACGCGGAAACTGTTCACCATGATTCTATCAGTGGTGGTTTATAACCACAAACTCACTTACGGCCAATGGCTTGGTGCCGCCATCGTTTTTGCCGGAATCGGCGTTGAAGCCTGGGTGAAGCGAAAAGGTGGGTCACATTTCCATTCCTCTGGTTCCATGCTTCTGAATACCATCCCTCAGAAATTTACGCTAAACGCAGTCTTCAAGAGCGGGAGAAAGGTAAAATAAAAGCTCTTTGAATTATTAGCATTTAGAGGTTAGACGATTGGATGCACACTGTTCGTTCGTCCGCATTATGTATTGTATTTTCCACCTTGATAACGATAGACGAGAAGGCTCCTAGATGAACAGGGGCACTAGGTGACTATATCGCGGGATTTTAGCCTCACACCTGACAATTTGGTATATTACATAATGTGGATTCCGGTCGGTGGGAGTTTCAATTCAATCCACCTTCGGTTTGGATCCGTCGAGGTGCCTGTCACGAACCCCCCTCTCGAGATTATATTATTCACACCTGCCAAATGACAACCCCAACGTCGTACTCAACACCCGTGGACCTCTCAGCACCACCCGAGGCAGAATGGCGGTATGGCCCGGGCGCTCACACCATGACCGACTCGGGGCGCTGATCACTCTTCTTCCGAAATTCATTCAGCTATGAAATGCGCCGCGAGTGTCAAGAAATCCTTCCCGGACTCTTGCTTGGACCATTAACAGTATCGAAGCAGCTCGAAAAGCTGACTTCTTATGGGGTCACTCATATGTAAAAACAATCCCTTTCGGCTTCATTTTCATTCCCTTTGAGGATCTGGGTCTTCATCCGCGTTTGGAGGCGAATGGCAGACGCGTCATGGCGTGCGATTCGCTTCAGGATGTGAACAACGTCCACTCCGTCCCCTTCTCATCCTTTGTCGTGTTCTCGATTGTTCCTAATTCGTTGCTTACCCCAATCTCCACCTTCCCCCAGAGTTTGCATTCGTGACGCCAAAGAGGCATTCTCAGTCTACCCCCGCTTTCCCGACAAATTTAGCTATATGGTTCTCGATGTCGAAGATAGCGAAGAGCAAAATCTCATTCGATTATTCCCTGGGTACGTCTCTCCTTGCAAAATCGCTCAGCCTCACGGTTCCGAAATTCGCTGACTCATCGCTATCTTGTTCCGCGGCTCGGAACCTCTGTACAAACCTCTCCTCACTCACAATCCTAGCGCTCAAATCTTCATACAACAAGCAATAGCTGCTGGCGGTCGAGTTCTGGTTCATTGCAATGGTACAACCTAACCCAAAGACCATGAGGCTCCGATGATTCATCTAACGCTTTCATGACTTCGCAAGGCGGTATCAGTCTCTCCCCATCATTCGCAATCATGTTCGTCATGCAGCACTTCAAGTTATCCTGGGAAGACGCACTTCAGTATGTTCAGAATCGACGATATTGCATTTCACCGAATGGCGGCTTTTTAACCCAGTTGAAGGTTAGAGGGAAATATGAATCAATTTGATGTTAAGCGTTGAGTTGTTCATTTCTTAGGAGTGGGAATCGATTTATCGTGCTCGTCAAGCTGTTGCTGGGTTCTCGAATAGTGGATATACCCGTTCTGTAAGTCGACGGAAACGTAGTGACGACGAGGATGACGACGAGGATAGTGTACAGAGGCGAGTCTTTCTCCTCTAGTCAACGGGGTTTAGTGGTTTACGGCATCTCACAGGGTACCCGAGGCGCGAAGGCGATATTACGCTCCTGAGACGGACACTGAAATGGCATGATCGAGGCATACATAGGTACATATTTCACGGATACGAACAATAGTCCCCCATCTAGTTCTACCTTACATCCTATTTGCGAGCCGCTGGTCGCGTTGATATCCATAATGTCTTTGATTCGGATTGTACATTTTCCCAGCGATTATAACTCATAATTTGCTGCGCGTCTGTAAACGAGTCATGGATGGACGATGTTAAGCATGCGGTAGTCCAAAATTGAGAGATAGTCAGGAATGGGCTCGCCTTCTCTTTCCCCGGGATTAATTTGGCGAACAGGGGAGCTTGGATTCTTTCTGTCCTGTGAGCAGGGTGCTCATTGGTCACCTTGGATAACAACGCGCTGGTGGACGGCGTCTCTGAGTCCACCTTCAACACATGCCGGCAAAGCTTGTCGAGGCGATCATCGAGGCGATACGCAGCCGCCTTGGTCTCCTCATTTACGAGCTTGAGTTGGGAAGATGGCAGGTCATAATGGATGGACGCGGATCCTCCTGGTCGCTCGAGTACAAGGACCCGGTGGGGGAAGATGATAGTATTCTGAGAGTAGTTGTTGTACACAACCGCGTAGTCACCCGGTGGCGGTATGAGTTCGTAACGGTGAGTCTCCAGCCAGCAGTTGGGATCTTCGGGGTTATAGAGCGAACGGTACCCAGACGAAACGTGGTCATGGTCGCAACTGGGACGAGGCAAAATTAAAGGATAGTCTTCATCGTTAAGCACAAGGTGAACGGCAAGAAAAACTCACGCAAGACCTAAATTTCCAAAGTAGGGGCTTAGCCTTCCCCACGCAGCCTTCCAATCTTCGCCGTCCTTGAGGGTTTCGTCGAACACCTCGTCAAAGTACTTGAGGTACGTGTGATCCTTATAGAAGGTCTTGACTTGCTCATCCAGACGCGCCAGTGCCTCCTTGACAGGCACCTTACTTTCCCAAGAGACGCGGACAACATCATATGGCACAGACTGAATATCGTTTGACATTGCGGCAGGCGACGACCAGGAGTGTCGAGAGAATGAAACCAGGAAAGAGGTGATCCAAGGAAGGGCCCTTTAAAGTACAGCCTGTCCTTGAATCAAGCGGCGGTGGCACTACTCCTTCAGCCATCGTCTCGGACCTTGCGATCTATCCGTGAGGCGGAGCCGATTTATGTAATACTCCGAATCAAATAACGGAAAACAACTCGTGTCATCGGCAAGCTGTTGCCCAGTGATATGGTATATGTATAGTGAATTCGAAGATCACAATGCAACGGAGAACTGATTGCGGCGCTAAACCAAGCTCCGATGGATCTTGTCCTCTCCTACTTACATAAGCGTGAAATCACGTGCATAAGCGTTTAAAATGCGATCCCGGCGTTCGCTCTTGCTCTTGCGCACTGTCCGCAAATTCCCAATTCGCCACTTTTCCCATTCTCGATGTAGACAGCAGACACCGTGGCTTGAGAGTGCAAGAGAACGGGCCAAGTCATTGGCCAATGTGAGCCTACTGGAGCGGACAGATGCCTGGAAGACGAGGGCGAACTTGACGCTCTCACAGTTGGGCGGAAGACTAAACGAGGTGACGGGGTATCATACTATAGAAGAGCTCAAGAGAAGTGTGGTCGAAAAAGGTGTGAAATCATTGTTCATGAATGATCTTAAAACCATCACTCATTTCTCCCACGATCAGAGCAAGAGATATCGCGACTAAAAGAAGATGCACACTCCGTCAAACTATCTTACGAGGAGGCGGTCTTGACGCGTTCCGCATGTCAACGTGAGATAAACGACTTGCTGCCGCGCAAATCAAATTGGTCCGAATCGGATGTCTCCCATTTCACCAATCTCGTCCGGCAAGACCACGTCAACGCCCAGGCTGAAGTCACAGCTAAAAAAAAATTAGATGATACAGAGAGAAAACTAGAGACTGCTTTTGACGATCTTATGCGCTCTATCCTTAATCGGTATCATGAAGAACAAATATGGAGTGACAAAATTCGAAGCGCAAGTACCTATGGACAACTCCTCGCCCTCGCCCTCAACTTGGTCGTCTTCATCGCCGCTATTATTGTTGTGGAGCCGTATAAACGGAAGAGATTACGCGAAAGCCTCGAGGATCGCATCGAACTGTTGGAAAAGGCAAATCGGCAGCTCATGGAAGAAGGGATGAAGAACATCAATGAGCATTTTGCGAATCAGGAGGAGATCCTCACAAGACTCGCTACTGCCGCCACTAGTCACAGACTCATGTCAGCCGATGACAGCCCGCCATCGTCATTACCCCCAGCTGAGGTACAATTACCTTGGACTTCATACCAAATTCCTATATACAATCCGCAAGTTTGGTCAGCTGCTGCTGGTGCGGTGGGGGGCATCATTATCACCCTGCTACTCAAATCGACAGCGGTGGTATGAACTACATATAGAATTACTCAGAAAATGGACACATAATGTTGGTCACTGAGTTTCGAGGGCACCCTCCTCACGCTTCCTGCGATAGAAAGCACCTAGCTCCCTAATACCATCCCCCCACGTTTTCGCAACGATTATTTCGGAACGAATCCAGCTACAATTTTCGCCATGATCAGTCTTTCCCTGGTATGAGCGATCTGGGACTTACTTTGGCAACTTGTTCTGTATCCGACTTGTCGAGTACCGCTGGTCAATCAAGATAAGGCTGGCCCAATCATTCTTATGTCGGATAGCTCTTCCTGGACGTCGTAGAAACATTGGCTGTCGGGCCATCGGGAGGCGAATAGGCCTTACCTATAGACTGGTTCACTGCCTACGAGTGTGGATTCAATAAGTACCAAGGCCGCCCACGATACTTCTGAACACACACCTTCATGCATATGTTTTCGTATAACTCCATCCCGGCGTCTTTGCCACCAGTAGATCCCTTCCGGCGTACAAAATTCATCCGTTCTTTCAGTTCTCTCGAGCCAAGGTTTGCGTACGGTAGGCCAATGACTACAACCCCTCGGGCAAGGTCATCTGAAAAGTTGAGGCCTTCTGAGAGGCGTCCGCTGACGACAGCCATGAGGACCGCGCCGCGGGGGCTTCTCGACTGTCCTTTCTTTGGGTTGCTCCGCTTCGTTACAGTACTGCAACACTTACCTGAGACTCTCTGTCTTTCGTGGCGATTGTCGCACTGTAATCTCGCAGCACTCCATCGACGCTCGACCCATCCGCAGGCTCCAAAAAGACATTTTTTTTGGAGCGTATCCGCGTCATGACCCCTCTCTCTTCCCATATTTTGAGTGCGGATTGAAGGAATGAATGCGAGGGGAAAAAGATGACAAGTCCATGTGGGACTAGGACTACCAGATTAGCGAGGATAAGGCCAAGCTCTTCAGTCTGTGGTAGCACGAGGTCAAGCACATTACACATGGTTTCTGGGGATGGGCCGTACTAGTTCATTATTCCCTCGATTATCAAACTTGAATTTGAGTTCTTTCTTTCGCGGGCCGTGTGTGATAACGAGTGTTTGAAGACTCGATGATGGGATAACATGTCCACAAGTAAACATCGCAATTCTGTCCTCCGGCAAATTTGGAAAAAGTTGAGTTTGGATGTCAAACATCTGTTAACGTTACTTGGAGGTTCAAAGCCATCTTTGGGTAACGCCAACGTACCGGAGACATAGTTCCGCCGGCCAGTATCACAGACCGAGCTTCCTCGATAACATCTCTAAATGCATCTTCCGGGTTTAGCAGCTGGTACTTTAAAGTGACAGCATTGCGCGTCCTGTCGGCATCTTGACCACGAAACGGTCCCTCGACCGTGACAAATACCCGCCCCTGATGGTTTGGGCTAGTTAACACGAGAAGAAATGCTTCGACTGCATGAAGAGGAGGTGCAGCTCCGCTTTTGTGATCTCGCGCTTTCCCTGGTTCTGCAAAATCCCTGCCGCTTAGTCGCATAGATCAAGGTTCCATTAGATGAATTCATCACCTTTTGAGGCTTGAGCTAGCATGTCGTCGCAGTACCCAGAAATCTACTTGCACTCCGATCAGCGTAGGTAACATGGCGCTGGATAGTTAAGGGTACCTTCCGCGCCAATTTACTATCCCGGAGGTATTGTACCATCTCAAGGAGATTTAGGCCATCGATTCGTGTGTTCAGTCTCGACACCAATTCTCCAACCGTCATCATGGTTGTGTCACTACTTTCAGGATTACCTGCTGCGATGGCGCCGTCACTTTTTCTCGGTGTTGAACCCGACTCATTCTCATCACTAGCCATGGATTTGCAGAACCCGTCCAATGCCGCAATGAACATCACCACTCGCTTGATTGACAAGGCGTTCCGAGGAGAAAGACGATTTTTAAACTTGGTATGATACGCCTTGAGCTAGTGGATGGGGATCTGGTAAACGTAGTAACCCGGATAATTTGGGCAGGAACAGACCTGGGCGAGAGCGAGCTGGAGGGTTCGTGATGAAAGAACATGCGAATTAATTGATAGTACAGTGTCGATAAGGTCTGTTCATTATGCGTTAGGTGAAGGAGACACGAGAATCTGGACTCACTGTGAGCCTCATCAATTATCACAATGTGATCCTCCAGAGAAATGCCTAGAGCCTCGCGGGCGCTCTTCTGCAGCAGGAGATTATATGGCAGTGTGACTAGCTGTATGATATTTTAGGAAGGGAGGGTTGGTCGGGATCCGGGCTAGCTTGCCTCTGCGCGGTTGATGGCTTTACGCGACCCATAATATGGGCATGTTTTGAGCTCTTTTCCAATTTCCACGAGATCCTCGATATCTTTCGGGCTTGCCTACAGAAGCAGCCACCTACGGTGAACACTTCTTTCTTCTTTATGGGGTCATTCTCGGGAACCCACCAATATGTGATCACGGAAGTCAAAGAGTTTCGATTCTTCATCATGGGAGGGAAGATGTGGACATCGAGACCCCTTTTCCCCTTGGGAAAGGTTGGTTTTCCCCACCCCGTTGCTAGCAACCTAGTACATACTTGAGTTCAATTCCCGACATGCTTCGTCGAGGTCTCCGCCTCTTTCTTTAAGGTCCTCATTGATGCAAGTGTTTTTTCGTGAGCCTAATGAAACGCTGCGCGTATCGGAACCTCCTGTGATCTTCAAAAGCTCGGTTATAGTTTGGCTTAGTTGAGTATGAGTTCTAGAGGCAAAGTATATCTGTTGGTAAGATGTCAGTGACGCTGATGCTGAGTAGGGCATCGAGCATATTAGCTTTAGTGCACACTGGGTCCTCAGGCTGGGTTCGTGAGCGTTCCGTTGAGTGAGATTTGAGCCTGAGTTTTTGGGATCCGTCGGAATCGGTTTGGTGCTTACTGAAGGCGATCAAAAAGACTTACTGTTTCAGCTGTTCACGGACTTCCGGGGTCAGGTTCTCAAGGAAGATGTTATCATCTTCCTCTGGAACGTTTCTATCATCATCAGGAAGATATTGGTCCTCGTTCACGGCCAAATCGTCCCGTTCTACGCGCTATATCGATGTAAGCTCGCCTCATGCAATATGCAGTAGTGGACCTTACGGCTCTTTTGACTACCTTCCCTTTCTGTTTTCGTCGAATGATTTCTTCCTTTCTCCGGGCTTCATCCAAACGTCTCTCAAAGTCATTCTCCTCAGCTTCTAAGGCCTTTTGTTGCCTGGATAAACTCTGGTTGTAAATACAAATGAGCACAAACGTCTTCGCGGTGGCGTTCTGCCTAGCACCTGCTCGATGACCCACTGTGGTTCTATGATTCCCCAGGTTGAGCATTTAGTTCATACACGTCTCTTCCAATTCAATGTTACCTGACTCATCAGACTCGGCCGTTATCTTTTGTCGGAGGTCTGCTAATCGTGCATGCTTCGATCGGGTTTTGTTTTCACGAAGCCATGTCAGACTTGAGGTCAACAAGCTAAGCGTTTTCCCAGTTCCCGTAGGGCTCTCAATAATAGCAAGAGATCGTGACTCTGCTCATGATCCCAGTTGGTGCAATGCCCGAGGAGCAGCATTCGAGCTTACCAATTGCGGCGAAAAGATGCGCCATGAGATCACTTTGTATACCGTACGGAACATTATACGGAAACGCGTCAAACTTGGATGGAGTAGGAATGCGTATAATCTCCGATGGATCCTCCATTAGATAACGGGTTGTTTATGGAGCTAGCGCGTCTCAGCACTGTGGCACGGAAACGCGTCGACGCGGTCACGTGCACCCATCAAATCTTTGAAGACTACCCGAGCGGGTACCCCAGCTCTTCCTATCCTACTGTTCGAGTCGTGATCAGAGACACAAATTTGAGGAAATGTCTCAATTGTCATCGCCTTTGCCAAGTTCTGGGGTGCAAGCTCCGTTATTCTCCAGTCCGCGCCGTACCCAGGGTGCAGATCCTCGAGACGCGTACAACGCGCTTCGACGCGCCGCGGACCCTCTAGCTTTTGACAATGACGATGTTCGCGGTCCCGGTGAGGCCGAAGAAGAAGGAAACGCCAATAATGTTGGAGGGGGAAGAAGAAGCAGAGCTCGAAGTCAAGCGCTTGTGAGAGACGTGCCACCTGTGAAAGATAGAACCGGAGAGGCTGTCCTACAACACTTTGAAGACTTTCTTGATCAGTACGTTTTTAACACCCTTCTGGCCTTGGTACTGACCGCCCCGATTCGGATAAAGATACACTGAAGCCATAGAATTGCCCGCAACCCCAGGGGGAGACGATATGGACGCCGAGCCCCAGACCACACAAGTATACATTCAACAAATCAGGTCTATGGCCGCAAATGATCATCCTACCCTCTACGTCGACTTCAGCCACGTGTTTTCTCGAGACGAGACTCTGGGACGGGCGATCACCGAACAGTACTATCGTTTCCTTCCATATATCAAGCGAGCAGTTGCGAATCAAGTTCGCATCCATGCTCCAGAATATGTGTATCTCAATTCTCATACCAGTAGTACCGTCTCATCCGGGCTGCTCACGCGTGAATTTGGTATTGCTTTCTACAACTTGCCACTTGTCTCATCTATCCGTGATCTTCGAACACACCGAATTGGGACGTTAATGTCCGTCTCAGGAACCGTCACGCGGACATCTGAGGTGCGCCCGGAACTCATATACGGCGCTTTTGGATGCATGCTCTGCGGTGGCTTCGTTAATGAAGTCGAGCAGCAGTTCAAATACACGGAGCCCCTCATCTGCCCCAATCCTACATGTGGGAACAGAAAATCGTGGCAGCTGAAGGTAGAGCAGAGCCGATTTTCGGATTGGCAGAAAGTCAGAATTCAGGAGAATCCGAACGATATCCCAACAGGAAGCATGCCTCGCAGGTTGGTGAGGTGTTACTTGGATCTTTGGAAGAGCCTGATGACTCTTGCTTCAACAGCTTGGATGTGATTCTCAGGGGCGACTTGGTGGAGCGTGCTAAGGCTGGCGACAAATGCATCTTCACAGGGACCTTCATTGTTGTTCCAGATGTCTCGCAATTGGGTCTGCCTGGTGTCAATTCAGAGATGCAACGCGAGGCTACTCGAGGTGCCGCTGCCGTTGGTGCCGGAAACAGCGGGGTCACAGGTCTGAAGAGTCTGGGTGTGCGAGACCTGCAGTACAAGACGGCTTTCCTAGCTTGTATGGCCCAAGACGCAGACGTCCGAGTAAGGCACTGCCTCATCCTTCGTAGTATTTCTCATTATTTCTGTTTTTTTTTTAGAATACTGGGACGAATATTCGGGGGGAGGAGATGAGTGACGGCGGTCAAGAAAATCAAGAGGCTTTCGTTTCGACCCTTACGATGCCAGAGATCGAGGAGTTAAAGATGATGGTTCATTCCGATTATATCTACAATAGGCTGGTACAGAGCATCGCTCCCACTGTCTATGGTAAAGGCATTTTCAACTTCAACTTCGGAGACGGGGGCTAACATATATCGAAGGGCACGAGATTGTCAAGAAAGGCCTTTTACTACAGCTGCTCGGAGGTGTTCACAAATTGACTCCGGAAGGTATGCACCTCCGGGGTGACATAAATATCTGCATTGTCGGCGATCCTTCGACAAGCAAATCCCAATTCCTAAAGTACGCAACAGCCAGTTCCGCTACGACTTTTCCCTGACAATGCCTGTAGATACGTCTGCTCTTTCCTTCCTCGCGCTGTCTACACCTCGGGTAAGGCCTCGTCAGCTGCAGGTCTTACTGCAGCGGTCGTCAAGGACGAAGAAACTGGAGAATTCACCATAGAGGCTGGAGCACTGATGCTTGCGGATAACGGGATTTGTGCAATTGACGAGTTTGACAAGATGGACATCACAGATCAGGTTGCCATCCACGAAGCTATGGAGCAGCAGACGATTTCGATTGCGAAAGCAGGGATTCATGCCACTCTGAATGCAAGAACATCGATTCTCGCTGCCGCTAACCCAATTGGTGGGAGGTATAATCGCAAGCTCAGCTTAAGGGCAAACTTAGGCGGGGTTATGAGCGCACCCATCATGAGTCGTTTCGATTTGTTCTTCGTCGTACTGGATGAATGCAACCCGACGGTCGACGAGAATATCGCCAGGCACATCGTAAACATCCACCGGTTCAGAAGTGAGGCCGTTCAGCCAGAATTTAGTACTGCAGCACTGCAACGGTATATTCGTTATGCAAGGACATTCAACCCAAAGGTGGGACTTAGATGTCCTCCTATGGTCTTCATATTCAGCTTTTCCGTAGCTTACGCCAGAGACATCCGACATCATTGTGGAGAAGTATCGCCTCCTCCGACAAGATGACGCCTCGGGTGTTGGCAAGAACTCGTACCGAATAACCGTTCGCCAGCTAGAAAGCATGATTCGGCTCAGCGAAGCCATAGCTAGGGCTCACTGCACAGATGAGGTGTGGGGACGCGTGTTCCATTATTGCGATAACCACTTAATTTGCGGACTTTCACAGATCACGCCAGCATTCGTCCGAGAGGCATACTCCCTGCTCCGTCAATCCATTATTCACGTCGAACAAGACGACATTGATTTCGATGAAGAGGAGCTGCGAGGTCAACGACCGCATCAAGATGCCAACGCTCATGCGCCCTCCAGTGGTGATATCTTTGGCGAAGAGGATGGTACCGATTTCAACGTCGTAGGAGACATCACCGCGGAGGAACTCGCTGCCTTTAATGAGACAGAATCTAGTTATTTGAACGAGGAATCGATGCAGGTTCACCCAGGTACGCCCACACGAAGAACCACGGGTACGTCTTCGTCAGTCGCTCCGCTTGGTGAGAGGAGTACAACGGCACCATCATCTACTCCTGCACCGGCCCCCCCACCACCCAAGAAACAGAAGATGAAGTTGCCATATGAACAATATATGGCTATGCAAACTCTCATCCTGGATCACCTAGCTGGGCTAGAGCGTACGACCGGAAAAGGTTTAAATCGGGAGGATTTAATCGATTGGTACCTCGAGCAGAAAGAGGAGGGAATCGCCAATCTGGAAGAATTAGAAACTCAGAAGCAACTTATTCGAAGAGTCCTCAACAAACTGGTTAAGGTGATAATTTCATTCTTGGAAGAGTCGCATCTACAAAGGAGCGTTTACTGACGAGTCGATCAATGATTCAGGACAATTTGCTTATCGCCCTACAGGGTGACGTCCAGAACTCGTTGCCGTCGGACGACCAAATGGAGGTTGATCAGGACGACAACGTGCACTATATGATACATCCCTCCGTGGATCCAGACGTTCTTTCTTCCACTCAATAGTGCGAATCCCTCAACTCTTTTTTGGGTTTATAGAGTTTGCTTGCACATTTTATTTCTATTAGGAGTTGTTGTATGTATGTAGTGTGTCTAGGTCTATTGTGATGATAATTTATTTTTGTTTTGGCCTACAGACTTGGACGAAGGGGGAAGGGGAAAAGTAAGGAAGAAAAATTGTGCAATGATGCAGACACCCTATCCTTTTTTTTCACAGTTGTTCTCTTTCTGTGCAATGGGTCAGAGTCGGATTGAAATCGTGGAAGAAAAAAGATCGATACGGACCAGGGCCTGTTGCGCACCCTCGACAACTTTCTTAGGTTTCATTTTTAGGTTTCCTTTTGAGACCCGGCCCGTTCCTCTCGAGCATCCTCTGCTTTGACTTTCACATAGTCAGCGTCACCCTCGTCCTCACGGGCCTTGGCCGATTTCGGTGCATCAGCATTCTGTGAAGTGTAGGATTGGGTGAAAGGAATGCATTATTATATATGCACATATCATGCGAAGGGGGACTCACAATGGCTGCTTTTACGGAGGTCACCTCCGCATTATCTGTGGGAGCGTCTTCGGATGGTGAGGCTGGCTTTGTGGCTTCAGGGATGTCGCTAGCCGTCTGAAATATAAGCATAGAACATTTTTTCGTAGCATCCACGAAGCAGAGACGCTACTCACCCCTTCTTTCGTAGTAAGAGGTGGCTCCGCGACGTCATTCTTGCAAAAGTTGCAGAAATGTAAGAAAGAGAGAGTTACGCGCTGTTAAACATATGCTTACTGCAGGTGATGGAGGGCTTGAAGCGATGGCTAGTTCCTCGTGATTTTCTTTGGCGTGTTTGTCGTCATGGTGGGCGGTGTGGGTGCCATGGTCTTTGCTTTTACGTCTTCCATACAGGAAATATAACTAGTAGCAATTAATGAAATGAATAAAAGCGTCCAAACTTCGCAATTGAACACCCCCTAATGCGGACTCCCGAGTTGTTATCCTAAGAGAGAAAAATTGCTCACCCCGATGACACTGCCAACACCAGCACCAATCTAACAAAAAAAAAAACAACGGCAACCTCTTTTCATGAGCCCAGAGTGACTTCATTAGGCTATCGAAGCGAAATTTACTTGCCATCCACGGAGTGTCAGAACTGTTGGTCTGATGATGAGATGCAGAACTAGCCATTCCTCTCGGGGAAAACGTATTTCTGTGGAGTGCCAATGTAGATGAGGTGCAAGCGAGAGTAGACGTTGCATTTCGCCGTGAGGGTTGTAAAACGGTGCGAAAAGTGGTGGTGGTGGTGCGAGAGAATGCACTCATATTTGCTGTGAGAGGCGAGTTGTTGGGTAAATGCTCAGAGTGTGAGAATTTGTAATTTTCGACGAGGTGACGTTAACTCAATTGCGTGGTGAATGATTACATGTTTGTCATACGCACACGTGCCTCGTTTGCTGGTTCTCAAGGAATGTTCCTCGGCAGGCTAGTGGCCGCGCCACTCTTTTGATCTCTGCTAGGTCAGTGCAAGGTAGTGACAAGTTGTTACGGCCCTAAACTCGGGAAGTGCTTCCCTCCGCGCGCCGGCCAAGGATGTTTCTATCGGAATCATGCGTGTAGGTGCTTCCTCACGAAGTGGGAACGCAAGGTCATGGACAGCCCAGAGTCGGGCCACAGAACTCTGGATGCAATATACGGCGCGTTTACCAACTACATCAACTACCGGCCCCTTCATTTACGCCAAAAAAGGACCAGGCTCTCAGCATTACGCACTGCGGTCTGTTGCTCATTCTGTGCACGGTGTGCGGGCGTATGCAATATGTCACAGTGTCCACTCCCTCATTCTCGCCGGCCCGCACGCCATACTAAACTATCTGCGTGCACATCCCCCATTCACATTGACTGATGTTAGCGATTTTCCATAGATCGGTCAATTTAAAACCAATATGGTGCAGTTTGGGCAAGTCAGAATACCTTAGAAGTACGATAGCATCCATGCAAGATCACCTAATTCAAGACCCCTGGCATCGGCTGTGGGGGGAGATTTGGCGTAGCAACGATTGCGATTGGTCGCGACTCAGATCCTGAGAATCGGACTGGCCAGGTGCTCTCAGGTGCTCTGGAGCCTCCGGAGCGCTCTAGACCAGGGGACTTTGCTCCAGTTGCCTGTCCGATTTTCGTGATGGAGGTCACGGTGACACAGCACTGGGATTGGGGATCCAAATATGATATCAACTGTATTGAGGCTCTGAAATCAAGTTTTTAAACGTTTTAAACATACACGCGATCTAGTGAACAACATCCTGAGCCATTTATGTCATCAAGTTATACCCCCTAAGGTCTCATCAAACATAGCGGGTATTTCTCCCCCATCATCAAGAGACATCCTAGCCCGTATGCCGTCACGTAAAACATCCCGCATTTTTGTGGTCCAACTAATGAATCCACGAAAGTTTGTTGAAGGTCAGAGACAAGATATGGACCGATCCTCCGTAAAACGACGAATTTCGCCCTGAATCCTCTGTAATGCGCTGCGAAGTGCCCATGATGTCGTCGTGCTTCCTAGAGGCCTACATCAAACCATCATAACCACATTCTCCACCCACAGCTAATTGTTTGCAGCCGATGTCAGGTAAGGACAACAGGTTTCACTCTCACAACGCAGTCCTAAGGCAGTTGAGCTTTAAAATCGTGCTTCTACCCCGTTGATCAAGTTTTCACAGACGCCAGTAGTAACGATTCATTATTATGTAAAGTCTTATGTTACTTTTGCGATCAAGCAAAACGGCTCGTCGGTCATAAGTTTTTCTTGCGAGCAAGCAATGAATGTGGTCTGAAGCAACTCGCCCGGCGTCCTCTACAGATGGGGTGCAGAACCAAGGTTTCGGTTTCGAGCGCATGAGGAAGCGGTCAAGAAACAAAGAGTTATATTCGCTCAAGGTACCGCCATTTCGCAACACAGCTATACGGTAACCAGAGTATGTATTACAATCGAAGCTAAAACGAGTTAATAATTGAAGATTTGAGTGAGGGACCAACAAGCAACGAAGAACATCAGTCATCGAGACGCACATGCGAGCACAGGTACAGCACTCACTCAGAGAAGGGTGGACACGCGTTGAATGCGGTGAGGGTGGATGATATGCGGATATCGGTCAGATGGTAGACGGGTCAGACAAGTGGCGAATCGTGAGTTGGAAGTCGTCAGCACTGTAGCCCCAGGCCAACATATGTACCCCAGGCCAAAGCCCATTTACACAAATGCCCCAGCCATAATCTAGCAGCGCGACGCCCCGCTACAGCCCAGGCCAACATGTGTGTGTGCGTCCCAAACCAAAAGCCCATTGACATACATGGCCCAGCCAGAATTTGGCATCAAGGCACTTCGATGCTGCAGTCCCAGGCAAACACGTATGCGCCCCAGGCAAAAGCCCAATCACATAGAGGCCCCAGCCACAATCTAGCAGCACGACGCCCCGCTACGCTCCAGACCAACATGTATGCATCCCAGACCAAGGCTCATACACACACACACACATGCCCCAGCCACAGTCGGCTCTCACGGGACTCCAATCCTGCGGCCCCGGGCCAGCACGTACGTGCCCCAGGCCGAAGCCCATTCACACGTGCCCCAGCCACAATCACGCAGCACGGCGCTTCCAACCAACGCCCCAGCCACAGAATCGACACCGCTACCATCTAGACCTACAGAAGTGAACCGACGAACCCTGAAGCGCCAGGCAATGAGTCACGACCCCAGGCCAGATGGCCAATGTCAATGTCCACCCCAGCCAGAGCCACAGAGAAAGGCGCCAGCCACTCCTTTTCCGCACATATCACCGCTAGGTTGGAGAGACAAGTCATCGGGCAAGTGTGCGACGCCGAACAGAGACTGTCCACCGTTACCGGCCTGGACACGCCCAAGCATGGAGCCCAAGTGGAAACACCCCAGCCCAGGACGACCCCAGCGCCCATCACCGTAGTTGCGCCACCCATGCAAAAAAGAAGAAAGAAAAAAAGAAAGAAACCAAAATACACAAGACATGAAACAGATACACGACTATGAGACATATTTGCAAATAACATTCAGCAAGTAACCACGCAGAAACTTGACAACTACTCACCATTGGAAAAAAATCAGAACGGGAGCGGAGATAACCGTAGAATCAGGCGAATTTAGACACACATGGCTAAAAATACGATTCAATAAGTGCCGCGCAAAAAAACCAGCTATGGAGGCACACGTACTCGCCATTGGGAGAAGTAGAGTGGAATCCCTCATACTGGGTTCAGAAACGGGGGGTGGACCTTGTGGACCACCGAACAACAAGTCCGTCGGTGGCTGAGGAAAATGTTAACCACTACTGATGCCACAGTCAATTACGGCTTACTCACTGCACCCGTGTCCATCAACAGACAAGCCGTGTGTTCCTTTGTGTCCCATTTCGCCAGTGGTCATCGTGAGCGGCTGTCGAACGTTTTGCTAAGTTGGCATGATGTGTCAAATGACCAGAGACTATGAAGGAAACCAGTTAGCAATCGATCCATGATATCACAGCAGCGGTCCCCTAACGAATTTTGGCAGAGCAAATGAAAGTATCAACCGAGGGCAGTGGTCACTGGTGACTAGGACATCGACACAGCGAACAATCGTGGTGCACGGCGTAACTCGATATCAAAACACGACGAGCAGAGGTGCAGCCGGCGCCGAATGCAAGACAGAGAGGAGACGCTGATGAGAAGAGAGGAATCGTCCCAAAAAGCCCGCCTTTTATGCCTTTCCATGGCCCCAAGTTTCCCACAACCCAGGAAAACAGTACTGTTCTTCATCGAACAATCCTTGTGGAAAATACTTTGGATATCGATAAATTGGGTTACAGCCGCGTGCAGCCACTTTTTTGGTTCAGGGGAAAACCCCAACCAAAACTAAAGATTTTGCGATATCTCAGCCGTTTGACCACCGATTTGCACCGTTCAACCGCGAAGGTGGTGCGTTTGGGCATATCAACAATTTCCGTTCCAGAGAGTACAGGGGACGACAAGAGATCTGCGTCTAGAGGCGAAAGAAGCGGAATTGATGCTGTGCTCTCTCTCTCTCTCTTTGTTGAACCCTGACCCAGGTGTTTTGTACAGATCTATCCATCGAGATCTTTGGCATCCGGATACGAATAAGTTCATCCGTATCCGGGCGTTTTTTGTTGCCCAGTGGTCGGAATGGATTCCGATTTCGCTTGATAAAGTTCAGCGCAGAGAGCATCTGGGAAGGGCCTTGACACCGATGAACAGACAGGTCACACGCATAGCTGCGATCGATGCAAGTCATCGTCTCACGCTGTCAAGCCCCAAGTTTTCTTCCGCATCAATATCAGCCCTTGATGGCCAGATATTAGTTGGGTCAGGGCCTTATTGAACATCTGGCTGTCAAACGCATGGTTATTTTGGGAAGAGTGTCCTCTATTCCAATAGAGGCTGATAACCTCTCCTGTGCTCGCTCAAGGTAGAGTCGGAAATAGCCTCACTCGCTGGGCAGCCAAGCGAGTTTTGCACAGTTGGAAAGTACAGGGCGAGTGAGGTGGATGCGGTGGAAGCACAACAATCGGCCAGACGCTTGATTCACGGAAAAACTGTGACGAACTAGATTATTGGACCATACCATAAGAATTATATCGAAAAGGTGGGCGAGCACCAGAACACAATATCGAATCATGAGATTCAGTCGTCAAATATTGCAGAGATACGAACCCTGACAGAGACGGCGTGTTTTTGATTAGGGTGTCATCAGCTTGCAGGGATCACGGACGCACGATACCAATGAGTTCGGGAACCGCCTCCAGCGCTGCTAAGCTAGAAGGCAAGAGCTATCATCTGGTCGATGATTAAAATCCGAAAAAAAAAATCCTCGGAGGTTCTTGCGCTCCAAAAATAACTGCGCAAACGGAAGAACATCAATACTTCCAAAGCTGAGAAGGACATGCAGGACAAGTCCGATGTCTGTGCATTTGATATCCCCTTCATTACGCAATCTCATGAAATCCTCAGGCCCCCTCCAATGTAGCAGGGGTCGAGGAATGTTGAGCTATCTACGTGATACATGCGGTTTGTTTCCTGATTAAGTACTGTTGTGATTAAAAAAGGCGGAAAGTTACAATCGATACCCTCGTAGCCCTGTACATGCCATGATGAACCCTGCCTTTTGGTGGGCGCTAACCACTGCATTCTTTCGCATCACACGTTGGGCCCCGGATTCAAGGCAGGGATATTTGGACGTCCCAGGTAATGGTCAGAGGCTGTAGCGACCGGATGGAACGCTCTGAAGGCCGGAGAGTTGATCAGGAAGATAGAAGCCAACAAGATTCAGTGAACCCTCCCTCTGAGATTGTCGCCGAGGGCATCCCCCAAAAATGTGTGGCTTAGTCTTCCCGAAGAAGTGCACAATTGACCAGCTTTGTTTGCGCATCTTCAAAACATCCTTGGGTTTGTAGGGAAGTCATTTCCCAATATGTATTTGCTAGAATGGGCTTCAAAGTTGCCATCCAGTCCTCGTTCTTCTCTCCTCGGTTCTCCACATAACTGCCTAAAACTCGCGAAGACAGCGAAGACAGAGATGCGAGTCGGGTACTGCCGTTGCGCACTGCACGCTTATTTCCGACAACCCGCACAACGTTCCAATCCCAAAGGATACGCTTCACAATCCACGCAACCTCTCTTCTGTCTCGGTTCCTGCGGTCGATGACTGCGTGCCATAGTGCCTTTAACAACGTCAGAAAACAGTATCTCTCGATCAGTCCATAGATCACATCCTACAAGATGATAAGGACTTCGAGAGTATAGCAGCTAATAAGAAATCCCTCACTCTTGCGGACACCTGCAAGGTGAAAGAAGCAGGGAACTGCGTTCCATTTGTCGAACTCCAGAATCCTGTCGTTGAAAAACTGCGATCTCAGCTGCTCGCTTTTTCCGAAATGGTCTGGTCTGTCACACAAAAAACGGATAAGCCATTCTCTTTGTTCGTTCGGCTTCTGCGGGTGGGGCCGGATCAATGTAGACAATTTGTCGTTTCAAGGGCCTGAGAGGTGCCCATTTCACTAGGGACAAACTTTGAAACGAAGAAGGTGTGTTCCTCATGGGAACAGAACGATAAGGGTGCAGGGGACTAATGAAGCCATTCGCGAAGACTGGAAACACACCGGCTTTCAATGCCTCTCCAACGATATCATTTAGTTTACGGCATGCCCACAAGGCCCCTCGTCATTGCTGTCGTCCCAATTCGAAGTCTTCCATGGTCTGGGGTGTTCGCTCATGCCCCGGCTGCGTAATCCAAGTTCATCCTCTACCCGGACAGAGCCCCTTGAAAAAGCTTAAGAAAGATACCGAAATAGATGAGATGTTGCATCGTGCCAGCTATGCGCTCGAGTCTCTGGCACGCATAGCCATGTTATCGGTATCCATTACCGATCTCGAAGTTGCCTACTACAACAGCTTTAATCATCTTGTTTCAGAAGTGTTCGATTCTCGCGCTACCTCATACAGTTTGTATCGGTGGTGCATAGTTTAGCTTGTCTTGTGGATGAAAGATACGGTTTCCATGGACAAATACTTCGCCCTGAACTCTCTCTCGCATCTATGTTCACACACCATACATTAGACGGTTTGGAGACCACACTGGGGGGAGGCTCACTTGACTTCGAGCTTGGGGAGACTTTGTTTCAGCAGCATGGGCTGAGGGATGACCATTTCGCATGTTAAGTGCCTTCCTTGTCAATCGCCAGGCTCATCCCTCATTGGCGAATCCTTCATTGTCAAATTGAGCTACCTTGCTGCATCGACAGCACCCGAGAGATTCATTGTTGACTCTGCTATGGAGAGAGTGGGTTCATGACCGCTTGCCAGAGATTTTGCATTCGGAGGATGTTGGAAGTCCTGTTTAAAATATCCTCTCAGAAGTTTATTGGAGTGGACTAAGAGAAGTGTGTTCTGAGAGTGATTGTCTCGAAAGAGCTCTTTCCCATTACTCAGTTGACGAGGTTGCAGGGATACCTCGTGATGTCCTGAAGTGTAATTGTCATGGGTAACTTCCCTGACTGCCTCATCTCAGGTCGTAATCGGTTGTATAAAATCTCCTTCATGATGCCAGTTTCGATAACCTGATGTATCGCAAGAGAAATGGGAAGATCTGCTATGATCTTACAGTTCAGGTGAACGATGGTGACTCAAAAGGCCTTCATCTTGGGTACAAGACCATGGATCTCGTTGACCCTGAAGTTTCCCCTACTCGACATCTGTATCGTCGTGACTCCGAACCCATCATCTGTGTTATTATCGCACCACTAGACGTTACCGAAGGGGGCACTAATCTCGAATCCTCCATTTCAGGTGTGCTTTCACTCTAGCTCACATCGCAGTCAATGGCGCTACTACCAGGACAGTCCTTATCGAGCACATCATAGCCTGGTGGCACAATACACAAGATAACGAGTACCGAGTGATGCTGCTGACTGGCGTGGCCGGTGATGGCAAGACGTCAATCGCGCATTCTGTCACAGAGAGGAGCACGAGAGAAGGCATGCTATTATCGAGCTCTTTTAAAGCTGGAGCAGTCCCGGCTTGATCATCTGTTGGTGGCGCAGTCAGGTCTTTAGCAAACAGACGCGCTTCCCACCGTGCCACCATTGTTTCCACCTTGCAGAATGAGCCTACCCTATTCGCGGCATCGTTCGCAAGGCAACTCCGGAAATTTCTAGCGGAGCCCCTCCTATTGAGCCGCCCTCTGATCGTTCTATGGTTGTGATCATCGACGGTGTAGACGAATGCGAGCTTCTTGCCGATATGTTTAATGTGCCCCTGCAAACACTGCTTACAAGTGGTAGGGATTATATGTGGTGTACCAAGGAGAATGCATTCTCATGTAGCCAATGGTTCATGGATAGGGTCTGCGCCGAATGGCGTTTGAAGATCATATTACCAACCCCATACTCGCTTTACATAATGCGAATCTGGCATTGATTCGACTGAGGTTGGGAATGATAGTGGTGTCACCTCGTCCGACCCTAGACTACGCGAAAGAACCCCGCGGTACGACATCAACGAGTCTCGACCTGATTCAACTAAGATGGTGGTGTCACCACATCCGTAACAGTGGTAAAGGTATTCCGCCATAGGCGGGCTCGGGGTATCAGCTACTACAAATGCGAGTACCAATATTGAAGAGAGCTCTTCTGCTTGCCTCGCTCCAGCCTGAGCTAGCAGGGGCCTGAATGCAAATTCGACTACCAGACCGCACAGACTTGACATCCCGTGTAATCGCGGTACGATGTCAGCTTCGCAGGGATAGAACCAGCGGAGCTCCGAACCGCCTTTTCCGTACTTGTTTCCAACGATGTGGGCGAGATTTGTGCACAGGAAAGCATCACAATAACAGTTCCTGAATTGTTGAGCGTGACTTGGATCGATCGGATACAATGACGGGTACAGTAGGCAAGGGAGGAGTTAAGAAACATATAAAAGCTCCCATATAAGAATATTGGCTGAGAGAAAGCATAACATAGAAACCACCACTGCAAAGTCACTGGGGTTCCTGCCTGACACCTTCACCATAGATGGAATAATCGACAAAAGATAATTAAAGCTGAATGAGAAACACTAAAAAATAGCAAGAGAAATTAGGAGTATGACGATAAATAAATGGCTCGGGGGCCTATGCCGGCTGCAGGATAAATGTCATGAAAGCGACGCACATGCTTGGATGATGAAACCTTGATCGACCCAGGACATGTAATTGCTAGACCGAAGCGCGTGGATAATCATGCAACGAGGCTCACAGCAAGTACGATAAAGGTGTAAGAGCGAAAGTGTGCGAGCATGAATAATCTACTCTTGGATTGCCATTAAACTGCAATCATCCACCGAAGCCAGATAAGTGCTCAGTTGGTGACTATATTAACTTGCGAAAAACCCCGTCCCAAGCAAGGTCGGGGCGGAGCGAGTTAGCGTGAAGTTGTTTCAGTCTTCGAACGCGTCGCACGGTTATGTAGAAATCTGAGGAACAGAATCGAAAACACAGCCCCAAACATTAGATACATATGTAGTTCGTTCTGGAGGATCCCGGCATACAGATGTATTTGAGATGACTTCCCAGCTGCGGCTCAGTTTATGTTTCTCCAAGATTCTGCCCTTGGCGAGGGATGGGGTTCTTCACCAAATCCCGTACCGACCCTCCTCCCCCAGAGCACTCTACACGGTCGTGTGCAACCCCTGGTCACCCCGTAGGAACATTAACCATATTTCCTGGGATCTACTTAGCCTGAATCTGTGATGCAAAAGGAAGCGGCGGCTAGCAAGGCTGGTCAGAGTCCACGGTTCATGTATATAATACAAAGCTAGCATCTCAATCCCACCTTTTCAAACTCCGAAAAAGCCCTCAGCTTTGATTCTTCTTGCTTGGAACCTGCCAGCAGTGACATTCCCTAATTCGTCAACATCGTACGTCCCGTGGTTGCCCGGGGGATGACAACTTCGTCGGAAACCCATGTCAGGGTTCATATATACCTCAGCAATATCGCACCGCTGAATCATGACCCGATATCGTGCTCTGGTGCTAACCTTCCTTTTCAACATAACTTTTACTTATTACGTGTCAGTATGCCTTCATATATAATACTTAATATCTGGACATCAAGGACCGATATTGATACCCAAAAAGGCTACGATTGGGGTCGACAGCGTGGGACGATGATTTTGCATCGTAGCTGTGTGAAACCTCTGTCTGCTCGACTGTGTCAATGCTTTGGCCCTTCCCAGATGCTCTCCAGGCTGGAATTCATCTCGAGCGGAATCTCAACGTTTACTCTAACCATCAGACGCCCGAGCCTGTCCCTGCTATTGTCAAACTAGGCCAGGCACGCTAGAAAGGATCTCGATGGATGAATCCGTACAAGAATCTGGGTCAGGGTTCACGGAGAGAGCACAGCATCAACTCTACTTCTGTCCCCTCCAGAGGCACATCTGTTGTCGTCCCCCGCGCTCTCTGGAGTGGAAACTGTCGACATGCTTAAACGTACCATTTTCGCGGTTGGACGGTGCAAATCGGTGACCAGATGGCCAAGATATCGCGAAATCTTTAATTCTGGTTTTCCCTTAAGTAAACCAAAAAAAGTGACCGCACGCGGCCGCACCTATTTATGAATACCCAAAGCGTCTCAGGATTCTTCGATGTGGAACAACACGGGTTGTGGGAAACTTAGGCCCATGGAAGGGCATAAAAGGCGGGCCCCTTTGGAGGTGATTCTTCCCTCATCCGCACTTTCTCTCTCTCTTGCGTTCAGCACGGACTGCTCATCTCTATTCGTCGTGCCCATGCTTTGATACTACCACGATTGTCCGCTGAGTATGTCCTAGTCCACCAGTGACCACTGGCGGGGCTGCTCTCCATCGATCCCTACACCGTTTGCTCTGCCAAAGTTCGTTAGGGGCGGGCTGCTACGATACCCGGGATCGATTATGAACCTGTTCCCTTTATAGCGCCGGGCTTGACACATTGTGCAACCTTAGCAGAACGTTTGACAGCCCTTCCCAATGACGGCCCACTGGCACAGTGATAAAAGGGAACGCGCGGCTTTCCCGTCAATGGACGGAGCGGCAGTGGGTAAGCCATAACTAACTGTCGCATCCGCCTTAAAAACCGCAGCGGGTTAACATTTCCCTTAGCCACAGCCGCGTTGTCGTTTACCGACAAGACAAGGCCCATGTACATCCCCTCATTTCTGAACCCAGCCTGAGCGATTATCACCCCATTTCCGCGCTACTTCTTCCAACGGCGAGTACTCATGCCTCCACAGCTGGGTTTCTTGTTGACTTACATCTAGTCAGGTTTACGCTGTTTCTCGTGTCTTGACTCGGCATTGGTGGTTATCGCTCATGTTTTGATGGTTCCTATTGTGAGTGGTTGTTCCGCTTGTGCGCTAATACTTGCTGAATGTTGGAATGTTATATCTCTATGAAGGCCACATGGTCGTGTATCTGTCTCATGTTTCCTGTTTTTTTCTTGTACGGATGGCACAACAGCGGGGATGGGCGTTGGGGCCGTCCTAGGCCGGGGAGTTCGCACTTGCCAGTCGGCTATACGCTTACGGGTGCTCAACCTAGGCCGGCAGCGATGGTCAGTATTGGGCAACCTCTTGCGTGATTGTAGCTGGGGTTTTTGCGCGGCACTTATTGAATCTTATTTCTAGCCATGTGTATCTAAATTCGCCTGATTCTACGGTTATCTCCGCTCCCGTTCTGATTTTTTTCCAATGGTGAGTAGTTGTCAAGTTTCTGCGTGGTTACTTGCTGAATGTTATTTGCAAATATGTCTCATAGTCGTGTATCTGTTTCATGTCTTGTGTATTTTGGTTTCTTTCTTTTTTCTTTCTTCTTTTTGTACGGGTGGCGCAACCACGGTGATGGGCGCTAGGGTCGTCCTGGGCTGGGGTGTTTCCACTTGGGCTCCACGCTTGGGCGTGTCCAGGCCGGTAACGGTGGACAGTCTCGGTTCGGCGTCGCACACTTGCCCGATGACTTGTCTCTCCAACCTAGCGGTGATATGTGCGGAAAAGGAGTGGCTGGGCTGGCGTCTTTCTCTGTGGCTCTGGCTGGGGGGGACATTGACATTGGCCATCTGGCCTGGGGTCGTGACTCATTGCCTGGCGCTTCAGGGTTCGTCGGTTCGCTTCTGTAGGTCTAGATGGTAGCGGTGTCGATTCTGTGGCTGGGGCGTTGGTTGGAAGCGCCGTGCTGCGTGATTGTGGCTGGGGCACGTGTGAATGGGCTTCGGCCTGGGGCACGTACGTGCTGGCCTGGGGCCGCAGGATTGGAGTCCCGTGAGAGCCGACTGTGGCTGGGGCATGTGTGTGTGTGAATGAGCCTTGGTCTGGGATGCATACATGTTGGCCTGGAGCGTAGCGGGGCGTCGTGCTGCTAGATTGTGGCTGGGGCCTCTATGTGATTGGGCTTTTGCCTGGGGCGCATACGTATTTGCCTGGGACTGCAGCATCGAAGTGCCTTGATGCCAAATTCTGGCTGGGTCATGTATGTAAATGGGCTTTTGGTTTGGGACGCACACACACATGTTGGCCTAGGCTGTAGCGGGGCGTCGCGCTGCTAGATTATGGCTGGGGCATTTGTGTAAATGGGCTTTGGCCTGGGGTACATATGTTGGCCTGGGGCTACAGTGCTGACGACTTCCAACTCACGATTCGCCATTTGTCTGACCCGTCTACCATCTGACCGATATCCGCATATCATCCACCCTCACCGCATTCAATGCGTGTCCACCCTTCTCTGAGTGAGTGCTGTACCTGTGCTCGCATGTGCGTCTCGATGACTGATGTTCTTTGTTGCTTGTTGGTCCCTCACTCAAATCTTCAATTATTAACTCAATTTAGCTTCAATTGTAGTACATACTCTGGTTACCGTACAGCTGTGTTGCGAAATGGCGGTACCTTGAGCGTCTATATATATATATATGGATCTAACATGGTCTGTGTTAGCGCCATGACCGCGGGTCTACGTAAGGTGTGAACAGCCGTAGCCTCTTGATTGTACATTCCAATGCATTAGCAATGGGCGAATATGCCATTCAGGGTAGAGTTGCCAATGCATGGTCTGGACTCCCTACCCCATATGCGTTGGGGAGGCACCACGGAATGATGGTTAACCTGATGGTAGACGCTACTCGGAGCACCTAGGGTAAATCGAAGGGTGGGTGGAGTTGGAGGGAAAAAGGAGGAGAAACGCATTCTTTGCAATTGGTACCCCGGCATGGCTCCCGAGTATATTAAGTAATATTGTACATAAAGCCAGATCAGGAAGCCTCGGATCAGTTGAGTTAATTTTCAAGGGAAATTGTTTGAGCGATTGAATCAAATGTGAAATACATGTGTACAATGAACCAGTGCGGCCTGGACCGTGCACTCCCACTCACTCCAAGTTTCATGCGCCGGTGTGCATGACTCTGTCAGGCCCGCGGCCCGTGCGCAAGACTTCAAGCGTTATTCAATCGATTATTTCTATGAACCGTAGTAAGCAGGTTAAGCGTGTCTATATCCCCGGCCGATCAATTCCGCGCCACCGAAACTGAGGCGTCATCGTTTCGTGCGGCACAACACCTGCTTTACAACTAGGAAGACCCCATCATATGCTCGGTGTGCGCGGTCCATCGGTCTCATCTCCCACCCGACAGTCATCAGTGCTACTGCTTGATGCCACCGCGATGCAGCAGAAGAGGACCAGGCCTGACGTGGATCCGCATACTCTGGCACCCAAAGCAAGGCCCCATCGTTCTATCCAGCTGTTCGGAGCTTCCGCTGGTTCTACCCTAGAGAAGCACACACGTCCCACGATTGCACGGGATGGGTAGTCCGATGTCGTACCTCAGTGGTGGGATTTGCATTCAGACCCCTACTAGCTCAGGTTGGAGCGAGGCAAAGCAGAACAGCTCTCTTCAATATTGGTGCCCGCGAGCGTATGGTATCGTGCTTCCTAGAGTCCTACATCAAACGATCATGATACACTTGCGACATTCTCCACCCACGGCTGTGGCCCATCCACCGAAGTGTCGTAGGAGTTGATGGCTGCAACCACCGTCGGCTACAGTGTCCACGGCGTGCCTGCCGAATCCTTTTATTCACCCTCAATCCCTGCGACAGAGACTTTGTGAGCGTTCATTCGTGAGGACTGGAATCGCCATATCCTTCGGCAGCAATGAAGGCGGGAATTTCTTTTCAGCGCTGTATGTGGACGTAGTTGTAACGGGTCGCGTGTGGCTTGCTGCGCTAGCTGCCAATATATTCTGGGCCACCTTGGCCGTCTCCCCAGTCCCACCTGATCAGCAACCAATTTTTGAAACCTTTTCCACGTCTTGCATATGATCATTGTGTCTTGCACTAAGGGGCGCTACATATTAGGTTTAGTGCTGACGACGATCATACGGATTTAAGAAGCAAAGTACAAGAGTCAAAGCAGGAAATCTAGCCCCCCCCCCCCGCATCCAAATGTTGGGGCCTGATATATGTCTTGGACCCGCAGAATCCGAAACACCCCTCACTGAGAACAGTTGGTACCTCCTCTTCACATATATACGTCATGATCGCAAGGCAGCGATGTACAAGCGATGTGCTGATTTTCCATGGAACTCCTTTCATACGGCCGTTACATGCTTTTCATTTTTACTTCCGCCGATGATGGTTGCACAGAATGTGTTCGATCATTGTAAGCTCATAGGAACTGGTGCTACGATGCACACTTCCTGGCTATTGTAAGCGACTCGGGTCTAAAAGCTAATTAACCATCACCGCATAGATTGCTCTGAAATTCATTCATCATGCTGTTTATTATTTACATAGCGCGTTGTCGCAGTAATATTTGGTTAGCTGGTCATTCACTCCTAAAGGAAAATTGGAGGGAAGATTATCACTCTCCAAATATAACAGGGTCTCTTTTTATAACGTACCGGTTGGGTTTCCCCTCCTTTTCTCCTCCGCACTCACGCTCGAGACTAAGGTTAGCACTCCTAACTCACGTTACGCCGTACTCATACTGCCCGCAGTGCTGAAAGTCACAATGCAATTGTGGAGTGCCTTCGCCCCAATTACTCTACTTCCCGTTGTCATGGCTGGTTTTCTTGTCGGCGAAATCACTTGCGACCGAACACAACAACCGTTCGGGGCCATCGTCCCTTCATCTGCAGGCAGGTAAACCAAACCTAGACGAAACTTTCTCCTAGTCTTAACCTATGTTTTCCCAACAGACACTTGTCCTAAGGTATTGGACTACCACAACTACACGGGCGAGAATATGAGCTATGGGACATTGATGTCGGTCCAAGGGCTTTGCGGGGTTGACGTTGGAGTAAATACTGTCTCCAACTTTTGGACTGCCTCCAATGGTGCCATTGGACATTGTGACCCTGTTGAATCCTCAAACGAGACATGCATCAAGGGGGATCGCGAGAAATGCACATGGAGCATTCTGAATAATTGCGATACTATACACGTCTGTCCTCCAGGGTGGGGCCAGTAGCGATCCATGTAGATACATCACAATTTAGCGAGGCTGGAGTCCTGTCCAGTAGAAGTTATAGTGTGCATGAATGCCACGGCGTCAGCAGAAAAGGCATTCCAATGATAAAGGCAGTCGGCTAAGTTTAAGACACTATCTGAGGGTGTTTTTTTGCGCTTCAGATAGGGCCTAAATAGCCTATTTCCTGGACCCCTGGAAACATCCTGAACGACTCATCGTGCTACTACTTGAAGCCACCGCGAGCAGCTGGAAGGGACCAGGCCTGACCGTGGATCCGCATACTTTACCCAAAGTAAGGCCTCATCGTTCTGTCCAGCCGTTCGGAGTTCCGCTGGTTCTACCCTAGAGAAGCGACACCGGGATGTCAAGTCTGTGCAGTCTGGTAATCCGATGTCTTACCTCAGTAGTCGAATTTGCATTCTTCAGGTTGGAGCGAGGCAAACAGAAGAGCTCTATGTTGGTGCCCGCCGGCGCATGATATCGTGTTTCCTAGAGGCCTACCATCAAACGATCATGATACACTGTTCAATTCTCCACCCATGGCTGTGGTCCATCCACCGAAGTGTCGTAGGAGTCGATGGCTGCGACCCCCCGTTGAAGATGAACGGTGCACCACCTGTAACGTTCTTCAGAGGAAGTACATCAGCGCAAAATCTCGACAGCCATGAGCACTAGAATCGCCATATCCTCCGGCAGCAAGGAAGGCATCGACCTTTTCCTTCATCGACATGATTGATGATAGACAAAACAGCCTTCAGGTTAGACGTGCAACATCGGGGGCCCTCTATAGCGGACACGCGGCTGCAACACAACGTTTAGGTTGAACGTATAAAAAAGGTTGAAGTTAAGATAACTAGGCACTTTTCCTTCAACGACGACCGCGCGCGCGACCTGTCGCTTTGTTCCACAAGTCGCGGGCGGCATCATCCAGTTGTATGCGCTTCCCTCTCCTTCCACATTCCGAGCTTTATGACCTCGACTGTGTTAGGAGGCGGATTCTATCGTGAATCGGCGTTCAACTTGTTTGCAGCCGGCGCACTGGCACCGTGGAGAGCTCTACAAGGCAGGAACGACGTGTATCAGATTCGTGTGACCTTTGCACCGTCACCGTTTGGCCCTTCTGACCGCCGATATGGACACCAGATGTTACTCTCGCAACGCAGTCTCCTAAGACAATTGCACGTCAAAACCCTGCTTCTACCTCGTTTACACCGATGCCAGTCATAGCGATTCACTATTTGAATCTTATGTTACATGCGATTAGGCAAACTGGGTGGAGAATGTCGCAAAATTCAACCAGTGTATCATGATTGTTCGATGGTAGGCGATATCATGCGCCGGCGGGCACCAATATCATTGAATAGAGCTCTTCTGCTTGCCTCGCTCCAACCTGAAGAATGAAAATTCGACTAAGACATCGGACTACCAGACCGCACAGACTTGACATCCCGTGCAATGTGTCGCTTCTCTGGGGTCGAACCAGCGGAGCTCCGAACAGCTGGACAGAACGATGAGGCCTTGGTTTGGGTAAAGAATGCGGATCCATGTCAGGCCTGGTCCCCTCCAGCTGCATCGACGCGGTGGCTTCAAGTAGAGTCGTTCAGGATGTCCTAAACTTTCCCACGGGTCCGTCCTGGCAGCAAGGCCGCTTCACCAGGATAGGAAATAGGCTATTTAGGCCCTATCTGAAGCGCAAAAAAACACCCCTAGATAGGGTTTTAAACTTAGCTGACTAGCCTGCTCTATTGCCTTTATCATTGGAATGCCGTTTCTGCTGACCTGGCATTGATGCAGATGCATTTGTGCGCGCTGTAACTTCTACTGGGCAGGACTCCAGCCTCGCTAAATCGTTATGTATCTACTTACTGGCCCCACTGTTGTCGTGGCAGCCCAACGCCACACGAGGACAAAGGGGAGGCGGAGCTGCAGGCAAAGCGTTGCCGAGTGGCAAACCCTTAGTCGCACAAAGCGTCAGAGGCGCTAGTTTCACCGTTGTTATCTGCTTTGTTATATAGTTAGATAGACATAAAAGGGCGAGGAAGTCCTCAACCTTTACAGATTGTACATAGTTTACACCTTGCCTAACCAAACCACGCTTGACATCGCGCTCTAGACATCAGGTCTCAAGTCCGACCTCACGCCCCTGTTCGCCTGAGTCTTTCTCCCGCTGATCAACACCCACCAGATCCTAGGGCTAAGGGCAGATGGCACTATGGCAATGCTTCAGAATGCCCCATGTGCATTTCTGGCCATCCATCAGAATGGATGTCTGGTTCGACCAATTAACAATCGTGTCACAATGTCCAATGAGGCCATTGGAGGCGATCCAGAAGTTGGAGACAGTATTTACTCCAACATCAGCCCCGCAAAGCCCTTGGACCTCCATCAATGTCCCATAGCTCCTATTCTCGCCATGGTAGTAGGAGTAGTCCAATGCCATACCGCAGATGCTTGCTGGGAAAACATAGGTTAAGACCAGGAGAAAGTTTCGGCTAGGTTTGGTTTACCTACCTTCATATGGAGGGACGATGGCCCCGAACGGTTGTCTCTGGCTGCAAGTCATTTCACCAACAAAGAAATCAGCCATGACAACGGGAAGTAGAGTAATTGAGATGAAGGCACTCCACAATCGCATTGTGACTTTCAGCACTGCGGGCAGTATGAGTATGGCTATGTAACGTGAGTGAGGAGTGCTAACCTTAGTCTCGAGCGTAAGTGCGGAGGAGGGAACCCAACCGGTATGTTATAAAAAGATATATTTGGAGAGTGATAATCTTCCCTACAAAACGACCAATTTTCCTTTAGGAGCAGCTAACCGCATATTACATACTGCGACAGTGGGTTATATAAATAATAAACAGCATGATGAACAATTTTCGGAGCAAGCTATGCGGTGATGGTTAGCTTCTAGACCCGAGTCGCTTACAGTAGTCAGGAAGTGTGCATCGTAGCACCAGTTCCTATGAACATACAGTGAACACATTCTGTGCAACCATCATCAACGGAAGTAAGAATGAAATGCATGTAACGGCCGTATGAAAGAAGTCCCATGGAAAATCTTGTACATCGCTGTCTTGCGATCATGACGTATATATGTAAAGAGGAGGTACCAACTGTTCTCAGTGAGGAGTATTTCGGATTCGGCGGTTCCAAGGCATCAGGCCCCAACATTTGGCTGCTGGCGGTAGTCAATGCGATTGATAACTATAGTTCCGCGGCATGGGGGGCAGATTTCCAGCTTTGGCTTTTGTACCTTGATGCTTAGATCCGTATAATCGTCGTCATCACTAAGCCTAAAGCGCCCCTTAGTGGAAGACGCAATGATCATATGCAAGGCGTGGAAAAAATTGGTTTCTGATCAGGTGGGACTGGGGTTGTAGTGGGGAGACGGCCAAGGTGGCCCAGAATATATTGGCAGCTAGCGCAGCAAGCCACGCGCGACCCGTTACAACTACGTCCACATACAGCGCTGAAAAGAAATTCCAGTCCTCACGAATGAACACTCACAAAGTCTCTGTTCAGGGCGAATAAAGGCGATGGGAAGAATTCGGCAGGCACGTCGTGGACACTGTAGCCGACGGTGGTTGCAGCCATCAACTCCTACGACACTTCAGTGGATGGGCCACAGCTGTGGGTGGAGAATGTCGCAAGTGTGTCATGATCGTTTGATGTAGGACTCTAGGAAGCACGATACCATACGCTCGCGGGCACCAATATTGAAGAGAGCTGTTCTGCTTTGCCTCGCTCCAACCTGAGCTAGTAGGGGCCTGAATGCAAATTCGACCACTGAGGTACGACGTCGGACTACCAGATCGCACAGACTTGACATCCGGTGCAATCGCGGGACGTGTGAGGTTCTCTAGGGTAGAACCAGCGTAGCTCCGAACAGCTGGACAGAACGATGGGGCCTTGCTTTAGGTACCAGAGTGTGCGGATCCACGCCAGGCCTGATCCTCTTCTGCTGCATCGCGGTGGCATCAAGCAGTAGGACTGATGACTGTCGGGTGGGAGATGAGACCGATGGACAGCGCACACTGAGCATCGGTTTCTGAAACTATTGTGCCGCACGAAACGATGAAGCCTCAGTTTCGGTGTCAAATGAAGTTCGGCGCGGAATTAATTGGCCGGGGATATATGTAGACACGCTTAACCTGTTTACTATTGTTCATGGGCCAAAAGTTGGATTGTCCATTTGTGTGATGAAGTTTCCTCCACAGGTCATTCTATTGGACCTCCCTCCACTGCTTCCAATCCCACAGCTCAGCGGGCTTTGAAAGGTCATGTGATTGTCTTCCCTGCTGTCGGAAAACACGGAATTTCGTTTTAACGCGTTAAGAGCTCTCAACGCGTTTCAACGCCTTATTGATCCGTTCCAACGCTTTATTAATTTGTTCCAACACTTTGCTAGTCCGTTCCAACGCTCAATGCAAAAATCAAATTGTAAATACTCAGCCCCGCTGTAAACATCCCTGTTCACAAACGCATGGACGCAGTTCCCCTTCACTGCCAACCACGGCTGCAGCAACTGTACACTCACATTTCCATACCCTGTACTTCCAAGCCACATGGGAGTCCCCCATACTCAGGCAAACACACGTTCCATGATCCATTGCCACAAATTACCTTCACTTGCTTCACATCGATGACGTCTACCTACTTGACGGTCAAGCCACTCTCACAGCGAACGACCACTTCAGCAAGTGACAAATCCCCAACAACCCCACCGTTCTCTTCCTGTGTCATTTTAACCAGTGGGGTTCCATATGGGAGGCCGGGCACTGAGTCGTAACATGTCATTCAGGGACAGCATGGACAACGATTCCGACCACACACAGAGTGCACCCCCCATCAACTGTCAGTGTCCAGCATAGGAATCTTCCTTTATCGCTCCATGTTCCACCACCCTCAATGTCCACCGCACATTCTTATTTAAGCCACTTCGTTCACTGAGTTCTGATTTGTGTTTGCACTCATGTTCTCCTCAATACCACTGCTGAAATGAACAACAATCATGTTCAACTTTGTTTGAATTCTAACTCCACATAGCACCACCATTGAGAGCCACAATGAGTTAGACCTCAATCCCACAGCGGGTGCACACATATTGAGAATACTAAGTAACTTAGCCCATATACACTCAAAAGGCCTATGATTGATACAACTTTATGTCAACATATCAGCGCAGAGCTGAGAGTGCATGGTAGTGTAGCGGTTATGAATGTACTTACTATAATGATCACAGTGTTCCTCGGTTCAATTCCCACCTGTACCAACCATTTAATGATATTTAGTTCTGGTCCTATTCCGAAATGTGAGTCACCAAAATTGAGGATAATGTGTGGGGATGTAATGAAGTGAAGGTATGCTTCAATCCTGGCTTGCAAGGGGTTGTCTCTTTTTGTTGACCCTACCTTGTTGCCGTTGCAACGTGTTGAAACGGAGGCAAAGCGTTACAACGCCTCGAAGCGTTGGAACGATCGAGTTCAGTGTTGAGAGCGTTAGAACGGCACGTGCTGTTGAAAGGCGTTACAACGCCTTGTAATGGGTTACAATGCTTCCACAGTGTTTTCCAACAGCCAAACCAGAAGCATTGGCAACATTTTTGCCTCCTGCTCTGGAAGATGTCATTACCCCTGTTTGTGTGGTATTTGTTGGTCACACTACACCATCCAAAGAATGGTTACTAAACAATGTCCCTTAATAGTCAGATGAGAGAAAGTGTGTCTCGCTCTTGAATGGTTAATATGCCATAACCCTCTGTATGTGGATGTCACTCTGCATGAACAGCATCTCAATCAACTGCCTTTATTTGATGTCCCACTGCCAGTGCTGCTTCGGGTTCTTGATATGACAAATACCCCCCTTCCATCTCACAAATGCTTCCAAACACAGACCCCATCTTCCAAAATGTTGTGGTCAGTGACATAGACATGAGAGATGCTAATACAGCTGAAATGACTGCTGCTGCCATCAGGCATCTTAAACGTGCCAATGGAGAACTGGGTGCCCACATTCAGGTGAAACATTCACCTGATCCAGTCAATCACCACTCTGATCCCAATTTGCTCCCTCTCCTGTATCCTACTCTCTTTCCTTTCGGTGTTGGTGGCTACCATTGCAATTGTCGCACAACCCTGAGTTTGGAGAAAATGGCAGAACATTTGTTCTCTCTTGGTGACCAACAGTTTCAGGAGCACTACTCCTTCTTGTTTGTTGTCTTTAACATCATCCAACAGCAAATCGCCTCCTTTCAAACCAAACTGAAAACCACACATTCCAATTTTGACCAAGTGATCCATACACTCAGCAAAGTCTCATCCCAGACATTTGATGCTGTCATCCATCGAGTTGCCCATGGTGATCAAACTGCCCCCACTACTGATGATGAACGTAGTATTAAAACTCATGCATGATGTCTCCCTCATTTCTGCTAAAGTGCCAGGCTCTCAAGCTACCTGGACACAGGTGCATAACAAGATCAGAGCTCTCATCTTTGAATGTGGTCCCCCATCGTTCTTTGTCACCATTAACCCTGCTGATGTGGATAATCCAATAGTGAAGTTCCTGTCTGGACATGATTTTGATTTAGTGTCAGGGCCTGGCCCTCTGTCAGGAACGTGCCAGAAGCGTATCCGGGTGACCCACGAGGCGCGCGAGGTCATCCAGGCTCGTAAGGTCGGAGGGGCGGGACTTTAGCTTCAGCGACTCGGGTGGAGCGCTGCGCTTCGTTCTTACGTTGGTGTCCCAATTTCAGACAGAAGCCTTACGATGAGGATAAGAGTTTAGAGGGGGAATCCAAGTCGATATACGAACTAAGGTACATCCGGTGTAACCTACACGCGTTATAAACACAAGTAACTAAATGAGAGCGGCCCGGAAGGAGTGGCGGATCAAGCGCGATATTAATGAATGAAGAAAGGAACAAATAATCAATATTGGCAAACTTGGTCAACAAAAGGAAAGCAAGGAACAATAGGAGGAACAATAGTCCGCAAGCGGACAAAAGAGAAAAGGCCATCCGGCCGTCTAGCAAGCCGTCCGGCTGGGGGCGGACAACAATGAAGCGGGCAACCTAGGTTGGAAGGTACACGTGCGAGGGAGGAAGTGCGGATGAGGGTGACGGGTGGACGGATGGGTGGACGGATGATGATGATAGCGGGAGGGACGGGCCAAGTGACACTAGGACGCGTAGAGGGAAGTGTCGGATATGTCGGGTCGTGACACCCTCGTTCCACGACAGGCCCAGGGGGATCCTCCTAGTCGCTGGGGTATCTAGTCCCAGTCCGAGATCTTCAAACTCACTGAGGGGGCTAGCCCCAGCCTTCACAGGAAATGAGTTGAGAAGAAGGGTAACCTTCTCAACCTCCTGTGAAGCCGCTACAAATGGGAGTCGGGAACTATACAGTTTTCGGCTCTTTGTGGACTTTCCATAATTGGCACCCCCCTGTGGGAAGATTCTGGGCAAGCTGCTCACCCAGAAAGTTCCCATGGTCATGGCTGTGATGGTTTCTGGGCGAGTTACTTGCCCAGAATGTTCCCACGGGTCTGCATGCATGCAGGATTGTGGAACAGTGAAGGGAAAAATAGGAGAAAATGGGGTCAGGGTACCTGAGGGTGTGTGGGGTCAGGGGCTGT